AGTTAACGATCTTGAACTCACTTTGAAAGTGTTGAACTATTGGCATCTGGGAAAAAATGAACTTCTGAACATTTCAATACATCAATTAACAGGGCCTCCATTGTTATTCAAGATTGTACCAACGTTGATGGTTAAGTTGTTGTGTTAACATGGGGGGGGGGAAGGAGACAAAGGAAGTTGATGTGAAGAGCCGGTTGATGGTTAATTTGTTGTATTAACATGGGGGGGGGGGTATCTGGTTGAGAGGCTTCTCCTTTAGGAGACAAAGGGGGTTGATATGACTAGCTACTACTCATCTATCACATGGTCTCACCAAAACCAAACAACTAGTCATACTAATCCTTTGTAGCCATTCTTTGGAGATGAAGTACATGTACCTATCAAGACCATAATATTGATATTTCTTCATGACCATTTTACTTGTATGTCATTAGGTTACAATTCTGCATTTGATGTGAAACCTCACAAGAAGATATTCTATGAAAATGAGTTAGTACCTGACAGGAACATGACTCTCAACAGGAACAGGTTCAGTCTCACCAAATCATATTTAGTAAATTCAGACTGTAAACTCAAAATGATCATGGTTAGTTGAGAGATTAGGGCTGGAGTCTACTGCAGTCTAAAAGCCTGGCATAAGCTGATATGATATATCTGCCAATAAAAATAATAAAAATTAATAAAATGTGTATTTAATTAGTAAATAATTAATTACTTGTTAGATGCTTTTAAAAGAGAGAGAGAGAGAGAGCTAGAGAGAGAGAGAGTTATTCCCAACTTAAAGAGAATCTGTTAATAGACACTTTAGTTAAAAATAATATTTTGGCATTTCTATTAATTCTACTGAATATTTCCAGATTTTGTTGTGAAGTATGTGGGTGTTAATTGCTATATATTGTGCACTGTATTTTTGTACAGGTTTAATGCATTATTCAGACACTGAAACAGATACTAAGAGCACAAGGGGCAACATTTAGAATAATAAGACAGTATATTGGCATACCCCTTTAAAGCATTAGATAAAGAGGGGCTCTGATAAGTCAAAAAATTGTAATATTGTCAAAAGCTTGTTTAAAATAGTCATCTTTAATCTTAAGTTGGATTAACCTGGCTGCAGGCCTGGATTTTAGATACTGGTAGGTTAAAAATAAATTATTATGAGAAGAAGAGAAGCAGTATAAGTGGTAGATAGTATAAATTAATAAGGTTACATTAACATGTAAGACATTACATGTACATAAGATGAGCAGTTGAGATTCTGTATTTTACCCAGGTTACTAGTCTTGCCTCAAGCTACTGATTCTGAATGTCTATATGGACTGACTGGAAATGGGGGGGGGGGGGTGTAACATTAGCTTGATACAAGACTACCAATCTGCCATAGTTCAAGCTGTAAGTCTTGCATCAAACTACTTTGCATCCTCCAATCACAGGGCTTCAAAATCTATAATATCTTCTTTTTTTAACCCCTGCGATAAGCAGTTAGGATTTCCCCGATTAAGAACTCGCAATTTGATTTGCTGTCGCAACATTATGACATCAATCATGTGTTTGTTCTCTGCACATAGTTAGATCACGTGATTCAGTTTTATTGGGCGCTTCCAAATTGGTTATAGCAGGGGAAAGAAGGAGGTACGGATTCTGGACACCTGCTTAGGAGGATGACTAGTAGCTTTGCACCATTGTCTTTTTCCCCAGTTAGTTTCATATTAGATAGGATTGGGAAGGAGAGGTAGACACTAGACAGGGATTTGATGCAAGACTATAAAGGTACCTCTAGGTGATTCCTCACAAGTGATCATCTAGCTTTGGTTCCCATAATATGAGAAATGATATATGAAAATCATAATGCATGCAAATATTCTCTTTGAGTAAACTGTAACCTTTTCATCAAACACTGACTTATTTTCATATATCTGATCATGGGTGTAGCGAGGCAAGAGGCAGGTGAGGCAATTGCCTCACTCAAATTTTACAGAAAAACTAATATTCAGATCACTTGAGAATTTACCTTATCTATTTTCAAACCATGGCAATGTACCTTAACACCAGGCCTGTAGCCAGGATTTGGCAAGGGGGGTTCACTTTTTGAAAAATTCCAGGGGGGGTTCGATTGTGACAATTTTGGTCCAAAAATGGCCAACATCACTTTAAAGTGCTCAGAACGGTGAAAAACTGCATGATTTTGAAAGATTCTTTGGGGTGGGGGGGGGGTTCTCTCAAATCCATTGAACCCCCCTTCCTACGGGCCTGCTTTTGGATGCTCACATATTCAAGGGTGTTATACAAAATGTGTTGACTCAAATACAGAAGTTACTACTGTTCTGTAAGAGCATTAACAATTAACATGTATCCCTTTTGCTTACCTAATGAAAAATGTAAACATGAAAGGTCAAACTTTTTGTAAGGGTGATATCAGGGGATGAGGTGTTACAGTAGGTGAATGTTTTATCTCAACCTATGATACGAAAGGATGAAATGTTACAGAGTTTCTGGTTATTTTTCACAGATAGGTATAATCTCGATATCATTAATAACCTTTTTTGCTAAAATATCTGGAACAATCCTGTTCAATGTACAAGTTTTTGAATTATTTTTCCTAAGGGTGAATCTGTCAACACAGAAATAAATATATTGTTGCCTTGTTGATTGACATATCAAATAAGAAAGAAATCTCCAGATGGTTTGCACATTTCACAAGTTTTGGACAAAGCGTTGCATGGTAATGCCTGTAAAGATTAATAAATCTGTTTGCAGACACAACATCACTCATCACATACATCAAACGCTGCTAATTGCTGTTTCATTGCAATACCATTTTTAGTTTTCACTAGTATCTATCTATTCAGTGAATTATGCAGAGATAGTGGGAGGTATTTTAAGCAACAGGAGTCATTGTAGAGAAATGTGAATGATATAATAGGATAACTTGTTGCTCTGATACATAATGTTTCTTTCTTAATGACTGTATTTAGTAGAGTTATACCAAACTTCTTCAAGCTTATTGGACAGTACTCTTACATGAAACCACCATGGCCTCAATTTTCTTTAACATTGACTGGGTCCTAAGTACAAAGAAATTGTAGACCATGGGCTTAATGCTAGATTTGATTGGATGAAGTCCTAAGGAAGACCTAGAATTGAAATTATTTGGTTCAATTTGATTATCCAGATAATTCATTCTGACCTACTTTAATATCCAACTGATCTGAGGTGGTGTGAACCCCACTTGGCAAATCCTGGCTATAGGCCTGTATATAATAAACAACTCCATTCAACATAGATTGTTCTAAATGAATCTTTTAGAAACAATAACGCAGATGCGAGTAGGTAGTTACCAGATTCACCACCAGGTGGCTCGTTCGGGTCAGATAGCATGGCGGGTATAGTAGAAAGTTCCCTTTAACTTAAATTACATCTATTTGCGTGGTTCAATTTTCATATAACCCTTATGTATCTAATAGTTATGCAAATTAAAATGTGTCCAGTAAAATAAAATGTTATCTGTCCAATACAAGAGAAGATCATTCACTTTTTGTGATTTTATTACATGGGGTCTATGGGGAATCAACCCGAACAAGAAGTCACATTTTCAAAAAAATTAAATTTTCAAAGTTGATAGACAATTTTCAAAACCATATTTCTAGATGTACTTTTACACACAGATTTCAAATATGAGATCACTTTGACTGAATTTTTAATATTTAATGACGTAAATCAAGATTATTTCTACTCGCATCTAGTCTATTCAAAGTTAAGTAATTTTTTCTACTGAATATGTTATGCGTTACATTTAAAAGATGTTGGGGGTTGTAACGACCCGTTACAACCTTTAAGCAGGAATTGAGTTGAGTATTATTGCAAAACACTCATTTGGATTAATATATACATTAACATATACAAAAGTATATGAAAGTTGACTTGTCTTGATTTAGTTTATTGCTTGATTGCTGAGGCTCTTACGATTAAGCGGGTTATAATTAGGGATGCCGAGAGTAAGTTGCCCTGACCTACAAGTGAAATGTTATGAGGGCAAAATTTATAATATAGATTGTGTTAGCTGTAGTGCTTAAACAATAAAAAAAGTAAATAGGGATTGCAGAAATGACCTGTTTTAGGAGTAAACTTCTAATAAGGGAAATGATATTTGGAATATTAATATTTTACCCATTGGTGAATTTAGCCTCTGTTACGCCTACTTAGTATCTCTGATTAGAGTAAATATTTTCCTTTCTGATTAAGTGTTATATTTAAACATCATGTATGGTGTTACATTGTTCTCGCTCATAGTCAAAATATATTTAAAGGTACTTTATGTAAGGAATTCTGGCCTCACATCCGTTTTATCATTTTGTATCATTTTGTCTACTTATAAATAATTTTCCTCTTTTCTATTACCAGAAAACAATTTTGAGAAACACTAAGGAAAAACAGATTATAAACAATTAGCTATAGATCCATTAGGACAGTCAAATTGAAAAACACAATATGGGATTTCTATTAACTAGCCCCATTTTTATAGTGTCACAATAGAGATTTGACAGAGATACATGCTTGAGATGCCTATTTGTGTATGTGATGAAATAGATGCAGAACAGTACTATGATTTTGAGAAAAAGTTTTAGATTCATATTACAACAGACCAATGACCAAGTAGAAAATATTAAATTCAAAAAGCCCATCAAGAGGAACCTCAAGAAGTTTATTCAGAAGATCCCCATTACATGTACAAATATATGGTAGAATTTATACAAATGAAAATCATCAATGTCATTGTCATGCCAACAGCCAAGAGTGACCCCCTCTTTAGATTATTTTTAAACTTAAAGAAATTAATTTGACACTCATCTTAGTTGTGGTGTATTCAAGTTCTTATCTTAAATATTATATAAAACTAGAAAAATAAAAGTAAAAGTACCCATTTAATTAATATACATATATGTATATTAAATATTATTAAAAATTGTCTTAATCAAATCTCTAATTCATTGCTTTTTCAGTGGAGATGGACTTGCACCTAGTTTTACCCAGAAACCCAGCATTAAGCAGGAAGACAAACGTCTCGTGTTTGAATGCCGGATCAGCGCAACACCCGAACCTGTCATAACCTGGTCAAAAGATGGTGTCACTATCAAAGATGGAGGTAATTGTTTCTACATTCATAGGGTGTTTTGCGGATGTATCTCTCGATTTAGGAATTCTTAGATCGGTTGATCTCTTATATCTTGATTTCACTTTAAACAACAATTTAGTTTCAAATGTGAAAATAGACCCATAGGCAGGATTCTCTGCAACTTAAAAAGTGTAGACGAATCTATCTTTTAAGAAGCTTGATCAATTTGCAAAGAGTAGCAGGTCAGTTACAAGTTTGACAAATTCATTATGGTTTTTATGTCAGCACCAAAAAGTGGTTGGCGGTTGGCGCCTGACAAATTCTTACAACTTCCAATAACTTAACAAATACTGGTTAGACTGACTTCAATCTTTTTCAAAATCATCTTCAAGTTTTCAGAAGTTCAAATCTGACTTTATATTTAAGATTTGACCTTCAGTGACCTTTTTAAGCTCAAAAATGTATTTTTTCAAATTGACCAAATGTTTTTTCAAAATCATCTACAGGTTTCCAGCCAAACCATTTGAGGGATTCATTTGAAATTCTCAGGGATGTTTCTACCTATGAAAGTTTAGAACTGATTAGTTTTTCGGCATTCTGGGTAAATGTTAAGGCGGCCATTTTGGATTTTCTGTCCTAAAATCTTGTCTATCAAGGCTTGTCTACAGGTTTCCAGCCAAACCGTTTGAGGGATTCATTTGAAATTTTCAGGGATGTTTCTACCTATGAAAGTTTAGAACTGATTAGTTTTTCGGCATTCTGGGTAAATGTTAAGGCGGCCATTTTGGATTTTCCGTCCTAAAATCTTGTCTGTCAAGGCTTGTCTACAGGTTTCCAGCCAAACCGTTTAAGGGATATATTTGAAATTCTCAGGGATGTTTCTACCTATGACAGTTTAGAACTGATTAGTTTTTCGGCATTCTGGGTAAATGTTAAGGTGGCCATTTTGGATTTTCCGTCCTTAAATCTTGTCTGTCAAGGCTTGTCTACAGGTTTCCAGCTAAACCGTTTGAGGGATTCATTTGAAATTCTCAGGGATGTTTCTACCTATGAAAGTTTAGAACAGATTAGTTTTTCGGCATTCTGGGTAAATGTTAAGGTGGCCATTTTGGATTTTCTTTCCTAAAATCTTGTCTTTCAAGGCTTGTCTACAGGTTTCCAGCCAAACCGTTTGAGGAATTCATTTGAAATTCTCAGGGATGTTTCTACCTATGAAAGTTTAGAACTGATTAGTTTTTCGACATTCTGGATAAATGTTAAGACGGCCATTTTGGATTTTCCATCCTAAAATCTTGTCTGTCAAGGCTTGTCTATAGGTTTCCAGCCAAACCGTTTGAGGGATTCATTTGAAATTCTCAGGGATGTTTCTACCTATAAAAGTTAAGAACTGATTCGTTTTTTGGCATTCTTGGTAAATGTTAAGGCGGCCATTTTGGATTTTTCGTCCTTAAATCTTGTCTGTGAAAGCTTGTCTACAGGTTTCCAGCCAAACCGTTTGAGGGATTCATTTGAAATTTTCAGGGATGTTTTTACCTATGAAAGTTTATAACTCATTAGTTTTTCGGCATTTTGGGTAAATGTTAAGGTGGCCATTTTGGATTTTCCATCCCGAAAAGTGTACACTGTTCAAGGGTGCGATTCTGTTCACCGTGTGGCTTATTTCATTTTGCTTCAAATTGACCAGTTCTCAGAAATTCAAACCTGACTTAAGATTGAAGTCATTATATTGTAAGCAACTAGGTGGTGACATTTTGTCATGTTAATTAATGCCTTGTCTTATTTATATGCAGAACTGCATTAGGATTTAGGCATTAAACATTATTGAAGGTTTCAATCTTTATTTAATCTAAAAATGTCAGTTTTTAATATTTTTTAACATTTTTAATTAAAGCTATGGCATATATAGACACATAGATATTTGTATGAAATATGGTTTATGACATGCACACGAAACATATAAATCCAGGGATATAGAAAACAGTTTCAACATTCAAATATTTTTTACAAAACATTAACAAAGCACATAAGTGATTTCACCTATTACCTTGTCAATTTATGTCCTTAAATGTTATGTAATTGAAGCAGAGAATTTACATTACGGAAATATAAAGCAAAATATCAGCTGACTGAATAAAGCAGCTGAGCCAATAATAATGCTTGTAGGAGCAGGTACACTTCAACTTGGATTTAAAGCAAAAAAGGAGCAACTCAAAAATAACAAAGCTGTTTTAACAAAATGTAAATCTCAAAATCAAAACCTCTTATAAATAAAATTTAATATAAACCAATGAATCCCTAGTTGAATAGCATTCAGTAGTTGGAGCATGCCACAACTCAAACAATAAGCAATGCTTGAAATCATATGAATTTTTACATGTGATAGCATTTATCTTTTGAGCCCATAATTAAATGTTGCATTTTCTTTCCATGTTTTTCATGAATTTTTACACGTGATAGCATTTATCTTTTGAGTCCATAATTAAATGTTGCATTTTCTTTCCATGTTTTTCATGTTTTCTTTTTTTCTGCAAGGAAATATTTTTGTCTGGATGTTTTGAGGAATCCTGTCAGTATTAAAATAAACTTGTTTGTAAATATAACTGTTAATGGGATATCAGTAAAACCAAATGCCTACAGTCAGGTTTCGTTTTTTTCTTACTAAATACTGTCTGATGCACAGCCACAGGAAGGCTGTCAATTTGAAAGAACCCCTCAAAACATTTTCTCGTTTGCCGATTTCCCTTCATTAAAATGAGAATACATAAATTATATTGCTTTCATAATTTTCTATTATTTCAGGCCGCTATATGGTTTACACAGATCCAGAAACCCCGGGAAACTATGTCGCCTGTCTGGAGGTGTTTGATGTAGAGCCTGGAGATGGCGGCAACTACAAGGTCAATGCTCGCAATGACCTTGGAGAAAGTAACGCCAACATCAAGGTCAACTTTGATCAAAGTAAGTGAACCAATATAACTGAAGTGCTTCAGGGTTGTCTTAAAAGTTTGGCACTAAATTACATGTATGCACCTAGTCAAAATTGTTATTTCCCTTGAAAATACTTTAAATTGCACATCTATTTAGAAAACAAAATGGCCTCTTACCATCATCTACTAAATAAGGGCTATTTTATGTAGAATTACAAGTACATAATGCTGGAAGTTACTTTCCTATCAATTACCTTATTCATCTGAAAAATTGGTTGTTGACCACAAATAGAAACCAGAAACAATTTTTTGAAATGTGTACAACATTCTCCCCGCATCCTTCCTACAATATATGTTTTCCTCATAGTCAAAGTAAAGTTATTTTGTCAATAATGCATTTTCCGAAACGTGCATGTGCTAGCATAAGCTGTAATGGACATATAGTGCCAAGGAAGATAAACTCTTGCAATACTTGAGGATGGGATAGAAGTTTATCCAAGCCAGTTTGACCTTGTTGGGTTCTGCACCTTTTTGCCATATTCAAAGGTGTAAGCAATCTTGTCTAAATACAAACACTTTCCTCATAACCTGCTAAAAGTTGCTTAGCTAGCATTTCACCAAGAAGAAATCCAGCAAACTTTGATTCAAGTTACCTTCATGGCTAATTCCGAACACGATAATTCTTGCAAAACATTTTATGAAATCATAAAATTGTATTTATAATGTTCTTGAAGACACAATTAATGAAAAATTCTGGATTTTTATATCGCTGTCTCGTATCAGATGTCATTGGTAGTTGTCATTTAGTTTTTGGGTTATCTAAATTTTTGTAAATGAATCTACAAATTGCAATTTTTGGAAGGGAACTGATCTAAATGTGGCTATTTACACCTTTACTTGCTGGTCTGTGAATAAGATAGAAAATATATTTGATCCACTGATTACAAATTGAATCAATCTCATATGTGCACTGGATTAAATCCATATTTAACTTTACTTCTGAAGAGATTAGACGCTTCATTCATTTTGAGACTTATCTTCATATTTTATCCACAATTTTGGATCTTATATGCATCATAACATTAATGGATTGTAAGCATTTCCTATAAACAAGGTATGGTAATTAATTGAGATGTCTGAATAACTAATAAACATCATCTAAGACTGTTATTTTAATGATTTGAAACAGTTTGAGTAAATATTGGAGTATCGTTAAATAATTGGAAACTAATATCTTTGCATATTGAATATCTGATGTCTTATGGAATGAATTGAACATTAGGTACATTGTATTTTTAAATATTGGAGAATTGTTGAATAATGGGGTACCTTTAAATATTGTGAATCCATCAGGAATTTTGCACTACTCAAAGAATGTGAACAATTTAGAAAGGGAGAAATGTTGAGTCCTTTTGAGTATAATTCAGTCTATTTTAGTATAATTTAGACTATTTTAGAATAATTGAGTCTATTTTAGGATAATTATGTCTATTTAGTATATTTTACTCCATGCTAGCATAATTAAGTTCATATAAGTAAAATGTGTTTACAGACATCTTTATAAGATTCCTAAAGCATAGTAATGATTAGTGTGGAATTAGCAAATTGATGATAACATACCTGTGATCTCATGTAATTTTGTAAAAATGGCGATAAATCTGAATATAGCCATAAATAACATGATGCCGCGATGCGTTATCAAGTTAGATATAAGGTATATAAATCTGTACAAGTAAATTTTGGGGTATTTTATGAGATCTAACTTTTAAATGTCTAATTCAGATATCATTACGGTCTGTATTGTCATTTAGTACTAACGAGTTATATATAACTTTTAACAATTAAAATGATTATGGGTTACAAACTTTAAAACAACATTTTAAAGTTTTAAGATGAGTTAAGTGGCATGAACTTTTGCCTGGGCTAATTTTGGTACTTTATGGTGTTACTAAATATATTTTTTATGGATGAGGTTTCGTATTGGTTTAATATGGTGCAAGTAATTGGTCCACATAGTGAGCATATAGAAGCGCTCCCTAGTCTATCAGTGTATGCATCTGTCTGTCCATCCGTCCATCTATGATTTTCGAACAAATGAAAACTGCCTGTTTTCTAAATCAATGCTCATATCTGTTTTAATGGGGTCCATGCTGGTAACTTATAACTTAAATTATTTGTCGTGGTCCAGGTACTTTTGCCTTATGTAAGAAAAAATACATTCTACCATATACACTCACATAGAAAATATTTTTTTCTTGAATATATATTCTGCCATATCCAGCTCCTGATCATCCAGTATTTGCATAATTTATTTTTAGATGGTAACATTCAGCTTAAAGAAAATGTATGTTAAAAATACATTTCGCAGAAATGTAATGTTATGTTGATATATGTCAATGTCATTAAATGATATCGATAAGAAAAATCCTGGTAGTTTAACACTTTTCAGATAAGTTTAAGTTGCTTGCAATGATGTTTGGAAATGTCAGTTGGTACATGTATTTTGTGGTTATATCGAAATGCCAAGTTATTTTAATAGAAGCCTAGGCATTTTTCTATGGTATTTCCTTAGACTTTTGGGTGTGCCTGAAACTATTATTTAATTTGGAAAAATCATACTTGGAAAACTATATACTATTTTATTTCAATTTGGAAAATTTTGAAAATTATATACAATTATATTCATTATGTTCACATGTTTCTGGGGCAATTAAATTCTGGTTCAAGTTTTTCATTATAACTTTTAATTCAGGATTTGCCACAGTCTATCACATTGTCTTATTAGAATAGTATGACATAGCGATGATTAATTAGGACAAATCCTAACTAAGGATCATTTGATCTTGAAAAACTAGCCGCATTAAGTAATGATTATATAAATGTAAGGAATAACTCATAATTTTGATTACTGCAGTATACTCCCTCATAAAAAATACTTCTTTATTTACATATATTTTATATTTATGATGATTAAAGTGCAAATCTTACTCCCCAACAAACTGGACTTGAAAATACACTTTTGAATACCTGAGAATATGTTAAGACAAATGTTATCTTATCAGCAAACTGTTGTTAAAATTTATTGTTGGGCTGATCTGTTTTAAATGTAAACATTATCTTCATTTATCGATTTTTATCACATTTAACCTGTAAAAGGAACATTCTATTAATCCTAAATGGGTATTTAACAGAGCTTTTATAGACTTTGTCTTTTTAGAAGAATTTGAGGCAAAAAGGTGAAACCTTTTGAAGATCTGTCATGATGCTTTCTATGTTGGTTTACACATAATTGAAGCATGCATTTGGATTAAAAGTTCATATATTTAGGTAACACTTGGAGGGTATTCGTTGATAATATTCACCAGGTGTGAAACAAAAATAGGTATGTAGCTGTCTTGAAGTGTTATACATAGTTTGCTTAAAATGCTGGGTCTACCTGTTTAATTCCAAAAAGGTTACTAAAATAGAATTTGTATACTTTTTTAATTGCAATATATATTCTTCTTGTACCTTTCAATATATATGGCATTTAGTTAGCTTCATTCTCAATTATTTTAATATTCTTGCATGTTAAGAATATTCCAAGGGTACTGGCCCTTACAAGTTATGACATCACTTTTGAAAAAAATATGTGAAAAAATATGTGGCTGAAGTCAGAAAGAAAAGGACATGTATATATCTGATTTTTTATATACATATCTGATTGTTATATACATATGTAGTTTATTCTTATTGAACACTTTATTGAAAAATGCAACTTTGACATGAATTTTCTTGCGAGGGAGTATACCTATTTATTGTAAGAGCTTGGTGTTGTAAATCATCCCAAATCTTGCATCTCATTTTAGTAGGTCTAAGTTTAATAAGGTATCTGTAAGACATCATGTTCTATAATTTATATATACATTACCTACGGAAAGCGAAAGGGGATATACCGCAGAATTTAAAATTCAATGGAGTTTTAACATGGGATATCACACACCGCGGCCCAGTCAGATATATTTCTGCGCACTTTATTTTTTAATTCACTTTGCACAACGCGCCATCTGAAATTCATTCAGTGCGCGATTAAAAATTGTTTATGAGTGATATCGCACACCGTGGCCCAGTAAGATCGATTTCTGCGCACTTTATTCATTTAGCCAGAATATTAACACACTCAAAATATCGCGCTGAAGCTTGTATATGCTGGCGCGATGTAAATATAGTTTTCTGTTAATAAATGCCCAACAAGAAAGGGTAGCACAACGAATTCAACTTTTTTCGAAAGACTGCAGAGTAATGACCTACGAAATTGTAATTTTGGATCACAGTGATGCCTCTAGCGAGGATATCTATGAGAATTACAGATTATAGTGCGCAGAATTATAAAGTCAAACTGACCTCAAAATGGTAGTACACAGTGTACACTGCCATCTTGCAATAAAGTGTGTACTACAGACCTTCGTATACAAAATACCAGAATGATTGATGTAATACCTGTATACCATTTCTTCTGGGAGAAGGAAAGTTCCTATATATATTCCAGGGCCGTAGCCAGGGGGCCTCACCCCCTCCCCCTTGCCAAATATTCGTTCAAAATCATACCGTTTTTCACCATTCTTAGCACTTTTCGCATGATTTTTTTTGCCAAAACTGTCAAAAAGCTCCCCCCCCCCTCTTGGCAAAATCTCCCCCTTGTTACCACTCCCCCAGGTTAATCCAGGATACGGGTCTGTATTCTTAGGCGAGATTGTTTAAGAACGAAAGAAAAGCTAGGAGATCTTTTTTAAGTTATTAAGTCATCAATCAGCAGACTGGTAATTGTATCCCCCACCCACTTCAAACTCCATACACTAACATACTATTACAATTTTATCTGTGTTTATTTGACTGTAGAAGGTGTACATTCATAGCATTGAATTGCATTTCATTGCATTGTATTGTATTGTATTGTATTGTATTGTATAGCACATCATTGTATTATATTGTACTGCATTTTATTGTATTGCACTGCATTGTATTGTATTGCACTGCATTGTATTATATTGCATTATATTGTACTGTATTGCACTGTATTATATTATATTGCACTGCATTGTACTTTTTTGCACTGCATTGTATTGTACTGCAGTGTACTACATTGTATTGCACTGTATTGAACTGTGATGTATTGTATTGCACTGTATTGTATTGCACTGCATTGAACTGCGATGTATTATATTGCACTGTATTGTATTGCACTGCACTGTATTGAACTGCGATGTATTGTATTGCACTGTACCACATTGTATTGCACTGCATTGTATTGAAATGATCTACATTGTAACTGTATTGTATTTTATTGCACTGCATTGCACTACATTGTATTGTACTGTATTGAACTGCGATGTATTGTATTGCACTGCATTGTATTGCACTGTATCACATTGTATTACACTGCATTGTATTGAAATGAACTACATTGTATTGCACTGCACGACATTGTTTTGCATTGTATTGCATTGCACTGCATTTTATTGTATTATATTGCACTACATTGTATTGTATCATATTGCACTGCATTTTTTGCATCATATTATACTGCTTTGTATTGCATCATATTACACTATATTGTATTGCATCATATTGCACTGCATTGTATTGCATCATATTGCTCTGCATTGTATTGCATCATATTGCACCGCATTGTGTTACATCATATTGCACCACATTGTATTACATCATATTGCACCACATTGTATTACATCATATTGCACCACATTGTATTACAACATATTGCACTGCATTGTATTGCATCATATTTCGTATTTACCATTTCAGTTACAGTTTTATTACATAAAATGTTATTTATAAGATTATAATTTTCAAACATTGAAAATGTTTTATACAATATCACTTAAAAGATATGAAATGGCCCAAAATAATATATTTTCAATGGAACCCTTTGCAAGGGTCGCTTCAACATAACGCCACTTGTAATCTGTATGCATACGCCTTCTTTTAATGAACATTATCTTTGAAACCATATTAGAATCGAATCTAATAAAAGTGCGCATCATGGTCCTGGATGTACTGCGCGCTAGAATCGGGAAATCTCAAAGTTCTCCTCGTTAGAGCCATCAAAATTATCCAAAATTGTCATTTCGCTGGTTCACTCCGCAGTCTTTCGAAAAAAATCAAATTCGTGGTGCCACGAATTTCTATTCGTTATTTATTCACAGATAATCATTTTTTCATCGCGCACTGAATGCCGGAATTTCTGCGCACTTTATTTTAATTAACTTTGCACAACGCGGCCCCTGTAATTCATTCAGTGCGCGATGAAATCTATCTGACTGGGCCGCAGTGTGTGATATCACTCCCATGTTAAAACTCCATTGGATTTTGAATTATGCGCATGTCCCCTATCGCTTTCCGTAATTACCTAACATACCTACATCACCCGAAATTAGTTCATCTATTTATTCCTTGATTTACTATTGAGGGATTAAAGAAATGTTTTTCATCTATAATTCTCCTGGATCCAAACTTAGGCTAGATAGAAGAATATGCAATTAATCTGAAAAGGTTTTGATTTTTTTGATTTTTGATTTGATTTGACTTTGCTAAATATTATTGAAGTAACAAGTAATATTTTTGAATTAAGATCAGAACCCCAATCCTTTCTGTTAGTAGGTGTCTGGTTGTCAAGGTTTAGTAATGGTTGAAAAGATTTTACAATTATTCATCCTGAGCTTAATAGATTAAAGTTGAAATATTGTCCTTCCAATTAATGCATTTTTAGCATTTAAATTCTTTGGCTGTTAATTGTCTTTATCAGTTGGTATGGTTAACTGAGGTTTTAATATGCTTGTGTTTTTCAAATGAAAAATATCACTTTTCTTTCTCATTTTTGATGATTCAAGAAGGTCAAGTAGATTATGTATAATTGCTATGATTTTGCTTAAGTGCCCCTTCAAGAGTTTTTACATCTCCAGCAATTAGCATGATAGCATTCTAGTGACAGCAATAAATGATGTCATATTTTTAAAGACAAGGTTATTTTGACAACTGGCTGAATGTGTACTAAACCCTTATGCCAATTTTTAGATATACCTCCCTCTGACTTTTACATATGATTTATAGTTTTGATTCTGATGTGATCTTTATGATCTCAAATGGAGCTTTTGTGACTTTTATGGGAGTTTGAATATGGGATATTTGTAAGGTACTTATAACAGCTACTTTAATGTTCTACATTTCTGACTACATACTCTGATAACATAGGATAAACGTGAGATCAAAAAAACATCTCTAATTTTAAGAGTGTAGATAAATTGAAGTTTTTGCCAAGGGTATCTGTATATACATGTAAGATCTAGTTCAACAAAGATAAAATATATTATATACTTGAAAAAAGACAGGAACATTTAACATGTACTATGACCACAGAAGGCAGAAAACCTGTCACTGATATTATAGATCACTGTGTAGAATTGACACATAGACTCCTAGGGATCAATGAAGGTAGAGTCAAGATGGCATCATTAGTTGGTTCTGTTAGAAATACATTGTATCATTGTAGATATTTAACATAGAGAGGTATATACTGAGGTATAGCAGACATTTGGCATGTAATCAATGGATCCAAAACAAAATGATTAAATATAAAAATTTATTCAATTTTTATTTTTTATTTTCAGCCATGGCTGGACCTAAAGGTTCACCACCAAAATTTACACAAAAGCCTGCTATCAAGCAGGTCGGCAATAACATAGTATTCGAGTGCAAACTTACTGGAGACCCGAAACCAAAGATCACCTGGTACGCAGCCGGAGGCAAAGTCCTTCAAGAAGGTGCGCGTCATAAAATAACAGAGAAATCAGAGGGCGGTAATACCTATGCCCTTATGCTAGAGATTATTGACGTTGGAGCAGGAGATGGCGGGGAATATAAAGTGAACGCAAGGAATGATTCCGGAGAATCAAATGCAACAATTAATCTCAACTTTGAAGGTGAGGGACCTATATTAAGCGAGTGATTGTGCTTTTGATTATTTTCAAAGTTTACCAATGTTTCTAAAGGGGAACTGATTCTGGAAGTGATGTTAATGGTTCTGTCAGTGCATCAGCATGGTGGAACAACATGTTTGGAACACCATTTAAGTTCAGCTCTTTTTTTATTTTGTGTACACTCATGGATAACCATGCCCAACTTTTCAAAATCCAAGAATTGTCAAACGTTTGCTCATGTGGAGAAGATCTTTAGAATCTAGTGAACCTTTGACCATGGCAGATTTTCAGGGAAGTGAGATAATCCCTGAATTCTCTCTCCTTCTGCTTGGGGTATTATGTTCCATAGTGTTCTTTTTGTTTGCGTTGGCCTTGGTTTCCAGAAGTAGGGTACGATAATACATAACATGTCTGTGACATAGAAAAAAGATTTTATACATATCTGTTCAGAAATGAAAAATAATATAATATAATTCCAGTAGGGCATTCCACCATTGTTGATTTGATGCAGAACCGTACCAAGTTCTGACCTCCACAATGTTATATATTGTTACGTTTAAGATCAACATACCACTCCATAATTTCAACAGCTTGCTTGCTTATATTGTATATTTTGAAGTTCATTTTATGAGTTTGTCATTTTAGTTCACAAGACAACAAGGCAGATCATTTTACTACAGGGAGGATTCGGAATGGAAGGTGGTATAGAAGTTTCACATCCACTTTCTATACTTTCTCTTTTTTTACAGCAAGGGGTCAGGTCAAACTATCTCTATTCATTCACTTGCATATGAGAGTAATGCCCTCCAAATGCAGTCTTGCATCAAGCCCTTGTGCCCTTAAATACCTATCATGCCCTACATACCCCCCTGGAGGTGAGGTAGATAGGTCAAAGGGGGTTAGAGGAGGGGGCATCATAAACCTCATTAAACCTCAGTCACGTTTGCTCTATGGCGGGTGTACAGTGACCGTTGCTTCACAAAATCGATATAAAAAATCGACTGTTGCATATTTCTCTCGATTTTAGGAAGCTACAGTCGCAGTATGGTTGCCATAGATCAAACGTGACAGGCATTAATGCAAGATTTCTCTCAAAGTTATAAGTTACATCAAAACCAGATTAGGTTACATGCATTGTTATAAGTACATGATTGGGTATTTCTGTACAAGAAAAGAATTGAGTTTGACCTGACTCATGTATTATTACATAATTCTTCATGTATACAGCACCAATGATGGCTCATCTCCCTGTCTACATGTAACCCATTAAGTCATTTGTCTGCTTTATTAATGCTTTGTTAATATGCTTATAAACAAACATTTATGTTCCAGTTTATGTCATTTTCAGGAATGAAATTAATCAGGCAATATGCAACAGTACTGTACAGCTGTTTCAGATATGGTACCATACAGTGCCGTAAAATTACACCCTTCGATCACAGGGCTTCAAAATCCAGAATATACTCTTTCTTTTTACCTCCTGCGATAAGCAGTTAGCATTTCCCTGATTAAGAACTTGAAATCTGATTGGCTGTCGCACTACTGCGACAGAAATCATGTATAAGTCATTGTGCATAATTAGATCATGTGATTCAGTTTAATCGGGCGCTTCCAAATTGGTTATAGCAGGGGGAAGGAGGTACGGATTCTGGATACCTGCTTAGGAGGATGTAAAATTATGGTACTGTATGGTAACCTAGACTCAGTACTGTATCAACTTCACTGGGACTCAGGGAAGACCTTATTAGCTCATTTATATGGATAGAGCAACTAAAATAGATAAAGTTATCAAATCAAATCAAATTTTTCTAGATGTGACCAGATTGATGAGACGTATTAAGTGTTTGTCATGTAAAATGACCCAAATTATAGGTATTTGTTCTAATATTTTGTCTATTGGATAACTTTAATATAAAGCTTTGATAGCAAGGACATAATATTTACCAGATTTGGAAAAAAATAAATACATATCTGTGAGTTGTTGGTTATGTTTAAATGGGAAATTGTATTCCAAATATGTTGACTTAGTCTGTGTCTAAACCCCAGTGTATTTTGGCCATTCTCACAAGCTCAGATTTTGGGGAATATATAATAAACTCGGGGAGATTTGATCCCAACTCAAGTTAATAAACAGTTATCCCCTTTAACAGTCTTCTTTTTTACTCTTCCCAATATTTTCATATTTTTTACCCCTCGACTAATATGCTTCTTTCTTTTTCATTCTGCACCATAATACAATTGATGCCCTTAACAACTGGATTTTAACCACAGCCAAAACCACAAATATTCTTCTTGTATTTATTTTATAGTTATTTCTGTTATATTTTGTCTCGACCTGTTTTCATATATAGAAAAGTTTTGTTGGAACATTTACTGAAATCACTCATATGTATTTGTGAATTATGAAATGTAAAGATGCACATATTCCAAAACTATGGAAATGAACAGACTTTGTTTATTCTCTAGGCTAAAATATTGTGATTTTATATGGCCTTTCTGATTAATTAGCTCCATGTTAAACAGAGTTCTTACTGAAGTCTAAACAAAAGATAAAAATGATGTGGAATAGAAGTCAAATATATCACTAGTAAAAGCTGTAAACACTGTAAATGATGTAAATGGTATCAATTCTAGTCTACCTTCTAAATATTGTCATGAATCAAATGAAAGACAGACTTCATATTTTTAAAATAGTAATCTTTAAATAGTTATCTTGAACATTAAATAACTATTTGGGTGTTTGTGTTTTAGCAGGTCCTTGTGATGATGTCATTAAGAGATTACCATTCTTTAAATTCCCTTTTAACTTCATGCCATTTCTCTCTAGAATTCTAGCAGGGAATCTGAATATGATGCATATATCTAAATTAAGTTCTAGAATTTAAAAAATGTTACCTCAAACCTGTTTATCTTATTCCTTGTTACCTAACCAAGCCTCTCTTTGAATTTGAAAAGTTTATTACAATACATTATTCAAGGGTAAAATACAATGTATTTTAACAAGGAGTTTCTAAACACTTTATTTTAGAAAAGGGTACTTGATATTTGCTTGAATGAAGTGATATGAACAATAATTGGTGGCAACCATGAAGTATTCAAGGCAGTAAGTGAGGGGGACTTAAATATTCTGAATTTACAATATCTACTTAATGATCTGATCATTTTTGTTTTTTGAATTTTAAAATCCCTGAATCATGTTATGTTTTGCTTTGAGACTATGGTTATGGTTTGAGACTATGGTAATCTGTAACATTATGCCATTAATTGTTACTCCCAGATCTTCCGAAGTGCAACTACAGTAAAACCTTTAAAGTTGAACATATGTGTAAGTGAATCACTTTTCAAATTCCAACTAGCCATTAACATAGTGTAAAAGTACCTCTGTAAGTAGAACAACTCCCAAGCAGAATATGTTTTTGGGTACAGTGTTTCACTTACAATGGTCTTACTATACCTTATGCATATTTCAAATGTTTTATATTGTATATTTCATATTCTATGAACAGGAGCTGGTCTCTTAATGATATGCATGTATAATTAGACAAGTTGTGTATCATCATATTTTCATGGCCCATATTTATTTTAAGCTACATCAATCAATTTGTATGTCGTGTTTCACTTGTATTGTGTCTTGTATTTCATATTTTCAGAACTAAGATCTCATTTAGTGATTGTTAATTGCCTTAGCCTACTTTTGGAAATTGAGTGATATTACATGATATTTTGTTTAAATTTATTTGTATTGATTTTATTTAACACAAAAATTATAATTATCTTTGTATGTTTCAGGTACTGACAAAAAGTAAGTAATTTTAATTTTTTGTCTCAATATAGTTTATTTATTTTACATGTTAGCTATATTTGACGATGTAATATTTGTACATTTATTAGGAATTTCATCAAAATTATACCCAATTTCAAAAAAACAAAATAGATTCTACCAGGAATAATTTTACTCATATTATATACATAAGAAAAACAAACTTTAGTGAATACATTCATTTTCCATGTACTTTCCAGGGATGGAAAAGCACCTAAATTTACTCAAAAGCCTGTGATAAAGCAAGAAAAAGACAAACTAGTAATGAGCTGCCAAGTTGAAGCCAAACCAAAGCCCGATGTCACATGGTTCAAGGGAACCGATCTCGTTAAGTCTGGCGGACGTGTCACCATTAAAGCAGATAATGCAGGGACTGATATTTATACATTAATCTTAGAAATTAAAGTAAGTGAATTATGTTTGGAATGGTTTACATGTTTTTGTTATTGTATAGATGGTTTTGTACCTCATTAGTTTTGCTCGGAAAACGTTAGATCATTGTGCATATTTTTATTTTGCTTATAATTAATTGCCTTAAACAAAATCAATTGCAACATGGTTTGTTGTTGTTTCTGTCTCAGTTCTTATTTAGTATTGTGCAAGGATGTTTTATCAAAGGTAGTACACTCAATAGTAATATTATTTTCATGTTTTTTTCTTTGTGTTGTCAAATGTTCCCAAATGGGATTTCTGATTGATTTTGACCATATTAGGCAATGACCTTATTTGATCTTATTTGGACATTACTCAGGTTAATATTTTGTTCTTTTTGTTTTAATTTTAAAGTCCATGGTTCTGAAATATTTAGGTAATGCAAAAACAAGTTGCACAATCATTTTATGATCTTTTTACCTCATTTATAAAATGTACTTAACATAAAATGTACTTGTATGATCAATGTTGCATGTAAAGATCTATACATACTGTATCTATATTGTACATTATTTTATATTCAGATTTTATAATTCTTAGTTTATGACTTCAAAATTATCAAGATGGACTGCAAATACCTTTTGATATTATCTTACTTTTTATGTAGAGGATTCCTTAATATTGTAGCATTTTTAGGAACTCAGAAAATTTACAAATTCATTTCATTCGATCTTTTACGTGTCATACTTTCTTACCTTCGACTGTTCAATTCATTAGTTCAATCATGTATTTGCATTATATTTCAGCATTCTTATATCATTTTATATTAATGTAATCTCTTACTATCTTCTCATTTTCAAGTGTAAACATAAAATGTTCACGTTTGTTTTTACCGGAAGTTTAGACTTTCTTAACTTCCGGGACGCATGCGCGGTGCGTCAATTGCCATTTGTGGCGTCTTGGACATGCGCAATGCACATAAGAGAGAGAACACTTTTTCGAGCGGGAAGTTGGAAAACTTTGAGCTACGTAGAATTTGAGCTAGAATGTAACGACTGAACACGAATTATGTACTAGGGGGGTGGGAAAACGTATATAAAATGTAAATAGATGTATATAGAAAGTTAATTCAGTTTTGTTGGTGTTTTCTATGAGAAATAAGGATGGAAAAGGAAATATAGAAATCACCCGGGGATCTTCGATGAGACCAACACCCGGGGTTGATGCTTGAGCCAAACGACCAGATGCCGATGTCTTCACATAATATATTCTGTACAAGAATATTTAAAGACCCCGTGTGAATTTATTTCATATGATTATCCTGTGCAAGGATAGGCCTAATTGTCATTTCAATCAGTGTGTGAGGGAATATTCTGTACAAGAGTATTCAATATCCTGTCCAAGGATATTTGTCAATTAAAGGCCCTGTGGAAATTCGTATCCTGTCCAAGGATATTTGTCAAATCAATTAAAGGCCCTGTGTAAATTCGTATCCTGTCCAAGGATATTTGTCAAATCACTTAAAGGCCCTGTACTAATTTATATCCTGTCCAAGGATATTTGACAATTCAGTATTTAAAGGTCCCATGTAACACTTACGTATTTAAAGGCCTTGTCAAATTATTCAACAAGTGTATCAAAGATGCTTTGTAAAATTCAGCATCCTGTATTAGTGCTTCACTCAGCAGAGTAATGCTCTAGAAACTTGAAGCCACCGTTTCATAATATCGCATCTCCAGGGCCCAGTGTATGCGAGGTGTATTTCCAAGTCTTTGATGAACCAGGATTTGTATGATGATGTTAATTGATGAGATGACTAGCTGAGGGCACGGGTCTAACCAGGAATCCACTTTGATGTCTGTCTGTGACGAGGCGCCTGTCATGGACGTCATGCATTTTATGATGCCTGCATATGCTCGAGACCTATAACCTATGTGTATATCTCACATTACCACTTCAATAATTCCTCAGTGAGACAGAAGAGATACATTTGATGGACGTACAGCTCAATAAATAGCTGAAGATATACTTTCTTTTCATCCCACAATTATAATGTTACAACATACATAAAAGCTTCATGCCTCTTTATGAGGCTTAATTACATTTTACATAATCACAAATGTAACTATCAATGCAAACAAATCTACACGCTACCTTTATTACAATTAACTGCTTTACTTGCTATATGTGATTTCATATTCACATTGTTCTGAGCTTTACACACACTTAGGCAAATTTTGCACTTTTATTCATAGAATTATTACACATTTAGTGTACTTATATCAGTAATCATTTATTTAACACATCACCCACAATGCATCACATCCGGCAACGCTATAATTGGTGGCAGTGGTGGGATCTCATCTAACCAGTAACGTAACCAAAACAGTGATGTAAGAGGAAAACTCAGAATCAAGAGGGTGATGATCTGTCTGAAGTTAAGTTCAACAGCGACTTGCTGACATAGGGAAAGGAAGAAAATATCTGGATGAAGACGAACAATCACTTCTGAGAAAATATTGTTCAATTCCTTAGACGACGAGCCTCAGATTCCTGGACAGGGAATATTCCAAAGGCCAATGTGACTGAAAATCTTATAAATAAATCCAATGAACCAAATGATAATATGTCTGTACATAGTGTAAATAATTCCATAAGTTCCAATCACATGCTACCTTCATGTACTGATCAAACTAGAGGTGTTAGCAGGAATGGTTCTTCTGTAAATACAGTACCATGCACACACCGCTTCTGTACCCGGACAGAAGATTACTCTGGAACAACCGGGAGGGCTTTTATTTCATGTTCCAGGGCAGATGCTGGGACATCTTCATCCACTTCTGTCAGCCGACAGAAGATAGCAGTTCTAGATGCGGGATTTAGTCAGTTGGGATACACAAATATCACTGATTAGGTGCCTTTCCGCCCTGAACCACAGGGAAAGTTTGCTAGTTCAGCAGGGAGATGTCCGTCCACAACAGCCAAGTGTGCATGTCCAACTCCTATTGGTATAGGAGTATAATGTACCATATGTTAGAAGTGCTCAGAGCCAACCAGCCATTAGCCATATCCAAGCACCTATTGGTATAGGAGCTCCCATCGACGATAGAAGTCACAGCACACAACTTGTAGATAATGTACCATATGTTAGAAATGCTCAGAGCCAACCAGCCATTAGCCATATTCAAGCACCTATTGGTATAGGAGCTCCCATTGATGATAGAAGTCACACCACACAATTTGTAAATGATGTATCATAATTCATATGCCACAAGGGGTCAGTGCTAGCCAACCATTAGCCATTTCCAAGCACCTATTTGTATAGAAGCTCCCATTGATGAGAGAAGTCACATAACACAATTTATAACTATGTGATGTACCATATGTCACAAATGCTCAATGCTAATCAACCATAAGCTGTGAGTCGCTCAAAAGTTACGAGGAGTAACCCATACCTGATAGAAGAAGATGTTTGTATGTATCCTAAACTCAATCAGATACCAGCCAAAATACATGAAGAGGGGTAGCCATCTGATATCCATACCAAAATGGCAATCCGTATACTATTGAAGTGGCTCCCTACCAGTCCATCAGAAACTATTAGCGACCTGGCGTAGTGAATACCACAATGAGGCGAACTCCAAATTATTGCCAATATCAATCACTGGAGCCACGAATCAAAGGCAATGAGATGCTACTTAAGGATCCTATGGGGAATGAAATAGGACCAACTAGACATACAATCAGACGATCCAATAATACACAACCATATGTTCAAGTGACTGAAAGGGACACTCTGGGAAACTAATGAACATTTCAAGGAAACTTTGCTTAAGTTTTATTTAGCCATCGCTAAGAGATGACCACAAAGAAGAGGATCTGATGGAACCGTTCTAGACATTAACATTGTAGAATCCTATCATAAACATTATATCCAGTCTCGACATCGCATGCCATTATAAACATTGTATCCAGTCTCGACATCGCATGCCATTATGAACATTGTATCCAGTCTCGACATCGCATGCCATTATGAACATTGTATCCAGTCTCGACATTGCATGCCATTATAAACATAGTTCAAGTATTGTTATTGCATGCAAGACATTAAAACTACAACAATTTTAAATGAATTCAATGTAAATGTTCGGATTTACAATTATAGTGATTCTTCGGGACGAAGAATCTAAGAGGGGAGTAATGTAGCATTTTTAGGAACTCAGAAAATTTACAAATTCATTTCATTCGATCTTTTACGTGTCATACTTTCTTACCTTCGACTGTTCAATTCATTAGTTCAATCATGTATTTGCATTATATTTCAGCATTCTTATATCATTTTATATTAATGTAATCTCTTACTATCTTCTCATTTTCAAGTGTAAACATAAAATGTTCACGTTTGTTTTTACCGGAAGTTTAGACTTTCTTAACTTCCGGGACGCATGCGCGGTGCGTCAATTGCCATTTGTGGCGTCTTGGACATGCGCAATGCACATAAGAGAGAGAACACTTTTTCGAGCGGGAAGTTGGAAAACTTTGAGCTCCGTAGAATTTGAGCTAGAATGTAACGACTGAACACGAATTATGTACTAGGGGGGTGGGAAAACGTATATAAAATGTAAATAGATGTATATAGAAAGTTAATTCAGTTTTGTTGGTGTTTTCTATGAGAAATAAGGATGGAAAAGGAAATATAGAAATCACCCGGGGATCTTCGATGAGACCAACACCCGGGGTTGATGCTTGAGCCAAACGACCAGATGCCGATGTCTTCACATAATATATTCTGTACAAGAATATTTAAAGACCCCGTGTGAATTTATTTCATATGATTATCCTGTGCAAGGATAGGCCTAATTGTCATTTCAATCAGTGTGTGAGGGAATATTCTGTACAAGAGTATTCAATATCCTGTCCAAGGATATTTGTCAATTAAAGGCCCTGTGGAAATTCGTATCCTGTCCAAGGATATTTGTCAAATCAATTAAAGGCCCTGTGTAAATTCGTATCCTGTCCAAGGATATTTGTCAAATCACTTAAAGGCCCTGTACTAATTTATATCCTGTCCAAGGATATTTGACAATTCAGTATTTAAAGGTCCCATGTAACACTTACGTATTTAAAGGCCTTGTCAAATTATTCAACAAGTGTATCAAAGATGCTTTGTAAAATTCAGCATCCTGTATTAGTGCTTCACTCAGCAGAGTAATGCTCTAGAAACTTGAAGCCACTGTTTCATAATATCGCATCTCCAGGGCCCAGTGTATGCGAGGTGTATTTCCAAGTCTTTGATGAACCAGGATTTGTATGATGATGTTAATTGATGAGATGACTAGCTGAGGGCACGGGTCTAACCAGGAATCCACTTTGATGTCTGTCTGTGACGAGGCGCCTGTCATGGACGTCATGCATTTTATGATGCCTGCATATGCTCGAGACCTATAACCTATGTGTATATCTCACATTACCACTTCAATAATTCCTCAGTGAGACAGAAGAGATACATTTGATGGACGTACAGCTCAATAAATAGCTGAAGATATACTTTCTTTTCATCCCACAATTATAATGTTACAACATACATAAAAGCTTCATGCCTCTTTATGAGGCTTAATTACATTTTACATAATCACAAATGTAACTATCAATGCAAACAAATCTACACGCTACCTTTATTACAATTAACTGCTTTACTTGCTATATGTGATTTCATATTCACATTGTTCTGAGCTTTACACACACTTAGGCACATTTTGCACTTTTATTCATAGAATTATTACACATTTAGTGTACTTATATCAGTAATCATTTATTTAACACATCACCCACAATGCATCACATCCGGCAACGCTATAATATGTTGTACTGTGTCATGTCCTTTTCACTTTTTGATACAGCCCCTGATAATCTTTAATGCGCTGTACTTTAACTTTCCCTGTGCATGTCAGTGCATAGTTTTCAGGTAAAACTCCAATTGATTAGCCTCTATCCACTTAACAATGCATAAAAGGCTTGTTTATGTCCCTAAACATGGTTGGAAAATGCTATAACATGTTTTTTATTTGTTTCGGTTCAAGTAGTATCTGCTATGTACACTTAAAATCACAAATTATGGCAATCAGCTTTAATGAGTCAGTAAAGCTTCACAAGGATAACATATACAAAATACTGAAAGATTAAAATGGCTGTTAAGATTAACAATTTTTGTAAAAATATCATTTTGAAAACTTCTGGAGGTTTAGAAAATACATGTTTTTCTCTGATGCTCTTTCAGTCATTCAAGAATAAACACTACATGTATGAAATGTATTGATAATATTTAAACTTTTCTGTCAAAACATAGTTAAAATTGTACAAATGTTGTTTAAATGAAGTCTTGAGACAAAAGCATAAACAAAACACTAGAAATCAGGAATTCCAAAATAGCCCTTCCAAATTGTTTTTGATTCATAATTATGAAATAAAATTTTAAAAATCAACTCAGAAATCATCAATTATCTTATTACAATATTAAAAAGCAATTGTTTCAAATATGCTACAAAATAATAATAAAATTCTGAAAAAGAGATGTCAGTTTCGCAATAAATGTCATCATTAAAGAAAAAAACTTTTTGGGAAACGTTACTATAAAACATGAAACAAAAATGTATACATTGATTTTGATAAATGTGAATATGACCACGAAACATTCATTCAAAATCAAAATCAATTGGATTTACCTTTCAGAAACTTGACCCAATTTTTATAATAACTTTTTACATTATTATCTATACAGATGTGCACTTATGAAATGTTAATGTGTTATTGTACTATAGATAATCAAACAGATACTAGGGTCTTCATTTTTAAGAACAAAGCAACAAGGATGCACTCAGGTCTATGGTTGCTAGGATGCAGATTAGATTAAAGACATCTTGAAACTGAACTAAGAAAGGAGTTTTCATTAACAAAGTTAAAATCTATTATTTTAGTTGAGAATTTTATCTTTACACTGGGATATTGTAAATAATAAAGCAAAAATAATCAAACATACATGGATTACTCCTCAGGTCTATGCATGTTTTTGTTTTTTAATTTAAACACATGGTTTGTTTTTTTTAATTCAAAACTTGGAGAAGGCCTGAATTAAAAGTGAGAATTTCTAGCTATTGAAACTATAATGAATCGAAATTCACAAATGATTTTATGTTTTCTAGGATCCTAAGCCAGAGGACGGTGGATCATACAAATGCACAGCTAAGAATAGTTTTGGGGAGAGTAATGCAAACATCGCTCTAAACTTCCAAGGTAATGTAAATATTTGTGTGTTACAAAACATATTCAGAACTTGATCATGTTATCTTACAACTTTTTGTCAATAAATTTTTGGTATTATGATTGACAGAGGTGCTTAATTATTTGAAATATGAGGAAAGCTGTTAATTTTGAAAGCGGGTAGGATATTATATATCTGCTTCTAGAAGGACTAGGCTATACTGTATTAGAAAATGCACCCACCAGAATCCGTTTTCATTAAACTACTATTTTAGATCTCAAAAAGGATGAGAAAAAAGATGAGAAAAAGGAAGCTAAAAAAGATGAGAAAAAAGATGAGAAAAAGGAAGCTAAAAAAGATGAGAAAAAGGAAGCTAAAAAAGATGAGAAAAAAGAGCCTAAAAAAGATGAGAAAAAAGAAGGTGAACGTTTGTTGGGAATGCTGTTGTTCAAATTTTTGTAGACCTGAGACTGTGTATATACCACCCTGACAGTGTTGTATTTTATGTTTTAAACCTTTGTAATATTGAATTAATCTGCGTCTTCCATAATTGCTTTTAGTCCAAGGTTTTCCAGTCCAAAAATTCAATTTTACATTGCTTACTATAGTACTAGCTATTGTAGAGACTTTGCAGGCTGTGTGGCATTAATAAATACATGTATATATTTCTATACTATATATATATCTTTTTCTATCCGTTTTCTTATTTTAGGTGCACTTTTTAAATTAGGATATTATTTTCTTTTGTTATTTACAAAGATAGATAGATGTGGTAGATGGAATCCCGCATGATATTTGTATATATTTACGAAGCACATACAAAGAGAAACCCAACCAATGGCTTTTAAGTGTCTTTCAAAATAAATGTTGTTAACCTGTAAATTTTCCATGGGGAGCAGAAAAGATTTTAATTTTTTTTTGTTAAATGAATCCATAAAAGAAGACTCATAGAACTGAATAACGGGGTCACTGAATTGATGGGAGCGTACACTGGGAACTAGAAGTAAATGAATTCACTTCATGTGTCTTGTTCCAAGTGTGCACTTCAATCACTTTAAATAATCGAGGTTCGTTTTTAGTATGATCATAACTTACGATTCCAAGAACACCATTTTCTACTGTTCGGCGAACAATGACACCCAACCAAATCATAAGTTATGATTGTTCCAAAAACAGACCTCTGGGTAGTAAGCCAAGACACTTTTTCATAGACAGAGGTTTCTCTTTTATCATTTCCCTGTTGTTCATTATGTATATTATTTACCCCAGTTTGGTGCACAGCCTCAAGAAATACTCCAAAATCTAGGCTACCTCTGTTTATAACTTGGCAAATTAGCCATGTTTATTGGGACTGTGTAGCGAACAATAAATTATATAACATTAGCCTTGCATCAAGTTCTTGCACAGGTCGAGGGATGAGGGTATATAATGTTCGGGCCTCGGGAGGGTGACAAATACTTGATGCAAGCCTATTATAACATCTCTAGTCTATATGGATTTCAGGGCTTATACAACTTCCTCTTTATTTTTATATTTCATTTCATTTTATCTTATATAATTTTCTATTTTAGAACAGGAGTATTCTATTGCTGGGGTACATCATTGTGTCTTCTCAATTCTGGTTAATTGGGAAAATGAATTGATAAGTGGAACAAAATCTATGATACAGTTTTTTGTTGAATTGAGTAAAATCTTAGTGTGAAATACCTCATTAAATTAATTTTGAAGCTTTAAATAAAAGTTCACGCCAGTGAACCTTAGCACCAACAGATATGATTTATCTTTTGTTTCATTCTATTATACTGGTGGTGAATATAAAATGTTTTAGGCCAACCTTAATTTGAGTACAACTCAGCTGTTTTATATTTAGACACAATGTTGTATATGAGCATTAGACTACCCTGCCCTCTTTATATACTCTTTAGCACTTATACTTTCTGTTGTCTCAACTCTGTTGAGATTCATGAATACATGTAAATATATTTTTTGAATTTTAATTTATGTTTTTTGGAACTCTGTTTTCTGTATACCTCATCCTTAACCTTAGTTATCTTTATTTTTAGTTTAGATTATATTCAGTTATATTCATCATTCTTTCACTTTCTGTTTATTGTTGAACCTTCTGTCTACCTAAGATTTATCTTAAAATGTAGCTCTTGATTCCTGCTCTACCTCTAGCTTATGACTAATTATTCCATGCAAACCCCTTTGCTTCTACATGCTTAACTTCCTATTACAGTGGACAATGCTACCAAAAATGGTAAAGCCAGCTTGGAGGCCCAAGATGAAGTTTCTGACGAGGATGATGGTACGGTAGATTTGACCCATAGTGGGTTACCAATTCGTGCTGAGCCGCTAGATTTTTCTCACAATCACGATGACGATATTATCGACGATGGTAACTGTGTACATGCCAGAACAGACTACCCAATCAACCTAATCTGTTCACGAAATATTGCAGATTTTCTAAGGCTAAAATTTGGGTTTTGAATTTTGAAAACTAATTTTAGTCTTAGATTATGTTTCCAAAGTTTTGACTTTGGTTTTTGCAAAATTATAATCAGTTTTAGGATAATTACAATTGATTTTAAGATAATCATTATCATCTGCCTTATTTCATGATGTATTTAGGAGTTGGGTAGACATTTACAAGAACCTTGCATCATTTTTATGTCACCACCAAAAGTGGTGACATATTGTTATGGTCTCCGTTTTTTTTGCGACGGCGGTTGGTGGTTGGCGTCCGGCGTCCGGCGGTTGGAGGTTGGCGTCCGGCGTCTGTAACAATTTCTTACAACTTCCTATAACTTAACAAATACTGTTTAGACTGACTTCAATTTTTTTCTAAATCATCTACATGTTCTCAGAAGTTCAAATCTGACTTTAGATTTGACATTTGACCTTCAATGACCTTCTCAAGGTCAAAAAGGTCTTTTTTCAACTTGCTTCACATTGACTAAATTTTTTTTCAAAATCATCTACATGTTCTCAGAAATTCAAATCTGACTTTAGATTTGACTTTAGATTTGACATTTGACCTTCAAATCTGACTTTAGATTTGACATTTGACCTTCAATGACCTTCTCAAGGTCAAAAAAGGTAAAAAAGGTCTGTTTTCAACTTGCTTCAAATTGACTAAATTTTTTTTTCAAAATCATCTACATGTTCTCAGAAATTCAAATCTGACTTTAGATTTGACATTTGACCTTCAATGACCTTCTCAAGGTCAAAAAAGGTCAAAAAGGTCTGTTTTCAACTTGCTTCAAATTGACTAAAAAAAAATTTAAAAATCATCTACGTGTTCTCAGAAATTCAAATCTGACTTTAGATTTGACTTAAGATTTGACATTTGACCTTCTCAAAGTCAAAAAAGGTCAAAAAGGTCTTTTTTCAACTTGCTTCAAATTGACTAAATTTTTTTTCAAAATCATCTACATGTTCTCAGAAATTCAAATCTGACTTTAGATTTGACATTTGACCTTCAATGACCTTCTCAATGTCAAAAAAGGTCTTTTTTCATCTTGCTTCAAATATGACTTTAGATTTGTCATTTGACCTTCAATGTCCTTCTCAAGGTCAAAAAAGGTCAAAAAGGTCTTTTTTCAACTTGCTTCAAATTGACTAATTTTTTTTTCAAAATCATCTACATGTTCTCAGAAATTCAAATCTGACTTTAGATTTGACATTTGACCTTTAATGACCTTCTCAAGGTCAAAAAAGGTCAAAAAGGTCTGTTTTCAACTTGCTTCAAATTGACCAACTTTTTTTTTCAAAATCATCTACATCTTTTCAGAAGTTCAAATTTGACTTTTACAAGTTCTCAGAAGTTCAAATCTGACTTAAGATTTGACCTTTGACCTTCAATGACCTTCTCAAGGTCAAAAAGGTGTTTTTTCAACTTGCTTCAAATTGACTAATTTTTTTTTCAAAATCATCTACATGTTCTCAGAAGTTCAAATCTGACTTTAGATTTGTCATTTGACCTTCAATGACCTTTTCAAGGTCAAAAAGGTCTTTTTTCAACTTGCTTCAAATTTACTTATTTTTTTTTTCAAAATCATCTACATGTTCTCAGAAGTTCAAATCTGACTTTACATTTGACATTTGACCTTCAATGACCTTCTCAATGTCAAAAAAAGTCAAAGAGGTATTTTTTCAACTTGCCTCAAATTGACGAATTTTCTAAGAAGTTCAAATCAAACCTTCTTAAGGTCAAAAGGTATTTTCCAACTTGCTTTAAATTGACCAAATTGTTTTAGGTGGTGACATTTTGTCATGTTAATGCCTTGTTACAGGATATATTGGGGTGCAGAAAATATTTTTCCATTTTTTTGTTTAATTTCTTTAATCATTTCATCATGTTTATTCGTTGTAATGACTAACTTTTTCTGCAATAATCACAAGTTACACTATATGCATTCACACAAAATTAAATTTTCAAGTAATTATTCTTTGAATAAGAACTTTTGAATATGTTTATTATATACTTTGGGAGTTTTTATTGTACCTTATTTTCACCATATAAACTTATATTACTCATTCAATTAGATTTTATATATATACTTTTTTATTTTAATTTAATTTTTCTGTACTTCAATATATTCTCTTTGCAAGATTCGCGTTTGACAGTTTCAAGGAGTTTGTTTTCTTAATTGTTCTTTTTGTTATGGTCTTCAAAGGGAGACATCTATTCTCTACTCTTCGAAACCAGACAAAATTGAGCGATTGAAAACATGTAATACAAGGTCAATGTTCCCATGGTCATCTACTAGCACTTTCCAATGGTATATTTAATATGAAACTCATTTGAAATTATGGTTACTAGTTTAGGATTATTACAAGGTAAAGGTCCAAAAAAATCTCAAATGATCTTATAGTGAGCAATTAGATTTCAATTTATAAACCTTTTTTCATTTAAGTTTGAAATAACACTCTAAGAACTTAGTATTCATGAAAGATAGAGGGGTAGTCCAACAAAAGAAATATACATCCAAAGATTTGAGAACATTATAATTATATGCTAGACAGATACAGATGAACATAGCAGCATTGCATCTTACTTGACACTCCTTGCACAAAAGGGCAACTGTACATTGTCACCAAGCGTTTATATGCTTTGACACTATGTACACACTATACTCTTTATCACATTTTTACTGGGTTTATTTGACACTTTTTCTATTGTAGAAAAAAGGAATGCAGTTGATACAATGGAAGGAAACTCTCCCATGATAAATGTCCCCATCCTATCAAATATTAAATGTTTGGTTGGTTAAAATGGAACATTGCATTATGGGAGTTTCCCTCTGTTGGAAATGCCAAATAGATCAAATAGGTTTTTGATTTTTGACCCTATTTGAATCTGATTTGGTGTGATTTATTTTCTGTATGTAATAATTATGAAACTGATTTGTGAAATGTTTCATTAATTATTATTATATAACTTTAAACATCATTGTTATGTATATCAGGACGTGGACCATTTCATACCAATTTGCTCTCATGTGATATTCTTCCGTTCTTTTATTCCATGAAAGCCTGATATATTTCTCAATGATGTGGATTATCATAAGGACATCTAAGCATTATTTCATTTAGTGCATTCCCTCTCCCCACTGCAGATACCTGGCCCAGGTTGCCTCTAAATCAAAAAGGGAAAAGATACACTTATCATCTTCATTTGCTTGACTCTATTTGGTCATCTGAATGCAGTAAAGACCAGACCTGTGAGATTTGAGGTTAAGAGTGCAACAAATTGTAAAAACTACAAATGGAGCATTTGGAATTACCAGGAAAACAGGTGTCTGCAGAGATAAGGAAGAGAGAATGATCACACTTAATGAAGCTAGGAGATTGATATTTAATACTTAAATAGTAATATCATTATATCATATATGTTTTTGTGGATATGCATGGAGTGAAGCCTGCATAGATAGCTCTTAAAGGAAAAAGAGATATGTTTTTGAATTTATGAATTAGGTGTGTGTTTCAGTTTATTTGTGGATGTGATGATTTTTATTTAAATGCTCCAATTAAGAAATGTTTTTCATTTCATTGATTGGGGTAACAATGCAACGAATGCATATCTATTATTGCAGATTTTATATTTGACACATGTTTCAAATGATACATTTGAAATATTGCTATTTCAAAAATGTTAAACATTGCACAGAAGAGAATTTGGGAAAATGAACAGAATTTAGGAAAATCTAGAAAAGTTGGATAATATAGAAAAGGATCAGCAAGCATTTGAACACTGCACATAAATTTCTTATGTATTTATAATCACTTGTAGGCCCCACAAGTATGAGCGTGGATTGTATTGAATCGTTTCATGTGCTTCAAAATTCTTTTTATGCTGATTAAATGAAATGAATAATTGAAAATATTACATCTTAAGTTATTGAAGAGATCATGCTAGCCTAAAAGCTATTAGTTAAGACACTGTAATATATTTCCAATTTTTGGGGTTAAAATATGCGTCACAATTTGTTTCAGTAAGAAGTTAAACATGTCAAGTGAGACCACACTCAAAGCACTGAAACAATTCAATATATTTAACATGTATTGACAACCTATTTGGTTTCTTAATGCAGTCACGCAAAAGCCTGGGGGTTCCGCACCAACTTTCACGACAGATCCAGTCATTTCTCAAGACAGAACAGGCAAGAATGTTACCATAGAAGCGAAACTTACTGCAACTCCAAAGCCAACAGTCATCTGGTTCAAGGACGGCACCCAGATAAAAGATTCTAAAAACATAAAGATTAAGACTTTTCCTCAAGGAAAGGGAGCATATCTTTCGGCCATGGAGATCACTGTAATTGATTTTCATTTCTTTTAATTTAATCGAGATTTAAAGAACTCCTTGCACTTTTTGCTATTTTAAATAGTTATAGACCTCTAATAAACCCTTCCACCCTATGGTACATCAGTGAAGCTATGATATATTGGCTAGATTGAAGATGTCATAGGTTGTACATGTACTTTCACAAAAGCAATAAGTTAATACTATTTTTTCTTGGACAACCAATAACATCATCAATCTAGCCAATATGTCATAGCTTCTTTAATGTACCAAAATGTGGCATGGTTTATTTGGAAAGATCTATTTATTAATATTTCTTCATGAACAATTCTCTCAAGCTTTTAGGATGAGAATTACAGCTATTAGCCATTTCGTATTTGTAAATTGTTCTCCACGAATCTAATAAAATGGTTGAGTATTGCTGGTATGTGATACTTTGACATACATATACAGAGCGTATAAAAAAAACGCAACAAATAGTTACCTCGTAAAATCACATAACTAGTGATGACTACATCAATTTCATTCAATGTACCATAAAGCCACGTCTCTCCTCTTTGCAATGATATGTCATTCATTCACATGTGGTAATGGTTGGGTGAGAAATCCTTCCATTTGCACAGTGGGTCAAAATCGGCTCTGGACCAAGTTTTAGATATTGCAAAAATCAGTGCAAGGGCTAAGTGCCAATGGAAGTTCCCCTGACTTGAATTGTTGTGACTTTTTCTTTTGGAGCTATCTCAGGAGCATCTGTGCTACAATTCCTCCACCATATATTGCAAAACCTCGAGAAAGAATTGCCCATGGGCTGCTTTTCTTTGCTTTTACCCACAGATGACTCAGGGCTGAACCATGCATGACGTAGACAGATGAGCGCAGCTTTATGTGCAAGGAAGTGGTGGCAATTTGGAGGGGTATAGGATGTATTTTTGCAAGAGTATGAGTATGAACACTTTACTGTCTATGTCACACCTGTCACAACTTCTTCCAGTAGCCTGTATGCCCCTTGTACTGACTTTTGCAATGTTTAAAACTTGGGTCCGAGCTGAATTTTACCCCACTTTACAAAATTAATGATTATTCGGCCAGCCATGATTCCCTGTGAATGAATGATATTCCATTTGAAAGAGGAGTAATTTGGCTTTTTGGTACATTGAATGAAAAGGATGCAGTCAGCATTGGTTTTTATGTTTTCTTCCAATATTGCATCGGGCTCCGTACACTGACTTTTGTGATGTTATAACTTGGAATGATTACTCGCCCAACCATGACCAAATATCAATGAATGATATATCATTGTAAAGGGGAGACACATGGCTTTATGGTGCATTGAATGAAATCAATGCTGTTATCATTGGTTTTGTGCTTTTCCGAGATAACAATCTGTTTTTTTGATACGCACTGTACATGTAGTGATTGTATTTAGCTTAAATGTGATGGAACATTACAACATGATATACCATTGGCAAGGTTGTCTCACACACAAATTTTACATTTTAGGGTGTCAAGAAAGTAGATGGCGGTGAATACAAACTGGTTGCCAAGAATGCCAATGGTGAAGCTGCAGCAGAGATTGAACTTGACCTTGATGTGTAAGTAGATCATGATACATGGAGGTTGAACATGATACATGGATGTAGGTCATGGACTCATGATACATGGAGAAAAATCATGATACATGAAGGTAGGTCATGATACATGGATTGGATGTAGGTCATGATACATTGATGTAGGTCATGATACATGGAGATAGATCATGCTACATGAAGGTAGGTCATGAAACATATGATACATGGCCACACATTTCCTTTATATATAGAAGCAAGCGTTGTCATGAGCTTTTATTTCTCAAAAGTATAATTGTTATACCTCATTTCAAGTAAATACTGTACTCAAAATTGAACAAATGGCAATAAAAACAACTACATAACCTTTTTCTAATTGATCTCATTTCCAGTTTGGGGGATCCACAGTCCATACTGAAGGAGCCTAAGATTATCTTCAAGGGAGTGCCAAATATCAGGGCAGAGGCCAACAACACTAGGATTATCATAGAAGTTAAGGCTCAGAGTAAAACGAAACCTAAAATTGAGTGGGAGTTCAATAAAGCAAAAATTCAAGATGGTGGACGGTATTTTGTTGATGTAGCCAGGGAACGCAGTGATTGGCTACTTATTTTGGAGATTGACAATGTAAGCATCTTACAAACTTAGGGAGTCATCAACGTTTTGCACTTTATTCTATTTGAAATCCATTTTATGAATTACTGGACCAAAAAGATGGAAAACAGGAACACAAAAATCATATTTTTTATTTGTTAAAATTTATTTATGTGTTCATACCCTCTTTCGAATGATGACCAGTGCTGAATATCTTTCTTTTACATTGCCAATGGATTTCAATTGGAATAGGTTTACAAATGTCAAAAAGGGAAAATAATAAGAAAACATATGTAGAGTTTTTTTATTTACGTTTTTATTTTTCCTCCTGGTGAGAAATAAAAATAAACAACAGAACAAGAATAAAGTATAAGATGAAATCATAATATTGACCATAATAATGATGACCATCACCTATTCACCAATTATAAAACAACTTGAAACATTTACATCATGCGCAATATTCATTTTGTTGATAAGAGGAAAAACTAACTGTGTGTTACCTTCTGACAGGTGAGCAATAAGGATGAGGGGACCTATAAGGTGAATGCCAAGAACACAACTGGCAAAAAGTGGACTGAGGTGATAGTTGATGTCGCAGGTAAGTCATTTATTTATTAATTAAATTATTGCAATTTATTTATTTCCAAACATTTTAGTTGCTTCAAGATTGAGATTAGGTGCAGTTGAACTGTAAGAGTCGACTGTAAAAACGACTATAATATCACCATGTACATGTATAGTCTTACATAATGTTTCAGCCCCTCCACCTATCATACTTCACTCGTCACGTGAGGATATAACGAGGACTTGACGTGAGACTACATGATGCATGTTAAATATTTTAGTAGTTTGTGACTTTCTATTTTGCATTCCAGCTTTAACTCCAAAAGTTGAAGAGAAAAAAATCGCATCTCCTGAAATCGTAAAGAAACTAGAACCACAGGTAGGTTACTTAGATTGACAATAGGTGGCGCGTTTAAATGAAACTCTGACTTAGAACAAGAATCAATCATGGAAACCATGAAGAAAGTTCGTTTTTCAATTATATAAGTTAAGTCAAGTCAAGATAATATCACTTGCACGAAGCTCTAATTAGTGATACATTCATTTCAAACATGGCGGTCATTCACATGTCTGAGATCCCTTATAAATAAACTATGCAAGGTACAATGTACATATTAAGTCAAAAGGAAATTTGCTAACATGCAAGTATGGTGGAAATTTTGCGTGCATGTAGAGAAAGTGGACCCCATATGCTACTGCATCTACTGCAATCACTAAATTAATGTAAAGAAGATTTTCAACAAATTTGCATGTAGAGTAAACCTTATATGTCCCATGATTGCTTACATGGCACCTCTACCCAGAAATATTACGATGGAGGTTATGATGAACAAGAAGACAACAGTTCACAAAATCAAAAGAGAACTGACAGCGTTCTTGACCATTCTTTGACACTATATTTTCACTATGGATATGGTTAAGTAGGATCTTTAAAATGAGACAGGTCTCAACATCAACAGGATATCATTTGAAATCAAAGTAAAGTCAAGTGGCCATGGACTGAAGCGTAGCTTCAAAGAACTAACATGTTTTGAACTGTATTTTCATCATTAATAATGACAGAACAGACATAGTTTTTGATGTTCTTTCGATCTAGGTAGGTGAAAACATTCACAAACTAGTCAATCTATCTGAAAAAATGAGCAATTTCTTTGTTTGCAAAAATGCCTCAATTCAATTCAAGTATAAACCTGATTGGGAAAGGGCATTTTCGTGGTAACTCTATGATCAACTTGAACCAGTACAGGCCGCAAGATCTAAAAAACAATGTCAGCAGAATCCTGGGAGCACAGAAGCAGATTGTTGTTACACGATCATTGTTGTTCAACTAAGTGCCAACATAAAGTATACAGAAGAAAAAGAGAATTAAATGTGCCAAAATAAAGCATGTGTACCTGATGTGCCAAAATAAAGAGTTACACCATAATAGTTTGGATAGAGACTGTAAGTAGTTATTTTAATGACCCTTTTCACCTTTAATGTGTTGGTGAGCTCATAATATGTTGGGCCAGTCCATTTTACTACGAACCAGTTAGATTTGTTAAAATGGTGGACATGAGGCGCCTATTCCAGATATTTAGTGCGCAATTGAGATTTGAAAATTTTGAAAATTAAAATTTTTCTGATTTGTTTGAAATTAGTACATGGGAATATACAATATCTTGGGAGGTAGAATTTAAAAAATCAGCAATTGATCGTAACTTTATTGAATTTAACAAATGGTTGAAGTAAGGCACCCTTTATTTGAATAAGTCAATTGTACCTTTCTAGGTTTTATTTGGAATTAGGGCACTGTTTCGCAATTAAGGATATAGCGAATCAGATAATATACCAATTTTTTTATTTTTCATGGTTTTCCAATAACTTTACACATGAATATTTTTTCTCAATGCCTTTTATATTTTTAAACCAAACATTTGTTTTCATGAAAAATAAAATGAAAATTTTCCCCTTTGGAACTAACAAAAAAATTCAAAATCTTTGATTACCCCTTAGTTTATAACAAAGACTGGAAATCACATGTTATACATTTATTCAAATGTAATCTGATGGAACTTCTTGTTAGATAGAGATTCTTTCGTACTGCATACAAATTCACGGTTAAGTCCAAGTTGTCCCATATTCAGCATCAGTTTCATCATGGTTCATTATCTTGCCGACATACCAAAATGAGATTTATTTTTTGACTTGCTGTTATGGAGATAATGGCCTGCGACTCAATTGCACGCTTACATCTGGAATGAGCGAATGATCTAGTCACCTTTACTACGGATCACTACATAAAGGGATTTTCATAGTCCGTTGGTCCACCCTGCAAAAAGCTGTTAAGCCACACCCTGTACCTTGAAAAGTGTACCACTTCTAGAGGTGTTCCACTTACAGAGGTGTTCCACTTTACTAGTTTAACTATCTTTTTTATCATTTACAGACTGTGATGGATGGAGACCCTGTCGACTTTGTTTGTAACATAATTGGAGATGACCTTGATATTATATGGACCAAAAACGGCAAAGAAATCAAATCTGGGGGTGATATCAAAATCTCTCGGAATGATACAACTAAAGAATGCCGCTTGCACATAGTTGAAGTAAGTTTTTATGAGTGAATTCATCTTACATCAGAATAATCTCTCTAACTACGGGTATGAAAATTGATCTGAGGAAAATCTTAAAAGAATTTTTTTTTAATTATTTTAAAATCTTATTTATTTGTAAGAGAAATAGTAAGGACCTTTCAAAATACACCTTTAAGTCACTAATTTACCTGGCTCAGATATGAGTGGATGTGAATATATAAAATGAATTTTTTATATAATTTATGCTCATAACATGGAGTGTACTGTAGGTATTCCCAGAGGATGCTGGTATGTACAAGTGTGAGGCCTGGAATGACTCGGGGGATGCCCAAACTAGCGCTAACCTCAATGTCAAAGGTAAGCCAGATCAGCCATATATATTTAAAAAAGATCACATGAACTTAAAATTGTTTCAGTAATTAATTCTGCAGAAACTCTATTTGATATTGCGTCTAAATATCTGTTTTTTACAAATTATATAAATTTCATCAACATCAAAAAGTAAATCCAATAATTTTTCATTATCAACTTATTTAGTTCAGAAAAAGCCTGAGAAGAAACCAGTCGGTAAATAAGTGTGATTCTCCAGCTTTTCCACCTTGTGTTCAATTTTATATTACAGTGTGGTTCAAATGATATATATCCACATATATTCCACTTCAATTTGCATGTGCATGAGTCACGGGTGAAATTAACTTCTAATAATTATGTCTCAACTCTACAGGATTTTTTACTCCATCAGATTTCAATGAATGCCCCCCCCCTCCATAACTATATACTGCAATCACCATTAACTTGCTGTATGATTTTCTCAAAAGTGTGCTCAAGTGCTCAAAACCCTTTGAAGAGTGCCTGATTGTCCCACTGAATGATGTTTGAGTAGGGATAGAGGATCTATTTTTCCCCCCGTTCATCAGTCCATACCTCTGTCTGTCCATCAGTTCTTCTATTTGGGTGATAACTCAAATACTGGTTTTCTTATTTCTATCATATAATGTACACAGTGATCAGTGATTTGATAAAATGTGGTTCTTCCAATGGGATTTGTTCAGTGGGATTTGCTCAAGGTATCATGTAACTTTTTAAGGCTATATTCTCATATTACAATTGCACTTTTTATCTCAACGTAAAATATTTTCTATGGCTACATTCAAATTTTGTATGAATCCTTTCACATATTTTGTCCCACTCCCTTTCACATATTTTGTCTGACTCTCCATTCCTCAAATTCCACACATTGCTCATATTTGACAGATTTGAATATAATTGTTTTGAACTTAATTAATGCAAGACAATCTCTCATTAACTCAACTAAAAGATATTCATATAATATTCTCCATTCAATTGATAACTGCAGCTTATCTCCCATACATTAACAACACATGTTTGTGAATAGTTCATTGATTAAAGGAGCATGTTAAACATTTGGGGAGGGGGGTCATTTTGAGATGTGTTTGTTTACCAAATTGTATGAAACTGAGAGAATTTACTTACAGTCATTGACATTTGATTTAATTTGTGTGTGTAAACAGATATACTTTAACGGTGGTATGTAAGTTATTTAAGTTAATAAGTCTTTTAATTCTGAAGTTCATTTGGCCAAGTTCCCAGCTGGGAATGCTTTTATCGTTATGATTGAGAATTTGACTTTTTTGATTTTTTATAATTTAATGTAATAATAGGCTAGATAAGTTAATTGAAAAGAAACTTCTATTTTAGTACAAGTTATTTCAACCCTAAATATATTTATGAGTAGGTTTAAAATGATTAATAAATACATATTTTTACTTAAATTTACACTATAGGATTCATTTTATTCTGATTTTTCTAAGTATTCCCTTTGGAATAAAATAGAATTGATATAAGATGCATAAAAAAATTGTATTTGATTTCCAGAGGAGGAAATTACTCCTAAAAAAGATTCCGTTGATCAGGTAAGTCAGCACTCATTATATTGCAAATACAGATTGTGTACATGTGAACATTTAAATTGTACTAAAAATAATTTTGTAACATTTCTTATCTTTTGGTATTATTTGGTTTTAATGTATTTTGATTAAGTCCAAATATGAAACTAATTTAATTACGAATATGTATTCAACAGAAATATTTTGAGACTTGTTTTTTTGTTTTTCAGTCAGCTCCTATCCCAGATATAGAGATAACTGAAGGTAGGTCATTTTAGAATCCATTAATTAATTAATTATTAACAGTTTTACAGCGTTCTTTTTACTTGTAGATTATTTAGGTAACATGACACAGTGGAGGAGCAAATACAGCTGTGGACCTCTCAGGAGTTTTTTCTAGGTTTTGTAGGTTTTAGGAGGTTTAAGACAATTTGGATCTCAGCAGCTGATTTGTGAGGTAATCGTGAATTCAGTTTTGTTGGTTATATTTCACCCACTGTTGTTAACATTATTTCACAAGTTCACCCCCTTTTGTGATAAGACATCACAGTGTTTTGCGCTGATTACAATTATGCTGAACCAAGTACTTGTCAATTTCACTGTCTTTTGATATCTTGGCCGAATGCTCTAAAATGAAGATGTAATGAAAATTGTCAATAGATTCAACTGGTTGTCCTACTGAATGTAATAATAATTATTTTTGGACAAGAATTTTTAAGACAGCGATTTTGATCTTCCTACCTTTTTTACCACTGTTTGCTCCCTTAATATTCTGTTTGTTAATTTTGTACCTTTGGAATCATAGTCTAGCATTAAGCCCCTGTGTCGGGCCCTCAATTTAAAAAACAAATCTAGAGAAAATATATATTTGCGTTGGGGAGGGGCAGGGGCTGATGCAAGGCTAAGATAATTCATCCTCATAACAAAAAATCATAGTTATTTTCTGATGAATATTATCCAGTATTGTTACCATTAAACATTTGTACATGTATTTAAAATGGAAATACAAAACTACATTTCTTGTGTTTTCATATTTCCATTTTAAACTGTTTTTGAAATTCCAGTTGATGGATTATATTTAGAAAAACACATAAAACATATGTACAGTATTTGTTGATAGCATGCAACTATTTTGTGGAATTCAGAAGTTTAAATGATAGATGTGCTAGATTTGATTTCCATAGAACTTCGAGGTAACATTCTTAAATAGAAGGAGTTGGAAAGGGATGGTGGTGGGTAAAAAAATTCTTAATTTTTTGGTTTCGCTTGTTTATTTGATATTGAAATAGAAACATATATAAAAAATACAAATGATGCTAAATTATGACATTATTGAAATTTTCCATCAGTTACTGAAAGTACAAGGAAGTCAAATCCTTTGCTAAAAAGAGTTTCTTTGTTGCTTCTTTAAATAATTTCAAATGCAATCTATTGGTGTTGGCTTTATTAACTGTATACTGTGTTTTACTGTACTGTACCTTATTGTACTGTACTGTACTGTACTGTACTGTACTGTACTGTACTGTACTGTACTGTACTGTACTGTACTGAGTGTAACGTATTGTACTTTACTTTACTGTACTGTACTGTACTGTACTGTACTTTACTGTTCTGTTGTTCTATACTTGTTGCTGTTTAATGCTATTGCTATAAGTATAATGCATTACATCTTTTCAAAATATCATTGAAAATTGAAGTCAATAGGTTTTATAATCATATATTATGATATAAATTTCGTGTTTTCAAAAGTTTGAAATATGTGACCTCTTTCCTCAAAAGAAATCATGTATTCTTACTGATGAAGATAGAATCATTCTTAAATATGAAAATGTAGTTGCACATTATTGTAAAAAAGATGGAATGCTTTATATGTACATATGTGTGTGTTCTGATAATTGCCTACAGAAGAACGCCGCTTAGAACTTATGCGTCGGGTCGCACCTGATCAGTTATCCTCTGATGAAGAAGAACCCCCATCATCTAGAGGGCGCTTTAATAAAAATCGTGACGCGCGCAAGAATCGTCCCCCTAGTACAATCATGGAAGAAGGTATAGTAATGAGTATTCCTAGAAACACATCATCTGTATGTTGACTAAAGGAAAAATCGTTAGTGGTACTTTTGAAAAAAACATTAATATTTGATTGATTTAGTTCAACAGACAGATATAACTGGGTTATGACCTTACAGCATATGAAAGTAAAACAGATTAGACTCTACTGATGTATCTAACATGACATAACATATAACAATTAATACAGTCCATTGCCTTTGCATGTGTAACATTTTCATGTACATGTACAGTAAAACCTGTTGATATATTATAGTGAATACTTATTGGACTAAAGTATTCACATAAGGAGGTGTTCACTTGTTCACAAGTGGGATATTGAAATCCTTTGGGGACAAATGGGATATCCAAAAATGGAAACAAAAAACTGGCATCATCATGGGAGAGGTATTCACAAAAAACAGACAGGTTTTATTGTAGTGTTATTAATTGTCCACACCCAAAAAGTTCCAATGAGCTTTTATTCCTCATTCACATTGATATTATAATGAAAAAAAAAGAATTTTGTTACTTTGGAGTAGTTTTCCCTATTTTCCCACCAAATGCCAACAGGAAATAGTTGATCCCTCTGTAATATGGTCATCCATTTTTAGACTCCAGATGTAATTATTATATTATAATCTTCCTTTGTTGTGAATTCAATCCTAGGTATTGTTAAAAGCAGGCCATGTGCATTCCTTATGAGTGTCTTGAATTGTCATCCCAAATGTTGCTATACATGTACCGTACTTGGATCATCTGTCCCTGTGTTGCCATGTAGATATCCTCCAATTTCCCCCACCCTAGTTGCCCATCCCTCATAGGGATCTTCCACTATGTGTGTAACTGTGTATAATGGAACCTTTGTCAATGTTTTGTACTCATATTTGCATGTTTGTATGAGCTTTTGTATGCTTATTATGGCTTATTGCTTGTATCTAAGTATCTTTAGAACATACCTATTGTATATATGCTTAGTATTGCTTACCTATCTGTATGTCTTTTGCTATAGCTTTTATGGCATTGGTTCCTAAGTCTGGAAATTCAATGTGATGTTAAAATTAACTCGCCATGTTGTACTGTAGGGTAGCTCATCACTAAATGTTTGCATAGCTCAATTAACAATTCTGATTCAAGCTCATCTGTAGCTCATGGATGTATACTAGCTCTTAGAATAATCAATGTTTAGCACACATTAATCACAGAATGTTCATAGCTTTTCTTAACAATAGTCTATGAATGTCTAGCTCATCTTTAATCTGTGTTCAAGCTCACTTTGGTCAAAAACTTTGTTTACATTTAAATCACCCTAGATGGCTAGGTTTAGCTCACACAAATAACTATGTTTAGCTGCTTAAATTGAGTGTTGTTGTTTAAATTACTTAAATAATCAATGTTTTCCTCTCTTCCAATGGTTTAACACCCAAAATATTCAAAGTAGTGTGTTGCTTAATTTTCACAAAATATATATGTTCAGTACACCTTACCCGTAAAATGTTTCAGCAATTACAGTTGAACCTGTGTGAGTAGAACACTTTGGCACCTCTAAAAGGTATCAACTTAGAAGGTGTCTCTTAAACGGAGATGTTTAACTCGACAGATTTTACTGTTAGAGTATGAGACTAAATTGTGTGATATGCTGTTCATATTCCTCTGTTGTCTACCTAAGTCCTGTCAAGTATAAAGAAAGGACTAGGGACTGTTTGCTTATCTCTACCTACTCCCCTGTTCTTATACTCCCCTCCATAAGTTTGGCAACCTTCAGAAATCCCAATTAGATAGCATTCTAAATCCTGTTTATGTTGCAGTTTTAAACAAATAATGAATTAGTTTGAATTGCTTAACATTAAGAGGCTTTATAATGTGGTTGAAAAGGGAATTTCCTGTTGCTAAACTTTTAGGGGGAGTGTAATTCATGTCCCTAAATTGTGAAGTGTATGCAGGAGTTGCTTTGGCATGGCTAATTTTCTCTCTTCCTCTACCCTATTAAGACTTCTACACCAGTCAGAATGATGGAAGCTACGATGGGGATGATTCTGCCCGATCTAGCGATGCACCAAGAGACGAGTCACCAATTGAAGGTATTATAACATCACAGAATATTATGATATCACTTGTAACAAAAATTAAATAAACTTGAAATGTTTTCCATGATTCTTTCCTTAAACAATTTTAATATCTATCTCAGAGTTTGTGTTTTAATATTATTCGGGGAAAGAAAGGTATTCGTCAACAGAAATATTAAGAAATCTTTTTTATTAGATGTGATTGCACTCACTTTAACCTTATTGTAAATCACCTCTACTAAGGCATGTTAAATTGATCACACCAGCAATACCAAAACACTTCAATGGAGCATATATTTGGGTTCAAAATATATTTAATATTCACTCTCAAATAAAGTCTGAAATGTACATGTATCTATTTGAAATATTTTTATTCAAATATGAATGCCTTGTTTAAAACTGTCTAGAATTACAAATAAAGGCAATTTTGCAGATATAGATTAAGAGAGTTGTATTATTTACTGGAATTATTGTTTGGTTTTATTATGTCACCACCAAAAGTGGTGACATATTGTTATGGTCTCCGTTTTTTTTGCGACGGCGGTTGGCGTCCGGCGTCTGGCGTCCGGCGTCTGTAACAATTTCTTACAACTTCCTATAACTTAACAAATACTGTTTAGACTGACTTCAATTTTTTTCTAAATCATCTACATGTTCTAAGAAGTTCAAATCTGACTTTAGATTTGACATTTGACCTTCAATGACCTTCTCAAGGTCAAAAAGGTCTTTTTTCAACTTGCTTCACATTGACTAAATTTTTTTTCAAAATCATCTACATGTTCTCAGAAATTCAAATCTGACTTTAGATTTGACATTTGACCTTCAAATCTGACTTTAGATTTGACATTTGACCTTCAATGACCTTCTCAAGGTCAAAAAAGGTCAAAAAGGTCTGTTTTCAACTTGCTTCAAATTGACTAAATATTTTTTTAAATCATCTACTTGTTCTCAGAAATTCAAATCTGACTTAAGATTTGACATTTGACCTTCAATGACCTTCTCAAGGTCAAAAAAGGTCAAAAAGGTCTGTTTTCAACTTGCTTCAAATTGACTAAAAAAATTTTCAAAATCATCTAGGTGTTCTCAGAAATTCAAATCTGACTTTAGATTTGACTTAAGATTTGACATTTGACCTTCAATGACCTTCTCAAAGTCAAAAAAGGTCAAAAAGGTCTTTTTTCAACTTGCTTCAAATTGACTAAATTTTTTTTTCAAAATCATCTACATGTTCTCAAAAATTCAAATCTGACTTTAGATTTGACATTTGACCTTCAATGACCTTCTCAATGTCAAAAATAGTCAAAAAGGTATTTTTTCATCTTGCTTCAAATTGACTAAATTTTTTTTTCAAAATCATCTACATGTTCTCAGAAATTCAAATATGACTTTAGATTTGACATTTGACCTTCAATGATCTTCTCAAGGTCAAAAAAGGTCAAAAAGGTCTTTTCAACTTGCTTCAAATTGACTAATTTTTTTTGCAAAATCATCTACATGTTCTCAGAAATTCAAATCTGACTTTAGATTTGAAATTTGACCTTTAATGACCTTCTCAAGGTCAAAAAAGGTCAAAAAGGTCTGTTTTCAACTTGCTTCAAATCGACCAATTTTTTTTTTCAAAATCTTTTCAGAAGTTCAAATTTGACTTTACAAGTTCTCAGAAGTTCAAATCTGGCTTTAGATTTGACCTTCAATGACCTTCTCAAGGTCAAAAAGGTCTTTTTTCAACTTGCTTCAAATTGACTAATTTTTTTTTCAAAATCATCTACATGTTCTCAGAAGTTCAAATCTGACTTTAGATTTGACATTTGACCTTCAATGACCTTTTCAAGGTCAAAAAGGTCTTTTTTCAACTTGCTTCAAATCTACTTAATTTTTTTTCAAAATCATCTACATGTTCTCAGAAGTTCAAATCTGACTTTACATTTGACATTTGACCTTCAATGACCTTCTCAATGTCAAAAAAAGTCAAAGAGTTATTTTTTCAACTTGCTTCAAATTGACGAATTTTTTTTTCAAAATCATCTACATGTTCTAAGAAGTTCAAATCAAACCTTCTTAAGGTCAAAAGGTATTTTCCAACTTGCTTTAAATTGACCAAATTGTTTTAGGTGGTGACATTTTGTCATGTTAATGCCTTGTTTGTATTTGGCATTAATTCATTTGGCAATACATTAAGTGATATTGCCAGGCAATAATTGCCTGCAGTATAATGATCTCTTCAAAAATTTTCAATGAGATGTATCATAAATTTAAACTGTTCTTTAAACCACTGATCTTGAGATGTTTTGAGACTTGCTGTTGTATCTATGCATGTTTTTGTTGTGTTTATTACATGGCATGTTGTAGTCTGTGGAAGTAAGGATGGCGTTAGTGTCAGTTACATCCAACAGAGGGCAAAGGCTTTTGCACGTCAAGGTAAACTTTCCTTCCAGATCATTTCATTACTGTCTTTTTATGTTTGTTTATCAAATCTAAGTCAATTGTCATGTTTATTCATACATAGAGGAAAGTTGAATATGAATTAGTATTTAATTAACTGTTTCATTTTGGCGCAGATCATCTTAAGAAAAATAACATCAATTTCTTTTCCCATAATGCATCAGACACATACTACAGTAGTTTGACGAGTTGGCCTTTGAAATATATAGTTTCTGTCTTGATATTGTACATTGAAGATTAGTAATGTTATATTGTTGAGATGAAAATATAAAAGTATCTGCTGCTTAAAAATCTTAATGGGCACTCTAATAATTCTAAGAAATGATGCACATTATTATATTGCATTTTCTTCATGTTTATTGCAAATCTCAGATCACTTAAATAAATTTCCTTTTCTAAATTTTCATTACATATATTTATGTTCTATCTTTGCTCTCTCTCTCTTAAATATTTCTTGCATTGCTTTCGATAACTTTTTATATGAAAAGGACTATCTAAGTTGGTGACATGTGGTCAACTATGGGCACCGACAGAAAGGATTGTGGGATGTGAGATTTTCCCAAGATGACCCATAGTTGAACCCATGGTAGGAAAAGGTGCAGATATATAGGATATGTACAGTATAGTATAAAGGCTTATATATAATATATTATAGTAACAATGCTGCGCAGCATACATGCATAAATAGTGTGTACTGTATTATTATTTATTTAAGATTATTTTTTTCAGTTATTATGATTGAAAGAGCACAACATCATATATTGTTATACCTGCATAAATTATATGATTTTACAATGTATGTTATCTTACATTCAATGATATTTTATGATTTATCATTGATTTTTATTATGTACTATATTTTCAGTTTTTAGGTTTAACATGCATTTTGGTGCTCACTTTAGTAGCCAATATTAAAGGATATATATCAAATACATGTTTTTGTAGAGATAAATTTAACATTTTAACTTGTGATTTTGTAATAGTGGCACAATTTCTACATAGAATTCAGTGTCTGCTTTTTCATTTTTTTTGAAAAGAATGAAAAATGTAAATGTTAAAAGTAAATGCAAATTACAATTCATGTAACATAAATAATTTCAAGATAATGAATTGCATATCCTTTGATGTTGATAGATTTCATTAATTTAATTATATTTTATTATTTATTAGCTGTATATGACAGTGGTAGCGGGGGTATGTTGAAGCAGTTTTAAACACCACTGTCAACTGTCTCCTGTCTATACATTTTACATATTGTACTATATTTAACATTGCACAATTCTTTCTTAATTTCTATGATTTAATCTTTTTCTACTTGCATATTTCTTGACAAAACGGGCTACCACCTTGCTAAGCTGATTGACATTTAATAATACCGTATTAAAACACTTTTGCGTGTTTAGTTTTAAGCTCTTTTTGTGAAGACAAAGATTGTGATTCTATATGTTATATTACGTTTATCTTGGCTCCTGTTTTGTTTCACATTTGTTCAAGCACTGTGTTTATATATATATTTTATATATATTGATATAAATATATATATGTATTGTCTTAAAATGTAAAAATTGCATCAGTAGTTCGCTTTAGCAATTTTTATTCATTTTAAATAACTAGATACATCATAATAGGAGGCGATATTTTGTTTATCAGATCCCTGTGGTTGAAATTGATGTACTTGATCGAGGAGTTTGTTCTCTAAAATTTGGTCTTATTGTCTAATTTAATTTGCTCAAATAAAACTTAATTTGACTATTCATTCTAAGTTTGTAAAGCTAACAATAATAATTTGCACAACAATTACTGTATTCACTGCACAAATTGTTACTATGGTAACCAAATTCAAAAATGTGTTGCCATCACAACAAAGCACCTTAATATTTTATCCAACTCATTCTCTTGGATTTTTGATTCTGCTACTCTTGAATCTATAAAATGCTTGGAGATTGAATATGGGTATTTTTGTCCTATCTGAACTTTTGGTAATTATTCTTGTTTTTTAATCGTATCCAGGGAAAAAGGGTAAGGGTTTGGTATTGTGAAAAAACGCTGGTGTTGTATTTTATGTAAAGCAGTAGTATTAGAGTAGTTATTAGATCTAGTGTTTGTCTGCATTTATTTTTAAAAAAGTGTAATCTAATTTTTTATCAACATTTAAAGAAGCCAAATTGTACATTCTTCATAGTGCTTTAAAGGCCTTGATCTTTGCAATTGTTATGTTGAATCACAATATCTTTGATAAATCAGCTTCTTAAAAGGAATATTGATTGACCTTGTAATATTGAAACAGAAAAAATGAGGCCTTGAAATTTCATATGCATGTACTCTTATATCATTGTTCTTTATTGCTTCAATTATCTTTCCTTTATTATCATTATCATTTATCTTTTTGTTTTTGAGTTTTTTTTGTGATGCACAGGTAGATCACTAAGCAGTGAGACCATGGCTTACATTTTACAATTTATTATCCAATTAAAACAAAATCTTAGGATTTATACATCTCCCAAGTTATTCCATACACATGTATGTGTCATATACCAAAATGACAGAACATACAAAAAATGTCAGTGAGACTTGAATCCCAGAAATTTTGTGTCAATAGGTTAAAAAGATAGTGAAATGTGAGCTGAAGTTTCAGTACTCAATGATCAACTTGATGTGAGTATGAGGAGGTAGATTGAAGTAAATGTTTTCTGTGAAGTAGTTGATTAGTTAACTGTTGCAGCACCTGATTTATGTGATCTTGCTGTGTTGAATACATGAATTTAAAAACCATCAACGAGCCAGGACAAAATGTCAGTGTTTTTCCATGATTGTAACTTAACAAAGGAGTCGACCACCTTAGTGAATATTGAATGAACCAATTGCAATCAACACTTTTTTCATTTATATAAAACAGTTACAAATATACAAATTCAAAATCTTGGTATCTTTCAAAAAAATAATGGAGTCTTTTCTACCTTTCACCCAATCAAACTTTGTTTTACAAAAAGATGACACTGACATTCGACCAATGGCTGACCAAAGTTGAATGTTTTAAGGGGATCTCTTACAGTATGTTTTGTTAGGTTCCAAATTGCATGACCACTTAAGATTCTGTGGGAATATATCTCCCATTATACAAGATAAAGATCTACAACTATATTGATATCCTTGTCATTTATTACCATATTCACATATCGAATAAAACTTCAATTTTAGCCCCCTGTAAAAGTGTGCTTTAATTATAATAATCTTTTATTTTAGAGATGGTTAATCATTGTGCATTATGTATTAAAAAACTAATTATGTATACATATACATGGTACAGATTCTGATTTCAAATCATTGTGTCTAGATTTATTGAACAGATTTTCCTGTTTTACAGCCAAACCTGGAGAGCAAAAACCGGGAGAGGTAGGTCATTTAAGTTTCATAAAATATATTTATTAAAAATATTTACTCAGAAACTTGTTTTTCATGCGATTGATTCCAATTTGTTTTCAATATTTAGGTGAACTTTACTCAGAAAGCGCTTTTTAAGAAAGTGAGAAAATATGGAAAGGTATAGATTTAACTTAAGTTAACTAAGTGTGTAACAAATCACATTCTTCTCTAGCTGGTGACTTTATGTTTGGAAAAGGATTCTGTTCCGTTGTATTCTTGTTCTTGTACTGATATCACAATGTGTCTAATGTCTGTGTCACTCTTTAGTCTTTGATTTAATGTAGACATGAACATGGAACTAGTTATAAGGACATGAAAATCATAAAAAATATGTCTGTGATCTTGCACTCTAATTTTGCATTTTATTTTGGGATAAGAACATTGAGGAAATGTAATTTTCATGTTCATGGAAGCATTCATATCTTATTAAGTATTCTGTTGGTATAAAAACTGTATGTAGTATCGTATTGATGTTTATTATAAATTTTTAATCTAATAAAAATAATAGGGTCATTAAAATCACTCTATTTGTGAATTCTCTCACTTTGCAAACATCATGATAAGATAATATTTCCTTGATTTTCTACGTTTTCTGACTATTTTCAAATAACCTTTTCATTTTTATTATGTAATTACTGTATTATTTTCAAATTAACAGATAATTTTCGTCATAGTTTTGATAATGATTCATTTTTCAGATATATATTCTTTATTTTGCATTGATTAAAGAAACAGACCATCTCCGAAATATGGGATTCTTTATTTTATGGTGATTTCATTACTTTTAGAATAAAAACTACTATTATTTCATTGTCATTTTCCCATCCTCTGATTGGTCCAAATGTTTGTGTATTGTAGCTATCATATGCCAGTAAATGTTAATACCAGCATTAGGTCATAATTAAGTTTCCATGCATGAAATGATTTTTTTTAAATTATATTTTAATTGAACGTCTTGGATCTGTGTACATTTTAGGAGGTAGATGAGTCCTTGTATGAAACAGAGGGGCCAAAACGTAAACAGAAAGTCAAAGGTCCTGTACCAGGGCCAACTGTAGCAGATAAACCAAAGAACCAAGTTGTCACAGAGGGTAATTTATAGATGTTTATGTACAGGGTGTTCTATTTGGACCACCCTGTATATACTATAAACTTAAATATTAATATGATGCAGTTATAATGCTATGCCCCTATGTCACAAAATGTCTGTTTTAAAAAGGAAAATTCTTGAAGATTTTTGGTAAAAATTCTTCCTCATCATTTTATCTTCAATAAAGTTGTTTTAGTGGCAGAATGTTGAAAGCATTTTTCTACTTCCATGATTAGAGTTTGTGATATAGGGGTAGCTGCTGACTTGATTATCATTTTAATTATTATTTTAATTTATTTAGTATGGTTGTTATAAATAATTATCTTTAGTTTTTCAATTATTCAAGAATATTACTTTGTTAAGAATAACAAAGCACAAAGGGCAACATAATAAACACAAAATAATAGAATGCTGATCGCTACATGAAAGTATAATTCTTGAAAATTGACATCTTTTATATATTGAGTAAACATTGGATGAGTGTTCTGAATACTCATCCAATAGCAAAAATAAGGTGGAAATTCTGCAAGTAGAATCATTTTTTGTTTGCTTCAGGGCTCTCAACTACACTTTTTATAATCATAATTTTTTCATGAAATGTTCATGATGGATACCTTATTTATATTTGGCTAATTTTGAATATTTGTGTTATTAAGAACCAGTCTATTTAGAAAGCAAGAGAATTTCCATCTCAATCTTTCAATCTTAATATGAACATTTTGTGGCTTATTAAATTAAAAAAGTGCATTTTCGAGTTGCTTGATTATGGCATTTGAAAATGAAAGTTAACCTTAGCTGTTATCGAGTCCATGTAGGATTCAATTAAATTCATGAAATGTACAATTTTAGACATATGCAGTATACGTGTAAATGATACAAGTTTCATTATTTACATGTTTACATCACTTTTCTAAAATTCTCTGTCTCATGAATTCGATTGAATGTATTTTCTAGGGGACACCATGTTTGTTGACATGAAGTATGAAGGAGGACCATTTGGGGCAATTCGCTGGTTTAAAGGAAACAGAGAACTAAAACCTGATGCCCGCACAGAAATAAATCTGGATAAATCCAGAAAAACTGCGTCTTTGAAGATCAAAAAATGCAAATTCCCAGACGAGGGCAAATTTGCAGTGGCTTTGGAAAATGATAAGGGCCAAGAGTCGGATCGGGCGGGGTTCACTGTATTTATCAAAGGTAGTGCCCTCTTGTGTCTAAATATGACACTGCTGTCCAAATTGGGGGTCTGGAAGGATCTTTTACTTCAAGCAATGTAGTGTGTAGTTTTAGACAATTAGTCATAATTAAACAATGGAATAATTTATTCAATATTATTCCTACTAGTGCTATTTCAGTTTCTACTAACACAGCTTTGTGGAAAATTATAAAATCTCTCAAAACTTCTTTTAATTCCTCAAGTAAATTTAGCTGTTTCTTCTCTCTCAAAATACTTATTTTATGACAAAGAATTATGATTACTGCTTAGAAGTTTTAAACTAACTTTGAAGATAACTTTGTACTAATATTCTTTATAGCTTTTCTATCATCAGTCAAATAATCTCATAGATCTTCTAAATATCTAAAGAATGCTATAACATTTCTACTTTCATTTTTCTCTACTCACTATCATATATTCAATACTATATTTATTAATAGCTCTAAGCGCTAGATTTTTGGCTCTGTATTACTAGATTTACAGTTGTTTATTTATAATGTAGGCATGGAGTCCTACTCACTAAAGCAGACAGATCCTTGCAGGCCCCTTATAAGCATATTAATCAGGTCTGGCCAAAGATTAAACCTATAAAGCTTAATCTCTGATCAGGTCCCTTTGAAAAATATCGTGAACCAAGCGTATATTAGGAGTTGCTGGTCACATGGTGTATCAAATGATCAGTTTGAGCCAATCACATGATAGGGAATATAAATAACATACATATATTGATCTTAACATGATTCATTTCAATTTGTGCATATTTTGTTTTAAGTAGGATTTGTTAAAAGAAATCAAAAATTAATCAGAAAATCCTAGGTTGTCCACTAACAAAATATAACATATTCTATATTACCTATCAAACTAAGCGCTATATCTTTAAACTCTTAATACACGTACAAGCCTGTAAACTTATAAGCCTTTTACGCAAATCTCATTGTTAATCTGAATCTGGTAATGTATCTCCTTCCGTTTATTTGGAGAAATTTTGGGTATCCTTTGTGAATGCAATTTAAAAAGCATTGATAAAAGGACAGTTCAGAATTTTTCCAAGAGTGCAATCTCTGTTTCTTCTATGTTGTATTCCTGTTTATCAATATCATCAGAAATGTTTTAATATTTCCAGCCTTTCTCTCGATTTCTACCATTTCTGCCTCTTAATTTCTGCCATATACTCTGAATTACTGTCATGCATCACATACATGTACTGATGATGACTTAATAGATTCCTTCAATGTAAAAAGTCAATGATTCTTCATCAGTTGAGAATTGACCTTGACCTCTCCAGTAAATAATGACCCCTTGCTGCTTTCCTGGGCTCAAAGCAGAAACTTGGGTAAAGTGGATAGAGATTCATGATGTCATAATATGTTGCAGTGTATCTACATAATGACATCATATCAAATAGGTGGCGTGGTTTACTGAAAAGGTCTCTTGCCAAGTGTTTTGACTGCTTAACAAGAAAGACAATCATATATCTGTATCATTCATCCAAGCAACTTTCTATCTGTACAGTACATTTCTTACTTCTCTCTGCATTCACCTATTCCTATAACCTCAATAACATTGGTCAAATTGCAAACTATATGTGAAGTAAATGAGAATTAAAGAATTGGCAGACATTTTAAAATTGATTTGAGAATGATGCATCTCTTCTCTTTGTGTCATGTGTATATTTGATTCTGCACACCACATGTACATATGATATGTACATAATAATGTGCAGTATCAAATATATGTGTGTTGTTGTTTCACTTATTAGTACATTTCAGATCCCAAGGATTCCAGCTTGGACTTCAGAGCACTACTTAAACACAGGTATGTTCTTTTTCAGTTTTTCATTTACTTATTTCCGATATTATGAAATAAACATGTTGAGACAAAGGAACCCTATTATATTGGGCACTAAATCACTAAAATGGTCTCATACCATCAAGCACATGGGAAGCTTGACAACACAAGCAAAAACATAATAACCAAATAATATGATCATATACCAGACATCAAATGTGATTAACATAATGAGATGTAAAATAAAGTATCAGGTATAATCAAACAGTATTAATAAAACCTGTGTTCTTGGATGCCTTCTATTCAGAAGAATGGAATGGATCGTTGTAGACTGGTGTTCCTTACAGAAAGGGTCATTAAATATAGGACTTGGACTCGTTTTGAAAACTGTTACTTACAGAGAGGTGTTTCATTGAACAGGTTTTGCTGTATTTATTATACACGATAGGCCAGAAAAATGTTACCATTCTGAATGTACATATAGCTAATAAATATAAATTATTTGACCAACCCTGTGTACAAGATGAAAAAATGAAACACGATTTAAAATTGTATATTTCCACCCTAGCTTTATGACAAGGGATCATGCTCAATTAAAAGGGTTGGTAATGCCTTATTAAGGCTTTATTTGTGTGACTATAGATGTCTGTAACACAGACCATATGCCATCCCTTTGACTTGTCTTTTTACAATTTTAGAAAAGTATTCTTCTTGAGTAGCTAGTGGTTGCATCAGACTGAATGTGCTGAAGTGGTGAATCTTATCTGTCAATCCCAGTGTATTACCATTACCATGGGCTTTTTAGAGACACATTCCAAAATAATTATTCTATATTCCACATATGTCATACCCACCCTTGATCCTTGGTATTAATTTTTTCTGTGATACTTTCATTGTTTCATCAGCATGACTATATTTGATTTTGATTTGATTTTGGTTTTCAGTTTTGTTCTATCAAAGTATTTATTATGTCAGTATTTATTGCCTTATACTATTTTATACTTCTTTATATTATTCATCAATTGCCATTTCATATGTGTATTTAGACTCACATTTATGATTTATCAGTTATTTTGTCCATTTACCACGAATCAGCATATTGATATATACAATTTCAACATCCCATACAATATCAGTTTCCAGTACAATAACACATCATGAGATATCACAGCCTTCTCTCAGGTTCCTTCTAGATCATTCTTGTGCATAGCAGAGATGGTCTGAGTATCAGAATGACAATAACAACATCCCATAAATTTTAACATCCAATACTATATCAGCATACAATTTGCAGCATTTTAAACATAAATCATATATATTTTTCAGAGATGTGAAAAAGACCGAATTTGAAGATGAAGATGATGATCTTGACTATAATCTCAAACCAGGTATGCTTTTTTAAGACCTATTAGTTTTAGCAATTTACTTATGGGAACGGTGATGCTAAAAGATGCAATTTTGACGCTTATTGGATATTAGTAGAGAAGATTTACATGCAGATTTGTCATTGGACCTGTTTAGAGTTTCAAGACATCATGGTCATTTCCTTAAAGTTGTAATTTTCAGATTTTAGAATCAAACAGTGCTTCATCTAAATTTTGAAAATATTAGTTTTGAACACTGCTAGCAAAAATTCATGAAAAAGGTATGACTTCCCAATTTATTTACACAAATCACTACAATTTCTTGCGGAGTCGGGTACACCTACATGTATCTTCAAGTGTATTAAAAAATGTATATTATGTTCTTTTTAACTGTATGTTCAATGTAATACCCACCGCTTTTGTCATCCTGTCTGTATTTACGTCACACAGGTGAAGTTGATGATTTCGTGCCACCCATGCGTAAGTGACTTCTATTGAGCAGATTGTAGGATGTAACCATGCAAAGATACTAGCAGACATAGCATTTAACTGTAGATTTTTGTTGTTACGGCTGTAGGATGTTGTACTCAGTTATAGCCAAGCTCTCACAGATGATCTAATATCAGTGGGTGTGATTCAAGTTATTTACAAAAATAATCCCAACCTTATTTGAATAGTTTTAATTACAGTAGATTGATGCAATGTCTACATCTTTAAAATGCAGGAGTCCAAATTTCATCCACTCTGTTTTTCCATTATCAAGGCACAGAGTCGATGATGTTTGGATCCCTGCATTTAGAGGCTGCAATATCTATAGTTTCAACAACATTCATAAGTTTGCCCATAACTTACACATGTCATGAGACCTTAATTCATCATTGAGCCATGAATTGTTTTTGCAAATAACAATAATTGTAAAGAAATCCATAAGTTCTGCCTAATATGAGAGCCCACCAATCATTTCATTTGTGAGAGCTTTATAGGAAGGAGGGTAGGTGTTGTCATGGTGACTACCCACCCTTCCATAGACTGACAAGTGATTTCAATTTTTTTGTCATCACTTTTATTAATAATTTGGTGTGTTTAGCATTGTCATCTGAGGACTAAGAATAAATCAAATCATTGTTGTAAATTAACCCCAAATTTTATTTTTTGAAATTCCTGTCAGACGTTCTTAAGTTTTCCTATTCATGGGTTTTTATATTATTTCACCAGTATTTCTAGTAGAAGACTAACTCTACATCTAAAATCATCATCATTTTTGTTGATGTTACCATTATTCCACCAAACAAAGTTTGAATAGCTATCTGCCCATTTATTCATTAATTCTTCTATCTCTGTGTCCGGGCCAAAACTCATATACCAGTAATCGGATGTAAGTAAGTAATGGATTTTATTTGGTGATCTGGAAAAATGTTTTGTTTGGTGGAATTCAATCATTGTCATCCCAGGAGTTTGTCTTTTTCTTGTTTGTACTTTGATTTTTACATTATATGTACCATCATGTCTGAACATTTTGTATCTTTTAAAACTTGATGATGACATTACAGTTGGAAAAAGCATTTGTCAGTCTATGTGCCTGCAAACATTTTTAACCACAATTTTAGAAAATATTTTGTTTGCCCTTAGAGTCTTTATTTTCACTTCATGGGATAATCAAAGTCAACTTAAACCAATCAATAAATCTATGGTTTTAGTGTCTTCCCCATCTGTGACGATGCTTATACGAGCATTGTTGCATTTTGGGTAATGATTTTCCCAAGTTCCAACAGGAATTAACCACTAATGAAATTCTACAAAATTTAGAGAAATAACTTATGATGATGACAACTGATCAATCCCATAGCATTATATTTATTGTTTAGTTAACTGACACATCTATTATTACCTGATTTCCTTATAGTTAGGCCAGAATGATTGAATCTATAGTTGTATGTTTAGTGTCCGCACAGAAAATGAGGCCAATGGGAATGAATTCAAGTATGGATGTTTAGCGTCCTTGCAGATGAGCATTTTTTGCATACTTCACACTGTACATAAAAAAACAGAATACAATTAATTTTGATTTTGATATTTTTTAGAAGAATATGGTGAAGATGGTAAGAAAGCGCATTATGAGTTGGTTATAGTTTGGTATTTTTGAAATGCATCCATATTAAAGAATAATATCTCATTATGGAATAAATACACTAAGCTGAACTTATAATTTCAGCTAATATTTTCCAAAAGATGCATTTGAAAAATATTGTTGTATGATGATTTTTCATTTACTACAGATTAGTTAAATGCTAAATCATAGAATTATTCATTATTTGTTACTGTTGTAGATTCAGATCATTTAGGGTTTTCAATAAGTTTTGATACTGAACCTCAGGGACATTACTCCTCAGAACTTATTGAACAACCAGTCTACATATATGTTTTAGAACTTAAGGAACAGAATGAAGCTTCTGAAAAGTTTATTTTATTTAGCATGAATCTTAATCATGAGACAAATTGATATATGATGAATTATGACTTCTTATATCACCATATATGGATTTGTTATATTATCCTTGATGAAGTAAGCCTGATGGATTGCAATACTATACTATACTATTATCCAAATGCAGTAAGACCTGTCTACTGCAAACACCATTTGAACTGTCCAAATGTGATGGGATTAGTCGTTCCACAAGTTTTTAACATTATAGTCAATTAGAGAATACAAAATTGGGACAGAGAAAAAGTGTTCATATTGGCAGATTGCACTGTAAAATACAGCAATGAAAAATTAATTAAAAGATTAATTCACTTTCCTAAACTTCTCATCTGCATATACTCATGTGACAAAATTAATTAACTAAATTTAACTAAACTAAATTTGTTATTTGCTATATATTTTTTATTTATTGTATTGCAATCAGCAAGTATGCTTTAAAGAACATAAGTATTAGAGATGGTGTTAGACTTGAATCTTGCAGTTTCTTGCGTAAGTCAAACACATATTCATGCAATTGAATTTTCCCTACCTAAACACATTTCTTACCAATCTAGGGAAATACAGAGGATGTATGTCTTTCCATGTTTTATTCTGATTCAGGGGTTCATTCTGAATGTTAGCAGTCATAAGTCAATGTTCTAAGTTTTATTGTGACATCATAATTAAGATAGCATCAACAATGGATGCAGTTATTTTCCGAACTGAAACATTTCTTGTAATGGACCCCTGCCTTTCTACTTTATATTTAGGGAGCAACAAGGATGATGCACTCAGGGTGCAGTGCCTGAAACATTCATGATTACATCCAGTATAAAATGTACTTCTCCTCTTTTAGTGACTAGGAAGACCTCAGTTGGCTCAGATAAGGACAAACATAAACTGAAATCTGTGAAAAAAGAGGAAGCAGCTGATGTAGGGAGCGATGAAGAGAAGGTATCATGTGACCAACCATGTGATTTATATATATGTGACCCAAATATCTAGCTATATAGGACTGTGTGTTATGATATATGTTACATGTTTATCATTGGAGACCCATCGGAGCAGACAGGAGAACCATCAGTGTTTCTATGTCACACACTTATGCTTTAACAAATGCTTATTAGCTTTTATAGATTTTCCATAATGACTTCACCATCGCTTTCAAAATAAGCTTTGGTGTGATCAAAATGGAACATATCATTTTTGCATTATTTAGCTGTTCAGTACTAATTGTTATTAATTAATTGTTGAATATAGTTTTGATTTAGTTAGTTTTGTTGGATAGTGTGTTAATAGCAACAGATACAATTGTTCTCATATAATGTTTATGACCATACATCACTTTGCTTTTTTACAGCACATTTTCCGCCCAAGAATAATTTTACACTGTGTTTGTTTTTCATAGGAAATTCAGATTTCGGGTTGATATTGTGAGTTTGTTGGTTTCATCATACTGTATAAAACATGTTTCACGTTTTTGTGATTTTGGGAAAGGCTTAATTTTTTGTTTTGTTTGTAATATGACTTGAATCTTCTGTTCCAATCAATGGATTAATATTATAAGTATGTGACACATATTATATGTTATATCAGAATAATTTTTGGGAAATTTTTGTGTTCTAAACAATGTATGATTTAAGTGTTTTATTTTCCAAATTTTGCCAATAATTGAGCCTTACCCATTGCTGCGATTTCAGAAGTTGCGCGCGTTTACAGCTTATCAACGTTTATATTAGTGTTCATACAGTTTTTAGTTTCACAACTCACAATATGAAATATTACTTTGAATATATTACAAAAAACTATCTGCCACAGACAGCATTGTGGTTTATGAAGTAGGCCATCCTTAATTATATATTGTCAAATGTGCTGGTTGATATGTCTGTGGTATGAGTGCCTTGTGACACTTAAAGCTGTAAGAACACTTCAGCCTTTGTTTTATTATATTGACAGTAGCTAGATGCCTATCTTCTGAGTTTAACCATACATGTTTGAGAAATACATGAAATACAATCACTTTTTGGATTCATTAAAAGCAAATTCAGCTTTGTAATACAGGAATTTTATGTGAACATGAATGGAAGTATATTGTTGAACTCAAAATATGGGCCTAGACATTCCATAAATCACTCATGAAGAAATACCATTATATTGAATGAATTATGGAAAATGTTATGCATGCTATTTTAAAACCTGCTGTGCAATAGAGAGAAATATAAATTAATGATACTGAAAAATGGCAGAGCAGAAAGATTGACAACAATATTCAAATAATACATGCACTGACCATATGGACACTATACAAGAAAATGGATTGCTTAGGCAATGCGCTGTGCAGCAAAACCATGATGATAATAAGCGACAGCATGATAATGATAAGAATTTGGGGGAATCTAGCTTGTATAAAACACCTTTGTTTGTGAATCTTTTAGCGGATCGTAAAAGGCGACCTTCACAAATCGAACTTATGAAAGCGAACTTGAAAAAAGTTGATGTCGGGTCAGATTCAGATGAAGAAAGGGTAAAAATTTTAAAATATTTAAAACATCTCTTCATTGTTTCTTCTAGATCTGAAAAAGCTTTTCTTACAATACACTTTTTTGTTTTAAATACTTTTGTGTTGATTTTGGCCAAACTTCTGTCTGATTCATTTAACTTTACTCCTTGTGTATGCACTTCTTAATTTATCTTATGTAATCTTATGTCAAACATTTCTGATGAAGTATTATGTTTTTATGCTTTATGGATTATTTAATTGTGCAATTTTACATTTTTTGTATCGGGAAGGCTGAAATTGATGATAAAGTGATTCCTTTAGAGAGGAAAACGGTGAAAATTTATTATTTGATTTAACCTTTAGAAATCATTGCATTACCATAGAAACATTAAATGTCATAATTAAGTATTAATATATTAGATAGAACATTGATTTGAGCACATCGGTATGCTGGCAAATTATTAACAACATTTGGGACTTCGATTCATTTGGCACAACATTACTCTGTACTGATTTACAAGATGTGTCTACAGTGATGCTAAAACAGTTTTGTCAAGCTCTTAACAACTCGTATCTAGGATATTTTAAAAGTCATTATTTGACAATCAAATAAGAACAACTATAAATACATATTTGTACTGAAGACATGTTCAGTAGTTCAAATTTCACGACAACTATATGCTGTTCTTAAATGAATATTTTTAGCTTCTTATGAATAATATTGAAAATGTTCTGATAAAATGTCAAAAGCAGAATTATTTTGTTATATTATGAAAAGATTTCTCACTAAAAGTTTTAAATATGAAATGTTTTGGTATTTTAAAAAGTAAAATAAGTTACTAAATATTTAACTCTGATATGTTGTTTTGAAATCATAATGATTATGTTACCTACTTATATATTTTTGTTTAGCTAACATTCTGCATGTGGTTTGTCATTTTTGCATGTGGTTTGTCACAATTATAGCCGCATGGTAGGGAAAATGGTAAAGCACCAGCCATCATTCATGAAAGAAGACTTTCCTTAAGGAAAGTTGAAAAATATACCATTAAGCAACCAAAATTTAAAAGACACAGTGTAGTACGTATTTGAAAATATAAATAAAATTCATGTGATGCTGAAATGAGCAATTTTGAAAAATTGTCCCAAACCTTTCTGAATAATAGCAAATCCTGTATATAAATATAAATAAACAGGGAGAAACGAGAAACCTTTTATAGCTTTACATATTCTTTGGAATGGTTTCAATTTTTCTGACCCCACACATGCTCAATTCAGATGTCACAAGAATTGATCGATCTTTTCATAAATATGCAGTAGATATAGGGCAGCTTTAGAATAGGCACAGTAGATCTGCATCAGCTTAAATATTATTGAAAATTGTTTTCAATAATATTCTTGGAATAGGTCACAATGCTTGCGCTTTTGCTCTTTTTCAATAGTTTGTGTCAATAAAAGCATCTTCCATTGCATGTAAAATATGTTCATTTGAATAGGCTTAGCTTCTTAAATGCACTTTATGTTAAGTGTCGTCTGTCTTATATCATTCATAATCTGTACTTTACATGTGTGGGAAATTTTGTCGTAGATTAGTGATCTCCAAAACTGTCCTCTGTCTCTTTGTCTATTGTCTCTTTTGTCTGTCTATTGTCTCTGTCTTATATCTCCTGTCCCCTGTCTTTGTTTTACATAGCTATTCTTGATTATCTCCATTCTGTACTTTATGTATTATTTCTGTAACCAAGGTTAGTAGGAATCTTTCTTGCTTTAGATTCACTATAGTAGTCATACCGTAGTTTATAATTATATCTCCGCTATATAATTTAAAACCTTAGTTTTATTTCAATACAGTCGACTTAGAACTTAGTTTAAAATGATCAATATGCAAAATCATAATGTTACTCCTAGTTTATTTTATGTTTGAGCCTAAAATATGGCAAATATATCTCAAATCTTATAATATATAATATAAACATACATGTACTATTTATTCTATTTTATTCACAAGATTACGATAACTATGATTGAGCAATGATCATTCACTATTTTTATTATCACAATGTATATTTGTCATAGAGCATGATGAAATATATTTTAGTAATATCTGCTGGTGATAACTAGAAAGCCAGGCATGAAATTGAAATGTATACACATCAACAAACAAATTTGTGAAATAACTTTCTTTTTAAATCTTGAATATAGTATTTTCGAAGTGCTGTTAGTAAATAAGAACATTATGAATAATCCTGTGCTAAGGGCTGGTGTGGAAATGTCAGTCTACCCCAGTTGGAATTGTACCCATGACACTTCACTATCTGCTCAAATTCCCTACCAATGAGCCACAGGCTTAGATTGATATTTTCAAAATGTGATTGTATAACATGAATTTGTTTGTTGATATGAGCACAGGGCACAACTCACAAGCATGTACTTTGTGCACTATTCAGACATCAATATTTGAAATATTAGTGACCTAATTTCAAATAGAAATGTCTGTCCTACTATGTACTATTAACCCTTTAGATGTTGTTCCATTGTTGAGATTAGTCTTACCTTTATAGAGTATAGATATGGGACGCAGAGGGTCAACAGCTGATCCATCATTGAAAAAGGTTGGGGCACACAAACTTTTTCTTCATTTTAAATATCATGATTTTTTCATCAATTTTTCACAATTTTCTTGTACGAGTATTTACATTACAACTAAACAATGTGTTTAGTATTTCCAACTTCTCAAGCATGAATATATCTATATAGTGTCTATTTAGAAATTCACAATTTCTTCTCCACTTTTTAATACACGCTTGCTTCATGCACAAATAAATCACTCTTTGTATCTGAAACAAATTTATTATTAAATCTAAATGTGTTGGTTTTTATCTTTTCTTGAGCAATTTGAGTGATAGGCCTAACTCATTAAAAGTTTTTGGAAATTTTTCTGCAAAACTAATGCCACAGTGGAAATATTTTATATTTAGTGTTATTGTTCAGTAGTATCAGTTGTGTCATGATGAACAATATAAGTTGATATTGTTCAAAACATTTCAGTGCATATACCCCGATCCCTTCAGCACGCCATGCTATCATCCAACTCAAACAAATGATTTGAATATTTTGATGCGGATAAAATCTTAATAATCTTAAACGTAAATCTCATGGGTTTTTATAGGAATATGATTTTGTAAAAAATGCTACTATCATTTTTTATTAGCTCTTATGGTGATCTTTTTCTGACTATACCTACCCTGTTATGAATTTTTGAATTTAAAGAGTGTTGAAATGGAGTTAATCTCTGGTGAAGGGTACTCACTTGATAATGTTTTAAACAATTCAATTGAAAATATTTCCATCTATGAACAACCGATCTGAACCTTGCACCAAATTTATATTAAATTTGAATTAACTATGCATGCTAGAATATAGCATTCTCCATGGATTTCATGTCTCTAAACATTGTCAAAAATCCAAAATGGATTGTACATGAGATTCTTGAATGAATGCTGAACTGAATTTATGTGTGTGGTATATATGGTGGTTAATTGTATACCCACATTGTAGGTTGGAGATTCTCTGGATCCTAAAAGACGAAGCTCAAAGGACCGTCGTGTATCTCTTGCGGAAGTCATCCCTGATTGGCCAACTCTTCAACATCACCAAAAGAAAGAAAAGGTTTGTATATACAAAATTGTGTTATTAATGTGTGGTAAATGTACAGATGCTTTGCTGTATTAGGCCATTCAAAGTTTAATGTATGTTTAATGTTACCTCCCTTCTACGATTTTCGGCAAATTTTCAGAATATAAACAAAAGTTTTATGTTGCCTCTATATCTCCTTGAAATGAATTCATATGACAATAGAAACTTTTATTAAGATCGTGATCTTTTTTTTTTATTAAAATCAATGTAACATATTTACAGGTTGTAGTGGCTATGATCACAAAAGTAATTTTTTAGCATTTTTAGCAGTGTCTTCATTATAATGTCCACATGAACTCAACAGGTGTGTCACTTTATCAAGCACTCTATTTGTATGTACAGTATTATCTTATTTTTACTATCGAGTAATATAAAATCCTATTGGAAATACAGTAAATAAAGGTTTTATGTTTGCAATTTGTTTTCACCTCCCACCCTCCAAAGATTCCCCCCCTCACCAGGACATTATACATATAATTAACTTTGAAGGGCCAGTGTGTTACAATAGCTCTATATTTTTTTGAAATCGTTCAGTGTATTTATGAAAGATTTCAAACAGATACCTGTTTGGAATAGCATATATCTTTAAATTAAATTTAACTATTTAGCATTACGTGGGTTTGTAATTTCAATCAATTATAATCTCATATAATTAAGATGAAAAAGTTAATGATAATATACATTGAACTTAACATTGCTAGTCTTTTGTTATCTTAATGATATGCTATTTCAAACAGGAGAGACTTCTAAATTAAATATTCCATTTCCAGATAAGACACATGTATTTTATATTTCAGAAAAAGTCAATTACTAAAAAGGTAGAATCCATAATGGAAGGTTTGGAAAGGAGCATGCATTTTTATATTTACAGGGAGCATAAGTTTTGTCAACACCGAAGCTGGCGATAAAATCTTATACGATTTTGACAAATTGGCAGTTGTGTGTCCATGCATACACATATCTTCGGAAATGGATACAGAACTGCTTTCTACCTCTGTTTTTTATTTTATTTTCTAAACCCTATCATTTTGTTCAGACGCATGTTCCCTTTGATATATTTAAGGTGATTTGAAGTACTTCTTCTTATGATGTGATCTTGATAGATAAAATGTAAACATGACAATACTCTGTAATTACAAATATGACGTCAGGAAGTATTTCATTTCACCTTCTCATTCTAACTTAACCCTAATTGGACCACTCAGTAACAAATCAGTGAATGAGTTATAAAGTATTGATATATACAGTGTTCCCACGAAGGGAGAGACAGTTTCAAAATCTATCTTGTGAGCTGGAATATTAAAAAGGTAGCCTGTGCTACATTTGATCACTCTTATTTGAAGGTTCATTGATGCATGGTCCAGTTGGGTTCAATATACCACTCCAGTCTAGTTCTGTAAACATCTCTCAACCTTTAGCTGGTCCTATTGGAGCAGTAACTGTATTGTGATGGCTTTGAGAACTGTAAATAGTTGGCAGGAAATTCAGTTGAAGTTCAGCCCATTTACATATATTTAATCCAAAAGTCTCCAAGATAAAATATATTGATAATGCCTATAACCTCTTTGATATTAGATCTATGAAATTGTAGTCAAAGAATTATGTAGAGAAAAATTAACATTACAATGTAGTTTGATTTATTAAAGTTTCGAAACAGGAATTTATACATACAAACTAATAAGACAGTTGGGAGAACAATCCGTGGTGAACTGCTATCTATATGAGTCCTTAATGACATTATGTAAATGCTCATACAGTGAAACATGTATATCCAAACACCTCTCAATGTGAACACTTTTAGTAGGTCAGATATTTAAAAAATCTTGTAATGAGAAGGTTTGCAAATCTGAACACTTTTGTCTGGTTCCAGTGGTGTTCGGATAAGACAGGTTTTACTATATTATCTAGACCAGTTTAGGTTAAGCATCCATTCTCATTCTCACCCAAATTTCAGGTTCAAACGCTATCGCCGTCAATCCGCCATATTACATAAAACATATGCAGAACTAAGGAATGCTTGATGTGATATTATAGACATGAAGTTAACTTTAAAAAGAACACCTAAAATTAGAATGATTTCCGTCGGCTCCATGAAGCCAGTGACTTTCAAAGTCGTATTTTCTCATTTTCGATACTGTCGCCGATCAAAGGTGCAAGTAAATATGATGTTAAAATTCTATTTCATTGCTATGACTCCCTTTCATTTCACAGCTTGCTTTTACCTACCATGCCAAGTCTTTCAGGAACGTGTACTCATTGTTGATATTTCAAAACAGTTAATGAAATTTAACAATGAATGTCATTGTCGCTGAATTACAAAAACCTTCATAATTGAGACACCTCTAATTTATGAGATGCAATAACTAACTTGAAAGAGGTACTTCCACATTCTTTTGCCATTTATACAAATAACGAAACATCCAAGATGTGTTACAAATTACACCGGTGCTAGAAAATTTTAGTAAAACCATGGCTACTGATAGCCCAATTCAAATGTACTGTATTTGGAGTAAAGCACATGACTTTCGTAACAGTGGTATATAGATGTGACAGTATTACAACTGAGGCATAACATTCTAGTAAAGTGGAGTATACTGCCTGTTTTTTATCTTCAATACTCACACTTTCATCACTCAGTTTTACACTTAACAAATAAAAGTACGAAAATAGCACAGAAATATCATCTTTTATAACTGATGTCAGCAATAAAGTTTGACACGGCGGGTGAATGAAGGACATCAAAGTAAGCGGGCTATGTAAGTATATGCTGTTCTTACTACGAAAATTAGTCTTCGTTTGAGTAGATGAACCTGATATGTAATTATTCTCGTTTTAAAGACCATATCTCGTGTATATGTTCAGGTACAATGTGCAAATTTATTTGTGAGAATTTTCTAGAACTCACTTCGCCATCGCCATGTTGTTATTTTCGTATTTATAAAAACATAACATCTGTAACCTGTTTGTAACAAAGATCATAAAATTTCATTGCTCTGCTTTTCATCCAAAAATTCCTCATAAATGCAACACTTATTCATCCTCTTGATAATTCTTGGTTTATGACATGTACCAGAATATAAATCACCAATTTGTTTGATCCAATTAGGCCCCTGCATGTTAATACGGTTACCCAATCCTAACAACAACATAAGGTATTATAGTCCACCCGTATAGCTCAGCGGTAGAGCACATGTACCAATTACGCATAGGTCCCAGATTCAATCCCCGGTTCAGGCACTTTTCTTGTTGCGTAAAGTACTTTAGGGTGTTTGACTGAGTGGTCCACGACTCTTAAAAAGGCTGTGGTGTGTACTTGTATGCCTATGTATGAGTGCACATAAAAGAACACAGGGCTGCTTCAAGGAGTGGTTCCTGGATCTGCCTTCCATGATTATGCGTCAATTAGGACCGTATATATATACAGGATATGCCCAAGAGGTATTGCACACCTTCATTGGTGGTAAACAAAATACAATATAATACAATATAGTGTTAGTACCTTTTATTTTTGAGACAAATTAGTTAGTTATTAAGTTTTATGACACCATAAGTGTCATTTTATACATAAATAATTTTACCAGGTATTATTTATTGAAAAACAATGTACGATTCCTTTGGAAAAACATTACGAGAGGTACATTAACTGGCCGTAACGGAGATCATTCTTGTAGCAACAAATATTTGTTTTCAGAAAGTGACAATATGGTGAAGTCAAGAGCTGAAATACAGAAAGCATATTGCACCAAAGAGAAGGACAATGAAGGCTATTTACCCAAAGAGAGAGAACACGTCAGTGGAAATTATATACCTACAAATGAGTTAACCAGTTTGAAGCAAAAACAAGGGAGACTCAAAAAGCAAAGGTATCACTGAAATCACAGATATCACTGAACTTAGAATTAGTTTTGACTCTAATAAAAAATGGTTAGGTGCGCAAAAAAAGATGGAGAAGGCAATCTATGAAAATAAATAATGAACTAACATGTGCAGAAAAAGAAATAAATACCTTCAAAATTAAAGTACAGAATTGCCAAATGCAACATTCAAAGACCAAAGTCAAAAGTGAATTGTGTTGGAAAAGGTACACCCAGAAAGCATACTGAAGACCAAATTAATGCAGCATGGTTGAGCACACCACAAAAGAGCAATGTAAGACACAGGCTATTGCTTAGGAATGTCCTCATTCAGCAAGTTTGAGCCACTAAATATAGGGCAGAGAAAAGGCAGACATCTCCACACTATGGTTTCTGGAAAGATACTGAAGAAGTACAGATTGTTGAAGACAGTCACATCCAGAACAGGACTCTAGGCACAAGGCAACAAAAATCCGGAAACTGACAAGCCAGATGTTCAAGCATTGAGGGAAAAAGCAACCAGAAGCAACGCGCAGATCCAAACGGTTGTATAAACTGGCAAATGAGATGAAACAGTGTGTACATAACGTGTACTTTGACAGGGTGAAATAAGACACCGGATGACGACTTATAAACCTCCCATGTTAGTTAAAGCAATGTTAAACTATGTAATTTTGCAAAAAAGCAGAAATGTTTGGATGTTAGTTAACTTTTATGAAAAAACATATTTGTACACAACGTAGATGTTTTTGTTATATTGTTTGTTACTAGGCATTACTTGATTGTTGAAAAAATTTTAGGAACTTAATATGTGAATAAGTTTGAAGGAAAATTCAGTATGATTAAATTTTGGTCATAACCTATTGCAGTTACTGCATTTTTCTCAGTTAAGAAAGGCGTGTTCCCATACCTGGAATCATATAATTTCAATTAATTATACCTTTACTTCATTTGAAACAACTCTAATTTGAAACTCTTTATGATTTTGTATTGCAACTTTGTATTGTAAACTCATTTTAGTTGTTACTTCATGAGCATTTAATTTTATGAAAAACATTTTTATACATTGTGATTTAAGACTTTTTAAATATAATTTCTATTACAAATTGGTCTGTTATTGTATAGATAAATAAAATAAACCTAGTATTAATTTGTGTGTTAGTTTTTCTATGATGGTCTCATGGGCCAAAAATGAACAACAAAGCATTTGTTTTACTTGTTTAAATAGTTGTTTGCTATCATTGAAATTTCCCTATAATCATTGATACAATCATAATCATTTCTCCCTTTACATATCATGGTGAATCTCAAAAAATAAGATAGTGGTGCATGAAATATTTGGGAGTATTAAACTTTCGACTGTGTAGATTACTGTAACACCACGGTTATTTTTTGGAACCTCGAAATGGACCTGAAATTTGAGAATGGGTGTTAGATTGATAATGTTTTTGTTACTCTGTTGAAATGTTTCAAATTTTGTTATGTTAGATAGAATTTATAGTCTTACTGTTTTTTTTATTCAAAATGGATATCTTCGTAAAAATTGATAACATGAAATTTTTTGATAAATCTGTTTGTTGCATTTAATGAATAGCTACGATAGCTACATACTGAATTATTGAAAATATCTGTACTAAATAAGCACTAATTATTAGCATTATTGTCAGAGCACTGATCGAGTGCTGACATTGGCACAGGATTATAACTGGCAATAGTGATAATCAGAATTTTCACAAAATAAATTCACTATAGGGCCAGTAAAAGCATAACCCCTGTGATAGGTAAAATTACATGTACAATTACACAATTATGCAAAATGCAAGAAGATGTGCTGCCAATGTTTGTGACTGGTGTTCAGTATCCATATCACAAATTGTTATACTTTTGCAATAGGAACTAGATGGTGACATTTTGTCTTATAAACTGAACAACTGTTTTGAAATATTGTATCCACTTCTTTATGTTACAGGAACCTGATACATTCATTGTCCCTCTAAAAGACATCAAATGCAAAGAGGGGGACAAGAAAATAGAATTTTTCTGCCAGTTCTGTAAATCGAATGCCAAACTTCGCTGGTACAAGAACAAGCTAGAAATCTTCCAAGGACCAAGGTTAGTTTTTTTTCCAATAAACCCACTTTGGCGAAGATATTAAATAGTGGAGGGGGGTGTTCTGTGTTAGTTTTTCCTCATATCAACAGTTTACCTTGTAAAGTGGCCCAGTTACCATTTCAGAGTTGGTTTTCCATGTTGTAATGTTGTAATAAGCACTTGGCCACTTAAATTGACTAGATGCCAGTAGAAATGATTTTCATTTTTGAATTTAAATATTCAACCAAAATAATATTATTACTAGGACTGTCATGGTTAATGCCGATAGTAGCTTACTAGAATCAGAAATTTTCACTCAAATAGTTGACTGTGGATACCTTATCCTATTTTTATTATCAAACTGAAAAATTGATAACATGAAAATTATCCACCAAAAATCTTTTTTTGAAATTTAAATGAATATCTTGTATATCTGCAATACTCTAGCAGAATTAAGCCACCTGATGATGAACCTGGTAACTAACTACTGGCACCTATGTTATTGTAATTTCATTGATCAACATAAAACATGAAGTGCAGTGATTCTTAATGCCTAACAATGTTGCTGTGTTAATATGTTATATTTGTGGTGTTCTTAAATCTAAATTGACAGCTTCAGCTACAATCTGTCTGTTTTGACATGTTGTCCAAATGTTGTGTTTTGATGTTTTGCGAAATTTTGTTTTCTGATGTGTTGTCCAAATGTTGTGTTTTGATATTTTGCGAAATTTTGTGTTTTTGTGAGTTGTCTTAAATGTTGCAATTTGTAGTGTTGTGTAAGATGTGGTGTGTTTGTTATCTGTGATATATTTATGTTGAGGACATTGTGTATAATTGTTTTATGAACATATAATGCTAGATATCAAGACCACCCAGAGCATATGTGAGTAAATATCATGTACAGTAAAACCTGTATATCCGAACACCTCTTAGTTGCACACTTCATGTCTGCTGTTTTTTGCTCATCTTCTATTGAGTTCGCAGACTTCTGAAAAAATCAAAAAGTTAAGAAAATTTAAAGGTTTGGGGTCAATGAAGCTATTAATATTTATTGAGAATAAATTGCATTATGTTGATGCAACATTCAGATTAGACAGGTTTTACTGTACAAGTAAACTGTATTTACTAACAAAAGAAGATGTATATAGCTTCCGATATATGTTATGCTATTATTGCATAATTACTATATCATTATTATATCATAGTTCATCCTGTATATTAGATTTACATTCAATTGTGTTAATGTTATACTTGTATGAACAACAAGTGAGCTAAACAAATTAATGAACATATCATACATGATGTGAGTATATATGATATGTTTGCTTTGTGCTCATTTGTTCATATATCATAACTTTTGAATCATTTCATATATCATAACTTATTAGTACTTTCATATATCATAACTTTTGAATCATTTCATATATCATAACTTATTAGTAATTTCATATATCATAACTTTTGAATCATTTCATATATCATAACTTGAGTCAGTATTATATGATATACAGAATAAACTATTGAATGGTCTGTTTATCCCATCCAAAGTCTGGTATTGTAGACAATGATTGTATACAATAAGTATATACAATGGTAACTGGTCAACTCAACCCCAAGTCAACTCAACCCAAGTCAACTCAACCCTTAGTCAAGTCGACCCCAAGTCAAGTCCACCCTTAGTCAAGTCGACCCCAAGTCATCTTGACCCTTAGTCAACTCGACCCCAAGTCATCTCAACCCTTGGTCATCTCATCCCTTAGTCAACTCTACCCCACCATAAAAAACAAATAGATATACTATTTTCATGGTATGATATTGATGAATTTTGAAAGAATGAGGGACTAAAATGCTAATTTTCCAAAATAAAATTAACAACTATTGAAGTTTGTGCTTAACGCATTTATAATTTTTTATAAATATGGCATTTATTTACCAAAATAATATTTGATTAATCTTAATAGGGCTATTCACGATGCTATACATATATTTCACCCCTTCATATTTGAGCTTGTTTTATCTCTCTGAAATAAAAAAATTATCTATACACTTTTCTGTTATACCGAAATTGTTGCAACAGTATTTTTGACAACAGGTAGCTTATGCAACATGTGCATTGTGCCAACATCCATCCATTACTTTGTATTGAATGATTTTATATTTTGATAATAATGATAAACAATAAACAATATGATATAGTTCAAATCTTCCTTCTGATCTATAGGCGATAGAAATGTTTATTTTTTTAATCTAGATTTTAAAACAAGACTGAAAAAACAATGGGATTTATGATTTTACAATTTCCATTATCGTACCCATGTCAGGTGTCATAAACAATGCTACCTAAACAATCAGATTGGGATTTTATGATCCATTTCAAATCTTCGTTTTGATCTATAGGTGGCAAAAATGTTTTTTTCTTTGAAGTTTGATTTCAAATCAAACTGCACAAACAATGGGATTATATTGTATTTTAATCTTCTTAAAACAAGTAAAATCATTTGGGTCGACTTGACTAAGGGTTTAGTTGACCAAGGGTTGAGATGACTTGGGGTCGAGTTGACTAAGGGTTGAGTTGACTTGGGTTGAGTTGACTTGGGGTTGAGTTGACCAGGAAGCTATACAATGAGTTGTATATGGATACATTGCGTAGAGGTTTTTTTAATTTGTTCATAAACAAAACTTAGGTTGGGATAAGAAATGTTACATGTTATAAATGCGTTGCTATTGAATATGGGTTTATTTACTGATTCATGATTCTAAAAAAGTAACTTTAATTTTGTGCTCTCAAAACCTATATTCAATCTCAACCATCTAAAGTTTTGTCAAATATACAGTGTGAATACTAATTATACATGAAGTTAGGATATATGATATGTGGGGGAGACATAAATGTTATATATCCTATATTAACATTTATAATTACTATATATATTACTCTATTGCTAGGAGTAATAGCATTTTCAGCCTTCATATGACATCAATATCATTCATGGGCCACCAATTACAAAGATATGTACCTTTAAAAAAAGAATAACTTGGGGTCCAGAAATTTTGTCGTCTGTAAATCTGGCATCCCTTTTGATATTGATGTAATCAGGAATGGATTGAAAATGATTGTGTTACGCGATTACTTTACTGCCTAAATGCGAGCTGACTTATTTGTACAGTACTCCAATGAGGAAATTAAGTAACTTATATGTTGTTGAAACAATTCACCATCATTGTTATTTTATTTTCTCATTTTTATGTTCATTTGTTATATTATCTTTATAGTTTCCTCATATATTGAATGTTTCACAGTCCGCATATAAGTTGATGTACTAATGTATATGCTGGGTTGACATCCTATACGTTACGACAAGCTAACTTTTATATGGATAATAACATTTTTCTCTCAATTTTTTCATATATTGGGTTATATTAAGTACTGTACACCAAAGTAGTAGATTGGCTTCTACAGAATATGTACATGTACATTCTAACAGCATGGAAATATGTACTGTACATAATGTACAGCATTCCCAGTCAGTGCTATTTTCATTTTCATGCTTATATTATCTTTTTATTTCTATTTTAATTAATTTTTTGGAATATGTGGACATGAGTTCTTCATTATCATTCTGTTTGCACATATTATGCAAATATGGATGTCTTTCTTTAGCTTTTTGAAGAAGTATTTGCGGAAACTTTAATGTGTAGAAACTTTCTAGATATTTTTACTTTAAACATATATACATGTAGGTATATTCATAAATTCTTATTAAATGCCTCTTAAATCTTTACTTTTTTATATTATCACATAAATTCTGTACAAGCATGTAATATGAATATTTTCACTTCACATGTCCATTTTAGCATCATAGTTGAGTAATACTTTTAAACATATTAAAAATAGACAGTGTATGCTATTGTAGGGACTTGGTCAAAATGTTCATGTTCTGCAACAGAAAAGTTGATAAAGGACAATAAAAGACAAAGATCAATTTCCTCTTGTTAAAGCTTGTTATCATGATATGTGATTATAGCTTGACGAAAGTTGGTCATCCAATGTAATTCATTCCCTCTTACTAAAATTCTTTCGATTTCAAATCATACATCAATATTTGATCAAGGCCCTAATCTGCATATTAAATGAAGACAAAGCGAATGTGCAAGGTGTAAAACCAGAATTATACCAAGAAATAACAAAAATAAATAAATTTGTAACACAAAAATTTTCTTGAATTTTAGGTACGACTTTGTCAGTAACAAAGATGAACAGAGGCTCATTATTAAGAAAATCAAGTTGGAGGATGGCGGGAAATACACATGTAAATGTGATGACACTCAAACCTCTGCTTGGTTATACGTTGAAGGTATTTAATGTTTTATTGTTCTTTCAAATGGCGAATACCAATATGATTATGTTACTTTATTTCATGCTTTGCTGTACAAGTGTTTTTTCTTCTTTATTTATATTATTAAATGTTTTATAGTGCTGAAATTCATCAAAATTCCAAAGTAAGAAAATACAATCAAAAATAATATTGTTGAATGATTTCTATGTCTGTATGAAATTTCTTCTTGTGCATGTACCAAGGTTTTTATACCTATTACCTTAAGGGGTCTTGTTTTTGATACCAGGGCCACATAGTTTTACAGGAACATGATCCTTTAAGGCATGTTTCGCACTGGCAAATTTTCTCTCCTATTTGGGGCCAAGTTCTGCACTTTTAATGCTTTTCAATGTTTCACTGCGCATCAAAAAGAAGTTTCTAATGTGCTTGGAATTGTTCCTGTCTTAATTTATTAATATTTTCCATAAATATTGTCATCCATAAATTCTGCTTTTACTTTCCAGCAAGTATGTTGAATTTAGTAATTGGAGGTATAGAAGGGGATATAAGTTCTATATAATCGCAAAATTCAGCATTTATCCCATGCTTAATTATGTTACAGGGAGATACATGTAACAGAGGGATATAAAAGTTATATCCCCAAAATAAACTTGTACTTCCAGCTATATGGCTATGTGTAATGTTTCTCCTTTGTAATATATAACTTTTATTATTCACATCGATAGGTATGGGATAAATCAGTTATATGATGGTAGTTTTGGATATGGGATTCAATCTTTGAAAAATTGTATATCTCCCTTAGTTTTGGGATCTTGGGATATATTTTATAGGATAATCCCTGTATCCAATACCACCCATTGTATAACTGTCAGTGATATACTGGGCTGTACTTATATAACCAGGGCACCCCTTTCAAGTTTACCATATTGAAACATTGTCTGTGGCAGAGGTTTATTGAAATAAATTTGTTTCCTTCTTTAAACCTATTTCTTTTTATATTCTTATTATATTATAGTATTATACAATATACATGTATATTGTACATGTTTATTGAACAAGTATATTGTATATGTATTCTACAATATATTTACTATAGATAAGTGTATCAGGGTCACCTAACTTGCATGTACATATTTGGCTGCTTCTTGTTTTATATATTATATATTTGCAAAAGGATCCAAGGAGAAGCATGGATGGGTAGGATTCAAGTTTATATGCCCTCATTATAGATACCATACCATGTGGTACCTTTGGTAATACCAGGACCTGATATACAAGTATAGTACTATGTATATATGGAAGAGCCTTGTGCTACAGCATCATAGGTTGTAGCATTAAAAGTTAGGTGGCCCCTCTCTATCATTCTTATGCTATTTGACTTGGTACTGGGAATAGGAATAAGTCAGAGAGTCTTTGATGATGGTGTCAAATCTCAACAGGTGTAGAAGTTGATTTGAAAAAAAAAATCTTTTACTGGGATGGAGGGAGAGGTGAAACCATAATGAAGTTTTAACTTGCTATTTGTTTTATTAACAACTGTTGATAGTTTGACACCATCTCTTATATACTGAATGCAAAAAAACTCAGTTCAACTTTGAAGTAAGGTATTTGTTTTGACTCACAATTTCTAACAGGCTTTAAATGTGAACTTCCATACACTTTACATTTCTAAACCTTTACTATAGTATGCGACCTTCAGATACTTTATAAGACTAATGTCTTCCATGTAAAGCTTTATGTTTTGTACTTAATGTTTCTGTGTCCCTTTTGCATTACATTTTGAATCAGGGTGTGTCCTATGAATTTCATAGAAATAATGGGAAAATCAGACTTGTCAGTTTCTATTTGGTTCTGGACCTGCAAAGTCACACAATATAATATTTTCATTCTATTTACAGAGAAGAAAGCTGAGTACTATTTTACCCAGAAACTTCCTGAGACAGTCTCTGTGGTCCGAAAGAAGAAAGTGACTTTGGAGTGTGCTCTTATTGATCCAAGACCCCATGTTATATGGTACAAAAATGGAGAGAGACTTGATGTGAGCATAAGTAGCATTAGTTAATTATACAATAATGATATATAATGGCTGTCATTTTAGGGAAATGCTCTAGCCAAACATATCACTTAATAAGATACAATTATACAAGTCATAGAAATGACAAAACAATTATTTCGTTCAATTTATAATCAAATTAACTTCCACAAGATTTATATTTGAATGTTAAACTGTTTGCAAATGTTAATGTCGCAAACATCCAATAAAAAATTAGAATTCAAATGTAAATTGGAGTTTTTATATACCCCATGTATTACGTATGTCTTTGGAAGATTCAGTTAAACATTTATAAAGCAATTTTCATAACAATTGATGTTTTCAGTATACCCCAAAGAAATATGAGATTGTACGTCGTGAGAACCGATGTCTGTTGACCATTGTAAACGCTGATGACAATGATGTGGCTGAATACAAATGTGAAGTAGAAGGAGATGAAACCACCACCAAAGTGCTATTACAAGGTAATTCTTCTGTGTATGAAGTCATTGTAACTACGAAAAATATTTAACTATTTTTTACCCAACATTTTTGTCAGTTTGTTTTTTTATTTGGAAAAAATATAACCTTAATTTAGCAAATTGGCTGCATACAGTTGAACATGTAAGTAGAAATTGTCAATGTACAGTGAAATCGTTGGATTTGGGTCAATAAATTGACTTCTGGCACAAGAATACATTTTGACTTAAACCCCGCCCTTGAAATGAAGCCTCTCTGATAAATCCTCAGCATACAGTTTAATTTATTCGATGCAAAATGGACTAACATATTCCATCTGTAATTCCAGAACCATCCTGGGGTTTCTCTGAACTGTTGCATGATGAGGATGCCTTGGAGAACGAGGATGCTGAGATGTACTGTGAAGTGAATGATGCAGATGCTGAAGTGCAGTGGTTCAAGGGGGCTGAATCGGAAAGGGTAAACCAACTTGTTGCATTCCCCCATTATAAGACTCCTCTTTCAGTCTTACTTTTACTGATGGCTTTTCAAAATGTTGGGATTTTGATGCAGAGATCTGACCAAAGACTTTAGTTCAAAATTCAAATCTTAAGCTTCTCTTTTTTCAGCCTCTTGAGAATTGCCCCAAGTATGAGATCATTGAGGATGGAGTTAAGCGTATCCTAAAGGTGAAGAACATGTCCAAGCAGGATGAGCACCAGTATATATGTCGTACAGGGCAGGAGACCACTCAGGCCAAACTATTTGTGGAACGTAAGTGGGGACCCTACTTGTAGTAGTTAGTGAGTGAAGGACAAGAAAGTTTTAGAATAGGGAAATAATTTATGATAGGAAATTTTACTTTGTTTATGTGATTAAGCATCGTTTTCACATTTGAAAAATTAAGTAGATGGACAGTAAACTTGAATTCATGCAAGTTTCTTCAAATATAAACTTGGTGCAATATAATTGAGTGAATAGATACCATTGGTGTACATAAATGATTGAAAATGTGAACATTAACATTGTTGTTTTTCGAATTGTTTTGAATGCAGGCAAATGAACATCTTTTAAAAAAGATTTTTCAGTTAATTTTTTTGTTATTATTTGTTAATTTTACTAACAATTCTACAATACAGCGACTTTCTTAATAATTCACTTTTAGTCAATCAATAAGTCGAAATAATGCCAAAACGGGTTTAAATTGTGGAGAATTCAGTGGGAATACAGACAATACAGTTAATTCTTGAAAAACTTCTCTTGCAGCTGATGTTAAGTTCAAAGAGAAGCTGAAGGATGTCCGTGGTGTTGAGGGCCAGAAAGCCGTCATGGAATGCAGACCTTACAATCCTCATAGATACCCTGTTTCTTGGTTCAAAGATGGCAAAGAGGTCACTCTAAGTGATAGGTATGATCACAATTTCATATTTAGAAGGTGTATATGTAGACGAAAAATGAGTTTAAAATTAACACCATATACTTTAGTCTAGCTACAAGCCAGTTGCACAACTTCTGTGTGAGAAGTCAAGTAGAGGGGGGAGGCACAGAGGCTTGTAGTTAGACTACATATACTCAGAATTTATTATGTATTACACATAAACATACATATGTGTAAAATCCTGCCCATGTAACACTTGCCATATCTTTTATCAATTCAGAGTCCAAGCTGTTAAGGATGTTGACTGGGAGAAACTGGTCTTTGAGACGTTAGACTTGGATGATGAAGCCCTGTATACATGTAAAGTTGGGGACCGTGAAACAAAAGCTGAACTCTTGGTTGATGAAGGAGAGAGAGCCCCTGTGGTAGACCTTGACAAAATACCTAAAGTAATTGAAGTCAAGGCTGGGGAGAAAATTGATCTACCTATACCATTTACAGGTGAGTGCATAAAGTACAATACAATAAATGGACCAGTACATGTAGTGCAGTACAGTCTTTAATTTAACTTTAATTATTTTATTAGCTTTATAAATAATAGATGGATATAACATAACTGGAAGTGTCATTTAGAATATAAAGTGGAATTCTAGCAAGTCTGATAACTTACTACATTGCACATGTGAATATGTGAATGAATATGTGAAAAATGTGAAGATATAGAACATTGTACATGTGAATATGTGAATGAATATGTGAAATATTCTGCAAGCATGCACTCGTGTGGCACATCTGCAATATAGAATCAAAAATCAAAATAATTCAATTGAGATGTTTGAATTATTTTGACTTTTGAGTTTGAATTTAGTGCATTGTGAATTTCTGAGATTGCCATGATTTACAAATGACAATACAGAAATGTCACAATTTATAGTAATGTGGCATACAATACATGTTTAGCTGTACAATAGTTTATCGTATGATCTGTAAAATGAAGCCTTCTGATTGGCCAGTTCTTGTGCTGTACCAATCTGTGTTGCTACTGAGATTGTCCCCATTGATCATCTCCGTCGCAATACAGAAAATATTGGTACGGAGGGAGGGGGACATTCTCAGTAGCAATACAGAGGATCACACGATAAAAACGTTATAGAAAGATATGAAGTGCAACACAGGATATATTCTGCTCTCGATATTCTGTATTGGCACTCGACTTCGTCTCGTTCCAATGTGGAATTCATGAGCAGAATATATCCTGTATTGCACTTCAAGTCATTCAATAACTTATAATATTATTTTGAGGTATCACAATATTTTGATATTTTGGATGAACCACGTTTGTTAAGTCATTAATTAGATTAGAAATTGATTTTGTAATTCTCTGAGCAATTTCATTTTTCAAGGATTTGTTATTTATGATTATTCCAACCATTTAAAGGTATTTAGTTATTTTTATTTGTTGAATTATTGATTTAAATTTGAGTTTTTTAATTTTTCAAATAATTGAGTTTTGAAATTTTATTTTAGTGAAAGAGGGTAAGACCAGATAGAATTATATTCAGTTTCATGTAATATCCATATAGTGTCCATGTGTATCATATACATATGTGGAAGATACTGACATGTTAAGAGTCAATAAAAGATTTATAGCATTCAACTGGTATGCAGGGGAGCAGAAATTGAAGGGCCATTCATTGTAAGGCGATTATTATGGGCTTCCATTATCTGCCATCATTGAAGATTTGTTACAGTTTATGGCATTGACACTTAAAACTTTTTTAGAAAAATATCCAAAATATTGTTGCTCTAATTGATAGCCATGTAATTTCTGCAGTCCAAGTCAGCCAGTTTCTAGTATACAGGTTATGTAGAGTTGTATTGAAAGAAACATTATTTTCTGTCTTGGTATGGCATGGTTATATATTTGGACCAAAATTGTCAAATTTGAACCCTCTTGGAATTTTTTGAAAACTGAACCCCCTTGGCAAATCCAGGCTACAGGCCTAAATATAGCCATAGCAAGACAGAAAATCCTGGATGTCAATTTTCGGTTATTTTCCGATGATGTACATTAGTCTAAAAATGATTAATCTTGAAAATGAATGACAACACATGGGCACTATATGAATTCATCTCATACATGTTCATGTTCTAACCGCTTATGATATATGCTGCTTTAAGATATGATAACACCCTGTATGATAAATGCTTTATGTGATCAAAATTCTTGCCTTGTAAAACTATCCAAACATAAATAACAGCTCCTAGTGCAAAGTAAGACTTAATTTCTATATAATAATGAATTCTATGAATTATATAGATCTTCCCATTATCATTTCTACAAATTATGGTCAATGACTTTATAGAATGTTCTTTGATTTATACTCCTTGCATTAATTAATTTTTAATCTTGATTTGAGTTGTAGTGATTAAAACAATGTCACATTAATTTCATAGGTCAACAAAAGATGACAGCACTAGTCGGTCTTTATTTTAAGAAGACAGACCTTTACCGCCATATTTCTGTTGACTTAGTCATTATGATTGATTCAGAATATTTCTTGAATAACATCTGTTTCCCTGTAGCACCATTTCCTTTGAGTTTATCTATGTTATTTCGTGATACTATCTATGTCTCCATCTTCCCTGTTTGCATGTCCTGTACCTTTAGTTTAGCTCCCTTCCCTTAGATACACATTAGAATACCCCTCATCCCATATTATAGGATGAAAATATACCTACTTGAAAATCCTTTCCCTAAACAATTACAAAAATATTCTTCAGTTTTCCCTTATAAAAATGTGTTTAATATCCTTTATAGTTTCTCCAGTACATGTGATTTTAATTATCCTGATAAATATTTTCTATTGATTTGATTTTGTTGGAAGATTAAAGAATGAACAACTTGCTGTGTGAGAGTGATCGTGCCTTTTGTGTACACACTTATGTAATAGCATGTAAACTATAGCAAGAATTAGCGACTAAATCAGCCAATCAAAATCGCAGTTTGTCAGCAACTTTACAATTGCGATTTTTAGCTTTAAACCAACATGGCACAATTTTGGCACCTTACACAAATCACAACACACACTTCTGTTATAGGAACTCCAATGCCAAAGGCCAACTGGAAGAAAGATGGCGCCCCACTAAAACCTGAGAATGCAAAGACTGAGATGACTCCTAAGGCTTGTAAACTGAAGGTTGGTCAAGCCAAGAGAGCTGATAGTGGGGACTATGAGCTTGAACTTGCTAATAAAGTTGGGGCTGTCAAGGTCCCTATTAAGATAAAGGTTGTAGGTAAGTTCTATTGAAGAAAAGATTGATTTATTTTCGATGGGAACAAATCAAAATAACGATTTACGGTTAATAGAAGGGATAATGGCATATTTAGGGCAAATTGATTTCAACAAAATCCAGGGAATTTATTTCTTCAGGAGAAGGCCAGAATTGATGAAATGTTCACTGATTTATACTTAGATGAAAGATGTGGGAAAGTTAAAAACTAATTGAATAAGAATGGAAAATCCTTCAGACAGTGGTGATACCCATTGTGACATGAATTAATATTTTACCATTTTATATAATGTATAAAATAAACCTACCAGACACCTTGACAAAAAGAAAAAGCGTTTCATAACATGGGGAGGGGGCAACCAAAGCTTATTTAGTTTTTTTTCGTAAATCGTTATATTGATGTATTTTCCAAGAATTATATAAAAAATGCATTTCAATTTACGCTTTATACATTTTATTATCCAGACAAGCCTAGCAGACCCGAGCCTGACCTTGAGGCATTTGACGTTTACAAGGATCGTTGCAAACTTCGCTGGAAGCCACCAAAGGATGATGGTGGTGCACCAATTGAAGAGTACATCGTTGAGCAGATGGATACTGCCAGAGGGTCATGGAATGAAGTCGCACGTCCTAAAAAACCTGAAGCTGCCGTCGATAAACTGGTTGCTGGCAAGAAATATAAGTTTAGGGTTAAGGCTGTGAATAAGCATGGTGAAAGTAAACCACTTGATACTCCACATGATATCTTGGCCAAAGATCCTTATGGTATGTATTAATATACCAGGCAATTTGAATAGTTTTAAGTATATTAATACCTGAATGTATGTGGTATAAAACATCGACTTACATTATTTCTCAATGTTAAGATGTAACATCAAGTAACATGCATGTACATCTTGTATAAATTACATCAGAATTTGCATATTGTAAATGAGTACTGAATACTTAGTACTTTAATGTCTAATCAGATGAATGTATTTAAAATGAACAACTGAGAACTTTTGCCATTCTCACTCCAAAATTTGAAATCATAAAATCATATATCAAATAGAAAAGAATTAAAACAACTTGAAAACTACACATACACATCACTCATTTCATATTCTGTTAATAGATGAACCTGATTCCCCTGGCACCCCTGAGGTCCATGATGTGGATGAGAACCATGCAGACATCTCCTGGGCCCCACCCAAAGATGACGGTGGTGCACCTTTAGAGAAATATATCATTGAGAAGAAGGAAAAGGGAGGAGACTGGGTTAAGGTAATAATCACTTTATCCAAAACGGATAACAAAGTTTCTCTTACAATGCAATGCAATGAAACCTATATATCAGAACACCTCTCTAATCTGAACACCTCTCAATGTGAACACCCTAATTTTTAAATCTCCCATTGACTCACATATTAAAACACCTTGAAATGTGAACACCTACTCCTCTGAACACTGGGCTGGTCTTAGTGGAGTTAGGGCAAGACGGGTTTTACTTCAATATGTAGAATTTCAGCTATGGCCAATAACCCAGATGCGAGTAGAAATAATCTTGATTTACATCATTAAAAATTCAAAATTCAGTCAAAGTAATAACATATTTGAAATCTACATGTAAAATTACATCTAGAAATGTGGTTTTAAAAAGTGTTTATCAACTTTGAAAAATTTATTTTCTTTGAAAATGTGACTTCTAGCTCGGGGAGATTCGCCATAGACCCCATGCTATAAAATCACAAAAAATGAAATATCTTTTCTTTTAGTGGACAGATAATATTTTGCTTTACTGGACATATTTTCATTAGTATAAGTATCAGACACATAAGGGTTATATGAAAATTGATCCACTTAAATTGATAATATTCAAGTTTAAGGGAACTTTCTTATATACCTGCCATGTTAATTGACCCGAATCAGCCACCTGGTGGTGAAACTGGTAACTACCTACTCGCATTTGGGTAATTCAATGTATTAGGTTTCTTTAAAAAAAAAGCCTAAATCACTTTAAAAAGTGTTCAGAATGGTGAAAAACTGCATGATTTTGAAAGATTTTTTGGCCAGGGGGCCATCGAAACCCCCCCCCCTGGCTACAGGCTTGAAGTACCTAATGTATTTTATGCCACCTATTGACTTTGTCCTGAATACCATTAAAGTAAAACTTGTATATATTCCCCTCCACATTGTAGGCTAATGAGGTGCCAGCAGGCCAACAGAATGCCAGAGTTAAGCATTTAGATGAAGGCAAAGAATATGAATTCAGAGTGATTGCAGTCAACAAGGGTGGCAACTCTCTACCTAGCAATGCATCCAAGCCTGTTCTAGCTCTACCTAAACTCAGTAAGATTCTTGTCATTGTTTTTTTGTTTTTTTATTTTATTTATTTCATTAAAACATAATAACATTTTTATATATTCGTGGTCTTGACACTTACATAGGTATCCAAGGTTTATAGCTTAATGTGGCCCATAAAATCTATAAATAATACTCAAGACACCAATTATTGTATCAAATACATTAAAATGAAAATAATGGGTCGGAATCTCCCAATATTCAACAAACAATGTGAGCTTAGCACCAATTAAAGGCATTTGTATTCAGTTTATTTTGGATAACTGATAAGTATTTGAAGCAGTTATAAATCAAAAGTAATTCTCAAAAATTCCTTACATACACCATAGTCAGTAGCTGACATTGTTATTTGTTATCTTTTAGGGAAGCCTAGAATAGACAAGCGTGATCTGCGGGATGTTAGGCTAAAGAAGGGACAATCATTCACTCTGGATGTGCCCTTCACTGGGGCCCCAGCCCCTGATGTCATCTGGACCAGGAATGGAGAGGTACAGTATAACAAGATAGCTTACGTCCAAGACAGCTTGAAGTCAAAGTTCTGAACAGTCAACTCAAAATCCTAAACAGCCTAAACTCAAAGTCCTAAACAGCCTAAACTCAAAGTCCTAAACAGCCTAAACTCAAAGTCCTAAACAGCCTAAACTCAAAGTTCTGAACAGCCTAAACTCAAATTCTTAAACAGCTGAAAGTAGAAGTCCTGAACAGTGAACTCAAAATCCTTAACAGCTTAAAGTCTAAGGCCTAAAAGGTTAAGACCAGAGTCCTGATAAGTCAAAGTCTCACACAGTTAAAAACACATTTCACAATACTTGTTCATATGGCTACAGTATTTATTACAAGATTCATTAAATAACACCAAGTATCATATTAACACTATAAATATTGTTTGCCAGGTAATCAAAGCAGATGACATCGTCCAGATTACCAACTCTCCAACTCGCTCAATTTTCAAGAACACCAGTGGTGTTAGAAAGGACACTGGAGAGTATAAGATCACAGTGAAGAATGAAGCAGGAGAAGATAGTGCCCTCATTAACATTGTGGTACTAGGTGAGTAGGAACATACATTGTTAAACCTGGTAATGGAAAACATAACATAAAACATGCATCTTGATGTAAATATCTCCATTGAACATAAGCATCAATTCAAAATGCTTTATTTTAACTGTGTTAAAGATTGAAAAATACAGATAAAAACAATTACTTGATTGTTCACATTTGGGCAACCTTTCCAATCCTTTTTAATATGGGTGGGCAAAGTATAACAACTACTTGATTATTCAGATTTGGGCACCCTTTCCAATCCTTTTTAGATGGCCAAGATATAACAACTTATTTCTTTTTAAATTTTAGGTCCTCCATCTAGACCAGAGGGCCCTCTAGAGGTGTCCGATGTAACTAAAGACAAATGTAAACTCAAGTGGAACCCACCTAAAGATGATGGTGGAAACCCAATACAGTGAGTGCAGCTTTCATAGAATCATACTGCAGTTGAAATAAATGCTCATTTTAGACTATTTTGTTAAATGAGTCATCTTAAGCCACATGGCCAAAAGAATCAACCAGACAGTGCTAGTGTGTTACTATAGTGTGTTACTATACTGTAAGATCCAAAATTGAACCATCCTCCAAACATAGGGCTACAGAATACTGGATCTTGGAGCCCTCTGATTGGAGGATGCAATTGAACTAAAAATAAGATTTGGAGCCTTGTATTACAACGTTGTATTAAAATATGATTCTGATATTCCCAGAGCATACAAGGTTGAGAAATACGACCCTGAATATGGTACTTGGGAGAAAGTGAGTGACTTTGTGAAAGGAACTGAATGCACTGTTCCAAAGCTTGAGGAAGGCCATGACTACAAGTTCAGGGTGTCAGCTGAGAACCAACATGGTTACAGTGAACCTCTAGAGACTGAGAAGTCAACCAAAGCAAAGAATCCATACGGTGAGTCAATGATTGTGAAAGGTAGTGCATTAACACTTGTAAAATAGCAAGTGGAACACCTTCATATGTGGAACAATTTTGAATATCCTGGTACCCATTTAATATTATAAAATAAACCTTTGAAAGTGGAACATCTCCAAAGTGGAACACTATTTGAGGTACCAAAGGTGTCCCACTTCAAAAGGTTTTGCTGTACATGTTTCTCTAAACCTTTATCTTTATACGTGTACTAGAATGAAACTCATGTTTTTATTTTATTTTAATTTTGTAGTATTTTGGTTCATTGTGAATCATGATTTCAGAACTTTATTCATTGATTACAGAATATAAGTCCCTAACAAATTCACGAATTTATCAAATGAAAATCAATATGTTTTTCCAGGACCTACCCGAAAAATCATGAATTTCAATATGTTTGATGTCTTTCAGATCCTCCATCGAAGCCTGGCAAACCAGAGATTGTCGACACCAACCGTGACCACATTGACATTAAATGGGCGGAGCCTAAATCTGACGGTGGTGCTCCCATCACAGGGTATGACATTGAGAGGAAAGATCCAAAGAGCGATCTCTGGAGAAAGATCAACAGCGAGCCTGTCCAAGTGAGTGTCATCAATAATATTTTGGGCATAACAACTTTATAAAAGATTCTCCTTTATACATCAAATATTAGGACAGTCCATCTGAACTTGACATTAGCAATGGAATATGAGCATAAGCTGGGATTAGCATACTCTTGAATTAGGTTTTTACCAGTTCTTTCGTGAGTTGATTTTATTTTTTGCTAGCTTTTGTATACCATATATCTTAATTTTGATACATTTATTGACTATTTTAGGGTACCAAATTCCACGATGACAAAGTATCTCCTAATAAGGAATATGAATACAGAGTCATTGCTAAGAACAAAGGAGGTGATTCGGAACCAAGTGAAGTGTCCAGACCTGCTGTGGCTAAACCAATGAAAGAAGCCCCTAAGATTAATCTTGATGGACTTTTCGGAGCTGATGAGATCAGAGTTAAGGCTGGAGAGCCTTTCACAATCCCTGTTGGGATATCTGGAGCCCCTGCTCCTACTGTTGCCTGGAAGAAGAATGGCAAAGATCTTGTTCCAAATAATAGGGTAGGTATGAGGTTACTCTCCAACCAGCCAGAAACATTTTAAGCTCAATTAAAATTATTGTTGCTTGTTGTCCTTCTGTTATATATCACAAAGTTCACGACTAAAGTCAAAATCATTATTGCCAAATTAAACATATTGACGTTCAGTCCAATAGCCAACCTGATTTTCTATGTCAAGAGAGAAAATTGGTTGCTATTGGCAGTCAGACAGCTCTGAGTTTCGAACTCTGATATCTGCTGTCAGGTTTAGAGAAAATAAGTGAGTGTTGAAAAAATATTAGAAATATGACACGTGGGTTATACTGTGTTCCAGGTCCAAATGAACAATGATGAAGAGAATGCCAAGCTGCATGTTCCAGTGTCAAAGAGAGATGACAGTGGCAAATATACTATTGCTGTTGATAATCCAAATGGTGCTGATTCCAAAGATATTAAGGTTGTTGTACTAGGTAAGAATGTTTTACAGGAAGTTGAATTAATACAAAAATTGTGAGGTTTAGAAAGGTACTAAGGATGCAGGGAACATAGATTCATAATTTTGGTGAAAATAGTATTTAATTCACTTTAGAATGAATGTTGAATACATCTGGGGCTAATATGAAAACTAGTTGTTTCACTAAACCCCTTTTTACCAGATTTTCTTGTTTCCTTTCTTTGGCTTTTGTTTTGAGTGAGATCATCTATTTTTCAATCATGTAATGTATTCAGTGAGCCCAGGGTTGTATATGAGAAAATTCAGTAACTTTTTGAATTGCCTTGTTTTCAGACAAGCCTGGTGCACCAGAGGGACCACTGAATGTATCAGATGTCACTGCAGACTCTGCTAAACTTACATGGAAGGAGCCAGAGGATGATGGTGGTGCAGAACTAACAGGTAAAATAGAGGACTTCAAATCATATGTAAAGTAAAACCTGTTATGGTCAACACAACTTTCACCAGTTCATTCGTTATTAGCCCAACATTTAGATTAGTTATGTCTTGACGAGATAACAGAGAATGTTAAAGCTGTTACTGCCAGGGGCCACAAAATATTTTATTTTCAATCTCAATCTCAATCCCTGTATTCAATTTCATGTATCCCACAAAAGTGATAACTAACTTTCTCAAAAAGTGATTACCAACTTTTAAAAAGTAATTGCCAACTTTCACAGGGAGTGATTTCCAACTTTCACAAAGAGAAATTACCAACTTTTTGGGGTTTTTGTTAGTTGCATTATTCAATTACACATCTGTTTGATGAAATCTTTCAGGATACATCGTAGAAAAAATGGAAGAAGGAAGTGGATTCTGGGAGAAAGTTCCCGGAATTATCACTCCTGACAAAACATCTAAGACAGTTGACGATCTAGTGGAGGGCAAAAAATACAAGTTCCGTGTGAAGGCTGAGAACATGTATGGGAAAAGTCCAGCGCTTGAGACAACTAAAGATACTCTGGCTAAACATCCATTTGGTAAGGTTTCTTTGTATTCATTTGCAGTATTGAAAAGATTCCTAACTTTTAACAGTAAATTATTTATTTGCACTTCAATTGGTTTACAAAATACTTATGAGTTTGAATAAATTATTTTTACATGTACAGTATGAAAATAAGTTTATCACAATATTTGATTGAACAAAAAATTCAATTCAGTAATATCACTCTCAATAAATTAGTTTAAATGTATGATGTTTAACAGGAAATATCATATACTGAAACTCTCCAGTACTTAGTATTATACCTTTAAGATCTGACTGTTCATAGATCCCATTTACATGTATACCTGCCATTTATATATGCACATCATTTATATTTGCACAACATGATGTTCATGTAAACAATCTGGCCAATTAAGTATTTAATTGGTAAAAAAAATATTTTTTGTTATTACAAGGGATGGCACAATATAGCATGTACTTCAAACCCTCCTGACAATCAAAATTTTTTATTGATTTCTTTTCTTATTTCAGATCCTCCAGGTGCTCCTCGTAATTTAGAAATTGGCAAATACAATAGAAGCTCTGTGACACTCAACTGGAAAGAACCCAATGATGATGGTGGCAACCCCATTAAAGGTATGTGAATATTATTGTATGGTATATACAAGAACTCTGCCATGTACAGTCTATAGCATACTGTGGAGAAATCTCTTATTGTAATATTCACATCAACTCATTGTAAAAGCTCAAGGGTGAGTTAATATTTTACAATGTACTGAACTGAAACTTACAATACAATACAATACAATAAAATACAATACAATACAATACAATACTGTAGAATCTAACAGCATAAGGAAAACTATTTTAGGGATACTTGACACAACTTTAAATGTTTATATATGTTTGGTTCCCCAACATTAGCACCAAATCAGAATTACATGTATTATGTACTTTAGATGAATATATATTAATTAGCCTCTAGTTATCAATATCAGATAACTTCTCAACAATATGTTTGTGATTTATCTCAAACTCATCAAATTCCTTTGCCAATGCTACCTGTCTAGACTGCATTGACTCTGAAATGATACTCCACTCCATCATAAGATTTTTTGCTTGCCCTTGAGTTGTAAGGTTCATGATTTCTATTGCATCATCAATGTCATTTTCAAGTTCAGTGAGCTTAACTGATGACGATTTTGTGAATTCAAAAATTTGTAATATCTGAGTCAGTGTTTCTCGGAGTCTCTCGAATTTATCTGTGCTTCCTATGTAGCTTCGCCCTTCTCTGCTAGTGAAAATATTACTGAAGATATTTGTAAAAACGATTTTTGCTTTTCCCATAAATGTTGCTGGTGGTTTCAGTTCTTCTAGTTTAGTCAGCAGTTCTCGTGTAGTGTTGTATTTGTTCATGATATGTTCAGGGCTTGCTAGGTTATCAAGTCTCGAGTAATCCAATATGTTATTTGTGAGAGTCTGTATATGTTGTCTTGCATCAATCAAACTTTTTTTAATGTTCGTATAACTGGTCTCTTCAACCAGACTTGCAGTTCGAATCTTGTTAAACCTGGCCACCATTAATAGCGCAATCGTGTGTATGTATGAGTTTAAATACTGTTTGAATTTAAGCACTTCTTGTTTTGTTCTTTCAAGGGTTAAGGTGATTTTTAATTCGACTATGGCGATCGAGTCATCCTTTTTTGGGACATGAGAAATTGTTGACTTAGGTTTTGTGACTGTAAACTTTTTAGCATAGGCTATTTCTTTAACTAAAAAGTTGGTTGGCAAGTTTTCAACCACTCCATCTCTTAGTTCAGTGTTTATTCGACAAGTGGGGCATTTAATAATACGAAATGAGGGGGCAGTCTGTTGGTACCTTTCCAAACAGTGATGGCAGAATGTATGTCCACATTGTAGAATCTTAGGGATGAGATTGCTGAAGTCCTCAAAACACATGGGGCATGTGATTGCTTCATCTTCAGTCATATTTAAAGGCATTGCCTCAGCCATGTTTTCACTGCAAATATAAAAGAGGACATACATGTATTGATAGGTTGTGAGGTTAAACGCTATACCCATACCAGTCAAATTAATATTAGGCTAAATATGACAAATATGCTAAATTTTATTTATAGGTCATGTCTGGTTTTGCTATTTTTGGCCCCATTGTTATGAGTCGTTTTTTCATTTCTGTCAATTCAGATGACAAAAATACACTGTATGGTAGTTTTAACCCAGTATTAAGTACAAAGCACACTATGCCTTTTAAGTAATCGTACGAGAAGAAAGTTATCTTTATAAACAAATCCTGAAGGGATAATTCCTGAAGGGACACATTTTTCTGCAATTTGAATGGTTAAGAGTAGGAGTAGCAAAGGTCATTTGAGACTTGAAAAGATAATAGTATTCTGCTCTAAATATATCAGATCTTGACCTTCAAAAGTTTAGATTGGTTAATGTTAGGTTTGGCCCTTTGTAGGTGTATATTCAGCTTGTTGTAACCTCAATCTCAGCCGCTTATACTGTACCAATATATTGTTTCTCCAATTACTTGCACTATTCAATGTTGTATTAGATATCGTGGTTATAATGACCTTCCTGCAATCCTTTGGATATATACTAAATGACTACCAATATGATACCAACTACTGTACCTGTATGACAAATAAACGCTACAAAATATATTAAAGTTAATGATTGATTAAACCTTCAAAATAAAACATACCTTGAATTTATGAACTTTGCACCTATGTTTGTTCCGCTGTTGTACTTTCAGTAATTTGCTTCCTATTATGGCTCATTACTCATATGCAGTCTGAACTGTTACTGTTCACAATGTCATTCCATACACGTGTATATTTATATACCTGTATACTGTTAAGACCTTGATGTAATAGCTAATAAGTCACTACAATGTGAATCATTTCACTTAAGCTTAAGCAAACTGAACTGTTAAGGTATTGTTGTGTTTATATACTGAAGTGTTTTGATAAGAATTTATATCACATGTGTGTGAGTCATTGTGACTTTTACTATGAAATATAGGATTTCATCATTTGAACTGATTAAGCTCATTCAAAGTATACGTGTACATAACAGTTAATAAGCCATGTTATCCACTTGCTTGTTATTTCAGTTTCATGGGGGAGGGGGTGGTGTCCTTAAGATCTTATGATTTTTATTATAATGTCTATCTTATTTTCTGGTAAAAATGTCTCTATGCATCATGGCATATTTTGGATTAACTAAAGTACATAATTCGCATAGTTTTAACAAAGTATCATTTAATAGTTTGTTTATACATGTACATGTTTATACATACATGTTTATGTATACATGCAATGGAGCATATTTTTGCCAGAAGAAAAAATAATCTTTTTGAAAGAGCAAAAACAAAAACAAAGTCAGTGAACTATGATCATTTAAGTTATTCTTGGTTTCTACTCTCATTATCAATCCTCAGACTGTCAGAATTTCTTATCCTTTAATGCAGCTTGTCCCCTTTTCTAAATAGATGGGTAATACAAAGCTAAATGTTGGGTTGAGCCAGGTAGCAGGGTGACCAGGTACCCTACCTTCCTACCAGGGTTAGGAATTTGATTTTTTCATTTTATACCTCAAAACGCCCAACTGACATCTCAATCAACGTACCAGTGACACAACCAATCAAGCAAACAACCAAACAAGCAACAAAATTTATTTACCAATAAATCAACCGGCAAAACGTCAAACAAAATTAATATAATGTCAATCATTGAGGCAATAAATCAAGCAACTAACTTTGTATTGTACATCGTACACTAATTAACAGATAAAAGCGGCAAATAACGTTTCAATTTACGCGTAAGTAAATCTTCCAGATTTGTTTAATATCTAGTAGAAATCGCCATCATAGAAAACAATCATCGATATCCTGTCAATTCACTCAAACTGTGTAAATAACTTCCTAGGACTTCTGAAATTCAGTCTCTTACAGGTTCTTTGAAAAATGATAACGTGAAAATATTGAAGGGTAGTCTACAAATGTGCAACTTTGAAAGTTGGTAACCCTGCAAGGAAGATAAGTACCCGGGCACCTGGCTACCCGGTCACCCGTTTTTTTATACAAACCCGTATATGTGTTATGGACAGGTCTAGTTAAGCATGTTCTAAACCTTCTACTATGTATTCCTTTTGATTTTGGACTTTTGTCTTTTATTGCAAAAATGAAAATCATTTAAATGGCCTTATTGAAAACTTTTTGAATTCTCTAATGAAGTCTAATTGGATGAAAATAGAAATCAAAATTAGAACATCTTCTTTATAGGTTATCAAGTTGAAAAACGTAGGAAGGGACGTAGTGATTGGGAGAAGGCGGGACCAATAGGAGGCCCTAAGACAACATACGATGTTATAGGGCTGACAGAAAATGAAACTTTAGAGTTCCGTGTCGCAGCCGTGAACAATGCAGGACCTGGTGCATTTACCAAAGCCACTGATCCTCATGTTGTCAGAGATCCCATATGTGAGTACATGTGCACTAAATTAAATTAATTAAATTAAAATAATTAATAAATTAAATTAATTAAATAAATACCACCTTCTTCACCTCTGCAAGTGGAACATCTTTCAAGTGGAACAGTACTTTGAGCTATTCAATGGTGTTCCATTTACACAGGTTTTACTGTATAATGTCTTCTAATTGCCCATATACCATATTATATAACTTTTATTGACATCTTGTATCATAACATGATTACATTAGTCATAACTATGAAAAAAAAAAAAAAACTAAATATCTAAACTACAAATACTAACTAAGGCAAAAGTACAAAAATATATACGAGATATACAAAAACCCAAATTGAAAATAACTTCTTGCCCATATACCATATTAGCGACATTGAAAATGACTTCTTGTCCATATACCATATTAACGACATTGAAAATGACTTCTTGCCCATATACCATATTAACGACATTGAAAATGACTTCTTGCCCATATACCATATTAACGACATTGAAAATGACTTCTTGCCCATATACCATATTAACGACATTGAAAATGACTTCTTGCCCATATACCATATTAACGACATTGAAAATGACTTCTTGCCCATATACCATATTAACGACATTGAAAATGACTTCTTGTCCATATACCATATTAACGACATTGAAAATGACTTCTTGCCCATATACCATATTAACAACATTGAAAATGACTTCTTGCCTATATACCATATTAACGACATTGAAAATGACTTCTTGCCTATATACCATATTAACGACATTGAAAATGACTTCTTGCCAATATACCATATTAACGACATTGAAAATGACTTCTTGCCCATATACCATATTAACGACATTGAAAATGACTTCTTGCCCATATACCATATTAACGACATTGAAAATGACTTCTTGCCCATATACCATATTAACGACATTAAAAATGACTTCTTGCCCATATACCATATTAACGACATTGAAAATGACTTCTTGCCCATATACCATATTAACGACATTGAAAATGACTTCTTGCCCATATACCATATTAACGACATTGAAAATGACTTCTTGCCCATATACCATATTAACGACATTGAAAATGACTTCTTGCCCATATACCATATTAACGACATTGAAAATGACTTCTTGTCCATATACCATAGTAACAACATTGAAAATGACTTCTTGCCCATATACCATATTAACAACATTGAAAATGACTTCTTGCCCATATACCATATTAACAACATTGAAAATGACTTCTTGCCCATATACCATATTAACGACATTGAAAATGACTTCTTGCCCATATACCATATTAACAACATTGAAAATGACTTCTTGCCCATATACCATATTAACAACATTGAAAATGACTTCTTGCCCATATACCATATTAACGACATTGAAAATGACTTCTTGCCCATATACCATATTAACGACATTGAAAATGACTTCTTGCCCATATACCATATTAACGACATTGAAAATGACTTCTTGCCCATATACCATATTAACGACATTGAAAATGACTTCTTGCCCATATACCATATTAACAACATTGAAAATGACTTCTTGCCCATATACCATATTAACAACATTGAAAATGACTTCTTGCCCATATACCATATTAACGACATTGAAAATGACTTCTTGCCCATATACCATATTAACGACATTGAAAATGACTTCTTGCCCATATACCATATTAACGACATTGAAAATGACTTCTTGCCCATATACCATATTAACGACATTGAAAATGACTTCTTGCCCATATACCATATTAACAACATTGAAAATGACTTCTTGCCCATATACCATATTAACAACATTGAAAATGACTTCTTGCCCATATACCATATTAACGACATTGAAAATAACTTCTTGCCCATATACCATATTAACGACATTGAAAATGACTTCTTGCCCATATACCATATTAACAACATTGAAAATGACTTCTTGCCCATATACCATATTAACAACATTGAAAATGACTTCTTGCCCATATACCATATTAACAACATTGAAAATAACTTCTTGCCCATATACCATATTAACGACATTGAAAATGACTTCTTGCCCATATACCATATTAACAACATTGAAAATGACTTCTTGCCCATATACCATATTAACGACATTGAAAATGACTTCTTGCTCATATACCATATTAACGACATTGAAAATGACTTCTTGCCCATATACCATATTAACGACATTGAAAATGACTTCTTGCCCATATACCATATTAACGACATTGAAAATAACTTCTTGCCCATATACCATATTAACGACATTGAAAATGACTTCTTCCCCATATACCATATTAACAACATTGAAAATGACTTCTTGCCCAAATACCATATTAACAACATTGAAAATGACTTCTTGCCCATATACCATATTAACAACATTGAAAATAACTTCTTGCCCATATACCATATTAACGACATTGAAAATGACTTCTTGCCCATATACCATATTAACGACATTGAAAATGACTTCTTGCCCATATACCATATTAACCCCATTGAAAATGACTTCTTGCCCATATATACCATATTAACGACATTGAAAATGACTTCTTGCCCATATACCATATTAACGACATTGAAAATGACTTCTTGCCCATATACCATATTAACGACATTGAAAATGACTTCTTGCCCATATACCACATTAACGACATTGAAAATGACTTCTTGCCCATATACCATATTAACCCCATTGAAAATGACTTCTTGCCCATATATACCATATTAACGACATTGAAAATGACTTCTTGTCCATATACCATATTAACGACATTGAAAATGACTTCTTGCCCATATACCATATTAACGACATTGAAAATGACTTCTTGCCCATATACCATATTAACGACATTGAAAATGACTTCTTGCCCATATACCATATTAACAACATTGAAAATGACTTCTTGCCCATATACCATATTAACGACATTGAAAATAACTTCAGTTGCTGCTGGTGCACCAAGCACTCCAAACATTGATAAACTCACCAAGAAAGATGCTAAGCTCTCCTGGGAGAAGCCTAAAGATGATGGAGGCAGTAAGATCTTAGGGTACCAGGTGGAGAAGAAACAGAAGGATGGAGAATGGGAACCAGCTGTTGAGGTAAATATCTGATTCTCAAGTTTGCTTCATTCAATTTCATTTTCATTAGAATATAATAAATGAAACCCCTAGAGCAATGTGAATTTGTTGAACTAATACCAAAAATAGGTATCTGTTAAATTATCATGCCACGAGACCAAGGTGCCTCTTAGATTTATTTATGCTGTCTTTCAATATATACAAAAGAATATGGGCTTGTCCGGGGACCTCTGCACCCAGAGCTAGAATCATACCCCTAGACCAACGAGCCAGTTATTGTGAACAATTATTTATTGGTTTTAAAAAGTAAGGGTTCGTCCGGGATTTGAATCCGGGACCTCTCGCACCCTAAGTGAGAATCATACCCCTAGACCAACGAGCCAGTTATTGTGAACAATTATTAATTGGTTTTAAAAAGTAAGGGGTCGTCTGGGATTTGAACCCGGGACCTCTCACACCCTAAGCGAGAATCATACCCCTAGACCAACGAGCCAGTTATTGTGAACAGTTATTAATTGGTTTTAAAAAGTAAGGGCTCGTCCGGGATTTGAACCCGGGACCTCTCGCACCCTAAGCGAGAATCATACCACTAGACCAACGCCAGTTATTGTTTATGAGAAAATGATAATGGATGAGCAATTATTAATAGGACACAAATAGAATGAATGATTGTTGTTTAAAAAAGTAACATTAAGGGCTCGTCCGGGAATTGGACCCGGGACCTCTCGCACCCTAAGCGAGAATCATACCCCTAGACCAACGAGCCAGTCATTGTGCACATGAATATGATTATGGATTAACAATTATTAATAGGACACAAATAGAATGAATGATTGTTGTTTAAAAAAGTAACATTAAGGGCTCGTCCGGGAATTGAACCCGGGACCTTTGCACCCTAAGCGAGAATCATACCCCTAGACCAACGAGCCAGTTATTGTGCACATAAATATGATTATGGATGAACAATTATGAATAGGACACAAATAGAATGAATGATTGTTGTTTAAAAAAGTAACATTAAGGGCTCGTCAGGGATTTGAACTTAGGACCTTTGGCACCCAAAGCGAGAATCATACCCATAGCCATTTATTGTGTATAAAAACTTGATTATGTATGAACAATTATTTATAGGACACAAATAGAATGAATGATTGTTGTTTAAAAAAGTAACATTAAGGGCTCGTCCGGGATTTGAACCCGGGACCTCTCGCACCCAAAGCGAGAATCATACCCCTAGACCAACGAGCCAGTTATTGTTTGTGAGAAAATGCTAATGCATCAACAATTATGAATAGGACACAAATAGAATGAATGATTGTTGTTTAAAAAAGTTACATTAAGGGCTCGTCCGGGATTTGAACCCGGGACCTCTCGCACCCTAAGCGTGAATCATACCCCTAGAGCAACGAGCCAGTTATTGACGGTCGAAAATGATTATGGATGAACAATTATTAATAGGACACAAATAGAATGAATGATTGTTGTTTAGAAAAATAACATTAAGGGCTCGTCAGGGATTTGAACTTGGGACCTTTGGCACCCAAAGCGAGAATCATACCCCTAGACCAACAAGCCAGTTATTTTGTGAGAAAATGCTAATGGCTAAACAGTTATGAATAGGACACAAATAGAATGAATGATTGTTGTTTAAAAAAGTAACATTAAGGGCTCGTCCGGGATTTGAACCCGGGACCTCTCACACCCAAAGCGAGAATCATACCCCTAGACCAACGAGCCAGTTATTGTTTGTGAGAAAATGCTAATGAATGAACAATTATTAATAGGACACAAATAGAATGAATGATTGTTGTTTAAAAAAAGTAACATTAAGGGCTTGTCCTGGATTTGAACCCGGGACCTCTCGCACCCAAAGCGAGAATCATACCCCTAGACCAACGAGCCAGTTATTGTTTGTGAGAAAATGCTAATGCATCAACAATTATGAATAGGACACAAATAGAATGAATGATTGTTGTTTAAAAAAGTAACATTAAGGGCTCGTCCGGGATTTGAACCCGGGACCTCTCGCACCCTAAGCGAGAATCATACCCCTAGACCAACGAGCCAGTTATTGTTTGTAATAAAATGCTAATGGATGAACAATTATTAATAGGACACAAATAGAATGAATGATTGTTGTTTAAAAAAGTAACATTAAGGGCTCGTCCGGGATTTGAACCCGGGACCTCTCGCACCCTAAGCGAGAATCATACCCTTAGACCAACGAGCCAGTTATTGGCAGTCGAAAATGATTATGGATGAACAATTATTAATAGGACACAAATAGAATGAATGATTGTTGTTTAAAAAAGTAACATTAAGGGCTCGTCAGGGATTTGAACTTGGGACCTTTGGCACCCAAAGTGAGAATCATACCCATAGCCATTTATGGTGTATAAGAACATGATTATGTATGAACAATTATTAAGAGGTTGCAAATAAAATGAATGATTGTGGTTTTAAAAAGTAAGGGCTCGTCCGGGATTTGAACCCGGGACCTCTCGCACCCAAAGCGAGAATCATACCCCTAGACCAACGAGCCGTTGATAGATGCAAGAAAACCATATTGAATCATAAAGCTGTTTTCACTTATTTGCAATTAATGTCTGCATTTATTTTTCTCTTCTTTCTAAGTCATCCTTGCAGAAAAATTCAAAACCTATTCAATTTCAGCAATCGCGATTGACTGAGAGATATTATTTCTTAAATCTTAAGGACTTGAGCAGAGTTAACCTTATAAACCACTATATCAAAATTGTATATATACTGAAATTAGGGGACTATTTGAATTGAATTGAGAATTTTTGTTATTCTCCCTTTTGCCAGGGTGTTAACAGCTGAGGACCTCTGGCAAGTTTCACAAGTGTTTTTTTCTAATATTGATTAATTACCTTTTAATTATTAATCCTTAGCAGTTGCTCTTTATGTTGAAAATCATTTAAGATGTTTGTTGACAGACAGATACAGCTGGACTGGAGCCTTTGAGAGAGTTGACATGCTGAAAATTAATGTCTATCAAATCTCTTCCTTTCATTAACTCTTGAAAAATAACTGAACCAAATCCTTGATTATCTCTTTATACACAGGTGCCTGCCTATTTAGTGCCTTATAAGAACCTTTTAAGTGGCTTATGAAAGCCTATTGAGTACCTTATAAGAGCCTATTGAGTGTCTTATGAGATCCTACCTGTATTGAGTACCTTATGATGGCCTATTGAGTGCCTTTTGAGAGCCTATTGAGCGGCTTATGAAAACCTATTGAGTGCCTTATAAGAGCCAATCAAACGCCTTATGAGAGCCTATTGAGTGCCTTGTTTGAGCCTATTGAGTGCCTTATGAGAGCCTATTGAGTGGCTTATTAGAGCCTATTGAGTGCCTTATGAGAGCCTATTGAGTGGCTTATGAGAGCCTATTGAGTGCCTTATAAGAGCCTATTAAGTGCCTTATGAGAGCCTATTGAGTGCCTTGCTTGAGCCTATTGAATGCCTTATGAGAGCCTATTGAGTGCCTTATGAGAGCCTTATAAGTGCCTTATGAGAACCTATTGAGTTCCTTGTTAGAGCCTATTGAGTGCCTTGTGAGAGGCTATTGAGTTCCTTATGAGAACCATTCTTATGAGAGCCTATTGAGTGCCTTATGAGAGCCTATTAAGTGTCTTATGAGAGCCTCTTAAGTGCATAGAAAGTTATATCTAATTAACATCTGAATTATATGATTATATATGATTAATATCTAATTTAAGGTGCCAGCAGATGAACTCACCGCAACAGTTCCCAGACTGAAGGAGGGTGAGGAATACCAGTTCAGGGTTGCTGCTATTAACAAACTTGGACCTGGTGATCCCAGTAGACCAACTAAACCTGTCATTGCTGAGAATCAACCAGGTAAGAAAACACGTACAATTTTTATCTCACCAACACAAGTGTTATAGTCTCCAACTTTTTGTCACTCTATTGGTGGGATATAGTCGTCATGATGATGATGTGATCGTTATTGTGATCATGATCATTATCGTGATATATGTCATATCTATCTTATTGTCATTCAACCAGCCAGCCAATTCGTCACTAACGCATGTTAAATTAGTATTAAGGGCTTAAATAAGAGTTTGTGTATGTAATTGTTTTTTAAAGAAAAACTTGTTATTTGAAATTCCTTTTGGTTACATCGCCCATTTAAAAAGAACTATAGTCTGGCCCACTGTCATCTCAGTCTGTTGTGACCACTGTACTTAATGAGGCTATGATATACCTGTAGTTTTAAATTAAGTTTTACAGATAAGAGTTTTAAAAATGTGTTCAAAGAGAGCTTTTAACATATATTCGTAGAGAGACCTGAAATAGACACCAGTAACTTGCCTAAGGAGATCACGGTACGTGCTGGCCAAGACTTCAAGATTGAGATGCCACATAAAGGTTTCCCTAAACCTACATCTGAATGGACCAGGAATGGAGAACCTGTTAAGGAATCCCCAAGGGAAAAGATTGAGGTTAGTAGATTAAGAAGTTCTCTAGAAGGTGTTTGGACAAGTGATACAACAGAATATAATTCAGAATTTGTCTAAAGGGGTGATCAAATGGAAACAAATTCCAAACCATATTCAAACAAATAAGAAATAATATACAAACAGATAACAATCAAATAACAAACAATTAATATACAAACAAATAACAAACAATATATAAACAAATAACAAACAATATACAAACAAATAACAATCAATATACAAACAAATTCCAAACCATATTCAAACAAATAAGAAATAATATACAAACAGATAACAATCAAATAACAAACAATTAATATACAAACAAATAACAAACAATATATAAACAAATAACAAACAATATACAAACAAATAACAATCAATATACAAACAAATTCCAAACCATATTCAAACAAATAAGAAATAATATACAAACAGATAACAATCAAATAACAAACAATTAATATAAAAAGAAATAACAATCAATATACAAACAAATAACAAACAATATACAAACTGTTTCAGGTAACTGATGACAAGGCTATCCTCAAAGTTACCAAGGCCAAGAGAGGTGATACGGGACCATACAAAGTAAAGCTCAAGAATGCATCAGGAGAAGGCACAGCAGAGGTCCAAGTCAATGTTCTGGGTAAGTACCTCCTGTGCATTTTAAACAAGAATGTTGAGAAAGATATTTGATATACATGTTTGTGTTCTCTGAAGGAAAGGAATTAGAAAAAGATAAATAAAATAGATTTAAAAAAGTAATATCCCTTCAAAGCCCACTAAGTACATGGTGAATTGTATGAGTGTTATATGACTGTCTATGTGTATATGTAGATGCCCCAGGGGCCCCACAAGGTCCTCTCAATGTGGAAGATATGAATGCAGACTCATGCACGTTGTCATGGAAACCACCCAAGGATGATGGAGGTGGCAAAGTGACAAATTACATTGTTGAAAAGAAGCCCAAGAACTCAGATAGATGGACCAAGGTAACTAAAATTATGCTTTTTATTTCCATCATTAAGATAATTTTTTCGAACATGATTTGATGTGTTAAAATAATCTAGTACGTTAAGTTCAATGTTTTTTTCTCGGATAGAAATAAATCACAACAATTATGATAATCTCAGGTGACAGCGTTTGCGAAGGGAACCAGTGCCCCTGTGAAGAACTTGGTTGAGGGTACAGAGTATGACTTCAGAGTGATGGCTGAGAATGAGTATGGTATAGGTGAACCCCTACAGACTGACACCTCTGTTATGTGTAAACCACCTTATGGTGAGTATTTGCGAAGAATTACAGTTAATTGTCGTCCTCCATCACATGTTGTATATGAGATACATGACATATACTGTATTTTTTAAGCAGAGTACAACATTTAAACACTTTCAGCAGGTGGTCCAGAGAAAGTTAGTAATCAGGAAAGCATGTATTGAAAAGTATGCAATTTTTACCAGAATGTTTGATATCTATATGACAGGCCTTGATTTTAAAAGTTGAATGCTATACTAGGAAATCTGTAACAAGGGAATATCAGCGACTAGTTCAGTCAACACTAATTGCCTTCAATCTAAAGAGAATTATGTTAAAAAATATTTACTTGTTTATAAAGTGAAATCAGTCAAGAAAAAACTTGTTGAACAGATTTTTATCTTGAGTAAATATTTTACTTTTAGATCCTCCAGGCGCACCTGGTAAACCAGAATGTAAAGGGACCACACCCGATTCTATATCACTTCGCTGGGATCCTCCCCGCAGTGACGGTGGCTCCCCCATTACTGGATACGTTGTTGAGAAACGTGAAAAGGGCGATAAGCGTGGCTGGACAAAGTAAGGACATACATTTTGAACTAGTTTAATTTGAAACACATGCCTTGTTTTACACCCATAGTGTGTTACATGAATTTGTGTATTAATTATATCATTTGTACACTGATACCCAACTACACTTGTTATACTAAAGATATTAAGTTTGGATTAAGGCATCCTTATTTTGTCATTTTGTTTTGGATTGTGATATTGAAGTACAGTAGTATCACTAATTTGAACAGTAGTAACTTATCCTAGGACAGATGCCTTAAACTGACTCAGATATAGACATCTAATTTTGCGTCATTTGATTAAAATGAAAATAATATGTCTAAATTATAATGGAAGTCAGCTTGAGTCAAAAACATTCCTATTAATTCATTAGTGTGAGAATCCCTTCATACTTTTCCCCAGAATTTGTCCCATGTACCATTGTTTAAGTACCACTGTAAATTATTCAAATTAGCTAGTGATCCAAATATATATACATATACTGCATACACAAAAAATATTTTCTGAACACAACCGTTGTACCTCAATATTTTTTTATGTTGTACATGTAAATGTAAATATTGGGTACAAATTCTGAAACAATGTTGTAAATGTTGGATCTCAAGCCATTGCCTTTTCCATTTAGATCATATTTTATTTGTTTATATGTGGTATATTAGTGTTTGGTTTGTTTACCAGGGTTGGCCCCCAATCCAGATATAGGTATGGATTAATATAGATTAATATAAATTGATATAGATTAATATCGACTAATGGGTTAATCTCCGCTTACTTAAACTCATTTGCTAGCTGTTATCATCTATAATTAACATACAACCTCTTACATAAGTTTGGCAACTGGACACCTCCTTTTGGGCCATATGTAAAAGTTTGTTCATGATTTTAGCAAATTCATCTAGCACTTTCAAAGGCTTATAATCATTAAGGAACAAAATTAAGATCCAGACATACACAGGTTTTAACATATATCCAATGGGATTTATGATTGCCAGATTTATGGAGGGGGTGTAACTCTAAGGTGTTCATGATCGTCTGGTAATTTAAGGTTCAAGAAACATCTACAAGAATTAAGCCAAATGGGACATTGCAACAATAAGATTTAGCTATTATTGTTGTTATAGCATCAGTAAGGGCTCCATTTTTATTAAAATCATTTTGCACTTGAAACACATTTTGAAAACATGACCCTTCAAGAACATGTATGAGATTTGCTCTGGTAAAAATCAGATTTTGATTACAAAATTTAAAAAAAATATAAAGCCAGAATACCATGATCCTCATCACTTGATAATGCTTTGCTTAACTTAATATTTTGATATCCTGTACATTGTACATTGGGCATTATCCAAACAAACAGGGCCCAATAATTTGTTTCTCCCTATAAAGTGATGCTCTGAATCTTAGAGCCCTGCAATCGGAAGAATGACATTGTATAATGATCATATAATGCATTTAATATTAGACTGCTGCTGAAATTTCCTATTGCTTGGTGCTTTGCTAACTATCATATCTTAATATACTTTTCTTGTAGCAAACTCTATGTACTGTACATAGCTCTTGCTTACATGTACAGTTCTTCTTTTATGTACTTCTTCTATTGAATGCCCATGGTTATATGTGCAGTAAAACATGTACATTTTACTGTCTGCTTTAAGTTTCCTCAGCTCAGCTAATATGATTACATATCAAGTGCAATAAAATGATGTAATGTTCAGTTTGAAAAATTTGACAAATTCTGCTTTATGTATAGCTAACAATAAGGACTAGTTTAGGTAAGAAGAGAATACATTAGATAATGTACATTATGTGCATATATACAATGCTATTATTTATTCTTTAGTCCTACTTTGCTTTGAAAATATTCAGAAATTTTCAGAAAACTGACAAATAACTGCAAATCATATGAAAATGTTTACTGGTATGTGTACATGTAGAGTATGAAAAAGTAAATTCTGCTCACTTTAATTCAAATCTGATAAAATAATTCATTTTTAGAGCTACCGTGTCACCAATTCTTGACCCAGAGATCACAGTACCGAACTTGATTGAAGGTCACGAGTATGAATTTAGAGTAGCTGCCGTAAACAAGGCAGGTCCTGGTGACTGGAGTGACGATTCTGGGAGAATCAAGGCACAACCACCTCCATGTAAGTTAATCATGTTCTTAAAGTTTTTTAGAAGTGTCACAATGATACAAAGGGAACTATTTAGACTTACATTACATGTTTAAATTACTGAATCTTGATATTTTACGGGTAGTGTAGGTCCAGATGGTTCCCTTTGAATTAAATAATCCCTAAATGAATCTCTTTGAATGTCCTGGTAATATTTTGCGTTGTGTTTATCGCAATTACCCAACCAACTCCTCAACAATGACAGCCATTTTGTTATTAATGTACATATTGTGTAAACTGTACCAATTAAAAATAAAAACAACAAATAGATAATCATGTACTGTGTTGAGCATGTCAGATTATTTTCTTTTGGTTCCCTATAATTTATACCTGTCTTTGTGATTCTTCAGCTGCACCTAAGGTTGGGAGAGACTGGAATGGGAAGGACATCATCGCAATTGCTGGCCAGCCTTTCCAGATCAGCGTCCCTTACACTGGCAGCCCAATGCCAAATGTCACATGGGAAAATGTAAGTACATAGTCTCTACCGTTCATTTCTGAGGTAAAACTTTTAGTGTAATATTTATTATCATTTTTTAAAAGAGGCAATTTTCCTCCAAGTCCTTTTTTCAAACCAACCACTTTCTCAATATGTTTATATCATGATTAGATTTCAAGATTACATGAAGTGTATTTGTTACAGCATGGGCTTTTTAATTGAAAGCCCATGGTTACAGGCTCTCATAAATACATTCAAATGAGGTGTATAATTCTGATTAAGTGGTAAAATACTTTGAATCAGATAGAAATGAATGTACTATTACATGAAATGCACATCCAATTAGTCATATGCTGGGGTGATAAAAATAGTTAAAATAGCTATGCATTCTTTTATTACATCACTCAAAATTGATATTGTGAATTATCCAAATCTGCCCTTTATTGTATCCACATCGCATGTAGACTTTGTATAATTCGCAATAGCTGTATAGGGGTAGTATGGCTATTTTATGACAATTCACATTTTTCTCGCCCTTATTTTATGATATACTATTTCAGTTCACTCGTAAAGATGTAAGTATAAGAGGCTACCTTGTATTACACCTAGGGTGTTATCTGGATGTTAGATGATGGTGTCGTTGCTGTATTTCTATGTTCATCTTTCCTGTCTTGGAATTGTATCTTCCTATTATATATGCTATATTTATCTACAGTAAAACCTGTGTTTCTGACCATTTTGCTGGCCCATGCAGACTTAATTTTGTACAGGTTTTATTGTAATGAGTTTCAGTAATACATTTAAGGTGCAGAATTGAGCTCAAATATGGATGAATATTTTGGAGATTATCTTGAAAGAAGAATATTTCTCAGATAAATTAGGATATAACATCTATTTTGGGTTCCATATTTCATCTTATATGTTACTCTATAAATCTTATCCTAGCCAAAAAATGTCAAGAGTGCTCATCAGATTTCTCTGGACAGTGGTCATTTAAAATTTATTTCATGTTTTTGTACAGGATAAACTTTAATTTTTGATGCATTGGTGTCAAAATCAATTAAATATATTGATGCATACCTACAAATCTTCATATTTTTGTATGGGTAGTAAGTAAAAATAATTTTTAGAAAACTTCCAAAGAGACATGGACAGAAACTAAATTTGAGCATAAATACAACTTTTGAAATATAGTATATTCATCAGAAATTGAAGGTCTTCTGGAAGTCTGATTTACATATCTATGTGTCCAATACATGTATGTGTGTTTGAATCGTATAAACGGTGCTATTTGTATAAATATTCTATTTGAAGTTCTATTTGTTCATTTCTTATTGTTTTGCTTTAAATGTATCTGTGACTTACATCGTCCAATTATTGAAGCTGACTACTTATTAAATGAAGCATTTCATAGATGTGCATGAATGTTTATTTGTTATGATTCTGTTTATTCATTATTGTATGAGTTAATGTTACCCTAATTTTAATTGATACTTGCTTTAATTGATGATAAAATACATAGTCAGGCTTTGTCATACATAATATTAACCATGTTTAGAAACACTACTAAAGCAAATTTTAGAAACATTATTCATAAATGCTGTTATTATTTGTATACTGCACACATTTTTTTTATTTATAATCACATTAAATTTAATAATAACATGTTATAGTTAGTATGCAGTTGTTATTAACAAAATCTCATGTTTAATCAACGTGACTATTTTTAGGTCCTCCACTAAACACAGAATACCAAACTAGGCTATAACTACATGTACATGTATATCGCACTGCATTATACAAAAATAACCTCTAATATCTAATTTTGAGGGAATTGAGTAATTATATCTAATGGGAAGGGATTTGATATTACATAATCTTGCTTAGTCTGTTAACCAATCAGATTGCAGAATATTTATCAATTTTCAATGTATTCTTTGTTTAGGTAACCGGAAAAGTCTACAACTATGTACCAGTTAACCAATTTAAAAACGTTCATTGATTTAGGGTGCCTAGAAGGTGCTAAGCCATTAAGGACGCAGATTCATGGATGATGACAACAAGATGAGACAACAGTTTATAAGATGGCAAAATATAAGAACACTAAAAACAAATTCAGACACTTAATCTCATGCATGTATTGATATATTCATGCATGTCCATTTCATGTTTCATCATGATACTAATTTTGTTTTCAGACGGCAGATTTATAACTTCTAGTCCCATCGTACAATCATCTTGTTTACTGTTTTAAAACTAGGGGTTACAGGCATTTCAAAGTTAGTTCCATCTTTGATACCACATGCAAACAGATGGGCTGTGTAATCTGGATATTACCCATTCACAAGGATGAGACAATGGAACCCAGAAAAATTCTTCGAGAACATCACATAAATGTGTTAATACTACAATAAAACCTGTTCTATCGAATACCTTTCTGCAAGGAATGCCTCTCTACAATGAACAATTTTCAAAAGAGCCAAATCTTTTCTATTTATTGATGGACCTCTCTGTAAGGAGCACCTGTCTACAAGGAACAGTTTCAGCCAGTATTGAGTGTGTTTCTTCTACTCAGGTTTAACTGTACCACTTTTGTTGATTCAGGGTTCAAAGCCTGTTCCTGATGATGACAGAGTGCAGTCTGAGGTGACACCAGACAAGATCAACCTCAATGTAAAGAAGGCTGTGAGGGAGGATGCTGGTGCTTACACACTTACAATGAAGAATGACTTGGGATCAGATAATCTTACTCTCAAGGTTCATGTCATGGGTGAGTATAAAAATAGTGTGTACACTGTATTTCTATGAATTTCTAGATTATAAATCTGACTTTTGAAAATTGAGTTTATTTATTTTGAGGTACTTGTCGCTTTTTATTATGTGTAATAGTAAAAATTAAATAGACATACAGAACCTTTTACATATTTTTTCTTGTTTCAATATTTTATTTATTTTCTGTCCACACATTTCACATTTCTGTTTACATTTCAGATAAACCAGGGAACCCAGAAGGTCCACTAGAGGTCTCTAACATCACCCCAGATTCTTGCAAACTATCCTGGAAACCACCTCTAGATAACGGAGGCTCTCCTGTGGAGAACTACGTTGTTGAGAAGATGGACACAAACACCGGCAAATGGTCCCCATGTAGTAAGTTTGTGCGTGGAACAGACTATGAGGTTTATGGTCTTGATGAGGGACATCAGTACAAGTTCCGTGTAGCTGCGACCAATCAGTATGGTACGAGCGAACCACTTGAGACTGAGAAGCCAATAACAGCCCAGAACCAGTTTGGTAAGTGAATTAAATCATTTTATTGGCCTACCCTTAGTACTTAATATATGGAAAAAGCTCCATGCACTGGTCCTTTGTGTCTCATATGCTTCATATTCACAAAAGTATTTCTTGATGCCCAAATGCTAGCATAGTCCCAATGTTTCACATTTTCCATTTGTAGTACCACCATACAATCAATAACATTTCTTCATGTGATTTACGCAAGATGAGTGTGAACTTGTCTGAAAGAAAAAATATTTCTTGCAAAATATAGTCTTCCCTCAATGCATTGAATTTAATATCTGTGTATATGTAACATATAAGCATAAAGCCTTCTCTAGGTCTGCTTGCTTATTGACACAGTTGAACTAAAAAATGTATGTATATCTTCTAGGTGTACCAGATGCCCCATCAGACCTTGAGGTTGAAGATGTCGATGCAGACAACATCAAACTCAGATGGCGTAAACCCAAGAATGACGGTGGTGATAAGATCCAAGGCTATCAAGTTGAGTTCAAGCCAGAGGGCTCAAGCCGCTGGAAACCTGCTAATGATTTCATCGTGCGAGATACCCGATATACAGTTGATGGACTTGACAAGGGCAAGAAGTATGACTTCAGAGTCCGTGCAAAGAATGGTGCTGGATTGAGTGAACCCAGTATGGCAACTGGACCTGTTGAGGCCAAACCTAAATACAGTGAGCAAATAATTTAATCAATCATGTTTTTAAAACAATGATAAACAACAATTACTTGGAGAAAAACAAGTATTATCTTCATGCCCATACATACTTAAAGGAGACTATTTAAAACTGATCATGTCATTTTTAAACACCATGTCAAAGTTTTGAAAACATATGATTGTGTTTGAAATGGATATGTCATAATCATCCATGAACTGTTCATACTTCTACATGTACTTCCTATTTATATCTGATGCACATAGTAATATATTTGATCAACGTTTTTGCCTTATAGCTGGGGCAGGTGCACCAGGCACTCCTGTTGTTAAAGATGTTGGCAAAACCTACGTCGGCTTAGAATGGACTCCACCCCTCAAGGACGGGGGTAGCAAGGTAACAGGATATGAGGTTCAGAAACGTCCTAAAGGTGACACAAACTGGGTAAAGGCTTCTGATTTCCCTGTCCACGATACAAGCACAACACTTACAAATCTTCCTGAGGGTTCGGAGTATGAGTTCCGTGTTGTTCCAATCAACAAGGCTGGCCTTGGCACTCCTAGTGAACCAACACCTCTCACTAAAGTCAAGGAAAAACTAGGTGAGTTGATAATTGACCTGTGTATTAAAACAATTATAAAATCAGTTTATGAAAAGAAAATAGATGATGGAGTTAAAGAAATCTGAATGAGTTAACTTTCATGTACCTCCACAGTAATCTAATTAGTGATCAATTCTGAATTAGTATTATTGATGTTAGTTATTTAATATTATGATTTTTTACATTAAAATGTTTTTAAAACATCATTGAGAATCATTTAAATTGTTACATATACTAAATTATGTTCTTATTTTGGACTTTTAGCCGGTTCCAAACCAGAAATTATTGGAAAACCCCACAATGCAACTGGGCCTACAAAAGGCGATGTCAAGTTTGAATGTTCATTTGTTGGCAAGCCAAAGCCAGATGTTAAATGGTATCAGAATGGCATGCTCATCTACCATGGTGGAAGATTTAAGATTAATGATGATGAAGATGATAAGTCTGTCCTTACCATACGTGATCTAGAAGAGTCTGATGCTGGCGAGATTACATGTGAACTTGCAAACAAACTGGGCAAAGATTCTGCCTCATGTAAATTACAGGTCCAAGGTGAGGGTTACTTTACATATTTGAAAAGAATGTTTTTTTGTGATTGATATTGCGATCGCTTTCTCAATTACAAACCTTCATAACTGAACATGATCGTATACATTGAAAACTAAAACCTGGGCATGCTGGGTAAAATCCATGGTGGGCATTTTGCACTTCTAAGTGTCATATTTATTACTGTGTGTTTTGTATATTCCAGCTCCACCTAAGATCGGTAAAGAGCTAGGTGCTCAAAAGGTGAATGAAGGTGACCAGTTCAAACTGAAGGTGCCATTCTCTGGAAAAGGACCATTCAGTGTTAAACTTAAGAAAGGAAACAGAGATGTACCAGAAAATGACAGAATTAAAATCACACCATTTGATGATTATGTATTAGTGCAGCTCAAAGGTAAGACTTTGTAGGGATCTAAAACTAAATGAAGCATTGGGATTATGTTTCTTTGCAAAATTGAATTGATTTTCTTCAAGATTATTATTTCATTTCTGAATTAACAGATCAATAATTCATTGCACTGTTAGAAATCTAATATCTCGTATACAGCAAAACCTGTTATCTAAACACCTCTCTAGTCTGAACACCTCTCAGTGTGAACACTTGTTTGTCCCATTTTGTTAATCTGCCTTAGGCTTCCATGTTAAAATACCTTAATATGTGAATACATGTCACACATCTGCCAAACACTTTTGGCAAGTCCCAGTGACATTCAGAATTTACAGACTTTACTGTATGGCTGTTTTATATTATGGTACAGATGCTGATAGGGAAGATGGAGGACCCTACAAGTTGGAGATCAGTAATGACAGTGGCACTGGCACAGCTCCCTTCCAACTCAGTGTTAAAGGTACATTCATCATTCATCTAGACTCACTATTTGCTATTTCAGCCATCTCATGTAAAATGCCATGATTAAACTTTGAATAAATCTGTTAAATGTATGTTTATATTAAAAACTATCTTTACATTTTTACAAATTAGACTGACATATATATATATTTATATTTAAGCCAAGCCTGGCCCTCCAACTGGACCACTAGATGTCTCTGACATCACTAAATCCACATGCTCGTTGGCATGGAAACCACCCAAGGATGACGGAGGCAGCAAGATCTTACATTACATTGTAGAGAGACAGGAGGTTGGCAAGCCATACTGGACCACTGTATCATCTTTCTGTAAGGTGAGTATTATGAAGGAATTCATTTTCTGTTTAGGGACAATATCCAAATGGTGTTAATCCCATTCCCTGAATTGTATTTTATATAAAGTGTATTCAATAGAATTGAATATTTATTTACAAAATTAACTAATTCTCTTTAGGATACAAACTGTGATGTCCAAGGACTGTATGAAGACAAGGAATATCTCTTCAGAGTGGCTGCTGTCAATGAGAATGGAGAGGGAACCTGGCTTGATGCTCCAAACTCCATCATTGCAAAATTGCCATTCGGTAAGTTGAATATTGTCTTATGAATTCTTCATATAGATTTTGTATTTTAGATGTAGTTTTTACAGTACATGTATGTATAATTGTAGTATGGTTGTATTCTCTCTGTATTATTTTCCAATTGCTATTTCAGATGCCCCTGGTCAGCCTGGTGATCCTACTGTAACTGGAGTTGGTGGCAACTTTGTCAGTCTCGAATGGGAGAAACCAAAATCTGATGGTGGCGGCAGAATCAAGGGATACTTCATCGAAAAACGTGACGCGGGAGCAGAAAACTGGAACCGTGTTAATATGAATCCTCATCCAGCTCCAATTTTCAATGTCTCGAATTTGATTGAAGATCGCGAGTATGAGTTCAGAGTGTTCGCTGTCAATGAGGCTGGAGTTAGTAAACCTTCTATGGCTTCAAGGACTGTCAAGGTCAAGGACCCCAACGGTGAGTGAGCACTTAGAGCCTCAGGTGGGCGGAGTGGGTTGAATTTCAGACAAAAGGGATTACAATATCAGTATGTGAAGTGTATTAAAGAAGTGTATTAAATTAAGTAGGCATTACTCTACTTGAACTTATTGAACGACCCTCGTATTGTTATTTTAATCAGTACACAGGTAGGGATATTAAATATGAAATAAACCAAATTCCTTTATATCCTGAATCTGATGCATTGAGGTGTCCTTATTCCAGCCGCAACACTGCCTGAATTCCGCAATGGTATGGAGACATGTATGGCCTCTGAGGGCAGGATTGCTAAGTTTGAGGTGGAAGTTGATGGACAGCCACCACCTACAATCACATGGTGAGAGGACTTGCTGAGACCAAACAATTAGCAAAAAATCGTGTTCTCTATTATATTATCTAATTATTATTACTTTCTGTGACATGAGTTTGATTCAAATTGTAAGAATGATAGAATAAATTAATAAAAACATCTTCTCTGGATAGGTTAAATTCCATAATTCAATTATAAAATAATTCACACAAAATCTCTGATTTAATCATAAATTGTACCTTGTTTCTAGGTTTAAAGGAACCAGGGAATTATTTGAGGATGACCCCAAATTTGATATTAGTCACTCTGGTAACACTTACATGCTCGTCGTGAAAGACGTGTTCGGGGAAGATGCAGATGAGTATGTGTGTAAGGCAACCAATCGTGCAGGAAGTCGCAGCAGTAGAGCTGATCTTATCATCAAATGTAAGAATTTCTATCCGAATCAATGTGAATTAATACAGGTTTTAGTGGTCATGACCCCTAAAGGGAGTAGGAGGTGCCAACAAAAGTATTGACCAGTCACCTAATCTGTAGATACCCTTTTAGTCTCAGTTAAGCCTGGATTTGTTATTTATCCTCAGGGGTGTATTTTATTAACCATTGTAACTTCAAAGCAATGACTTCTAAATAAGAGTGTGAAGCTATTTTACTATAATAAAATATAGTGTGGGTTTTTGGCTATACTCTTGAGAATCAAAACACAAGTGTTAAAATATATTGTTTAATTGTTGACCCACATTTGTCAGATCAACGCATTAATTTTTCATAACATTTTCCTCAACTTCATTCTTCAACACACTTTACAATTTGAAATAATTTTAAATTACTTATTCCTTCAAGCAACAATTGGGTCATCCTCCGATCACAGGGCTTCAAAATCCAGAATATCTTCTTTCTTTTTACCCCCTGCTATAACCAAGTTGGACGCGCCCGATTAAACTGAATCACGTGATCTTATTATGCGCCGATGACGTATACATGATTTCTGTCGCAGTGTTGCTACAGCCAATCAAATTGCGAGTTCTTAATCGGGGAAATGCTAACTGCTTATAGCAGGGGGAAGAAGGAGGTATGGATTCTGGACACCTGCTTAGGAGGATGCAATTGAGTAAAAGACAGAACATTAATTTATGGTTCATTTCCAATTATTCCAAATAAATATACAATCATTGCAGCGCCACCCAAGATCAAGGTACCTCCAAGGTTCCAGGATGTAGCCACATATGAGAAGGGTGAGGAGGTTGTACTGAAGATACCATTCACAGGCAACCCTAAGCCTACAGTGAAGTGGATCAGAGATGGGGAGGACCTCAGTGGTGGCAAATACAAGGTACAATATACATAATGTTTGAGATGTTTAACGTCTGACATCAATGTTTAATTTTTTCTTGTTTTATTTATTACTTATTCAATGTTACCTTTTTCTTAGATTTTTTTTAGTTATGTTTTTGGCATGTTCAATTAATTCACTTTGTAAGGGTTGAACCAAATAAAACAATACAGTGATGTACAGTGCAGTGCAGTCAGTTAGAATAACATATTGTACGCAAGAATGGACTTTTTAAAGGTCCTTGCCCTTTTAGTCCCTTAAGTCCTACAGAGTGACAGACTGGAGTTTTGGAATAATTAAATATTTGCTTATAGATTGAAGTGACAGACAGACATGCCTTCTTGACTATTAGGAAGAGTGAGAAGGCTGATGAAGGTCCATACAGACTGCAGCTGGAGAATGATCTTGGAGAGGACCATGCTATCATTAAGATACAAATTAATGGTAAGTGAAGGCTTGCTTACAAAGGAATCATTAAGTACATTTTGTATAAGATGTATTTAAGAGTGGGTGAAGATGGACATATAGGATGATTCAGACTAAAACTGGTTTCTTTTACATACTTAATTCTATTGCTTGAAATATAGGTACTGTAAAACCTGTATAGAGTGAACACCTATTGAGCCACAAAAAGTGTTCACCATTGGTAGGTGTTCACTACAGAGAGGGGATTTTATACAGGTGTCAATGTCTTGAAGTGCTGCTCACTAAACACAGGTGTTCACTAGAGAGAGAGGTTTTTACTAAGACAGGTTTTACTGTACTAATGAGGTAATATTGGGATTCTACTAAAATTCAATATTTTTTCTCCAGATCGTCCAGATCCACCAAGGTTCTTAGTAGCTGAAACAATCAGAGATGACTCCGTATTCCTCACATGGAAACATCCTCTCAATGATGGCGGCAGTTTCATTACAGAGTACATCGTTGAAAAACGTGAACCACCCAAAGAGACATGGTCCAGGCAATGTAGCACACGATTCACACACCTCAATATAGAGGGCCTTACACCAAATACAGAATATGAGTTCAGAATATTGGCTGAAAATTTCTATGGAAGGTCTGACCCATGTGAAGCCACTGGGGTGATTAAAACAGAAGAATCTGGTGTGAAGAAACGAAAGGGAGCAGAATATGGTATGTTATCTAGCTGCTTAGGAAAAATATCATATTCTTTCTTGGGATCTTGGCATTGCTATGCCCACATGCCATATTGTACAGTATCTGATTCAAACAGGATTGTCATTATATATATTTTATAAATGGATGTGACATTTAAAGGATTTTTATTTGATAACTGTGGGGGAAGTATCAGACTTTTCATGACAATATAGACAGAGAGACCATCCCCTGAAATACCTGATACATGTACTGTTATCTCGTTTTGTCTTGTTTGTACATTATTTTTACATTTTATACATTTAACATTTACCTTTCAGATGCTGATGGTAGGAGAATCAGAGGGAAATATGATGGCCCCAAAATTGACAATTATGATAAATTATGTAAGTAAAATACTTTTCTTCAGTTCTGAATAAGTATTATCCATATTCTACTCTTGTTTCTACTCTGAAAAATTACTCAATTATTTTCTGAACAAATTAAATCTCCATAATTTTGCTGATGTAAACAATAAAATGGAATTGTTATTCATAAATTCTGAACAATGAATCAAAATGTGCAAATGCTAAATGCTGTATGCTGGTTATAATATAACATGGTCTATAATATATTCATAACAAATAATGTTCTCACTAAACTTCCTGAAAAGCCTACTTAAGTTTATAATATATTGTTTTTTAGATTATGACCTTTGGAAGAAATATAAACCACAGCCAGTTACAATCAAACAAGGCAGTGTTTATGATTACTATGATATTTATGAAGAACTAGGAACGTGAGTATATTTCTAGAAAGTAGGTCATTGCATCCAGGCCCGTAGCCAGGATTTGTCAAGGGGGTTCACTTTTTAAACGTTCCAGTGGGGATTTTCTTTTGATGACTTAGGCCCAAAAATGGCCAGAATCACTTGACAAGTGCTCAGAATGGTGAAAATCTACATGAGTTTGAAAATTTCTCTTGCTATGGGCCTGCCATCAAACTCACCTAAAACCTGGATGTTATTTGTGAAAAATTACAGTGTATGGTGTTGTACAGATGCAAACTGCCTACATGTAGATACATAAACTTGTTTATAGCTTAAGAAATAACACATATTCTGCAATATGCCTTACCTGGAGGTGCTGGTTCTACTAGGATTATATGCAAAAATCTCAAAATGTAAAATTATTGATTTACAGGGGAGCATTTGGTGCAGTACATCGGTGTGTAGAAAAGAGTACAGGAAATACATTTGTAGCCAAGTTCATCAATACGCCATATCCATTGGATAAAAATACGGTCCGCAATGAGATCAACATAATGAACCAACTTCATCATCCTAAACTGCTCAACCTACACGATGCTTTCGACGACAAATATGAGATGGTACTCATATTGGAATTGTAAGTACAAGATAAAATATAGTTTTATTCGATGGGCCATTCATCCGTTGGCTTAGCCAATTGTTGCTTTGCATAATTATTTCAGAACCTATAAGTCGAAATTGAATTCTAAGAGTTTTTATGTGTTATTTTCACAAAATGTTAATATAAATAAAAATCACCAGTTGGCCTAGATCAAATGTAAGATGGCCATTAAGACCAGCTAAAAGTGATTGTATTGGTTATTGTCCACATTTCAAGTAGTATTTATTTGAAAATCTGGAAAATGAAAAAATTGGACTAAAGAGTTGATGTTTAGAGGAGTTCAGACTAGAGAGGTGTTTGGATATACAGGTTTTACTGCAGTTGACTCCATCCTCTGGGCTGGCACTTACATAATATAGCACATACTTTTTCTCATATCTAAAGCAATGATATTTTATAACAGAAACTTATGTTAGTCTACTGTACTGACATACTGTACATGTAGTTACTTGGCATTACTGATCTTTTTGAAATCACCTGTTATCATGGGAGAGAGTTGGATAACATTTGAGGTTATTATGACTTTTGAGCTATTTACATAATGAGATCAGAGAAAAAATCATGTTTGAGAAAAATCTGAATTTGATATATTTTTTATATGTTATCCCAATAAGTGGTGGCGCAAATGTTTGTGTTACAAAAGTTTAGAGTTTGGTGCTCTTGGCCAGTATTCAACACCTGTAACAAATCATTACACTTTTGTCACCATTTGCAATAACTTTAGAGTTGGTGACTTTTTGTAATGTTAATGCCTTGTATAGCATCATGTATAAACCTTTATATATTTTCATTTTAGTTTATCTGGTGGTGAACTATTTGACCGTGTGGCAGCTCCAGACTATAAGATGTCTGAGGCAGAGGTGATCCACTACATCAGACAAGTCTGTGATGGCCTGAAACATATGCATGAGAATAACATTATACACTTAGATATAAAGGTATGATAGCAAAGATCAAGTTAGGGGATAATAGATTGAGTGAATGTGTTACATTGGTAAGCATGCATGATACATCAAAGAGACATCTTCATGGGTTGAAAGCCCATAGTATAGATTTTGAAAATAATGCATTATAATACAGTTAATATAACCAATATTTTTTGTGCATATTTTTGTGTGTTATATTATGTAGTATTCATCTGTATATATTAATTAACTTCATGGCTGCAGCATAAAGAGACTATCCCCTGCATATAAGAATGACAGGTAGTTCCAGATATTATAGGCCTATTTCCTGAGTAGATCAGTTTTGAAATGCAGTTATATTACCATGTTGATTGTGTTCAATTTCAGCCTGAAAATGTTATGTGCGACACCAACAAGAGCACTAATGTGAAGCTAATAGACTTTGGATTGGCTGCTAAACTCAACCCTGATGAGATTGTCAAGGTAACCACGGCAACTGCAGAGTTTGCTGCTCCAGAAATTGTTGATCGAGAACCTGTGGGTTTCTACACTGACATGTGGGCTGTTGGTGTGCTATCATATGTACTGTAAGTGACATCTATATGCTGTTTTATGTTGGACTTGGGCACATTGTGAGACTTTGTATCATGCAAGATTGAAAAAATAAACATGACCAATTAAAGAAACATTTTTAATGATTTGAAAGAAGTACATGTATTTAGGAATGAGTTTGAATGCAAATTTTATATTGATCACTGTGTTCTCCAAATTTTCTTTTCAAATGATTGCCCAGTTCTTACCTTTTACCCTTGTTTTTTGTTACCATTTCCTGAAACAAATATGCGTATACTGTTAGAATGGTATTCCCAGTCTATTCTGACCAAGAAATGTTGAGAGCTTGTCAAAATTCTCAAAGAGCGCAAAAGGACATTCTATTGTATACTGACTTACTGAGCCTTAAGTTCCTTGCATGCTGTCTATTCTTACTGTATTGTTTTCATATTTATGAAATCAGCTTGGAAAGTCAGCATAACAACCCTCTTACTTTGAACTTTTCCCTATGTTCATATTCAGGTGGTTGTTAAATTGGCTAACAGCTGTTTATATCTTCCTGGCATATAATTATAAACACCACTTCTATTAATAGTTGTTTACTAGGAACTTACTAAAGATATCTCACTGATATATTTTTAAGCCAAGCCTCATTTTCTAAATAAATATAACAAGATAGAGGCATATTGCCAATTTGCTTGAATATCCCACTTTGTTAAATTGCCAAATAATAGCTCAGATGCTATTCTATATTTGGAATTCAACTTTTTAGAAAGATTTTTACAATTTACTTAACATGGATATGGGTTACGACATCAATTAATGACATCAATCTATTCAGCTTTATGTGATATTTAACTTTGCAATCTGAGTGACAATACATGGTCAAATCTAAAATATCAAATGTTGATTAAGCCAGTTGGACAAAAAGTTACTCTCAGAATTCTTTTGAATGAGTTAACACCTTATTACATGATGCATGGGCTTTCAGATGTATAATGATGAGATGGGTTGAGATGATTTGGGCCAATAGAGTTACAGTTATGACAAATACATGTAATGTCAGTCAGTCAGTCAATGGGCAAGTTGACAACCCATGAACGGTGAACTCTTTGACCTAATAACAGAATACAGTCCTGCAAATGTCCCAGTGTGACCTGAATGAGCAAGGAATAATGCCACAAGAGCAACAATCGCACATCCATCAAACATCTTCATGCATTCTGATACACATCGCATCTAAAAACCTGTCTGTGTTTAGTTTCTTCATGTTATATAAAGTTGTCTTCATGTTTCCAGATTGAGTGGACTATCACCATTTGCTGGTGAAGATGACCTTGAAACCCTACAGCATGTGAAACGTTGTGACTGGGAGTTTGACCCTGATGCATTTAAAAATATCTCCGAAGAGGGTAAAGACTTCATTAAGAAACTGCTTGTTAGGCAACCAGGGTGAGTACATAAATTTTTTTATAATCTATTTTATTTCCTTATTTCATAGTTTACAATTGTAGTACATAAAAAGCTCTGTAACATTATTGTAAAATATGATTTATTTTCATGCTCTGTTACATTATATTGTAATGTTTTATTCTCTTATTCAGTTTTCACGAACTGGATTTGGGGTGTATAATTACTAAAATGTAGTTTTGTTTGTCATTCAGGCGTCGTATCACAGTCCACGAGTGTCTAGAACACCCCTGGCTGCTAGGTGACCATAGCAACCTGAACACAAGAATACCATCAAGTCGATATGATAGGATTAGACAAAAGATCAAAGAGAAATATGTGAGTTACCCTATATTATACAAAATCTATATTTTCATTTCAAAATGATGAGTTATTAAATTAGCAGTGATAAAAACACAAAAAAACAATAACAGAAAAAATGATGTCCACATACTAGTATTGGCTAGCCGCTATTTACAAAACATTTCTATGATATTAGATGACTAACAACCCTTAAAATATCCTGATTTAAATATGTTGAAGCAAAAACTGCTGTCAATCTAAATAAAAGAGTAAACATTTGAGAGAATTGTGACACATTTGAAACTAATTGAGTTATGATGTAGTCTTAAGAGGGTATATGTGATGATATATTTACCCAATCATTGTTTTCTTTCAGGAGGATTGGCCTAAACCAATGCCAGCTATTGGTCGTATCGCCAACTTCAGCTCTCTGCGTCGCAACAGACCTAAGGAAAACCAGATTCATGATTCATATTTCGGTAAAGATTTTGTTAAGAATTGCGTAATTGATGATATTGATTTTTTGTTGTATCAAGTACAGCTAGTTTAATTATGACAAGGTATGGTCTATTCTAGTCTACTATTGTAGTAATATATGGAACAAGCATATGACTGGATCAGATTCATCACTTCACTATTGAAGCCAATTAAATAAGAACACACTTTAAATTTGAATAATTTTCATTATTCCGGTAAAGTTGAACATGAGTGATGCTTTGAAAACAATCATTGGAATCTAGCTTAATTTCATTCGACCACTTTTTGTAGATCGTCGTGAGTGTATCCCACGATTCATCCGTAAACCCAAGAATTGTCTGGTACAAGAGGGTCAAATAGCAGAGTTCAACTGCAAGATCATTGCAGCTTCAGCACCTCTAATCACATGGTATGTACAATAAAATATGTATGTACATGTATGTACAAATAAAATATGAATGTGCATAAAATATGTATAAACAATAAAATATGTAAGTACAATAAAACCTGTGTAAGTGGAACACGTTTGGTACCTAAAACAACTGTTCCATTTATGGAGGTGTTCCACCAGACAGGTTTTACTGTGTCCTGAAATACTTGTTCACTCATATTATGGAAAAAAGTTGCTAATTTCCCCCACTTTATTGAAATGTGGCAGCATGTGGCTATTTTATTGACAAAAGTGCTTTTTGCTGGTATAAGGAGTATTTAATCATATCAAGAAAATACAATGTAGAAGTCAACTTGAATTGAAAAGTGTTGTTTAATGATAATTGGATTAATAAAGAGTAAATCCCATTCATTTCTGTTCATGTTTGTACTCATAAGATATAGAGTCTATTTTCATTAAACTTGCTATATCTGTGAATAACTTTTTTCAGGATGCGAAATGATATTGGCTTGAGCCAGAGTGTGAAATACATGCAGAAATACCGTGGTTCAGAGTACACTCTTCGTGTAAGTCGTGTCCACATGGAGGATAAGGGAGAGTACATTGTTAAGGCAGAGAACTCTTATGGAAAACGAGAGTGTGCCGCTTTCTTGAATGTGGAACGTAAGTGTTTCTCGAGATATACCCTTGTATATATGCAAGTAAGCTATGTAATTTTACATTTCATGAATTTTCACAAATATAATTTTACATCAAGTTTAATTAATCTTGGAAATTTAAGAAAACACAAAGGACAACAAAGGAACACAAATATGCACCAATGAAATAATAGCAACATACTGTTGTATTAAAATGATATTCACAAACCATGCGGAATTTGTAACAGACGTCATTAGACCAAGGGCCTCTATGTTGATTTGATGTTTTACTTTAACATCTTTACACTCCCCCTCCTTTATAATAAAAATGTTCAAGAATAAATTGATGTTTTGACACAATAAAATTATAAACAGCCCATAAAATATCTAAAACAGAAAATTGTTACTTGTCATTCAAAAGATCAATTGTATATTGAGTTCTCATAAGCTTGGTACTCTAGATTATAATGAACATGAACAGGTAAAATTACTCATTCTTGTTGATCCTATAAAATGCTTTAGTTTAATCTTCAATCTCATTTCAGCTGCACCAGAGAAGACAGTTTCCAGAGCAAGCAGTTTAGAACCCTTAGTCAGAAGGTAAGTGTTACAGGGCAATAATGCTACCGTATATCATTGTGCAGTATGTCACTGTGAATTACAATGTAGTGGAGTACTTCATTGTGAACATCATTGTGCAGTATGTCACTGTAAATTACAATGTAGTGGAGTACTTCATTGTGAACATTATTATGCAGTAAATCATTCTGCAGTACGTCACTGTGAATTACAATGTAGTGGAGTACTTCATTGTGAACATCATTGTGCAGTATATAATTGTGCAGTGCATCATTGTGGGCATCATATTATTGTGCATCATATTATTGTTTATCACTGTGAATTATAACATTGGGCAGTATATAATTGTGCAGTTGCTCAATAAAATGAATATTGAATGAAACGAAGGAAACAATACTACTGCCTGGTTATTTCTATTTTGAAATATTCAATACACATGTATATATTACTGTAAATGGATACTTAAATCATAATGCATATTTCTGCTGTTTTGCAGGAAGAGAATCTTACCAGAAATTGAAGATTTCAAACCTGCACCAGATACCACCCCACGGTTCAATTTCGGTCTCCGTGAGCGCATAATCCAAGAAGGTATCGGCGTGAAGCTTATATGTTGCGTCGAAGCTAAGCCAGTACCTACCATAACATGGTACTTCAATAATAAGGAAATTAGAAACTCTTCTAGTTACACTATACAGTATTCTACTGGGGTGGCCTCACTTGAAATCATGGCTTGTGAGCTGAGTGATGCTGGCAAGTACACTTGTATAGCTGAGAATGCCAAGGGCACAGAGGAGAGTAGCTGTAGGGTCGTAGTTGAAGGTAAGGACATTTTCGTATTATGTTGTTACCAATTAGTTGTGACTCATTGTAATATCAACCATAATTGTTACAATTATTATATTTTCATATCTCAAAAATGCATACCCAATGCAAATACATGTAGTGAAAGTGCGTCAAGTAACTGCAAATAGTTTGTGTTTTATCATGATCCATATGATTGCGCTTGATTATACTTAAATATAAGTGCAAAAGAATGATCATCAACTCTCCCTGCGACTTCAGAAACTGAAAGTTAGCCTGCTCATTCATGTATGCCATTATAGGGGATACATATATAATACATGTACAATAATAAATGTATACTTGTACAATTTCAGAGAGTCTCAAGAGAAGACCAGAAGGACTATCCAACCTCCCTAGTATAACATCGTCTCACTCCAGGACAAGCAGGCGCACAACAGAATCCAGTGCTGGGGGAAGACGCACACGCACAGAAACTACAGAGAGTAAGAGTTGATTTTTTTACATGGCTAGTTCATAGCCTTTCTAGTGTGGTCAATTAGTCTTACGCATATAAATTAGTAAAAATTTGCTCAATATAAGTCAAGTTCTGTTCAGACTCTAGTGTAACCTGCATTGGCTAACATCCTGGTCTTCCAAAAACAGATAACATTAAACACCATCTCTTGTAATATTTTGCAATATAATTTCAATAAAAAATCTTGAATAATTATGTACATTAAGGATGCAGTACCAGGTCAGCGTAGAAAAAGTTCCAGACATTAGATTTTGCTCATATTTTTTACAATGTATCACTATGATGTTATCATCATCCAAGTGCAATATGAAGAGGATTGACCGTCTGGTAATTACAAAATAAAAAAATTATTTTACCCACCCAAAATGAATCTTTTTACTTTTTTGAGTTTTCGAACCCTGGCACCTTTCGAACCCTGGTTTTCGTATCCACTAATTGCGACTCAAGAACAAGTTTTCCCATAAAAGTGAAAGGGATGAAATATGCTCGATAAAATGTTTGCAATTTAATTCTTTTCTGGAAACACCATTATCGAAATAAACTATAATTTTTGAATAAGACTAAATGCGAAAATGACGTTCTTGGGAGCTAGCTTTCTCAAATCCGAAGTCAAACCTGCGCAAACAGACGTGAAAACCGACCCGGTACTGCATCCTTAATTAAGATAAATGAAAGTGACAAAATCCTCATCAAAGTGCATCAAAATGAACCGCATAATTATTGGCATTATGCATTTGTTTTTGTGTTATGAATGAGCTTTTAGCTTACCATATTGTGTTAGTGTTTGCCTGTGTGGATTTGGCATGAGAGTGTGATATAAGCCAAATCACAGGCACTAGTTTTTGACTGTGTTTGCTGACTTTTTCAGCATGTAGGAAAATAACATGGCTATAATTAAATTACTGATTTGTAATTTGATTTTGACTTGTAGCCCTGACACCCTTTGTGATGCACCCTATGCAGCATTATTGTAGCTGCCACTTTTTGGCTCAGAATTGTGTGTTCTAAAACTTTAATAATAGTCTTTGGTAGTTGTGTTGTTTATGCACCCTACAATATGAAGGAAAATAACAGAAATACAGTGACTTTGAAACGGAAATTATTTTAGTGATATAGTACTTTCATTTTGAAATAGAGTACTGTCTTTCATTGTGTAATAGAGTGCTTTCAGTGTAATAGAGTACTTTCATTGTGAGGTTTGTTCATATTAACATACTCACAAGTCACCATATTTCTTTTATACAAGATGTAATTTTTTGATACACTTAATAGTTACGTACAAAATATCCCAAAAATCCTATTCCTGGCAATGGAATAACCTAACGAGTAATATTTCGGAAACACCTAACAAAGTATCGTTGGATGCTAACCTTGGGTTTGGAGCTAATCATCAAATCTAATGATGATATAATTGAGACCTAACATATCTACCACACACTGGCTGGATTGGTTTTCCCGTAACATAATTTCACAAAAAGAAAATAAGGTAATGGTTATTTTTAATCTTTTATAGATTCATATAAGACAACCCCCATTTCAACTTTCTTTCACCTCTGAGTCCATCATATATTACTGTAATAGTCCGAATAGTCCATTGCGGGACATATGAGAAAAACAGTACAACTATTATCATATTTTTCTTGCATCATTTTTTATTTAATTGGCATTATTGTCATATTGTTGAGTTTTTGATTGATGTTCAAATGGGGGTTGTTTTAAGTGTATGTAAAATTGATAACATACTCAAAGCATGGTATTGTTTAATCGCCTTGATTTTCTGTGTTCTTGCATGTTGTTTGAACTGTTTCATCTAATTTAGTCACATTTATGTCAGTGTTTTCTGATTGGTTAATCATATTGCATGATGTTGACCAATGGAAAGACCTAACAAAAACCAATATGATTTTATATGCTTGTTACTATAACAACATTTTTATGTTTCCATAGCGACAACATCATCCAGTACAACATCATCTTAAGTTGAAAACTCATCGGAAGCCACATGAAGAGCTGCTGCTAAAAGTTGTGAACTGAAGATTGTGATGTAACCAAATGTGTAAATAGACCAGATCTATATTTGGACGGATGATTGACTTCCATAAATGGTTGCAGATGGAATTCTATATTTGGATGGAAAAGGTCCATATTTGGATTGAAATGTGTATCTGGGTCGGCAGTTTGAAAATGATGTGCCAACGCAGTGATTTGAATACGCAATGGAAGACATTGAGAAAAGCTGGCTTTAAAGTTGTACCTAACGGAAGAAATATTTCAGAGATTGCATTATGCAATTGGTCCCCTTAATATATAACATGGTGGTTCTTGTTAAATTTACACTCAGTCATAGTTGATTGTAGTGTTTGCTGATATATCGTGTATTTCTTGTCCATATACATAATTCTCTTTCGTTCAACTTATATTGGAGACCAGAAAAAGAAAACTTGACCACCATGTTATTGTATGTAAATGTGATATTGTTCAATGTGTCATAATCAACATGTGATGTATGTATTATTTGATCACATGTTACTGTATGTATCCAGAAAGGTACAATCTACATGTTACTGTATGTATTCGGAAATTTGCAATAGCTGTTTACATGTATGGTCACATGTCACTTAATTTAGGAAACCCATACTGAATGTATTCAGATATATGCAATAACTGTCCTCATATGCTACTGTTTGTATTCGGAGAGCTGCAATATCTTTCTTTATTTGAATTTTATGTTCATTGTACATTTACACACAATGGCTATAACACGAAAAAGACTGAAGATAATCTCAATATGAACAAGCAACCCCGTTTATATATACCAAAGAAAGCCATTTAGGTGAATATTCTAGCTGTGTGTAGGTATTACTGAGTTACATTTGTGCCCCTTATATGCCTCTTTAATACTTTACACAGTAAGAACATCTGTAGCTTTCATTTTACACCTCCACCACAAAAATAGCCAAGGAGCTTTCTTTATTTCTTCAACATTAGTCTTCAAACATTAGCATATAGACCTTAAAGGACACTAGTCAGCATGGAAGTCTTAGAAACATTTGTTTCAGAATCTATATATAATATATACCAATCATTATAAGTTGGACTTGAATCTCATCTCACTGGAATAGCAACTATGTTATTAACATTAGTTTATTAGATTTAGATATGTAGACATTAATTTTATAACATTTTTCATTGAAATATGGTGACAACATTGCAACATTGCAATAGACATTTCCTAAATATTACTTCTATGGTTTTTAATATTAATTTAATCACACATTTCGAACTACCTTTGATAAAGGTATTCTCAGACACAGATGTCTTAGTTCAAATCATAAAGCATTTTTATGGAGACAACCTCTGCTTGTTAGAACAGTCAAACTGCCAATAAGCCATGTAAATAATATACACATATAAGTGGTATATTAAAAAGATTCTGTACAAATTTTGTCTCATATTGTTTATATATTCCTCGTTTTATCTTTATTCTAAACAAATTACTGTATTTATTACTATTTATAATTTATTGTGTCCATTGTCTTAAGGAAATGACCTCTTGAGACCTCAAGGTCATACAGTCAAAGGTCAATTTGTAAGTCAAGGTCAAATAATAAAGACAGGAATGGGCAAAAGATGTATTATTATCAAGAGGAATGTTGACATAGGTACTTTTTGTTTTTCTAATGAATTAAAATAAAACATTAACATAAAATATTGTGTCATTAGTATCCCTATTATGTTTTAAATGTTTACAAAAGTATTTCTATAAATATACCATTTGACAACCTGCATTAAGTTATTTTACAAAATAGATATGTGTATTTATAATAAAAATGCTTCAAATGTTAAATTTCATATTTCAGTATATAGTATATCTATAGTTATAAATGCTGTTTATTGTTATGTAAATTTTATATTCTAATATTTCAAGTTGCCTAATGCATGCTATGCTGCCAGAGGTATAAACTGACTGTTCTGAGCTTTGATATAAAAACTGAAGATGTTATATGAATCAGTATCTTTATTGCTTTAGTCCAAAATAAACAGTCACTTTACTATTTATTGATGAAATCCTATGTGATCTTTCATAACTATGGGATGTAAATTCTGATAGTTTTGCTTCGTCGCCCCTGATAGTGTTGTTCCTTTTAGAACCATAGTTATTTGTACAAAGCACCCTAACAAACTGATACTATACAGTACTAAACAATAAAGTTATGATGTTATAACCCAAATCATGTGTTTGTTTTATATATCAAGAGGTATATTGGCTGCACTGGAGAAAAAATAAAAAGGTCATCATCAAATATAAGGATAATATTGAGAGCTGCATGAACAAGTGAAGTTGTGAAACATTCTGTTTTCAAGATGGCAGCTGATTTTTCAAAATGGCCACCATTTTTCATAAAATAATGTAATCTTTATTAACTCAAATACCAGTGGCTGGATTAGGTTCAACTTTTATATGCTGATGCCTAATCAGACAGGAGCTCTGCTCAAGAAGGAATTTTTAAGATGGCAGCTGATTTTAAAAATGGCCGGCATTTTTGTAAGAGAGGGTAATCTTTGATAACCAGTTGACATATTTGGTTCAAATTTTATATGCTGATGCCTAGAGATAAAGGAGCTCTGTTCAAGAAGAAATTTTCAAGATGGCTTCTCTTTATCAAAATGGACGTCATTTGTCATTAAAATATAATCTTTGATAACCAAAATACCAGTCAATGGATTTGGTTCAAACAATATATGCTGATGCCTAGGGACATAGGACTCCTGCTCAAGATGGCTGCTGAATTTTAAAATGGCAGCCATTTTTCGTAAAAAATAATTTTTGCTAACTTAAATATGAGTGAACGGATTTGGTCCAAAATTTATATATTGGCACCTCGGGACAGGAGCTCTTCAATGAAAATGTTCAAGATGGCTGTTGAATATCAAAACATGTTTCATTCGGTGGGATTTGCTATTCTGTGGAGTTGCTGTTTTCTAGTTATGTTATGTTATTTTATTTTTCTTGTACAAATTTTTTCTAAATATGCTGAACCTGCAAAATAAAACAATCTAAAGCACTTCAAGATTAGCTTTTTGAAATTAAATTGAAAAGTTTCACATAGCACATTTTGGTAAGCCAAAGTGGTTTTAACTTAATATGGGGTCTTCAAAAAGTGATCTTTGAAATATTTTATAACTTAAAATTGATAACATAGTTTGCAACATGCAAAGCTGGAAAAACAGCACTATTTATTGCCCACACAGCCACAATATGAAATTATTTACATTCATGGTTTCATATAGCACCTAGAACTAATTAGTATATACCTGTGATGCGTCCTCATTTGCTCTGGATGTTTCCAATGTAGTAACACTACTTAATCCTTGACATTTTACTTTGGCTGATTTTAGGACAAGAAAATACTCAGAATTACTTCATGTTCTTTGTTAATGAAGGAGTATCTCACATCTTATATTAATGACATTTTCGGCAATTTTCTTTCTTAAATGCTGAAAGAACTCTAGGTCATGTCTGCCTAGTCATTCGTTCCAGTGATAAATATTTTAAATCTTGCATTGCACTCCAAATGCAGTCTCTCTTATCCAAATATATTAATGACAGCAAAACCCTACATATGTAGCTACTTGCTTTTGGAAATATCTATGAGAACACCTTCTCAAATTTAATCTTATTCCTGCAGAAAAAGAATATCCAGTGAAAAAGTCACTGATAAGAGATTTATTTGTGGAAAAATAAAGTGAAATTTAAGTAAATGGTAAATAGATGCTCCCATAATGTTTGACTACATAATGGAATGGGGGTGATTGTGCATCCGCATATTCAGAAATGTTAATGGCTTCCCGTTTGAAGTCCTTTGTTATTTCCAGGCACAAAACTCATTTCATACATGCCCTAAATCTTTCATATTTGTTTTAGAGATTTTTGAAAAAACATTTTTTGAAAAAAGTTGTCAACTTTTCATTTCCCAAATATTCAAATTTCCTGCATTTTTCAAATAAAAGTTTAAATCATTGAATACTCCACTGTACAGTACAAAAAACATTAACTTTTTAACACCAATGCAGATTTAACAAAGGGCACATTTACCTCCTGACGTCCTGAGTGATGTCATTGTGACATCACTCAGGTGGCAAAAACATTTTGAAAAAAATTAAGAAGATTTATCCAGAGTCTGAAAAACAATGGCGTCCCTTCTACTGTGTAAACAGCATAATGATAAACAGTGTGTCATATATCTAACAGAGGTTTCAATTAATAATTAACTGGAGAATAATAGGCTTAATTTCACCTAATTATAGTCTGTTCGCTGCTCACCCTCACCTCAATTCACAGGACACCCTTTGCAGCAATAAATTGGTACCAGAATTTCTCACTTTATTAGAGGGAAGCCAATGGGTGTCTATTACAAGGGATATTTCCTGTCGTAAAATTGACACATGGCCCTCATACTCATCCAATATAGTATCATGAAGGTAGGCATGAATGTTGACCAATATGTGACATTTTGTCATATTTTTGCTTCTGTTTTTGCCCGAGCTGTTTTTATTACTAGCATTTTCATTTCTTTTCTCAAATGTTTTTACACATTGGGCATTAATTGGGGAAGAACAAGAACACCGATGGGCCTTTACCAGGGGGTAGAAAAGTGTATGTGATTACTCCATTCTGTTATTACATTCTTAGGGGTAGAGAACAGTGTACAGTATGGTATTTTTCCATTTTGTTGTTTGTATTCCAGGGGGTAGAGCAGTGTATGGGATTTCTCCATTTTGTTGTTTGTATTCCAGGGGGTAGAGAAGTGTATGGGATTTCTCCAATGTTCACTGAAGACCTGAGTCCAGAAAACTCCAGAGTAGAAGTGGGGAGTCGGGTTAAATTTACATGCAGGGTGTGGGCCTCACCAGAACCTATGGTATCCTGGTTAAAAGGGTAATCTTTGATAACCAGTTGACATATTTGGTTCAAATTTTATATGCTGATGCCTAGAGATAAAGGAGCTCTGTTCAAGAAGAAATTTTCAAGATGGCTTCTCTTTATCAAAATGGACGTCATTTGTCATTAAAATATAATCTTTGATAACCAAAATACCAGTCAATGGATTTGGTTCAAACAATATATGCTGATGCCTAGGGACATAGGACTCCTGCTCAAGATGGCTGCTGAATTTTAAAATGGCAGCCATTTTTCGTAAAAAATAATTTTTGCTAACTTAAATATGAGTGAACGGATTTGGTCCAAAATTTATATATTGGCACCTCGGGACAGGAGCTCTTCAATGAAAATTTTCAAGATGGCTGTTGAATATCAAAACATGTTTCATTCGGTGGGATTTGCTATTCTGTGGAGTTGCTGTTTTCTAGTTATGTTATGTTATTTTATTTTTCTTGTACAAATTTTTTCTAAATATGCTGAACCTGCAAAATAAAACAATCTAAAGCCCTTCAAGATTAGCTTTTTGAAATTAAATTGAAAAGTTTCACATAGCACATTTTGGTAAGCCAAAGTGGTTTTAACTTAATATGGGGTCTTCAAAAAGTGATCTTTGAAATATTTTATAACTTAAAATTGATAACATAGTTTGCAACATGCAAAGCTGGAAAAACAGCACTATTTATTGCCCACACAGCCACAATATGAAATTATTTACATTCATGGTTTCATATAGCACCTAGAACTAATTAGTATATACCTGTGATGCGTCCTCATTTGCTCTGGATGTTTCCAATGTAGTAACACTACTTAATCCTTGACATTTTACTTTGGCTGATTTTAGGACAAGAAAATACTCAGAATTATTTCATGTTCTTTGTTAATGAAGGAGTATCTCACATCTTATATTAATGACATTTTCGGCAATTTTCTTTCTTAAATGCTGAAAGAACTCTAGGTCATGTCTGCCTAGTCATTCGTTCCAGTGATAAATATTTTAAATCTTGCATTGCACTCCAAATGCAGTCTCTCTTATCCAAATATATTAATGACAGCAAAACCCTACATATGTAGCTACTTGCTTTTGGAAATATCTATGAGAACACCTTCTCAAATTTAATCTTATTCCTGCAGAAAAAGAATATCCAGTGAAAAAGTCACTGATAAGAGATTTATTTGTGGAAAAATAAAGTGAAATTTAAGTAAATGGTAAATAGATGCTCCCATAATGTTTGACTACATAATGGAATGGGGGTGATTGTGCATCCGCATATTCAGAAATGTTAATGGCTTCCCGTTTGAAGTCCTTTGTTATTTCCAGGCACAAAGCTCATTTCATACATGCCCTAAATCTTTCATATTTGTTTTAGAGATTTTTGAAAAAACATTTTTTGAAAAAAGTTGTCAACTTTTCATTTCCCAAATATTCAAATTTCCTGCATTTTTCAAATAAAAGTTTAAATCATTGAATACTCCACTGTACAGTACAAAAAACATTAACTTTTTAACACCAATGCAGATTTAACAAAGGGCACATTTACCTCCTGACGTCCTGAGTGATGTCATTGTGACATCACTCAGGTGGCAAAAACATTTTGAAAAAAATTAAGAAGATTTATCCAGAGTCTGAAAAACAATGGCGTCCCTTCTACTGTGTAAACAGCATAATGATAAACAGTGTGTCATATATCTAACAGAGGTTTCAATTAATAATTAACTGGAAAATAATAGGCTTAATTTCACCTAATTATAGTCTGTTCGCTGCTCACCCTCACCTCAATTCACAGGACACCCTTTGCTGCAATAAATTGGTACCAGAATTTCTCACTTTATTAGAGGGAAGCCAATGGGTGTCTATTACAAGGGATATTTCCTGTCATAAAATTGACACATGGCCCTCATACTCATCCAATATAGTATCATGAAGGTAGGCATGAATGTTGACCAATATGTGACATTTTGTAATATTTTTGCTTCTGTTTTTGCCCGAGCTGTTTTTATTACTAGCATTTTCATTTCTTTTCTCAAATGTTTTTACACAGTGGGCATTAATTGGGGAAGAACAAAAACACCGATGGGCCTTTACCATGGGGTAGAAAAGTGTATGTGATTACTCCATTCTGTTATTACATTCTTAGGGGTAGAGAACAGTGTACAGTATGGTATCTTTCCATTTTGTTGTTTGTATTCCAGGGGGTAGAGCAGTGTATGGGATTTCTCCATTTTGTTGTTTGTATTCCAGGGGGTAGAGAAGTGTATGGGATTTCTCCAATGTTCACTGAAGACCTGAGTCCAGAAAACTCCAGAGTAGAAGTGGGGAGTCGGGTTAAATTTACATGCAGGGTGTGGGCCTCACCAGAACCTATGGTATCCTGGTTAAAAGATGGAGAGGTAGGGGAATACATTAACCATACCACATTAGATGGATTTGAATAGGCTGAAAATATGCAGCATTTTGACAACTTAAAGAGGGGATGACTGTATTAAGTCTTTTAAATCTTAATCTTAAATGTAATGAAATATTATAATTCACAGTTTATTTAAAAACAATAACTTTCTGCGATAGTGTATAAGATGTACCAACAGAAAAGTGTTCAAAGTATAATAATTTCTAATAAAGTTTATATAAAGAGAGCAAAAACTATGAAATAAATTATAGAAACCATGAAATGAGATGCATCATTTAAACCTAGTTAAGCATCACACATGCAATTTCTAATTTCTCCATGAAAAATGGAAATGAAAATTAGCACATATTGCTACTCCTCATAACCAAATGGTGATTAACATGGATATTGTCTCATAAACGAATGGTGATTAACATGGCTATTGTCTCATAACAAAATGGTGATTAACATGGATATTGTCTCATAACCAAATGGTGATTAACATGGATATTGTATTTTACATGTGATTGCTACAGATTCTCAGGAACAATGTGAATACATCAATAAAGAAGGTTGGAGGAGGGCACAGTCTTACCTTACATAGAGCATCTTATGATGACCAGGGCACTTACACCTGCCAGGTGATCAACAGAAAGGGACTCAGGGAGCAGAGTACAACCCTAAAAGTCATCAACAGTATGACCATTATGCAACATTCTTTTTGTGTTTTTTTGGTTTTTGGAGCTTAATGTGTTTAGGGGGTTCAAACAATAAGAGTCAATAAGAGATCTAAGAATATTGTAGCTTATTCTTCATACTTATCCTTCTTTGGTTTGTGTGTTTTTTAATTTTTTTACATTTGCTTGGTACTGTATTTGGGCTATTTTCTACTGTCATCAAGAACAAGGTCAGCACTGAATCTTGCAAGAGCTAGTTTTTATGTCACCACCAAAAGTGGTGACATATTGTTATGGTCTCCGTTTTTTTGCGACGGCGGTTGGTGGTTGGCGTCCGGCGGTTGGTGGTTGGCGTCCGGCGGTTGGCGTCCCAACTTCCCATAACTTAACAAATACTGTTTAGACTGACTTCAATTTTTTTCTAAATCATCTGCATGTTCTCAGAAGTTCAAATCTGACTTTAGATTTGACATTTGACCTTCAATGACCTTCTCAAGGTCAAAAAGGTCTTTTTTCAACTTGCTTCACATTGACTAAATTTTTTTTCAAAATCATCTACATGTTCTCAGAAATTCAAATCTGACTTTAGATTTGACATTTGACCTTCAAATCTGACTTAAGATTTGACATTTGACCTTCAATGACCTTCTCAAAGTCAAAAAAGGTCAAAAAGGTCTTTTTTCAACTTGCTTCAAATTGACTAAATTTTTTTTCAAAATCATCTACATGTTCTCAGAAATTCAAATCTGACTTTAGATTTGACATTTGAACTTCATTGACCTTCTCAATGTCAAAAAAGGTCAAAAAGGTATTTTTTCATCTTGCTTCAAATTGACTAAATTTTTTTCCAAAATCATCTACATGTTCTCAGAAATTCAAATATGACTTTAGATTTGACATTTGACCTTCAATGACCTTCTCAAGGTCAAAAAGGTCTTTTTTCAACTTGCTTCAATTGACTAATTTTTTTTTCAAAATCATTTACATGTTCTCAGAAATTCAAATCTGACTTTAGATTTGACATTTGACCTTTAATGACATTCTCAAGGTCAAAAAAGGTCAAAAAGGTCTGTTTTCAACTTGCTTCAAATTGACCAAATTTTTTTTTCAAAATCATCTACATCTTTTCAGAAGTTCAAATTTGACTTTACAAGTTCTCAGAAATTCAAATCTGACTTAAGTTTGAACTCATAATATTGTGAGCAACTAGGTGGTGACATTTTGTCATGTTAATGCCTTGTCATATGATTGGAATGAGTGCAGTGTATATTGAATGTCTTATCTAGTGTCATGCTGAATGTGATCCACATTTCAGAGGCATCATATCCCATGTCCCCAACAAGAACACAAAAAGAGGAAACAAGTTATACGAGGATTCATGAATCCCCTTCTTGGAGGCAAAATGGAGAGGCTTCATCTCTTAGAAATCTTCGCTCTTCTACCCCACTCAATAGGACTGAAGCAGAGGAGACCATGTATCCCAGGCCATCTTTGTCTCCTATTTCCCCTCAAAGGAGAGAAAAAGAGGAGGCACCAAAATTTCTAAAACATATCCAAAGCTTAGTAGTTCAAGATGGAGACTCAGTTACATTGGAGTGCAAAATTACAGGTATTTTTATGCTTTTTCTCATTGGCCAAGTAAAGGTCACATGACACAAAAGATGAATATTGGAACTTGTATGAAAGTAATTTCAATGACAGGATTATTTGTTGGGAAGACATGTGACAAATATTTGATTGAATGCACAGCTATGTACATGTATTCACACCGACAGAGTGAAATATTTGTGCATTACTTGTACTATAGGTACTTGTATGTTCTACATATGGAACAATAAATAAACTTAAACAATAGCATAATTGTGACATACATTAAATAATGATTTACATTCAGGTAACCCCCAACCAGAATTTGTGTGGCTATGCAACAATAAGGAGATACAGGAGAGTGAAGACTTTAAGGTGGAGCATGATGGCAATATCACAAGACTTGTCATATCTGAGATATTCCCTGAGGATGAAGGTATGATTATGATCTACTATTGCTAAAGCTCTTGCTGTATGTTTCACTTCATATGCAAATGGGTTCACATGGTGAGTCTGTGGAACCATCTACTCATTCATATGTCCATTCATCTTTCCATTCATCTATCTGTCCAGCAAGAATTTCCAGAAATTGTCATTCATTTTCATTTATGCTTCTATTCATTTTATGGACTTCATATTGGTAATTTACAACATGAGGTTCTGGGTCCTACTTTTGCCTCATTTTGGAGAAATTTGCTATTTGTTGTCATTTCAATCATGTGTGCAAACCTAGGATGCCATCTTTCGTTTGCGTAATAGTTTGTGGAAAACCTGCAATTCAAATTTTAAAATGTCGTTTTAAGCCATTTGCAGTATTTTCTGGTTGGAAATGAAATGTTAATTCGATAAATGGTATTGTGCAACTATTAATTATTGATAATCTTGTTAATCAGATAAATCATCTTGGTTATTGGTTTTAGTAAATTGCAAAGGATCATTCACAATGCCAACTATGTATGTAAATCTTAGAATTCCTTTACAGCCCAATGTATCTCATGCAAGATGTCTCCTCTTTTATATATAATGTGTTTAAAGGAATATTCCTTGCCAAACCATCTCTCTCCTCATATGGTAGCTATAACCATATATATGCTTGCCATGTTTTGATATGGTCTTTGATCACTTAGAAATGTGATGCTCAATTCCAGTAAGCTGCCATCTTTTAAAATTTCACACAGGAAGTGATGTCATCGACTCTCAACTTTGCATATAGCATTAGGTGAGGAGCTATTAAGAATTACAAAACCAGCTAAATATTCTTTTTCAACTTTGTATCTTATTCAATCCTTCTGAAAATCTCTTCTTTTATTCTAAGTTGACAAGCCCTGAAAGTAATGATCACTTGTCTAGAAGTGATTTTGTGCTACTTTCCTATACTGTTATGGGCAAGGTTATAGAAGTTGAGAGTTGATGACATCACTTCCTGCAAGAAATCTTAAAAGATGGCAGCTCACTGGAAATAAGCACTAGATTTTTAAATGATCAATATTGACCATATTAAAACATTTTCCCATGTTTTGCTAAATATGGAGACTATATATATGATTATAGCTACCATATCAAGAGAGAAAGGGTCTGGCAAGGAATATTCCTTTAATGTTTATATGCAGGTATCTATACATGTGAAGCCTTCAATGCAGTAGGTGAGGCATCCAGTAGCTGCACACTTAGGGTTACAGGTAATTGTTTGATTTAATTATTAATATTATCAAATACATTGCAGGAGTATTAATCTAATTAAAGGCAAAAACTCACAGTTTAACGCAGGAAACAAACTACTTCTTTCAGAAAATTGTCCAGAAAAATTTCCAAACATGTGTTACAATCATTCAGCTGATGAACATTCAATATATTTAATGAATTTCTTGGTTAATTTCCAATTAATAACCATAGGATTATTATGTACAAAATGTCGTTTCACCAAATTATATAGCATAAATCCACCCACCATTGTGTTGTATTGTTAAATAGGACATTCCACATATGATTACTTTAAGGCCATGTGCAAATAGTACCGCAGTCCAAACAATTCAGACCTTCAGATCAGAACCTCTCTGTAGTCTCATCGTGATCTTCATGTTTGTAAGCCATTGATCAAGGAAAGATGATATTTATTCTTTGTGTAACTCAAGGTTAGAGTAGTTTGAACTGATCTCTCTTTAATCTTTCAGAGGAAGGACTTGACAAGGCAGGAGGACCTTTATTCTTGAAGTACCCTCAATCTATAAGAGTGTTGAGGAAGGATCTCCTTTAATGGTTATTCTGTAGTCTCATCATGATCTCTCTTTGATCTTTCAGAGGAAGGACTCGACAAGGCAGGAGAACCTTTATTCCTGAAGTACCCTCAGTCTATGAGTGTTGAGGAAGGATCTCCTTTAATGGTTTCTCTGTAGTCTCATCATGATCTCTCTTTAATCTTTCAGAGGAAGGACTTGACAAGACAGGAGGGCCTTTATTCCCGAAGTACCCTCAATCTATGAGTGTTGAGGAAGGATCTCCTTTAATGGTTATTCTGTAGTCTCATCATGATCTCTCTTTGATCTTTCAGAGGAAGGATTCGACAAGGCAGGAGGACCTTTATTCCTGAAGTACCCTCAGTCTATGAGTGTTGAGGAAGGATCTCCTTTAATGGTTTCTCTGTAGTCTCATCATGATCTCTCTTTAATCTTTCAGAGGAAGGACTTGACAAGACAGGAGGGCCTTTATTCCTGAAGTCCCCTCAATCTATGAGTGTTGAGGAAGGATCTCCTTTAATGGTTATTCTGTAGTCTCATCATGATCTCTCTTTAGTCTTTCAGAGGAAGGACTTGACAAGGCAGGAGGGCCTTTATTCCTGAAGTACCCTCAATCTATAAGAGTGTTGAGGAAGGATCTCCTTTGATGGTTTCTCTGTAGTCTCATCATAATCTCTCTTTGATCTTTCAGAGGAAGGACTTGACAAGGCAGGAGGACCTTTATTCCTGAAGTACCCTCAGTCTATGAGTGTTGAGGAAGGATCTCCTTTAATGGTTTCTCTGTAGTCTCATCATGATCTCTCTTTAATCTTTCAGAGGAAGGACTTGACAAGGCAGGGGGACCTTTATTCCTGAAGTACCCTCAGTCTATGAGTGTTGAGGAAGGATCTCCTTTAATGGTTTCTCTGTAGTCTCATCATGATCTCTCTTTAATCTTTCAGAGGAAGGACTTGACAAGGCAGGAGGGCCTTTATTCCTGAAGTACCCTCAATCTATGAGTGTTGAGGAAGGATCTCCTTTAATGGTTATTCTGTAGTCTCATCATGATCTCTCTTTAATCTTTCAGAGGAAGGACTTGACAAGGCAGGAGGGCCTTTATTCCTGAAGTACCCTCAATCTATAAGAGTGTTGAGGAAGGATCTCCTTTGATGGTTTCTCTGTAGTCTCATCATAATCTCTCTTTGATCTTTCAGAGGAAGGACTTGACAAGGCAGGAGGACCTTTATTCCTGAAGTACCCTCAGTCTATGAGTGTTGAGGAAGGATCTCCTTTAATGGTTTCTCTGTAGTCTCATCATGATCTCTCTTTAATCTTTCAGAGGAAGGACTTGACAAGGCAGGGGGACCTTTATTCCTGAAGTACCCTCAGTCTATGAGTGTTGAGGAAGGATCTCCTTTAATGGTTTCTCTGTAGTCTCATCATGATCTCTCTTTAATCTTTCAGAGGAAGGACTTGACAAGGCATGAGGGCCTTTATTCCTGAAGTACCCTCAATCTATGAGTGTTGAGGAAGGATCTCCTTTGATGGTTTCTCTGTAGTTTCATCATAATCTCTCTTTGATCTTTCAGAGGAAGGACTTGACAAGGCAGGAGGACCTTTATTCCTGAAGTACCCTCAGTCTATGAGTGTTGAGGAAGGATCTCCATTAATGGTTTCTCTGTAGTCTCATCATGATCTCTCTTTAATCTTTCAGAGGAAGGACTTGACAAGGCAGGGGGACCTTTATTCCTGAAGTACCCTCAGTCTATGAGTGTTGAGGAAGGATCTCCTTTAATGGTTTCTCTGTAGTCTCATCATGATCTCTCTTTAATCTTTCAGAGGAAGGACTTGACAAGGCAGGAGGGCCTTTATTCCTGAAGTACCCTCAATCTATGAGTGTTGAGGAAGGATCTCCTTTAATGGTTATTCTGTAGTCTCATCATGATCTCTCTTTAATCTTTCAGAGGAAGGACTTGACAAGGCAGGAGGGCCTTTATTCCTGAAGTACCCTCAATCTATAAGAGTGTTGAGGAAGGATCTCCTTTGATGGTTTCTCTGTAGTCTCATCATAATCTCTCTTTGATCTTTCAGAGGAAGGACTTGACAAGGCAGGAGGACCTTTATTCCTGAAGTACCCTTAGTCTATGAGTGTTGAGGAAGGATCTCCTTTAATGGTTTCTCTGTAGTCTCATCATGATCTCTCTTTAATCTTTCAGAGGAAGGACTTGACAAGGCAGGGGGACCTTTATTCCTGAAGTACCCTCAGTCTATGAGTGTTGAGGAAGGATCTCCTTTAATGGTTTCTCTGTAGTCTCATCATGATCTCTCTTTAATCTTTCAGAGGAAGGACTTGACAAGGCAGGAGGGCCTTTATTCCTGAAGTACCCTCAATCTATGAGTGTTGAGGAAGGATCTCCTTTAATGGTTATTCTGTAGTCTCATCATGATCTCTCTTTAATCTTTCAGAGGAAGGACTTGACAAGGCAGGAGGGCCTTTATTCCTGAAGTACCCTCAATCTATGAGTGTTTAGGAAGGATCTCCTTTAATGGTTTCTCTGTAGTCTCATCATGATCTCTCTTTAATCTTTCAGAGGAAGGACTTGACAAGGCAGGAGGGCCTTTATTCCTGAAGTACCCTCAATCTATGAGTGTTGAGGAAGGATCTCCTTTAATGGTTATTCTGTAGTCTCATCATAATCTCTCTTTGATCTTTCAGAGGAAGGACTTGACAAGGCAGGAGGACCTTTATTCCTGAAGTACCCTCAGTCTATGAGTGTTGAGGAAGGATCTCCTTTAATGGTTTCTTGTGAGGTGGAGGATAGCAAACCTGTCAAAGGTATCACACACTTATTTTTATGTCACCACCAAAAAGTGGTGACATATTGTTATGGTCTCTGTTTTTTGTGGAAGCGGTTGGCGATCGGCAGTTGGCATCTGTAACAAATTCTTAAAACTTCCAATTACTTATCAAATACTGTTTAGACTGACTTCAATTTTTTTTCAAAATCATCTACAAGTTTTCCAAAGATCAAATCTGATTTTATATTTAACACTTGAAATGACCTTTTCAAGGTTAACAAAGGTCAAAAAGGTATTTTTTCAACTTCAAATTGATTAATTTTTTTTCAAAATCATCTACAGGTTATCAGAAGTTCAAATCTGACTTTAGATTTGAGATTTGACCTTCAATGACCTTTTCAAGGTCAAGAAAAGGTAAAAAGGTCTTTTTCAACTTGCTTCAGATTGACCAATTTTTCTTTCAAAAGCATTTTAAAATTCTCAAAAGTTCATATCTGACTATAGATTTGACCTTCAATGATATTCTGAAGGTTAAAAAGGATTTGACCTTCTTTTCTCTAGGTCAAAAAGGTCAACTTGCTTGCTTTTTTAACTTGCTTTAAATGGACCAATTTTTTTTTAAATCATCTAAAGCTCAAAACTGACTTAAAGATTGAACTAATAATATTGTTTCATTTAATATCATTACATTTTCCATTTTGCATAAGGTTCATTGGGATTAACAGAAAATGTGTATGTCGACTTAAAACTTTGAAAAAGTTGCTTTTTTGAAATAAGTCTTCATTTTTGATACGGTCATAACATACATGTACATTGGAAGTATTAATAGCTTTTGGGATCTAATTCCTCCCATGTGCTCGTGCTATCAGATTGTTAAATGTGAATAACACAAACAATATTTTTACTTACATGCACTGTCATTCAAACAAAACGTGGAAAACATTGAAAATGGATGTTGAAACTTAAAAACTATATGTTGATACTTTAAAACTACAGTATCAACATTTTTGGTCAAAATAATTGTGTTTGAAATAAGGGTTGACATGCAAGCTTTATTATATCACTGAACAATGTATATACCAGTATATATTCTTTTTTCAGTGACTTGGAAGAAAAATAATAAGGTGATTGAAAATTATGGACGTTTTAAATTCCAAACATTTGGGAATGTGTACACATTTGGAATACCCGCTGCTCTTTCGACAGATGCAGGACTCTATAGTGTGATTGCTGAGAGTGCCAACGGAGAATCTGATTGGGTGTTCACTTTACACGTTCATGCTGACAAAGATGGTTCAGAAATTGACGTTCAAGAACTTTTGAAATCTGTCCAATCATGATAATATGATATGATGTGTACATGATATGACTAGATGATGTGACTTGTACATGATATTACTTGTACATGATGAATATTGCAGTCAGAATATGAGCAAACATGATATGACTAACACAGTCATAATATGCTGAAAATGACTGTCATAGTCATGACATATAATATTGATGATGACTATTGTAGTCATGATTTGACTAATTCAGGTAATGATTCATATAATCACAATATGACAAACATTGATATGTAATATTAGTGCTTTTGATGACGATTAACATGGTGCTTTTTTGAGTCAAAATATCAGCATTATAATTATTGGAAAATACGATGTCACATTTGGTGATGGTGACTATATTACTAAATCGAGATATTTATAAGAAAGTAACCTATATTTATTGAAATAAGATAAACACTATATGCATGCTGCAATATATTTATTGATATATTATGCCTTATCAAATGTAGCTAGGTTTTCTTATTTATTAACATATGAAGGACAATTATACAGTACAGGTCTACATATAAAATACAGTCTGCCAGTTGTAACAACTGTCAGTACATTCTGCATGGGATATCAGTAAACCAAAATCTCTTAACTTGAACATCCTTTTCAGATGAACACCTCTATAAGGTAAACACTTTCATACGTCCAGGTATTCTTCCCATTTGATTAAACCCTTTTCGAAGAACACCCCAAACTTGAACACTCGACACTGTCCAAGAGTGCTTATCTTAGAAGGCCTTTATGTTTCTGTGTATTGTTAGTAAATAATGTAAATATTGCAAAATTACAACCACTGGCCTCTTTTCATGTAATAAACAAATGAGATACCTGCAATATGGCACCAGCAGCTGAAATGAAACAGCTGATAAGATATATACAGGTCTAGTCAAATATACATTCACATTGTAACATCTTTTCATGTTTTCCAAATGCTATTGCATGATAATCCAGCTGACAGTCTGATACTGGTACAATAGAATACAGTGTATTGTGCAATACAAAGCAGTTATATGAATGTCTCATAATTCTTGCCTATCAAAATGATTTTCTGAAATATGGAAACTATTAAAGTAGTTGTGCTAATATTATGTAAAACCATAATTGTAGTTATTCTGGAACAATAAACTTATTTAATTTACTTATTTTAAGTAATGTTTGTTGTGACATCGGTTTATATAAAATAAGGTAAACCTAAATTAAACATATGCTAAAATAAACTGTATATACAAGCCTTTAAAAGATCTGACTAATTAGCCTCTTGTATATTGTATACCATTTTTATGTCACCACCAAAAAGTGGTGATATATTGTTATGGTCTCCATTTTTTTGGACTGCGGTTGGTGGTTAGCTGTTGGCGTCTGCAACGAATTCTTACAACTTCCAATAACTCAACAAATACATAAGCTCAAACCTGACTTTATATATAAGATTTGACCTTTTCAAGGTAAAAACGGTCAAAAAGGTCTTTTTCAACTTGCTTCAAATTGACCAATTTTTTTCAAAATCATCTACAAGTTCTGAGCAGTTCAAATCTGTCTTTAGATTTGAGATTTGAAAAAGGTGAAAAAGGTCTTCTTTCAACTTGCTTCCAATTGACCAATCTTTTTTTTCAAAATTATCTTCAAGTTCTCAATAGTTCAAATCTGACTATAGATTTGACCTTCAATGACATTCTCAAGGTCAAAAAAGATTTGACCTTCAATGACATTCTCGAGGTCAAAAAGGTATTTTTTCATCTTGCTTCAAATTGACCAATTCTTTTTCAAAATCATCTACAAGTTCTCAGAAGTCCAAATCTGACTTAAGATTTGAGATTTCACCTTCAATGACCTTCTCAGGGTCAAAAAGGTATTTTTTCAACTTGCTTCAAATTGACCATTCTATTTTTTCTAAATCATCTACAAGTTCAAAGAAATTCAAATCTGACTAAGATTGAACTCGTAATATTGTGAGCAACAAGGTTGTGACATTTTGCCATGTTAATGCCTTGTTAATGGGAGCCGGGACTTGTATAGATGGCAGATAACTACTGGGTTGTTCTTCACATCTGGCCCATTGGTTTGTCTGTAAATATTGCTGTTTTAAAACTTCAAGCTCACTACATATATCAAATAAATATTATATTTTCCTTCATTATTATTTACAAAAGTGTTTTAAGATTCAATATTAAAAGGGTTTGGATATTTTCAATTAAAGGATGAGTCTGGGGATGAGTCTGGGTATCGACTTAGAAAATATTGAAAATTGTATTGTCCGAAAAACCAACTCAATCACACATATTATTAAACTTCAATATCTTATCCTTCTTCTGAGATTACAAAAATATTGATTTGTATCACAATTGATGAAGAATATTGACTTCAAAGACAGTGCATATAATATTGTCAGAATTGAAAAAAAATCAATGGCAAATATTAAATGAATTATTTATACAAAAAGTTTGAAACATATCCTCCAAAATATTGCTTATTTCTTTCTATAGACATTGAATGGTATTTCTGGATAAGTGAATTGGTGTTTATCTGGGTAATCAAGGGATTATAGTCACTCAAAGTTACTGAGCATCCAGTTTTGAGACTTCAATTGTGTTGGTGAAGTTACACATATTTCAGTCAAATTCAAGCTGAGCACAACATTTTGGTTTCAATTTTATAATCTCCATACATGACCCTGGTGATGAAGAGTCAGAATCAGTCTAAAAACCTAAACCGGAAAACTGTGCTCATTGTGAAAACAAAAAGTGAAGCAACTTTTTTTCTGATATTTCTTACATCAAATGGCAGCCATCTTGTTTTTCCCCCTTCAAATTAAACTGGCGGGAAATTCAAAAATTTGAAAAAAAATTTAATCCTTAAATATATTTCAAAAATATGATTTTCTTTTAAATTCTTCATGGGTCTTAAGTTATTTCTTCTTTGTATGTCATACATGTTGCCATTGGTGTTTTTTTTCTATGATAATGGCTATTTGTTTTTTGTTAAGATACTTGTTCTGACTCTCAGTAGGGGGTTAATTATGCATCAAAACTCGTGAAAAGTGAATATACTTATCAAATATAACTAGGACAGTAATAAAAACCATATTTCACATACATTTGACTGAGGGACCAAAAGGGCATATATCCGGACACATCCTTTATCTTGGGAGATTTTTTTTCTGGGGGAGCAATTTTCACATGTTAAAGTATGCTATTACACACACTGAATTTTTGCCCTCTATTGACAGTCCTGAAGGCCATTGAAGATCGATAATTTACCTTGAAATAAAGCCCACTCCTTCTATTCCTCCCTTCCTTAGTTCAGAGATAATAGAACTCTTTGAGAGAGTCTTACTAGTTCTCTTTTTAAAATAAAGACATGGGAGTTGACCTTGATTGACTCTTGTGCCATTACCTGACTCCGGGTGATCTGAGAAGGTGAATTCAACATTTTCTACTGTAAGGACACTCCGGTTCCCACTGGAATTATATGTGTTTGGTCCATTTAGTAATGCTTTGATAGAATATTGTTCTTTTGAATTTATTTTAATGCCTTTGTCAAATTTTAGTTTATGTATAAAACTCCCCTTTGGAACATCAGAATGTTTGAACTCGTGCTTTACATCATACAATACTTTGTTTGTGCTGTTCAGTATTTGAACTTTAGCTGTAAAGGTGTAGATGTATCTTTGTGTGGTACAAATACTCCCAAGCCAGACAACATGATATCTGAATTGGTTGTAAACTTGAGAGCATCATACAAAGTACCTTTACACTTCCATTCAGTACTTTGGTCTTTATAACGTTTGCATACAAGAAGATCTTTACTGTAGCTGTCTGTATATTTTCTTTGCTGTTTAATGAACTTCATCTCTCCACTCTCTAATTTTCCAGTTGATATATATATCAGAATGTCATTAACCTCTTGAAGACTAAGTATACCAGTTGGTGCAACATGCTTTCCCAGCTCATCTGCTGTAAAGGTTGGTATTCTGATCTTGTAGATTATGTCCTCAAGTATGTTCCTTATATTCTCACCAGTAGTTGCAATACTTTGCTTCTTGCATACCTCTTCTGCCCATTTTACAACTGCTTGGAACACCTCAACCTCTGACTTTATTTTCAATGTGTCTATGTCCAATATCATGCCAAGAGCCTGTTTTGAGATCCCAACAAATGCCTCCGACTCCAATACTGATGCAGTGTCTTTGCATATTAATTCATGACATTTCTTTGTTAGGGGTTCCTCATCAAATCGCAGTGATGCATCCAAAAGTGTGCAGACATTTTCTATGTTAAGGTTTCCATCTAGATACTCTCTGCATGTTTCTACCAGGCCTGGTATTAGATACTTCTTAGCTCCATACAATATACCAAGGACATTGTCTGGGGTAAGATTGACCTTACCATAGTAAATGAACCTTGAAGTAAAAGTTGCAATAATATGTAAAAGTATTATTTACCATTCTGATACTCATCACATCTTTCTGTCTTCAACCAGAAATAACATACAAGTCAGGCCCGTAGCCAGGGGGGGTTCGCAGGGTTCGGGCGAACCCCCCCCTGGCCAAAAATTCTTTCAAAATCATGCAGTTTTTGACCATTTTGAGCACTTCTCGAGTGATTTTAGCCTAATTTGGGCCAAAATTGTCAAATGTGAACCCCCCCCTGGAAATTTTTGAAAATTGAACCCCCCCTTGGCAAATCCTGGCTACGGGCCTGCAAGTGTGAGGCTAATAGAAGGCTATGATTTCTCATGATGATTATTTACACTATGTTAATTTTTTAGATTCACTAACAGTTTTAAGATTAGTTATTCTTTACAATGGACGGATGATATGTCTTTGGAAGATCAGTATGTTTCTGAGTGGTGTGTTTAAAACAAATGGATGAAACAACACTAAATCATTCAGTACGGATGTTGTAATAGTCTTTTAGATTTATAAAACATTGCCATTTCAATATGGCTGGTGAATTCCTTTGAAAAAGATACTAACTTAAGTTCCTTATTTTCAAATTGATGGTGGTACATGTAAATGAATACCATATAATAACGTTCTGTGGCCAAATCCGAATCAGCTATATCTATTTATGGATAATGTGTTAACAGTTCTTCAAGATTAAAAAAACCAAACGCTTTCAGCTAATCAAGCTCCATTAACGTTGAGACAAGACAGGTTTTACTGTATATCGAAAAGATGGATCTTTACCTCATCATTTCTAGAAACATTGGCCTTTCAATGTCTGGTATAGCAATGACATCGTTTGTCTCCTTAAGTTCCCCATAGAACATGCTCTTGAAGACATCACTTGCTGCTCCTAGTATAACCTTGTGAGCATATAATGTAGGTCCTTTTGTCACGCCAAAACTGAATCTGGTGAATCAAAAATAAAACAATTTCAAAAATATAGGGATATAAGAAAATTTAAAAAATGGTTTTGTTGCCATAATATGATGTAAGTTAATCAATAGTATCTACTGACAGTTCATGATGAACATTTTGATGGGTATTCAGTATGTCAGTCTATAGAAATGTCAATGGAATGCGGTCCAAGATCGAAATGGTGTTCACTAAGGATAGATGTTCACTAAAGAGAGGTATTTAGTATTTACTAAGGCAAGTTTTACTGTACCGCAGTAGTTTCATTTTATATACTTATAACAAGGTAACATTTACTTACTGAACATCACTCATAGATTCACTATCAAGCAGCGCTTTGTAGCGTTCTATAATCGGTGCCCATTCCTTGGTTTCCTCAGATTTCTCTGCCATATCTAGTTTTGTCCCCAATTTGTCTCACCTTTCAGAGTGCTTAAATAGGCAAATGTAAGTGTATCGGGTGCATAGGGATACTATATGTTGTATATGAGACTAATTCGAGGAAGTTCTTTGTCGAGGGTTTCTTCGAAGAAACTCTGTTCAATACAATGGTTTGAACACTATGTACAAAAAATATGTTAACTTAAATCTTATCATATGTCAACCTAACATTTTTAAGTGTACACGAGGTTATAATTTAAATCTAACAAATACTGAACACCGCTTCACTAATTAAAGTCCTCTAAATTGTAAGAAATGACAATTTAGCCATTTTTGCAGTGAAACTAGCGAATGAAGCAGAGGTCGGCGTTTCAATGTAGGACAAGAACGAAGGCTTTTTAAAATGATCGTTCTTGTCAATTTATTTTCCAACAATGAAATTGTACTTTTCTCTTAATATTGAAGAACTTAAACGGACGAGGCAATCACATTTAATTAAATGTAACGTCCTGACGAAAAGCCAAATCTTGGGAGGGTGTGGGATAAAATATGTATTGTTTTTCTGTGAGGATCGTATATTCAACCAATTGTAAAAATACTGTAGCACATACGAAGAGAGCGAATGAGTTCACGTGAACTTTTTAATGAAGATAATACTGAAGCTGAAATACAATGTCGTGTCGTTTTCAATCTGGTAACTCCTTTCTAGCCCTTTCTCTATAATAAACACTGCGTGACCTTATTAGTATGGGAGCAAAGGTCATTCCGTTTCCTTTTTAGAGGCCAGCTAAGCGACATATGTTTTCCTGAACTATACGTGATACTTACCAAGAAAAATGATGTTGGCAATTCTGAATCCGCGACGGGGTTGCTATGGTAACCAAGTAAATATGCCACGCCCACTTTTAGGGTCTCTTTTCAGTGTATGGCCCCTATCTCTGCCATTATTGCTCAGATTTAGATGAAATTCACACCAAATGGAAGGTAATGGATAATGCAATCAAGAAATATTGAGTTGGCAATTCTGAATCCGATATGGCGTTGCTATGGTAACAAAGTATATATGCCACACCCACTTTTCGGAGCTATTTTCAGTGTTTGGCCCCTTACTTTGTCATTATTGCTCAGATTTAGATGAAATTTGCACCAAATTAAAGGTAATAGAAAGAGGAATCAAACAATTTTTAAAATATGCAAATATGGTGATTTGCCTTTCAACTATGACGTCATAACTGTTTGTTCTTGCATATTTTATTTTAATCATAATGTATAAATCTGGGAAATCATTGTCTTTAAAATGGTCAGTATAATGCTTTTAATTAGTTTAGTTTATTTCTTTTAGTTGACTTTATTAGTTTATTTCATTCATACATGTATGATCATAAAAATTGAATAAATATAATGAAAGTGTTCAATTCACACTGTTGCTTTGGTGACAGCATGTAACAAAACTATCTGCTGTAAACTAGAATTCTTTAGGAAATGTTACATTTTGACCAGTTGACTGACATGTATTCTTTTTAAAATTTGGTGACAGAAAATAATCTAATAACCATAGTTATCAAATTTGGATTGTGTTATATTATGGTGTCATAATGGCAATTTTTAATAAGGGGCGCAGCCAGCTTTCGTTCAGAAGGGGGCCTGCGATCGTGGCACAGGCAAGACAAAAGTATTTATAAGATAGGTTTTGAATATTACAAAGATTGATGCAACTTCCTTCAAAATTTAGCAAAAAGCTTCAAGTTGAAAGTCTTCTTTTATCTAATGGTTCTATTTTTATTGGTTATTAGGGGGTGAGTGAACCCAGCGCACCCCCATTCCTCTAAGCACTCCCTATGTTAATCCAATATGATGTTGCTATGGTAACCATTAGGTGAATATGCTAGGTGAATCAGACAATACATGAATAATGTAGATTGGCTGACTGACATACTAAGTACCTGTTATGGTATCATAGCTCCTTTTTGTGATTATTTTCTTGAAATAAAGTAAAATTGCTCAAAATGATTCCACTGTAATAGACATTGGTACTAACTATTCCATTAATCGCCTAAAAACACTTGAAAAACATTTTACAAAACAAGAAATGTAATAATAAATTTCACAAATCCCTGGGAATTAATTGACAATTTCGCTAAGATTAATTTTTGCGATTTTACCAAGCACGAAACTAAATAGCAGGCGAAAAATACCAGGAGTACAGTACCTGTTATGGTATCATAGCTGCTTTTTGTGATTATCTCTTGAAATAAGGTAAAATTGCTCAAAATGGTTCCAAATTAGAACATTGTCCTTTGACATTCACCATAAAATGAGGCCAAAGCTGAAAACTATGAATTATTCCATTTCTTTACAAGTATGAAGTATGGAAGCCCCTGATTTCAGATATGCTGTTGGTTTTGAAATCCGACATCCGACCATTCGGTTCAAAATTGGTACAGTTATGTCTACATGACCTAAAAGATGAAATAGGCTAAAGAATTGACCTATACCATAAAATGATATTATTTTTTATGTAAATTGACATTGAACATATTTATCGGATTTCAAAACCTATTAATTTAAAGCTATTAATGCGACAATGGGTATGCCAGTCAGTCAATTGACATAATCCATGTATTGTCTGAATCTTTAGCTTCAGTTTGGTGAATATTTCATATACGCTCAAGCTGTAATTATGACAAAGATAGAAGCAAAACTTTGGAAAAGCCCTGAACAGCGGGGATGGCATATTCACCTAGTTACCATAGCAACATCATATTGGATTAACAGGCATTGCCAGGGGGTGCGATGGGTGCGCCCCTGTGAACCAAAAAATATAACCATTAAATAGAAGAAGAGCTTTAAAATCATTTTGACTTGAAGATTCTAGATCGGTTTTGAAGGAAGTTGCATCAATTTTTGTAAAATTCAAAACAAATCTTAAAAACATTTTTGGGTTGCTTATGCTTCAATTGCAATCCCCCCCTCTCCTAACTGAATGCTGGCTGCACCCCTGATTAATAATTGCCATTATGGCATCATATTATAACACAATCCAAAGTAAATAATTTTTATAGTTACAAGATTATTTTCTGTCATCATATTTTAAAAAGAATACATGTGGCAGTCAACTCATCAAAATGTAAAATTTCCTAAAGAATTCTTTTTACATCAGATAGTTTTGCTACGTGCTGTAACCATAGCAACAGCATAAATTGGAGATTTTCATTATATTTTTAGATTTATTCAGTTTTTATGACCATGCAAGTATGAATGAAATAAAATTATAAACTCAACTAAAAGAAAGAAATTAATTAATGAGTTAGAAGCATTACTGACTATTTTAAAGACAATAATTTCACAGATTAGAACATCATGATTAAGATAAAATATGCAAGAACAAACAGTTATGACATCATAATCAATATGCAAATCATACTATTTGCAAAGTTTACTAACTGTCTGATTACTCTATCTATTACCTTTAATTTGGTGCAAATTTCATCTAAATCTGAGCAATAATGAAGAAGATAAGAGCAAAAAACTGAAAAGAGCCCCTAAAAGTGGGTGGGGCATATTCACTTTGTTACCATAGCAACGCCATTGTTGATTCAGAATTGTCAACTTAATACCTCCTGATTGCATTATCTATTACCTTCAATTTGGTCTGAATTTCATCAAAAACTGAGCAATAATGGTGGAGATGGGGGCCAAACTCTGAAAAGAGCCCCTAAAAATGGGCATGGCATATTTACTTAGTTACCATAGCAACGGCATCGCAGATTCAGAATTGCCCATAATATTTCTTGATCATACTTTATACATGTAAAGAAATAGAATGGAAATCAATCATAGTTTTCAGCTTTGACCTACTTTTATGGTGAATGTCAATGGACCAAAGGTACCAATTTGGAATCATCTTAAGCAATTTTACCTTATTTCAAGAAAATAATCACGAAAACAGCTATGATAGTCATACCATAACAGGTATGCCAGTCTGTCAATCTACATTCAAGTCTGTCAATTCCCCATGCATTGTCTGATTCTTTAGTTTCCATTTGATGAAAATTTCATATACACCAGAGCTATCATCATGACAACTGATAGAATCAAAACTTTGGAAAAGACCTGAAATTGGGGACGGCATATTCACCTGAATGCCATAGCAAACATAGGCATAGCCAGGGGGTGTGATGGAGGCACCCCCACCCCCTCCCATTAACCAATAAAAATAGAACCCCCCTGATTAATTGCCATTGTGACATCATAATATAACACAATTTAAATTAGATAAGTTTCTATCGTTATTAGGTTATTCTCTGCCATCAAATTTTCGAAGGAATACATGTCAGTCAACTGGTCAAAATGTAACATTTCCCAAAGAATTATTTTTACAGCAGATAGTTTTGCAACATACCGTTACCATAGCAACAACTTGAATTGGATATTTTCACAACATTTTCAATTTTTTATGACCATACATGTATGAATGACATAATCTAATAAACTTAATGAAAATAAAGCATTACTGACCATTTTAATGACAATAATTTCCCAGATTTATACATCATGATTAAAATTAAATGTGCAAGAACAAATGGTTATGACGTCATAATTAATATGCAAATCACCTTATTTGCATATTTTATAAACTGTTTGATTGTTCTTTCCATTATCTTTCATTTGGTACAAATTTCACCTAAATCTGAGCAATATTGACGAAGATAGGGACCAAACACTGAAAAGAGCCCCTAAAAGTGGGTGTGGGATATTTACTTTGTTACCATAGCAACGCCATATCGGATTCAGAATTGCCAACTTAATATTTCCTGATTGCGTTATCCATTACCTTCCATTTGGTGTGAATTTCATCTAAATCTGAGCAATAATGACAGAGATAGGGGCCATACACTGAAAAGAGCCCCTAAAAGTGGGCGTGGCATATTTACTTGGTTACCATAGCAACGCCGTCGCGGATTCAGAATTGCCAACATCATTTTTCTTGATCAGTATCACGTATAGTTCATGAAAACATATGTCGCTTAGCTCGCCTCTAAAAAGGACACGGAACCTCTTATTTGGACTTTTGCTCCCACACTATATATGAAGATTTGATTTTACACATGGGGTAAATCGGATTGATAAAAAATACATACATTCCATAGCTTTTATATGCCTTCAGTAAATATTAAGCTGATAAATATTAGGTACGGGCAATTATCAACTCTTTTTCTCTGAAGTTTTCTACTACAAGTCTTGATTTTGAAGATTTTTAAAAATCAATCAAGGAGAACTACATGAACTACTAATTGATATTGCTAACAGAAAGGACCATATGCACCCTCCATTGGGATCTCCCCATGAGAAAAAAAAATTCATCTGATTTTTCAAAATGAGTGTTCTGCTTTAATTATTACATTTATATGCACACTAGTATCTCGTTGACCTATATTCAGCAATGTATTGATGTATAGGCCACTTATTAGGGTCATAATTCAATCATGAAGTGTAGAGGCATATGATTCCAAACCAGGAAGTATTTTTGTGTCTGTCAAAATTCATTTGCATCCTACGCATCCCTACATCTTATCCAAATATGTTACTACATAATGAAATAAAATAGTGTATTCTTTGGTTTTACAAAGTTGTATGATTCTTGATAAGTGTAAAAGTTGTTTTTGGAGCATTTTTCTATAGCCATTTTGTAGGGAAAAAATGATGAAAAATGTACAATCTTTTAATTTTAAGTATGACCTGAATCGATTGCAAACTTCATATTTGCACATTTGATGAGATACACCAATAGTGTCATATTGTGAAAGTATTAAGTTTGCAATCGATTCAGGTCATAGTGTATTTTTGGTATTTTTGTGATAATCAATAGAAACCAATGGCCTCTATTGGGATCTGCTGATATCCTCATGTTGAGTCAATGATGCACAGCCCCATGTAAGTCAATACAACCTTACTGAACTAAATGGCCCCTATCTCAGCCTATGTGTGCCCGAGCACTTTAATATTTTCCAAAGAGTTATATGACATTCTATTCTTCATGTTACACCTAAGAATTACTAATTTTGACCATAGGGGTATTTGCCAATAAATGCACCTCTTCCTTTAAACACTCTTGGTGATTTTTAAAGCTAATTGTCCTTGCTCAGGTTTACCCAAAGTACTTTTTTGATTTTCGTATCCTCACGCGTGATCCTACCTAAATTATTGTCCAAGCCTGAAGTATGTGCCATATGCCCACCAATGCATCCTTCTTCAAAGGACTTCATTTATTTAAAATACCCTTGCTGCAAGGATTTAAGGAAATGAATTGAGCATTTATTGATTCGTTCCAAACTGAAAGTCACTTCCTTTAAAGAGTCCATGTACCCCAGGAAGAAGTAGTGGACCCTTCCTCCTACCACAACCCATACTGCCTATTGTATTGGAGAACGTAAATCACCCATACATCCCCACATTAGGTATACTGCATTATGTTAAAGGTGGTACATCGGAGACATCGAGACTCAGGGGATCAGTAGAGTGTAGAATTTAAATTCTTGGTCTTAACTTGTCATTTCGTCTAAACAAATTATTTACAGGTTTTGGACAAGTAGAACAACGTACATTTATGATCAAATGAACTTCCGGAACGTTCATTTCACCGCTGATTTCTGACTCCAATGCTCATTAAACGTAAAATTAATATTTCGTCGTCAGCTCATTACATGATTAATTAATACGCCGCATCCATACAATGACATAAGAACTATCATATTCTGACCAGCCCAGTCTAGGCAATCTGATCAAACGTAATTAATAAGGAGCCTCTGGGATGAGTTAGTTAGAAAGTAGTGATGGTGCCCCACTGTTAATCTGGCTTCCACAGGAAGAACAATAAGAATCGCCTTATAAATAAACATCTCTAGACGAAGATATAACGGACGCGTGCAATGTAGGAGTCAATTGACAATAAAATGGAAAATCAGGTATTTGTTTATTCTACACAAGTTTTTAAAAAAAATAAGGAAAGGAGTGGTATCGATATGGAGAACTTTTTGAACACACGTTTCTCTTAAACCAGTCATAAAAAAATCAAAAAATTTAACACAGACCGTCAATTTAATGGTCATCTTTTGAATGGTAACAATATAATTTGAATAATATCATATACTTTCATAGATATTGTTTTAGAAAACACATCAAACACTTGTTTTGTTCTTGGTATCACGTTTCCAGAGTGAAATGAAACATCTTTCCGAACCTCATTGGAACAAAACGACATACAACATGTTTAGATCTCTCAATATTGTAAATGTACAAAGGAAATTTTGGTTGATTTTAATAAAAGTATCTTTTTAATGAAATAAAAGGTTTATCTATTCTTGGGGGATTATGTTTTCATTTTTTGTAATACTTTTTTTAAAAATCAACCAAAATTTCCTTTGTATTACTATAATATTGAGAGATCTAAAACATGTTGTATATGCTATTTTGTTCAAACAAGGTTCGGAAAGACATTTTATTTCATTCTTAAGAATTGGTAGAAAGGAGCAAAAACAATTGAACTAAAAAAAACAAAAAATGTTAACAAAAACAGTTATATGAAATATTTCTAAATAATTTTCGCATTAAATTGTTGTAAATCAGTAAATATTACATAAAATACCGTGTTTTTTACAGAATGTTTTCAATGATTGGTTTAAGAGAAAAACGTTGAATTCAGTACTCCATATCCTTTAAAAATCTTGGTCGAATTCATAAATTTTTTCATATTTTTACAATCAAAAACGCATTAGTTTGAAAAACAGGAGATTATTATTCCTAAAATGAAAAATAATATACGATTAAACATACATTTCTGCAGGTGGTTTCCGAGGTCGTCGAGCCGTTTCGCAAATTGAGCACGTGGACTTGGGGACTTGCACCATTGGCGTTAACGTTGCTTTCGAAAACTGAACATGGACATTTTCCGAATTGGCTTTAACATTCTGACACTCTTGACAACAGAGTTTGGAGACTTGCGCTCTTAGCATTAACGTTGCTAAGAACATTAAATAGCTTTAACATTTCTCCAGGAACAAAGTGTGGACACTTACGCCATTAGCGTTAACGTTTCTCTAGAGAACTAAACGTAGACCCATATATAAATAGCTTTAACATTTCTCATAAGAACAGGGTGTGGAAACGAAGCCATTGGCGTTAACACTTCTTTGGAGAACTGTATGATTAGACGCATAGATATAAATAGCGTTAACTAACAGTGCGAACTGAATGCGGTCATTTGCACCATTAGCGTTAACGTTTGAACCAAACATTCGTTAAAATTCTTCTAAAGATCTAAATGCAGACATATTTTTAAATATTAAATAACTTTCTGTGAAGTCTCTTAAGTGAATCAAGTGTGGATTAGCTAGTGTGGACACTTTGGCCATTAGCATTAAAGTTTATTTAGCTTTTCTACGGGGAAAATATAATGAATGATATAATGTCAGCGAACGATTATATATCTCAAAATCAAACCCATGTTAATAGCAAATTAGAAGTTGGTAATGAATCATTTACAAGTGGGTATATGAATGACACGAAAGATTCTAAGAATCCCAAAAATGAAGCGTTGGACTCTTTTTCAATATTCATGCTAACATCCAATTGTGTTCTGTCATTGATGATATGTGGTGGAAATATCCCAGTAGTTGTCAGTATCATTTCATTTAAATCGTTGCGAACAGTGAGCAATATGTTCTTGGTTAGTTTGGCAATGGCTGATATTTTTGTCGGAGCAGTGCTTTTGCCTTTACGTATCTTCAACTTATATTTGCCCCCACTCCTCTTCGGCAGAGTTATACAGAATGAATACATCTGTTTGGCTAGATGTTTCATCAGTAGATGCTCGTACGGAGCTTCTTTTGCCAGTTTGGGTGGAATTGCTTTAGATCGCTACATTGCTGTTACCAGGCCTTTAAGATATAAAGTCCTTCTAACACGCTCTCGTGCAATGTGGTGTATTGCATTTTGTTGGCTTTATCCGACTGTCATCGCTTGTTTCATGTTTTACAAACGCATTCCCCAGTTTGATGAATCTGTCTCTGAATGTGCAAAGCAGGTTTACAATCGTAAGTACAATATCTTTGTGAATGTGAATGTCATTGCGACGTTTCTGATCATCATGTTTTCACACATTTTTGTGGCAGTTATTGCATTCAAAAACCGAACGACACGTATTCAAAAACTAAGTAGGTTCAATAACAATCTTGCAGTGGCCTATTTGAGAGAAAGTCGTTTGGTAAAAACGATGACTTTACTAGTCGGGTTGTTTGCAATATGCTGGTTGCCTTCAACCTTTAGAATGATTATTAATGGTGGTGAATGGGTAGTTTATCTGAAGAAAATCTTTCAATTACTATTGTGGGCAAACAGCGCTATGAATCCGTGGATTTATGCCTTCCGGATGAAAAACCTTAGTAAAGGTATGAGGCGCGTTGTCTTGTGTAGGTTCAAGACAAAACAAATTCAAGAAGTATATGCGATAAGTGTACCTGCAAGTACAGAGAGAACACATGAGTAACATACATATTGCTATACTGAGCCTACACTGCTATTAAATCTTTACTTTTGTATATCATTGTCTTGTTTCATTGCACAGTGCAATATGCTGCAATGTTAAATTCCCGATTTTCTGTATTCGTTGTTGCTTTTGGAAAAATTTCCACCCTGTGGCATAAAAATTGTGACATTGTGTATTTTGAAAAAATGAAATATCATTATTGTATATTTATTTATTTTGTTATATGACACGACTGTTTTGTTCTTTTTTGTGTGTCAAAACTACAGCCGAATGTTTTTATCAAACCATTAAAATCAGAAACCAATTAACAACAATGTAATTTTAAATAAAAAAATATATGGTTGAAAGATCTGATCAAAACCCACAGAGGCTAATAAAGGAGTGGTATCGATATGGAGAGTTTTTTGAACACACGTTTCTCTTAAACAAGTCATAAAAAAATCTAAAAATTTAACACATCGTCAATTTTATGTTAACAAAAACAGTTATATAAAATATTTCTAAATAATTTTTGCATTGAATTGATGTCAATCAGTCAACATTACTTAAAATACCGAGTTTTTTACAGAATGTTTTCAATGATTGGTTTAAGAGAAAAACATTGTTGAATTCAGTTCACCATATCAATACCACTCCTTTAGTCAGTAATGGGGGAATCTGGACAGACCTGAATGTCTCACTCAAGATATGGAATATAACCAAGAGAAGATCAAAGTTAAACAAGATTAAATTAAACAAAAATGATGAATTACATTGCCCTAATTACATACAAAACAATTACTAGTGATGTCATAGATCTTAATATGTTTAACCGTCAACATGATGCTCTCACACAAAGTAAGACATCTTTGGACAGTGATGTAATACTTGATGACCACTCTGAAGTTATATCATATTGGTGCTAAGTTTCATTAATTAAGAAATTAGTAATGACAGGGTATTCGATATGGTGAAATTCAGCACGAGTTAGATGGAATGTCAAACAAATCGCAAACGAGCAAGTCATGCAAAGTTGATTAAGAAGTTGAATTTTCAAATCTGGAAGGTGTCAAACCACACCCCAATTTGATGATTTTTCAGAGTATAAGAATTGTTTAATATTTCAAAAACTGTGACAAAAAATATTCAATTTATATATAAAGCAAACAAATATTGGATATGTTAATGTTCAATAGCCCAAAAATGATGCACTCCCTAGAAATCTGTATTTTGGGGTAGAAAGGGAATTTGGAGGCATTCTGCACCATTCTATTGAGATTTTATTTTATATTATGATAAATAGTCACTGAAGAGTTGAAAGCACTAATATAAACAATACAAGTTTGAGAGAATTTTTGAGTTTTATTTTTCAAATAATGGACCATAAGCTATTGAGCGACATAAGAGAAAAAACTATGTAGTTCCAGATTGGGCATGTAGAATAATATAACAACTCAATTCTTTTAGTTGGGTTTTACAAAAAATAATATTTTACTGAAACCGACACTACTTTAATGAGGATCTCTTCCTCAAAAATATTAAATAAACTACCATCTTATCTATAAATTTGGTGTTTATTTAAGCTTTATAAAAATATGAGGACATGATTGTTAACCAGTCTTTCATTCAGCAAATTTTGGCTTTTTCTGGTATTTTTGTGGCAAATGTTTTAAATTTATACATAATTGCAAAATAAACAATAAGTACAATTTATACCCATCTGGATTTGTGTCTTTATGATCCATATAAATTTCATTTCATTTTCTGGACGTAACCTTTAGTGACATTCAAATTAATAAAATATTTCATACTATTCTAAATTATTCATAATTGATTGTCCATATCAAGACAGTATTTCATGATATAAAAGGTGTCCATATATGTGATGTATTTCCTTAGTGAATTCAGATACAATTACTCTTAAGAATATAAATAGGTGACATATTGTCACACATTTCCTAGTTGATGGTGACATTATGACGAGGGTTATTCAATGTCAACATCATCGTCATTCGCATCATTTTCATGGTGACGGAGAGCGAGAACCTCTTCTTTTGCAAAAAGCCCACTTTTCTTTTCACGCATCATCTGGCGATATTCTTTCCTCTGTCTTTGTCGCATTTCCTTCCTCATTGCTTGTCTCTGCTTCTGTAATCACATGATACATAAGTAATCGGTCATATCTTAATGGGATTATACTAGTATCATAAACTATTTTCTAACTTTACCAGAAAGCCTTTGCGTATTGAGTTGATAAAAAGTTACAGTGACGTCTAAAAATAATAAAAAGAATAAAAAGACAGGACCCTGATGATGAACCTCACTAGCTTCAGAGATAAGATAAACCTTTACTCAAAATCACCAAAACATAGCGAGAGTTAAGTCATATATGTATTGTATTCTGATCCAAAACTCAGTGTTAATCAGTGTTTTGATCTCTATGGTCTTATGATGCGCACCTTGTATTATTTCGTTACACAGTTAACTTACTTTAGTGAGTTTTTTTGGGTGTGGAGAACTGCAATTACTGCTGGTATCTGAGGCTCCTGATGATATGGGAGTATTGCACGAGGTGTGGATGCGTACAAAGTCACGAACACGCTGCAGTTTTTCATCATCTATATCATCAAGATCTGGAAGAGAGAATCAATTTTTACTGCACATTTGATTGCAAGGCTCTAAAATCAAGAACTTTGAGAAGTTTTTCAGTTCAACATTTTCAAAATGAACGAATTAACAGAATTAAATAGTGTATCCTTTGTACCTAATTAAAAATTGTGTTTGTGTACTTTACCTCAGTATAATATCATCATCATACATACAAAGTCAAGAGTAGCAAATATTAATATTACATCAAACACATCTACAGTTTCTTAAATAGCCTTATTCTCAAGCCTATCTTGGTGCGAATTTTAAAATTGCTCTGCCAATCTGAGAGGGTGAATTAAATTATCCACAGGGTGTGGCATCCAGCTGCTCTAATACTCTTATACTAAAATCACTAAATCTTCACAAAAATTTACACGTCATAATTACCAAGTAAATAGCTTTATCCATTTATCTCAAAATTAATTTTTGCACATCCCTACATCATAAGAGCTAAATATAAAGCTGCGACAACATTTTTCACATTCTTACCTATAACAAACTCAGTGTCTAAGTAGGATATGGTAGCTCTAGGGTTGATTATCTGGATAACCTCTAGCTGCTCTCGTAGACCCAAATCCTCGCTGATTGTACGACTAAGCTCCTCTACCTCACGGATCTGCTCACTATTAGTCATCTCACACCTGCAACATTCAAGAACAATAAAAGCAATTTATTTCATAGTCCAAAAGGGTTAAAGCATGCTACAGGAGTTTTCAGTCAGTGTGCTTATGTTCTTGGGAAATGCATTGAATTAAGTGACAGTTTTACTCTGTCGCAGTTTTTGAGGAGCATTTAAAATTGGTCCTGCCAAATCTTTTTCTGTGTAGCCATAGTTTCGCTAGTCAAACAAAATTCCCTCTAGCCAAACAATGACCCCTATTTTTCACTTAAAAAAGAATTTCCAGTGCGCTCCATAGAATGATTTCATTTGAGCACAGAGTCTGGAGCTAGTGCTTGAGGAGGGGGGTCTGGGGTATGTCCCCCTTGAGATATTTTACATTGATTTTTTTAAAAGTCTTATCATTTACAATTATTCACAAGGCATTTGTATAACAAAATGTCACCACCTAGTTGAAGGAAGATAATAAAAAAAAGAACTTTTTCACCTTGAGGAGGTAATTAAAGGTCAAATCTATTTTGACCTTGAGAATGTCATTTGAGGATCAAATCTATAGTCATATTTGAAATGTTGAGAACATGGAGAAAAATTGGTCAATTTGAAGCAAGTTGAAAAAAGAACCCCTTGCCCTTTTTGACCCTTAAGAATGTCATTGAAGGTCAAATTTCAAATCTTAAGTCAGATTTGAACTTCCGATAACTTGCAGATGATTTTGAAAAAAAATCAGTTAGTTTGAAGCAAGTTGGAAAAAGATCTGTTTGACCTTTTTTGACCTTGAAAAGGTCATTGAAGGTTAAATCTTTAATATAAAGTCAGAGTGTGTGTCAAAATCGGTTACATGTTATTGATTTTGAGTCAACCTATTTTTTTCAGACTTGCATTTTGGCAAATGGCGACATAAATTTTAGCTAAGTGAGGACTTAATTCATCTGTGACTGCTTTTGACTGGAACCATATTTTATTCCCGAATGAGCGATAATATGCGCATTTTAGAGCAAGATATATAGGAAACAATTGAAATGGGGTGGGGGAAGGGGTGGGGTCACATGATTTGGAATCAAAAAGAAAAAGGGGGTCATAAGACAACCACACGTATTTGCTCAACATTAGCCATGCAGCGATATCACACCTTTGACAATTGTGTTGTACATGAATATAAATCAATTTAGAGTAGTTTATTCATTTGGAATCAGGATGAATGGGGGAATTTCAAGAATCTGGAAAAATTGGTAAAAAGCAGGAAATGAGTAAAATTCAGAATCAATCCCCCCGACATCCCCTCCTTTAATATACTGATATGCATTTTCAGAAATGTTCATGTAGAGGCAAGTAGAAAGGGGACATGCCATTAAGAGGCCATTCTCTGACTTAGTCATTTTTTCAAAAGTGTGAAAATAAAAAAATTCATGAAAAGTTCTTAAAATATTCTGAACCAGAACAACGGCAACGCCAAAGCGTAGCGAATCCCATCGAACAGCCATGGATGGCATTTTTACAAACAAAGGAAATAGCAAAAATGGCAGCCATTTTTCAAAATGGCCGCCTTCTTCCAAAAGTGTCATTAGACCATGTGCCATGCTTATAGTATTCATATACCAAATATGAACAAAATCGCTCCACTACTTTTCAAGTTATAGTAAAATACGTTAAAATGGCGGCCATTTTTCAAAATGGCCACCTTCTACCAAAAGTTCCATTAGACAGTGTGCCGTGCTTATAGTATTCACATACCAAATATAAACAAAATCGCTCCACTACTTTTCGAGTTATAGTAAAATACGTTAAAATGGCGGCCATTTTGAAAAATGACCGCCTTCTACCAAAAGTGTCATTAGACAGTGTGCCATGCTTACAGTATTCACATACTAAATATGAACAAAATCGCTTCACTACTTTTCGAGTTATATTAAAATACGTTAAAATGGCGGCCATTTTTCAAATTTTTTTTCAAAATGGCCGCCTTCTACCAAAAGTGTCAAAGTACAGTGTGTCATGCTTATAGTATTCACATACCAAATATGAACAAAATCGCTCCACTACTTTTCGAGTTATAGTAAAATACGTTAAAATGGTGGCCATTTTTCAAAATAGCGGCCATTTTTCAAAATGGCCGCCTTCTACTTAAATAGTCTTTAGACAGTGTGCAATGTTTAAAGTATTCACATACCAAATATGAACAAAATCGCTCCACTACTTTTGGAGTTACAGCAAAAATCGTAAAATAACGAGTAAAGACCGCCATTTTTCAAGATGGCTGCCATGTGCTTCTTTAATATCTACATTTCTAGCTTTATTAATGTCCTATATAATTTTTTTACATCTAAAACATATTGCTATTACAGTTTTACATATTGCACCTAAATTACTGTAAATTCGGCACTAAAATGGCCGCCATTTTGAAATGAGCGGCCATTTTGAAAATCGGCTTTCGAGCAGAACTTCTACTCCCATAGGGTATATGTGTACAAAATATGAATAAAATCGGGCCAACGGTATTTGAGTTATTGCCCGGACGGACGGACGTACGGACGTACAGACGTACGGACGGACGGAGGCGTTCCCTATATCCCTCCGAACTTCGTTCGATGGGATAATAACAAGTTGAATATATATATTTCATGATGGCACAAGCAAAAGTCTGAAAATTAACATGAAATGAAGGGTTTTGACAGATGCAAAAGATGGTAGATTTGTGATGAAGAAATAGAGGTTTTTGCAGTAACAACACAATTACCTCGAAGTTATCCGTTATGAGAGGCTGAGGACTAAACTTGATATAATTTTCAATCTCAGATTATCAGTAGTATCTAACTTTAGCCGGACAGCCACTCAAAATGAATATGGAGCCCATAAGATTCATTTTTCTCAATTGAAGTCACTATTTCTGTTTTTAGCTTCAGATGATAGGAGGTACATGAACATTGAACATGCTAAGTTTACCTAGATCACAAGCCTTACCACAAATATAAAGTATATAGGAATAGAGTTGATATGTGTGAAAACCTTAAACTTCCCATTTTATTGGGGATGGAACTTGTGGACCATGTGTATTTCTAACTTCTTCACATGTGCATGGATCTAAAATTGTGGCAGCCATCTTGGATTTGTCATATTATGTGGACATGGTTTTGGTTGTGCTGAATTTGTTTCAAAATAACATTTCTTGTTTACCTTCGATAAGTGAGATAGGCATTTGAAATTAAATACAGATAGTATATGACATTTAATGCAGCAAACAGTAATACAATTCATTCTTACATAATAAGTGAGTCCAGACAAAAGTTGTTATTGTGTTAGTTTAACTGGGCATAAATTACACTCATTGGCCTTGGTTTTTTTAATTGGCTTGGATATAATGTTGTTCTGTTTATTCAAAAAAGGAGTATAGTTCAATATACAAGTTCACATTCGTACCATTCTCTTGTAGAAATGAATCTCATATTATTTTATCTAAAATATAGAACACAAAAATATAATAAAAAAAAACAAGTTTCTATTAATTGCAAAAGTTAGCTTCTATGTCATGACTGAGTTTGGGTTCCGCTTCTAGGGAAAAAATATCCATCTGGAAATTTTGTATTGACCATTGCTATACACTCCATATTTAATCCTCCCAGTAAATAACATTGATATACAGTGTACAAGTATATATGACATCGAGGATCTGGGGTTTGGGTAATGTGAGACATGAGGCCACTTGTCTTTTTGAATCTCATATTCAATATTCTTTCTTTAAACGCTCATATTTAATATTTTTGGAGTGGTAATTCAATTATGTACCTATTTTTTATTCTTTATCCATAGTTGAACTCTGTTCCCCTCTGTTAGGTAACATGAAAACATATTTATGATATTTTGCAAATGCGTGGAAAAAGTGATATCTGTGGAATACAGAAAATATTTCACAGATATCACCTTTTGGCAGGGATTTGAAAACTACCACCAATATGATGTGTTTTGTTGCATAGTGATTTCATGACATCCCGGGGATGAATGAATGAATGGATGTTGTTTTGATTCGTATGCTTTGTTTAGTTTTAGAGGTGAACTATGGGAAAAATAGAACATCCTATGAATTTTCGTGATATTGTGTTAATCCAACTCATTGATATCAATATCTGCGCTAATTTGCTATGCTAACTTGGCAAGATATTGATATCAACTCGGAGATAAAGATAAAATCATTTAAAATCATATGATATCCTATACATATCCTTTACTGTGCCACAACTTTCTCATATGTTATATATTTTGGCACAGGCCATCATTTATTTTCCTTGAATTCATGCTTTTGTTCCTCGTTTTAGAAATGAGAGGAAATCTTTGATTTTCCTTGTATTTAAGTTGCTTAAATGTTGCCCTGTGATGTTGATAAAAGTCAACAAGGCATTAACATGACAAAATGTCACCACCTAAAACAATTTGGTCAATTTAAAGCAAGTTGGAAAATACCTTTTGACCTTAAGAAGAACTTCTGAGAACATGTAGATGATTTTGAAAAAAAAATTAGTCAATTTGAAGCAAGTTGAAAAAAGACCTTTTTGACCTTGAGAAGGTCATTGAAGGTCAAAGGTCAAATCTAAAGTCAGATTTGAACTTCTGAGAACTTGTAAAGTCAAATTTGAACTTCTGAAAAGATGTAGATGATTTTGAAAAAAAAATTTGGTCAATTTGAAGCAAGTTGAAAACAGACCTTTTTGACCTTTTTTGACCTTGAGAAGGTCATTAAAGGTCAAATGTCAAGATTTGAATTTCTGAGAACATGTAGATGATTTTGAAAAAAAAAATTAGTCAATTTGAAGCAAGTTGAAACAAGAACACAAATGTGTACAAAATGTCCCCACCAATGGGTGATCCCATGAAATGGTTATCCTCAAAATGAGTAGACAAGACTTTACCAACACAATTTGAGGACGGAAAATCCAAAATGGCCACCTTAAAATTTACCCAGAATGCCAAAAATTTAGTCTGTTCTAGATTTTCAAACTAAGAACCACTCCTGAAGATTTTTAACCGATCCGTCACACAGTAAACTAGAAAACATGTAAACAAGACTTTACAGACAAGATTTTAGGATGGAAAATTCAAAATGGCTGCCTTGACATTTACCCAGAATGTCAAAAAACTAATCTGTTCCTAGATTTTCATACTAAGAATCATCCCTGAAAATATGACATTGATCTACCAAATGGTTCACCTGAAAACGCGTAGACAAGACTTTACAGACAAGATTTTAGGACAGAAAATCCAAAATGGCTGCCATGACATTTACACAGAATGCCAAAAAACTAATCAGATGTAGATTTTCACACTAAGAATCATCCCTGAAAATTTGAAATTGATCTACCAAACAGTTCACCTAAAAATGCGTAGACAAGACTTTACAGGCAAGATTTTAAGACGGAAAATCCAAAATGGCTGCCTTGACATTTATCCAGAATGCCAAAAAACTAATCAGATCTAGATTTTCATACTAAGAATCATCCCTAAAAATTTGAAATTGATCTACAGAACGGTTCACCTGGAAATGCATAGACAAGACTTTACAGACAAGATTTTAGGACAGAAAATCCAAAATGGCTGCCTTGACATTTGCCCAGAATGCCAAAAAACTAATCAGTTCTACATTTTCATACTAAGAATCATCTCTGAAAATTTGAGATTGATCTACCAAATGGTTCACCTGAAAACGCGTAGACAAGACTTTACAGACAAGATTTTAGGACGGAAAATCCAAAATGGCTGCCTTGACATTTACCCAGAATGCCAAAAAACAAATCAGATTTAGATTTTTATACTATGAATCATCCCTGAAAATTTGAAATTGATCCACCAAACGGTTCACCTGAAAACACGTAGACAAGACTTCACAGACAAGATTTTAGGACGGAAAAATCCAAAATGGCCGACAATAAAAAAGTGATTATGTGTTTTTGCTGATTTCTTCTTACAAAATTATCACATATAACTACTGTTAACAATAACATAGGCTTTTACAACAAAGTACATCTGAAATTATTTATAAAGCTACTAAATAGTTAAAGTATGAAAACTCAAAAACACCATTCAATATGATACAAAGTATTATCGTGCGCTAACTTTTCTTAGACATTCAAAATGGCTGACATGACTGAGCTAACAGGTCCAAAACCTAATCAGATCTAGAATGAAGTGAGCTGAACAAGATGTTAAAGTTTTAAAAGTAACTGTGATGCCGTTTTTCTTAAAGTTTGCAGACAAGGATTTTAGCATTTGACTTCAAAATGGCCGACAGGAAGTAGGTATCGACTTGAAACTTTTTCATCCACATCTGTATGCACTCATAAGTTATCCCTGAAAATTTGAAGGTGATATCTGTAGCGGTTTTGGAGAAAACTCCCGGACGTACGGACAGACGGACGGACGGATGGACGGACAGACAGACGGACGCGCCTAGGCCGACAATATGGCCCCACACTATGTGGTGGGGACATAAAAAGACCTTTTTGACCTTTTTTGACCTTGAGAAGGTCATTGAAGGTCAAATGTCAATTCTAAAGTCATATTTGAATTTCTGAGAACATGTAGATGATTTTGAAAAAAAATTTAGTCAATTTGAAGCAAGATGAAAAAATACCCTTTTGACCTTTTTTGACATTGAGAAGGTCATTGAAGGTCAAATGTCAAATCTAAAGTCAGATTTGAATTTCTGAGAACATGTAGATGATTTTGAAAAAAAAATTTAGTCAATTTGAAGCAAGTTGAAAAAAGACCTTTTTGACCTTTTTTGACTTTTAGAAGGTCATTGAAGGTCAAATGTCAAATCTTAAGTAAAATCTTAAGTCAGATTTGAATTTCTGAGAACACGTAGATGATTTTGAAAAAAAAATTTAGTCAATTTGAAGCAAGTTGAAAACAGACCTTTTTGACCTTTTTTGACCTTGAGAAGGTCATTGAAGGTCAAATGTCAAATCTAAAGTCAGATTTGAAGGTCAAATGTCAAATCTAAAGTCAGATTTGAATTTCTGAGAACATGTAGATGATTTTGAAAAGAAATTTAGTCAATGTGAATTAGCAAGTTGAAAAAAGACCTTTTTGACCTTGAGAAGGTCATTGAAGGTCAAATGTCAAATCTTAAGTCAGATTTGAACTTCTGAGAACATGTAGATGATTTAGAAAAAAATTGAAGTCAGTCTAAACAGTATTTGTTAAGTTATAGGAAGTTGTAAGAAATTGTTACAGACGCCGGACGCCAACCTCCAACCTCCAACCACCAACCGCCGTCGCAAAAAAACGGAGACCAGAACAATATGTCACCACTTTTGGTGGTGACATAATAGATATCCATTGCAGTCACAATAGAAATGTACCCATTGCTAGCCCAGAACCTACCAAAATAGCATTTGCTTTTTGTCAATATTGCCCTATGTGCTTTTCCATGAAAATAATTTTAATCGAATCTTTTCTTCAGTATTTCATATATTACATTTTAATATATTTATATTGGTTAATATTTATATACTATTTACTTAGACAACAATAAATAAAGAATTTTTTGTAAAAACACCAAAAATGGTATATGATCTTTAAATGACTGTTGTGTGAACATCAAAGGTCAAAATTCGCTGAAATTGTATTTTTATAAAGCACAAATGATTTTTCTTCAATATGATATGCATTATTATCAGATATCTTTGGGGGCTAAAAAGGGCACTTAATGACACCCGTCCTTTCCTAAGATATATAAAGTAATATACATATTTGAACAATAGTTACACTTGTCAAAATATTGTCTTTTACTTGATGAACTGGCAAAAAATTTATTTGTTCTTACCATGTTTTATGCCTTGACACGCTATTAGATCTAGGTCTCTTAGTTGGGGTACATAAAGGTGTTGTTACAGGCAGAATATCACTCTGAGAGTCACTCAGCCAGTTTACATTGGAACTTATCTGACTATCTAACTGCAAGTCTGACCACTCAAAGTCTAATGGATCTGAAACAGAGAAAAATGAAAATTCCTAGAAACATTATTTTGACTATTAGTCAATCTTTTTGATTTTATCTGTATATCATCTAGTTTTCGAAACCATGTGCTATGTACCTCAGAAAAGATTATCGTCATACATACAGTCAAGAGTAGCAAATATTAGAAATACATCATTGGTACATATCACATCACTTTCCATAAAAAGTTTCATCCAAAATGATATTTCATGTGATCTTGTTTCAGGCTTCTGATCCAGACTACCCCTTCGGCTATCACTTCCCTAGGGAGTGTAGTAAGTGTGTTAAAGCAGGAGTTTCACCAGCAACAGGCACAATTCAATTTCTTTCCCTGTTATAATCTTAATTTCCAATAATTTTGCTTGGTGTTTTCATTTGTACATAATGTGCATGTCATGGCACTACACTAGACTATTCTAGTGCTTGATTCTAGATCGACTGATCTTATATGAATGATTTTAACAATTTCTTGACTTGCAAGAGAGTTTAAGCTTGCATAAAAAATCGAAACATAAACATATCAATCGCCCATACACATTGCATGTTATGTTCTCGCTTAAATAACTGATCAGCTTCAGGGTTTAGGCTAAGACTACACAAGCTCATTTGGTAAGATATTTGGAACTCACATGCATGAGTTTATCTTCTTCAGAAAGAATTCTACTGTGTATCGAAATCAAAATTGCCAGCATAGTATTCAAAAGACATGAGTATAATGATTTCCGTTGACACCAACATGAAATTTCCCATTGTTAACAAGAAACTCTCGAGCTGAACCGGCATGAAGTAGATTAAAGCGTTTGATGCGCATACAAAAGTATGCACGCACTACACATTTCTATATTGATTCATGTACCTTGGAATCACATTTACATTGTAAAAACAAATACAAAGTTGAAATTTAGCACCATGCAATCTGTGGATCACCAACATACCTGGAACTCCTTCATCTAATACGCTCAGGATACTTTGGTTGAGGAAAGACTCTGATGTGTCATGCATGGATAAACCAAGACCAGAATCTAACTCCCCACAGTGGAGGTCTTCACTACATTCGGAGCTTGCCTTGCTGGTCCCCGTGGATGTGATATGGTGGATTTCAAATGCTTTCTCATTTTCTGATTTTACCCTATAATAAGATAATTAAATGATTATTGACATGTACTTTGTTGCTCTAATATAATTTAAAGAGTCCTTTTAAAAGTTTTTCTTTATTCTTTTTACTGATATACACTTTATATTATTGCATTATGAAATATATGTATAATATATTTGATATATTATCTGTGGTGCAATTTTACATTGTTACAATTTTATGTGTGACGGCAATAGTATTTATTCATTATTAATCAAGATTGAATGTACATGAATGTTCTGCCTTGAAGCTAATAAACTAGCAAAATCAAAATAATGAACACACACAGAAGTCAGTCATTAACAACAATAATATTCTATTAGCTCTGTTCAAACTAAAATATATGCACAATTTAGTAAGCTTGAGCTAGAAAAATCTAATTGTACAAATCCTATACATAGATTTAGAGAATGTGGTCAAATTCACTACTGCTGGGTTGGTGTAGATTTGTTTCCACAAAAGTAAGCAACTGTAATAACCTCGCAGTGATCTCCCCAGGATTTTTCTCAAGTGTGTGCAAAATTCTCATTTTCACAATTCACACTGAAAATGGTCAAAATATGCCAATTTTTCTCATTTTCAAGTGGGTGCAAATGGATTTTCAGGTGGGTGCAAGCCTGTTTTTAACATCTCAGGTGGGTGTTGTGCCCACTTGAATTGATGCTGGGGAGGTGACTGCCTCGATAAATTGCCACTACAGCCAAGCTGGCAGTGGCAGCCCCATATTGGCTCAGCGGTAGTGCATTGTTCTAAGGAGCAGAAGGTCCTGGGTTCGATCCTGGCACAGGGCATTGAATTTGCACACTCCCTTTCATATCCATTATCTGGCTTGTTACACTATAGCTCCCCTTAGGCACCCTCACCCTCATTTTAATATCAAACTCAAGATTACAACTCAAAAAATTATACAAAAGCTGGTTTTTCAATTTAATATTTTGATTCGCAAATTGCTTATTTTTGTGAAAACAATCTATACTAACCAAGTGACTTTGGTTGAAACATACCTCTCAAGTTCATTCTCTAATTCTAGGATATCTAGATCAAGAGGCTGAGTGTTTCCTATCCCATGATACACTTCCTTCGACAACAAATTGTCTGAATGCAGCCCCCAAGAGCTAAAAAACAAAATAAGTTGTCATTTTCAAAACAATGATCAAATGCATCTACTTCATTATATTATGAGAATATTCTGTAAATGTTTTTGCTCTATTTTTTTAAATACCCAGAATAAATATAGTTTTAAAATCATATGAAATCAAATCTAATCAAATATGTATATTTGGCACCCTTATTCATTTTTTCTACTTTCAGATTAATGATGGTATCTGAGGATGGTAGTCATGAGTTTAAGTTTTGTATGCAGCAAGTTCACCCATGGGCTTTCAAAAGAAGCCCATAATTCACCTTTGGTTTTACTTCAAAGGGGTATTAGATCACAATTTACATGCTTTGGTGAAAAAATTTCAAAATTTTGCCAAGTAATTCTTCAATTATCAACATTGTGCAGTACCTAGTCAGTCTAATGCTGGGGAGGCAGGCATGTCGCCCGCCAGCTGTTGCTGAGGACACACCATTGGTCTGAATCCCAATGGTCAAAATCCTATTGGTCCGGACTGGCATTCGGACAATCAGGATTCATACAATTGGGATTCGGACCAATGGGACTCTGATGATTGGGATTTGGACCAATGGGGCAATTCTCTTTTGCCAAGGGGGATGTGTTTTCAGTAGGTTTGTCCGAGATTGCGTCCCTGCAATGTAATGATTTTCAAAAAATGTCTCCCCTCAAAAAACTGCCTCCCTTGAAAAAATGTTCCCAGGAATTCAAAGTCACGCTTTTACACTGGACGAAATAAAATTGATGAAATTTTGCATTGCTTTTGCTATTTATCGGTCTAAATCAGTGTTCTAGCGAGTCTAGTATGTCATTGAATGATACAGATACCATCACTTGTGAGGTATAACTTATATTCAACCATTAGAAATACGATTTTATTTGCGTATTTCGAAGCAATTAGCTACTGATTTTGCTTTAGTTTAGGGGCAATCTGCGCGAGCTTCAATTTTTTGGTTCAGTTTCTTGCGCATGCACATTCGTAAATAATGATCTGGTGATCGCACTTGACCAGTAGAAAATGGTTTATATCAGGTCATCAGCTAGCGGCCAATCGTAGGACTCTGATCACTGCTCGGAAATCGAGTATTGGATAAATGTTTGTCCTATCACATGCCTCGTACTATTTCGATCAGAAATCAACTTCCGGGAAGGAAACTTCGAAAGATAATTTTATTTCTTTTAGAAATAGAATTTCCTTCAATTATTTTGTGGATTCTGACGAAATAAAAAGACTGAAGGTAAGATCGTTATCAAATCATTCATCCAAAGTTGATTTTGTGCATACTGCTTGCACTGCTTCCAAAAAACGCAGTTCATTTTTATTTCCGGGTCCTAGGGATATATTTTGCGTGTATGTAATGTAAGGACGGCGTTATTGAAAACATTGCCTAAGGGGGTTGACTTTTGACAACTTCGGCCAAAAACAACTTGAGAAAATGCTCAGAATGGTGAAAATTGCATAATTATGAAAGAACTTTTGGGCAGGAGGGGTTTGCTCCAACCCTCTGAGCCCCGATGTCTATGGGCCTGTGAGGTCACTGAAATACATCCCTCAAGACTCAATCATCCTCTTGCCAGCGAGATTTTGGGGGAAGCCTGTATTCAGTTCAAATATCAAGTCCGCAGAGCCAAAATATTCAAGCCATTCAATCAGATGGAATTTTGAAGGTTGAAGTGACAGTTACACTCAAAACCACTCTATATCAGAGACAATCTATATATATAATACTTTTTTTGAAGAATTCTGTCACCAGTGGGCAACATATACAGTATACACATATCAAATCAACTACCAAGTCGAGTGATCTAAGGCAGCAGTGGAAGGCCCGTGCCTTATCCCGTTCCCGGACTATAGTCCTGCACTGAGTGCATTCATTTGCCTGTACGATTACAACTTGGGAGAATTATCTACGCCCCTTACACTTAAGATACCTACCTCAATGCATTATAGAACTCAAGATGTAACTTCTAATATATTGGAACCGCCGATTGTCTGGGTATATCGGCAGAACGGGAACATTTTCTCTTTTTCATCGAGAGAGATTCCATCACTTTTCAAAATGGCGGTTGGATTTAAAAGGGGAATCCCCCGTTTGGCTGTCCCGGATGTAGCCCAGAAGTACCAATATGGAGGAATTTGACGGTTGAAATAAGTTAAATGTTACATGCAAATATTGCGATCAAAAACGAAAATGTTTTCGTTCTGCCGATAAACCCAGACAATTGTGGATTCAACTACACGAAAAGAATGCTAAATTACCAAGGAATCTATTGAAGTAGGTATCTGAAGTGTAAGATGAGTAAAAAATTCTCCCATGTTGTAATCGCACAGGCAAAAGATTGAGATGTTCACAGGACCATAGTCCGGGAACGGGATAACCCGTGCCCAGGGGGAGCTGAGGGAGCGGCCGCTCTCCCTTGGCCAGAACTTTTCACATGATTTTTTGCCAAAAACTGTCAAAAAGCACCCCCTTGGCAAAAGCTGCTCCCCTTGTAAAACCGCTTCCCCCCAGGTGAATCCTAATCCCAATCTCCTTTCGCCAGAACATTCTTTTCGACTGACTACGGGCCTGAGTGCCAATGTGTTTTCACGAACAAAAACATATTTTGTATGATGTATCAAGATTACTCTCAGGACTGGGATATGGGTTTGTATCACTTCATTTCAAGGACCCTCGAATCTGAGACTGAGACGAGAGAGCAGTAAGAAAAAAACTGAGCTTGCTTTTTATGATGAATCATCAAGCAGAGCACGATTTTGAAATGAAACAGACTCTGAGAGGTTATGTGTGGCTAGATACACAAGCATAACCATAAATAAGAATCTTATTAATATATTTAAACTGAAACAGTGCAGTCTCTCCAGTCAGGTCGCATGCACGTGGAATGTTGCCTGCCGAAAAAGTACGGGAGATTTTTTACAAACCTGTTGGAGAGCAGCCCAGTGTCTGCGATCATTTTGTCTTCTACAGTCGTCCAATTTCTCTGTTACCTTGTCCTCGTGTTGGAAGCAGTAAAAGCTATTTATAAGTACATTTGTTTGGATTTTGACTGCTTGGTTTCAGAGAAATACACGTAAATTTGGTCACAACTCTACAAACGTGGAAAAAATTACCGGGGCGACGTCATATGTTCTGCGGGGTGAAGAAATTCCTGAATTTTGATTGGTTGTTTGTTATACGTTCCCGCATACCAATGAATTAAGATGGCAGCACCTGTGAACCTTACTGTACTAGATATCATACTACCTGTAATAAATTGAGCTGAGGGTTAAAATATTTGTAAAACACCAAAAGTTACTTTACTCAATTCAAACAAGATAAAAATCCGATTAAAGAAAGCAGTGATGTTTGATAATCTCTGCTACCACAATAGAAAAATGGATTTTCCTTTCTTTTGACATTGAATGCAATGTTTGCTTGAACACTTCTGGTTTGCTCATCAAGTATAGAAAATAGAAAAAGTGATTGGACAAAATGCCTGTTTCAAATGTCCTGGGCCTGGAATTTTTTGCACTTGGATTCTGGGGGTTTGTTCAGTGTAGACACATGTAAGATGATTTCTTATTTAATTCCTAGAATAAGATAATTTAGTTTTGTGGAGCTCGAATATAGGGGGCCTATCGGGATGGTATATCAGAAATCTGCCACAACATAAACCTCATATATATGTTTTGCATGAAACTAATACAGATTTAGGAAATAATGTTTCAAATAGGATAGGCCCAGAAAAAATGTTTGGCCCCCAAAAAATGTTTGGCCCCAAAACTCCCATTTAGTGTGCACTTTGGGCATTCATGGGCCCTTTTGTGCCTTATTTTTTAATTTTTGGACAAATTATAGATTTTTGGGTTTTTGGGACCCCTAACTTTTTTCATGCAAACACAGATATGTTTTTCACTTTTCAGACAATTGAAATCTGCCCCCTTGTTAGTTTTCAGATCTGCCTCCTGCAGTACACTATTGTTGCTCGAGTCTCACACACTTTTTTTCTTATTTAATAACATATTTATGAGCCTTAAATTTAATATCTTAATGATCACACCCAGGCTTCCATCTCAATATTCTGCCATATTATGAAGATGTCATGATTACAAAATTCAAATTCCAATTTGTTCACTTCAAAAATTTGAATGGCAAATTTTGGTAAGCTTATTATTTCCCAAAAAATCCAAACACACAAGAAGAGAGGCCCTACCAAAATTGGGCCCAAATTTTGAGCATTTAGGCCCATTTTTGATAACTTTGGCTAAAATTAAAAACAAGTCCCCAAATGGCCAAGTAAGTCTAATGCACAAAAAAGATCCACTAATGAGCGAGGCCCACACATGTTTTCTGGGGGGAATGCCCCCGCCCCCCTGGATATGACTCTTCAGGTTCATTTCCTACACTAGTACTTTGTTTTCGACTTTCAATCATCTTCATACCCGGGGATGCAATTTTGCATGCTATGGCACTTGTACCACAACAGACTAAATGCAAACATATTCAACTTGTATTTAAAGATGTCGCTGAAGTATTTATTTACTCAATAGGACTAGCTTTTTCGTTCCATTAAGTTCAGTTTGTCATTCAGACGTTACCGTGCGAAAATGGCACGAAAAAGTTTCAAAATTGTAGTAATTTGTCAAAGAATAGCTCGGTAAATCGACATATTGTACACCGGATCAGTTATGGGAAGGGAACATGAATTACTAGAGGCCGCAAGGAAAGGAGACACGAGTTCGATAGAAAAGATATTGACCTCAAAACCAAAGAAAGAAGGATTGCTTGCTTCTTTTGCAAGGTGAGTTTTCATGATTTTATTTTAGGCCTAGCCAAAGAAACATATTTATATTTATCAAAACTTCCTTGTTTCTTTGTCCGATTGGCTTTGATGTATGTGCATTCTATTTTTTTTTATTCATCAGCGTCTGCCATATAGTCCATTTAGCAACTATGTAGTCTTCATTGTCATTGAGGTGTTGTGTATGTGTTGGAAAACAGGTGGTTGTCAGTTTTACGGTGTATTCAAGATGTTAGTCAATTTTTAAATGTTAGCTGCATTATTTGTCAGGACTTGCACTCTTATACCCTGGAACAGAGTTATATAATATTTGAAAGTAATGTCTAGATTGAGCTTCCCATCAGCCTGTGGTTATTATATCCATCATGCATCCATCATTTTTCAGATATAGGTCTTAGGTCATCACCCTACAGATTGTGCTATACGAAAACAAGCAGTGCAGATAACATGTGCGCACGGTGCGGATTTTAACGCTCATTTTTTAATCTGAAATTTTTGTTGATATATCATAAACTAAAAGGCATGTTGGGTATGCGATGATATTCACCCTTTTGTAAAGGATACGTAATAGAGAAATTCTGTCTATTTATATTAGAGGTGTAACTCCCGAGTCAGTAACTCGAGTACAGCTCGTCAGAGCTGCCTATACATTGCCTCGAGTTGTCCTCTAGAAACTCGCAATCTATTTCAACTCGCGAGCTGGCTATAACTCGAGTCAACTCGCGAGTTTTGCCTATTTTGTAAGCATGTAAAATGAATTCGGGTCCCAGAGATCGTGCAACATTACTTCATTAAATATACCAACGATCGCCATATTTAGCGCCCGTCACCTTAAAAACACTCTCAAAGCTTCACAAAGTTCAACAAATATCGTGGAATGACGAAATATCAGAAAAAGATCGACTATCGAAGGAACTCAAGCGGGCGATAATAGAGAAGTCACTAAAATTGAATAGAAATGGTCTCCTTATTCTAACGTCGTTTTCACGACTTTTACATAAAAAAGATGATCTATCATTAAATTTAGATCATAACTCTTTAACTTTAGATCGCTTTAGTATAAATAATGAAGATAATCCGGGAAAACCATTCATTGATTTGAGGGGCCCTTCTGGGTTTTCTAAAATATTGTTTAGTTAGATTCTAGCGATCTCTCGTCCTTACCGTATGCGGCGACGTCTATACCAGATCGTTTTTGATTGAAATATGAGATAACTGCAATGAATACCACACTTTCATATGGCCCCAACGTGTTAAACAGCTTTTAGATGTGACTAAACCAGAGAAACTTGCCGCTAGAAGCTACAGTAATTTTGTATACCCGGGTTTACAACATGTACTGGACGAAATGAATGAACTCGAGTTTAACTCGAGTTTTGGAAATATTTGGCAAGTTGAACTCGAGTTGGATTTTTCTCGCAAGTTACACCTCTAATTTATATTAAATCATACAGAAACCTTTCTTTACTTTCAATATGCAAATATGATAAATGACGGGTCATCTCGATCACCATTCAGTGAATGCTGGTTACGCTGTGCAACTGCTGCAATTTCAAATTATTTGCTTTGGAGAGAGTTATTGCTTGATGTGTCACTACATAATGAATTTGAAAATGACTGTTTTCACGCCTTCTATAAACTGTAAACAAAGTCAACATTTCACCCGGGGTATATATTCGCGAACGATACCCCTGGTAATACGTGTAATGTGTGACGTCATAACGGCTGGCTGTAGCAATGGCAGACCATAATGAATATTTGAACATGACTGTAATCCCGCCTTCTATAAACTGTGAACAAAGTAAATGTTTCACCCAGGGCATGTTCGAAATCAATGCCCTGGCTCTGTTCTAAGTGATAGTGTTTCCTTCAGTGCAAAAGCTTAACTGGAAGTAGAAATGAAAAATGTGGAAATGAACATCGAAATTGACGATTTTGCAATATTCTGGAGAGTTTTCATGTTCGAATCGTTATAAAGACCTCAGAGCAGGGCTACTTTTTTCGAATTCACACCTTAGGGCTAGGAACAAAAACTTTTGAACACCTCACTCCCTTTGGGGTACAGAAAACGTTTGTGCAAAGCCCTGCGGTGTGTATTCGAAAATAGTAGCCCTGCTCTTCAGTCTATATTTCCTAATTTGAAACAATTTGGAGAGTTTTCATGTTCGAATCATAATATAGACCCCAGAGCAGGTGTAATATTGTCAAATACACCCCTTAGGGCTAGGCACAAAATCTTTCGAACCTTCCTTCAGTCGTTTGGGGCACAGGAATCGTTTGTGCCTTAAGCCCTGCAGGGTGTATTTGACAATATTACCCCCGCTCTTCTGTCTATTTTTTTTAAGTACACACCTATTGACCCAATTTATTAGGGATCCTGTACACATTAATGAATATAATTGAGTACCCAATATGTCTTAGCTTGTGAAATATCACAAATTCAAATTTAAAAATGACCGTTTAAGTCCATACCATGCACACATGATATCTGCACCGCTTGATTTTGTATACCACAGTCTATGTATGGTTGTTGTCACGTCTAGTATGTGTAAATTTAGTTAAATAAGTGATAGGTAGGTTACTCAAAAGATAGGATCCCTAATTCGGTTGTAATTATTTTAGATTGGATGAATATATTAAATTCTTTCACGAAAATGATCAAGAATGTATAAATTATAGCTAATGAAAGGCAATAAATCAATATCGATTTGGAAAAGCCATTGGCTACAATTCTCGAAATCGTTGTTCCCTCTTCAAAAGGGGAGACGCGAAAATCTTTCCTTATAAGGTCAAAATATTTCCCATGATGCAGTTCGCGGAGGAACAAATTTATACTTCCTTGTTTTCCCTCATAGGTTTAACATGGGGATTTTCACACCTATTTTTCAAATGATATATTCGTTCATATTCCCGTACGAGAGAACAGAAAAAATTATAAGAAACGATTGATCTCTTATTAATCTTAATACAACAGCTATTTTTTCATTGTATTGCCTTCATAGCGTGGTGAAAACGACGATTGAAAAGTGAGAAAATATTCCGGAAAAGAAGGTCACGTGATCAGTTGACTAGTCGCCATATTGGAAAAAACAATTCCATTCGACTTTCAATACTTTCACGCCAATCTTACCGCACTTCAAACTGCAACATCGATGCAACAACTGAATAAAAGTATTCATGGTCAAGTTACATTATAGAGTTACGTTGAAAACCCACAAATAACTGAGCAGTAGACCAAAGAAGACGCGTCGCTATTATCTAGGTCAATCTGTTCAGTGGTCCGAAAGCAAATCTATAGTACTCGTTTCCGAATTTTGTTGTTCATTGTACAATCTTTTATTGATTAAACTCGGTATACTGACTATTAAAGCAATGACAAAGAAGAATACTCCCGATGGTGTCATTGTTTTATTTAGCGTGCGGGTATAAAAACAAAATTGCGTAATTAGTTTCATTTAGAACTTTCGGGTCACGCAAATAGTCTACGCGAAATGCATAGTGGGAAAATATTGACCTATCAAATTTTGTCCTTTTTTGAGTGCTTCTTCACTGCATATTTGCGAACGTTCTGATTCAAAGAGTGAACCGCGAAAGGGAGAATTGGTGAATGTCCTAATATGCAGGAACATTGGAACAGGGTATATTATGGTAGTAGTAAATTCTGAGCATTGCAATCAAGGGTACCTAGCTACACCTTCTCCACCATCACTTCATATAAAATTAGTTAAATACTTACGGGTGTCAGGAATATTCGATTTCTGAAGTAACAGGTTTACATTAAGATTGTCATTACTGAATAGCAAATAAATTTATTGTATGGCTAGACTAATGATTTATCAAATGGATGTGTTGCCTGTTTTTCTATTATGAAATCTCAGGTATATTTGTGGCGAATAAGACTACAATCTTATGTATCTCAAATTTGCATCAGCTTCTGTGGAGTGAAGTATAAAGATAAAACAAGTCATTATACATGTATATTACAAGACGTGACAAAGTGCTCAACATCGCCGTGACAGACTTTTCTTTTTACTCCAGGCTGAGAAATTAACAAGAAAACAAATCCAAGAGAGGACAGTTCACATATTAAAGACTGAAAGTGCAGAAACAAAGGATTATCAATTTGTAAAATATTTAATAGACTGTTCCCACTGATTGAACAACTTTAACAGTGACATTCAAAATGGCTGAATCAGTTGGTGTTAAGAAGGTGTGTGAGCTTTGCCTTAAAGCAACCTCACAGTATACATGTCCAAGATGTAACATTAGATATTGTACATCAGTATGTTACAAAGGAGAATCACATGCAAATTGCTCAGAGGCATTCTATAAGGATTGTTTCATGGAGGCTTTGAAAGAAAAAGAAGTTAATGAAGAAGATAAGAAGCAAATGATCGAAACTCTCAAAAAGTATGAAGATGACCCATATGATTTAGATTCAGATGAAGAAGAGCTAAGTTTGGAAGAACGTATGTCTGGCCTGGATTTGGATAATGATTCTGACGAAATTTGGAGCGCGCTTACTGATGTTGAAAAGAAGGAGTTTCAGGCAATGCTTCAAGATGGCCGTCTCGGACATTTAGTTGAACTATGGGAACCATGGTGGACTAGTCATAATGCTGCATTGGTTACTGAAGTAGGGAAGAAAATACAACCACCTAAAGGCCAGCTTCAAATCCTAACAAAAATACCTGAGATTGGATTGTTGCTGAAGAATCCACCATCCGAGAATATCAAATATGGCGTCCTGAATATCCTCTATGGCTACTGCTATCTACTAAGGCTACATAATGGTGAACAGGCTGCTGATTCTGCTATTCAGTTTTGTCAAGATCTGAAAGAAATTTCCGACTGTCTCGGAGACATGGTGTATTCTTTAACAAGTGAAGCATTGCAGATTGCCATTGAGAACATATCAGGCAAAGCCAAAAGTGTATTTGTTTCTCAGGAGTTCTCTATCAGTATCATAGAAGACGTGAAACATGTGATTATTGGACCTGATACCAGTTCTTCTATAGATTACGTACTTGCCGCTTTGTCAGATATTTACCGAAATTTTGTCAGTGCCAGAAAAATGGTTAATAATGAGCTGAAAAATGTCACAAAACCAGAAGAACAAGCAGCCTTGAAGGAGATGAAAAAAGGATTTTTCAAAATCGGTAAAGGAGTAGAGTTTAAACTAGCATGGGCTAAATCCTATGGGGCAATGATGCAGTCACTTATCCCAGAGTTGGAACTAGAACTATGTTCTTTAACATCAGAGTTTGCTACTCAAAGTAAAGTTAACAAATACTTTGAAAAGAAATTGAAAGCAAAACCCAAGAAACCATTAATTGAAGAACTCTAATCAATTCAAACCTGAACATTTCTGAAGTGAACTATTTCAAATGTTTTATTAGCAATATGACTAAAGTCATTAAAATCTCAAATACTTTGACTCATAAGATGACTGGTTTCGTGATTATTTGCATTCAAGAGTAGGACATTATTGCCTGGTTAGAATAAGGAAGTAAACACACTAGACGTGATAACAAAAATTGCAATATTTTTGATATACTTTATCTTAATAGAAATGTATGCAGATTAATGTATTTTGTAAACAAGCATAGTGACAGTTCTTGAGATAATGTACAGTGCAACTTAGGTTAACATGGCAAACTGTTTTAAAATGTTCCTCATAAACAATTTCTTTCAAATTATACAGAGGTTTATTATCAAATGCAGAGAAAAATATTGTTTTGTAGCTAGTTTTGTTTTCTTTATTATTTGAGATAGTTTGTCATGTTCACGCTTGAAAGAGTATGTTTACTTATAAATCAGTAAGAGCTAAACATTGTACTTCCATGTAAGAACCGAATAACTTGTTATTACTAAAAAACTGTCAAAATTATTGAAAATATGCATAGAAAGCTTCTCCATATTTATTAACTGTAGCAGCAAATACAAGACCCTTCATTTTAAATGTGAAAAGGATAAGAATGATGATCAGAGTTAGAAGTAAAGTCTTGCATCAAGTCCTCACTTTCTACTTTGTTTAACATTTTGAAGGTTGTTTAAAATTGTAAGGTATGTAAGGGGGAGGGGGGAGGGGGGAGGGGGATAGCACAGTGGCTGGAAGCAGGATAAAGGATAGAAATAACATGCTACTTCCTTGTCTTTGAAATGCTGTCTTTGCAGCTTATGACACTTGAACAGTCATGTAGTAGTTAGTTGATAAGTACTGTACAGAAATACAATTAGATAAGGAAATATATAACCTATGTATCCTTGTATATATCCTTGTTACTATTTTTATGTGTTTACTATTATCTTAGCTTTTGATTTCACGAATCTTATATTGGGTCAACAATTCTATGCATCAGGGTATTTGATACTCATAATTCACAATAATTTGTACAATTGCCTTTGAGTGTGTGTGGGGGGGGGGTGTAGATACTTTGTGTAAGTGAAAAACATTTCTGCATAATTCCCTGGACGTATTATGATGCATTCTTTGATATATAACATTCATAGCCTGAATCTGGCATCTACCTTTTGATCCCTGCCAAAATATTTGGAGAGAGGACATTATCTAAGACATGGACTTACCCATAAATAAATGCTCATTATTATTATCATATTGCATGCATTATTGCATACTGTTTTGGTTGAACCATTCAAAAGTTTGATTATTAAACACAAAAGATGATACAATTTAAAAACTTTATTAAATGTAATATTTTGTAGAGGTCAGTCTAAGATTCCAATACTTTCAATATATCACTGACATATTTACCATTTCTGTTCATCTTCAAATCCCATGTATATCCTAAACAAAAATGCTTACAAGAGAGAAACCTTCAAAATTATAGTGATCCCAGTTAATGTCTTCATTTAGTATTGTTAGTACCTCAGTGTAAATACTCGCATCTGATTGGTCAATTAGCGGTCAACATTTTTGCCTGTACCTCACTTGTGCATCATGGGATATCATATTATTGACCGCGTATGTTACTGTACTACACTTGTGAATTATGGGAAATATGACGTCACAATGTTTAGAGAAAAAACATGGTAGTCGGACATTTTGTACACGTTGATGAAAGTGATATTTTGACTTTTCTACACGACGAGTATATAGCAACAATACAAATAGAAACGCAAAATTAACATTAATTTTCTGGTGAGTACGCAGTTATGTGCCGAAAACAGAGAGTTTAGCTTCCACTGTCTTCAGATTTTCTTAAAAATTATTGCTGGGGTGGTTCATAGAAAAGATTGTGAAATGAAGCCATGATTGATGACTGTCGTATATATGAGTATTATTAGTTTCTTCTGACTAACAAAACAATTGTAGACCTCTCCATTCGGTTAACCGTCAAAATCATATACCTCGACTGTAAACCTTGAAACACTGTTGACCTCGACCTTCGGTCTCTGTCAACAGTAGCTTCTCGGTTTACAGTCTCGGTATACAATTTTGCCGGTTGACCTCTGGAGAGGTCAACAATTGTATACTGTATAACAGTTTCTTCTACCCTTTGCATTTGTTTGACTTCACTTCTTAAAAGAGAGCTTCATCTTCACTCTTTCAAACTAAAATAAATCTGTGAACTCACCGCGCCAATCAGTGTTCATCGGCCAAATTTGACTGACTTTCTTTACATGATCATTCCTTCTGATGTCATCGTTGAGCCCGGAATTGACAAATGACATGCGCATATTTAATTTGAACGCATTTGGCGTATGTTTCTTCAAGCTCGCTGATTGGTGGAAGAAAGGTCAGCGCGTAGGTCAAAAGTGATTTATTACCCAAACTGTCACCGGAACCCGTCGTGGGGCGGGGCTACTAAACTGTAATATGGTCTCTACTTGGCAGAGTGTAGTTTACTAGACTCTGCACGCAGGGTAAGTTTCTTCAAGGGTTGGGGGATCATCATCATGAGAGATTGCAGTCTTCTATAAATTCCTTTATTTCACATTGCTAGTTGGAAAACAGAAATACCCTGATGAGTATCAGAATAGGGGAGCATTGAATAATGTCACTATAATCTACAATGATGATGACACTATTCCACTTGTTAGAGAAAACTATAGGACTTGATTTCAACCAAGATTATATCAGATTTGATCAACTGAATTCGGGCAACTTGTACAAAATGTCACAATAATTAACTATTAAGATAAGATAGAAATGGTAAAATAGCAAGAAATATATCAAGTGGTTTCTTTGTGTCTTAAATTATAAAGGAATGAAAGAGAATCATATTATATATCATAATATATATTCTCTTTTTGCATAAGAATCAATGGAATATATATACCTGCAGTAAAGTTATAAGCACAGGATATATTCTTGGTTCTTCTTTTGTGTCTGGTAATTTGTGATTTGCAGCTGAGTGCTTTGGGAATATCCCTTAGAAAAAATGTCAATAAGAATTATATATGGTTTCATCTGCAGAAATTTTCTGTCCAAGTCCCTCAATTTCATTACTGGACTTAATGTTGAATTCAAAACTGTACCATCAGCATCTTTTTGAAAATATCATGTGATTCATTGGGTGAATGAGGAAATATTGAGGTTATATTTGGACATATCGATGAGGCTTCAGGGAAACGTGTGTAATGCATGGTATTGATTTAACTTCATGAAGACATTTATATTAGGCTACTCATATTGTACTGTTGTATGTTGTAAAAAGATAACAGGATTCTTCAGTTTCTCTAAGAATCTCTCCCTTGCATAGAATTCCATAAGTAATTCCAGAGTACTTAGGAATTACCCTTTTCAATAAGCAATTACCCTTTTCAATAGAGTAATTTGGCTGCAGTAAAATAGCTTCACCTAGTAATTACCTCAAGCTTCTTGGGATCAGGGTATTTTGGAATGGAGGTTGGATAAATAAACCTTTAACTAACCAAATATTATGGTATACAGTAAAACCTGCCAAAATTAGCATTACCACATAGTCTAACAGTGACAGGCCGAGAAATGTTCATTTTAAGCGGTTTTCCGAAAAATAGAATGAAAGTCACTTATTCAATGCCCATCACTTGCAATGGAGAAGTTTTCTCTAATGGAGAAAAAAAGAAAATGCTTGGACATTCTATGCTAAGTAGAGCCACTTAGATATATTCAAAAATAGAATCTTAGGATGGAAAGTGTTTACTTTGGAGAGGTGTTTGTCTACCAGTACAGTATACTGTATGTTATCAATTCCTGTTGAGAATGAGGAAGAAATGCATGTGGTTAACCATGTTACTGCACAATTACTGGGATGAAGAAATCCTAGATATCCATAATTATATATAACAATCTCTTTCCCTACTATAACCTTGGGAAACTGCATAACATTTGAGAAAGCAATGTATGATTAATTAAAACTTCAATGAAAATATTTGTATGGGATTATGGTTAGAAAATTGATATGTTGTGTCTGCAAATGTTATAATCTGATAATGCACCAACGATTGTAATCTCTTTTTAAAAATGAATCAATTTCAAACCAGTTTTCTTCCTCATTTTAGTACATGTATTATGTGATATCATATCTTATGACTTTGACTGATATTGTTTTGAACAACAAGATGATATCAATATCAGGAATCTTGAGTGTAGTCGTGAGAATGAAATATAGTAAGAATGACTGCTTATATTGCTTGCCGTGTCACAAAGCTTTTTACATCATGGTTTTATCATAATGGCCATATGTATTATGTATTGTATGGGCTCATATTTTCAACTGGATATCAGATTCTGTTAGGTGATTGATTATTCACTGAATCTCCATTTTCTAGCCACTTTACCCTCTTAGTATCATCGTTTACTGAATGCATATTTTGATTGGATATAAGCTTCAGTTAAGCTCTTGCAAAGGGTAAAAATATTAGATCAAGCATACTTAAAAGCAGGTAATAGTAATTTCATGATTTTCTGAATACATGTATTCTGATTGGATATTAGAGGTCAGATCAAAGAATCAGCTTGAATCTAAAGAGTTTAGGTGAGGTAGAGCTCTTGGGAAGAGGCTTCTATGGGGCACCTTGCATGATCCTTCAGAGTTAATTAGTGTTAGTCATCCTATCATTAGCCTTCTTAATTAGATGATCAATTAAAAACAAAGAGGATGGCAATTTGCATTTAACATTCATAGGTCACCTGAATATAATCCAAATGACATTTTCTAAGGGTTTTCCCAAATGAGGCCACTGCTTACAGCTTATGGCTGTATAACTGGTTCAAGATCAAATAGCAAAAATCTGTCGCATGTGGTTCCAGTGATGTAAATGAGCATTTAATGAAATAATACTATAGGTGACTGTGTTAGGGAAAATAGACTACTATATAACTTTGTAAATGTAAGCACTTTGAAAATGTCAACATAACTGGGACTGTTTATGTTGTTTATTCTATGTGAGTTATATTTGACATTTAGTATCTATACTATAAGCCTAGTGTTTTTAAAAAGACTTGTGTATTATATTCAAGTTCATTTATTCAAACCTTTTAAAAATACATATATAGAGTGATGGTTTGAATTTAGTATTGAAGGGAAGGCCCTGTATTCTACAACAGTGCTTGATTAGGCTAAGATAAGAAAAATAAAAGTTTAGTTTCCATTTATATAAAAATTCATAAACAATATAACTTTAAGGATTCATACATGAAAGTATATCATAGAAATGATCTATTTTATGTTCATAATTACCTACCATTTAAAAGATACAATTATCAGAAAAAGATTCATTTAAACTTTTGCTAAAAGATAAATTATGATAATTGTAGAATTTAATTACTTTTGCATTGATTAAATGTCTTTGTGCTTCATTTTGCATCTTTGTCACATTTCCCCCATGGGGTAATAAAAAACAAAATATTGTAATTTAGAATCACAAAGACAAAAGGCAATCTGTGAAATAAGCTGTCTAGTCCCTTTTAATATCCTAAAATGCAAGAAAGCCTGAATTTTATAGTTTTTGAATGTAGTATGGGTCAAATGTTAAGTAGGATGGGAAAATTGAGAGCTTCTATTGTGTTATTTGCTTATTTTCTGTTTGGTATCTACCTACTACAGTATGTACTCTAATCTAGTAATACATGCACTACATTAAACAGTTTATTTACAAGTTTATTGTTTACAAAATACAGAGTGGAATGCCATTTTTATAGTTCAATATTGAATCAGAGAAACTATTATGTGAGCGTGTTAGAATCCTGTCTACTTAATTTTTTTAATTTTATGAATTCTATGGATTTAAGATTTGTTATCATTCACAATTGGAAGTGACTTTTGTATTACTCAAGTAGTTAAGTAAGTTACCGAGGCACAAATTATTACGAACATCCAGCAGTCGATCAAGAGTACTATTTCGGAAAATCTATCTCTGCGAGGAAAATGATATCAATGATGCTACGTGATAATAATGGAAATCAGAGTCAGTGCTAGAGGCAAAATACAATAATTAACAGCTATTCTTTCAAGTTTTGTCTATATCTATTAGACTTCTACTCTTCGAGTAGTTCCAAGAGCTATTCTCTTAAACTGTGTTTATATTATTTCATTGTTTTCTGTGTAGTTCAAAAATGGGATTTCTTAATCACTGCACAGGTGGGATAATCTGATTCTCTTGTCTGTTCTGATCACAAAGTACTCATATTCATCCATTCATTTATATACTCATCCATTCATTCATTTACTCATCCTTTCATTCATTTACTCATCCATTCATTCATTTAATCATTCATTCATTCATTTACTCAATTTACTCAAAAGCTCAGTAATTTAACTGGTTAAGCATTTATCCACTTATAGAACTTTGTAGAATTTTTCAATTACAAACTCATTTACATATATTTACTCATTCATCTGGTCATTAAGTCAATCCTTTAATTATCTACTCACGTACATTCACTCAACTGCAAACTCAGTCATTTACTCACTCATGCACTTTTAATATGGAACAGCGAGAACCTACCAAACATCTATGTATTGATAATACTATATCATAATGTTAAAACAATGCTGTGTGTAAACTTCATCAAATATTCATCAATATGCTACTTACATTTGCATGAATAGAGAACCTATTAAAGCATACTCAAGTATTCCTGGGAAATCCAGAGTTATGTTCATAATTCTTTTGGTATTGAATAAAAGGTAACACAGATAAAAAGTTATGATGGTACTTTATATGGATTTATTCTGATGAAATATCTGGGTGATTCTTGCTTTTTGAGGATGGGGTAAAATTGGCATTTTATTAGTAAAAATTTGAAGTTTTGGCAACTTTTTGAGCAATTAAAGCTTCACTGCAAAAATAGATCCTTCTGAAAGTCCCTTCCTGATGAAAGCTTGCTTGACTTCATTACAGATGCAAGTATACATGTATTAGTTTATGGAAATCTAGTCTGAATTGTAAGAGCTACAATTGCTCTCAAGGATTTTGTTTCTATAGATTATCTACAGAATCTGAATAATCCTCTTCCTTATCCTGTTATGTTGATCATTTGAAGTACTGCATAGACTGAGGTATTCTCTGCCCTTTGCGAGAGTTTGGCTGAGTGCAGTGTACCCCTTGCATTCGTTTAAGTTTGCTTCTCCAAAGAGAGCTTCGTCTTCACTCTTATAGTTTTCTTTAAATCTCTGAACTCACAGCACTAATCAGAGAATGTCGTCAAAATAAGGACAGCCCTCTATATGGTCATTTTCTCTGACTTAATCGCACAATAATTGTGCACGCATTTAGCACAAGTTCCTTTCAGCTTGCTGATTGGTTGAGAATCGGTCAGTGCTGTAGGTGTGAAAAGGTTTATGACCCGAACCTTCACTGGCATCAGCCGTGGACGTGAGGCTGCTAAACTGCCACTAGCTGTTGAGCCTACCAAAAACATATCTAACATTATTTTTTATCACCTTGATCCATCAAGGTATTACGCTGCATGTTTAACAGTTTGATTTTTTCATTCAATTAGAGTCATTTGGGCCCAAAAATTTGTAGGGGCTCGATTGGTGGGCCTTTTTAAGCATAAATAGGCCTTTTAAGGCCTGATTTTTAATTTAAGGCCAAATTATCAAGAAAATGGGCCATAGATTTTCCAAATTTTGGCCCACTTGTTTTGGTTTTTAGGATCCCAACATTTTTTCATACTTCAAATATGGCCCCCATTTTGGTTCCCAGATCCACCCCTGGTTTAGAGTAGAGAAACAAAATGAAGGTAAAATCAGAAATATCAGAGATATTTTATGAATATTATTAATATGTGCTTCATCTATACAGCATTCATGCCTTCTTTGTAACATTATCTTTCCAAGTAATATTATTCCTCAGCCATTTGTTCAAGTCAAAGCAATCATTTATCAGAGTTATTAAGTTCATTAATCTCTTGTGGTTCTTTACAAAAACATGCCAAGTTATAATAAATGCATTTCCATTTTCTTATCAATGTTATCTGTCAAAACTTAAAGCATCTTGTGGAGCATGAATTGCTCATTATTTTTTTGAACTTTATTTGATGATATTTTCAAAAACAGATTTGTGTGGGCAGTTTTTGTGTTGAGGTCTGTTTCATGTTGATTTTTGTGATTTTGCGGTGTTACAGACACTTCTTAGAGCATTATATAACATTGAAAGTTATCTGAATGTGTTTAAATGATGTTTCGTTTATTCATGTATACAGTTATATTTTATACAGTTAAAGCTGTCTTAGTGAACACCTCTCTCTAGTGAACACCTGTTTCTAGGGAACACCCTTCTTAGCACATATACCACTGACATCTGTATAAGATCACCTCTCTGTTATGAACACCTACCTAGTGAACACATTTCTGTGGTTCCATAAGTGTTCACCATAACAGGTTTTCCTGTACTCAAAATGAAACATTCATACTATTTCTCAGATAGGCTGATGAGAAAGCATTTTATTCAGAAAATTGACCGTGATTTTTAATTGATTGTTAGTAGCCATAGGAATAATATTAATCTTGCACAGAGAGATTTTTGTATTCATTAACAAAAATGAATAATAAACTCAGTTTTAATGATCCCATACATGTATCTTAATAATTCATCTAAAGTATATCAAACATTTTACTTTTTTACTAGACTGAAAATACATCAGAAATATAATACAAATATGTTTAGATTTGATTCACAAAAATAATTTGCAAGGTTTTAACAAAGAGTTTTGATTGGGGGATACTTGATCCTAAACAAACAGAAGCCCAAAGCATTTTTATTTTACCTCGTCCTTATTCCAAAATATATTTTTTCAGACGTCCAGTTAGGTTGCCTGAAAAATACCAAAAAGTCACATATCTTTGATTTACTCTACCTTTAATACCTGACTTTTTATATTTTCATTTTCCATATTTCTCTATATTCTTTATATTCTTTAGCTCATTAGGGAAGATGACTAATAATCGTGGAGTACATCTCTTTGTTAGGGTACTTTAGGTGTTTTTATAGCATTGATTCTGACACATTGGCTTTCATGAATTATAAATCAAGATCAATGTTTGAGATTATCTTTCAGTTAAAGCTGGTGTTTTAATGTTTTCATTTCTTAAGTGTATTGAATATTATACAATGGTTTTTTACCTTTGATGGAATTGTCCCAGACTAATCTTGTTGACTTTGTATTATTAATTACAATCAAGTAGAGCTTTCCTATAAATCCTGACCTCTTTTGGTGAGCCAAAGAAGCTAGCATACTTATGATGTCACACTTTGCTGGTATCCATGTTAGAAAACAAATTTGAAAAATTGAAAGTATTTGAAAATTAAACTGGGAAACGAGTATGGTTCTTCCCAGAGACTGTAAATATGACATAATAACCAATACTGCATAATTTTCAAGATAAGACCACTAATAACCAAATGAATACCATTAATTTGAAGAAAAGTGTTCTTTATAATTATTGATATTTCTTCAGATAAGCAACCTGTTATGTTCTTAGAGGCTAGAATGTGATAATATTATTACACTGCCAAATGGGTTTATCTCCAAATAAGTTTTGTACAAATTAAGTGCCATATCAATTTAGCACTAAATTAGCAATTTTTTCAATTTTTTCTAGACACTCATGTTAGAATGAACCCTGGGGCCCAGATATAGTAGTAACAGTATAAACTCTCTAAAGAAACTAAATCTTACTGTAGAAAAGGGTAGTTAGCATAGTATCCAATATGGAACCACATTAGCATGTATTCATATTATATTATATCATAAAAGGTCCCAGGTGATCAATAGCAACATTGTGAACATCTGTATTATCAGCCCATTACTGATATATTATGCCTGATATTGGTAATAATGCATTATGCCAGTTATTTCCCTGTCAAAATATTGATGAAAATCTCAGTCATTTTTGATATTTGATTTAGAGCAGATAATGATATATTTCATCAAATTAATTTCAAATATTTAAGCAACAATGATTAATGATAGTCTACCTCCTAGTCCATTTATCCATCAGGACCTGATATGACTAAAGTACATGGAAATAAATTAATATGTTAAATTCAGTAATAAGTTTTTTATCCTGAACCTCAGAGGCTAATAGATGGAGCTTATTAACATTCAACTGAATAAAGCCAGAACTTGAATGTTGAATATAAATCTATTTCTGTTAATTAGATGGCACTGCAGTTCACATAGAAATGCAGTTTAGAAATGAAGACAATTCTCCATCAAGGGCTTCACTTATTTTTCATTTCCGATGGAAATAAGCCTTGGACCACTAATTTTCTTTACTAATAACAATAAAGTAGGATGGTTTAAGTTGACTGGCATAAAGTTTAAAAGAAAGAATATACACATTTACCAATCAAATACATGCCATTGAAAAAATGGTAGCAAAAAAATACAATATCTTATACGTCAAAATTAAATTCTGAGTTTCATTTCCTTTTCTCTCATCAGATGGTCCAACATTCATTCAGGAATTTTATAAAGGCATATGTACATTTTGTTCCAGTTTACGAGGTGTTAAAGCTACTCCGGTAAACTGTCAAGATGCCAGCGGAGAGTCTCCCCTTCACCATGCTGCCTTGAATGGACATAGGTAGGCCTTTTTTGCTTATATATTTGTTTTGTTTGTTTATTTATTTGTTCATTTGTGACGTAACTCTGAAGTAGCTGACAAGAGCATCTCAAGTATTAAAGTATTATGTTTTGTTATGCTCAAAATTTTCCAGAATTTTTTTCATATACATGTAGTAAAATTATTGTTATATGATGTCACCATGAACATAAATCAGCTAATGATATGGCAATGGGATATCCAAAAATGGAATAAAAATGTTTACATTTCTAGATGTTCACTCCTGACAGGTAGGTGTTTAGCTGCACCACTTTAAACTGTACACCCCCAAAATGTAATCTGATTTTCGACGCCGTTTTGGTGCCAAAATTCGGTGCCGTTTCCGCACCAAATGGACTGTGGAGTCTGGTGTCAAATTTTGGTGTCGAAAGGTTTCGGTGCCGGAACAGTGCCGAATTTGTTTTGCACACTGAATGTTATTACAGGGATGCTGTAGAACTGCTTCTGAAGCATGAAGCTTCTGCTACCTTACTGGACAACAAAGGATGTTCTCCTCTACACCTTGGAGCATGGAACGGCAATGCTGAGATATGCCAACTCTTGCTGTCGCATGGTCCATCAAAAGCCAGGGTCAATGAACAGGTAGGGGTGATATTTTATTTTAATTTATTAAAGTTACATGTATGTTAGTCTTTTGAAAAACAAGCTGCATAATAATGGCTTTGAGGCTAAGGTAGCATTCTCAAAGTCAACTGACGGCTGACAGTTTAACCTACTTTTGTATTACCAATTTATTTAAATGTGAATGGAATAATTGCAGGTACTAATCATATTTCAGTGAGTTGGCCATAAAATTGCAATTAAACCATCTGATCAGCCGACAGCTGGCAGTTTAATTCGCGAATGCTATCTTTTGCAAGAGTGAAGAATATTTAGTCTTCTGTCAAGAAAAGTAGTATGTATGGCCATTCTACTCAAATATTTTATATATCAACTTTCTCACTAAAATGGTTCATGTTTCTCTGATGCAAAGTACATGTATGTTGTAAAGTCAAAATATCCTTTTTAGCCTTTCTGTTTATCAAGTTGTAGTTTGATAAAATTAATATTTAACTTAAACAAACTGTCAAGTTTCATTTCAAAACATAATCAAACCCAGATAAACTTTGGTAGTTTAATTTTGAAAACATCATGTAATGAAATCATGTACTTCTCATAAGTAATAATTTCAACAATTTTAAATTTTGAGTGCTTCCTGTAAGCAAATGTAAAATAAAAAGGATAATACTTACTGGTCATGTCACTTGCATACAGTTATTTGATAGGACTCGTGATATATATGGGTTACTTTATATGCTGTGACAATGTTGCAGTTAAGCCATCTGATATCATTGCAAAAAGCGGAGAAGACGCTGAAATGCCATGTCAGCTTGCAGATGAAGAAATAACGCAATCGGAGATTGTTTCATGGTATGATTTCACCAAACGAGAGGACGGCTTACAAATTTTCAATTCGTATGAACCAGATACAATATTGAGTCCAAAATTTGCTGTTAATACTAAAGCTGCAAAATATAACCTAAAAATAAAGAATATATCTATAGAGGATGCTGGGAAGTACATGTGCAAAACATTTTATGGTCAGTCGCAATATTCAGCCTATGTCACTGTATATGGAACCCCCTCGTGTGTCTTTGACAGTGTTATTGAAGGAGAGAGTGTCACAGTTATGTGTAATATGAGATATGCTGGCTATGCTAAACCAACATTAAAATGGTTGCGCGATGGTGAAGAAGAACGAGAAAATGTATCATACGCCAACAAGGATGATCATTATGCAAGTGCAAAATTTACATTTGATATCTCTTCTGTGAAAAATAGAACAAAATTTACTTGTCAAGTGAATAGCAAGGAACCTGAATATGTTGATCAGTGTATACTCACCTGGAATTCTCTAAATGAAGGTAAATCTGAATCCAGCCATATTGCAACAGGATTAAACCTAAGAGATGTCATTGCCATCGCCATTCTTGCACCTCTAATGCTGTTGATGTGTGCCATAGGTGTAGCAGTGCTATTTAGCATTATTAAAAGATGTAAAAAGCAGGACAGCTCCAAAGGGAACATCCGATACAGTGCTGTTGAACATAAACCAGTGAACCAGTAATAACCAGGAAGACCATACAATACCATATAATCGCTTCAGGCCCATGTGACTCTTTTGAATATTCAAAGACCAAAGAAAGATTTGTTGTAAATTATATAATTCAGAGAGAGAGAGAGAGATGCAATGCATTAACTATTTTTGGGCTCTGTAGTTTGATTTTGAGTTCGACATACTACTATCATATAACCTTACCATTCCAACAAGCATAACATTGGCTTCATATTGCTAGAGCTATTGATAAATTTACTAATTTCATGTAGTTTTCCAATATAATATGAGATGGTATCCATGGAGATTATACTAGTTTTAGAAATATGTTTTTATTTTTACATAATAAACTCAAACAATGCCATATTCTACCTGTTTACCAAAAGCTTCCGGTTTCAATGGCGTCGGACGTGAAATCAACAGCTCCGCTTAGCGGGGAGGATTTAGCCAATATTGAGCAAACGCTTCAGCTGCTGACTGAAGGCCCGAGAGCGGACGTGATAGAAGAGTTAGATCGAGAGCTTGAGGAAGATGAGTGCGATGTTCTCAGGGATTATCTGTTCCAAAAGGGGAAGGTAAAAGTATCTGAGTTATGTGATAATCTCTATGGCGTACTTGCTGATCGAGAGGAAGATCAGGTTCCTATAAACTTACAACCAAAGCTGCGAAAAGGAAAAAATAGAAAGGTCACGCTTTTGAATGATATTTCGGATCTATATCTGTTCATAACGGATAACAAAAGCTTCCCCAGATCTATACTCAGTACAAACAGTTTCCTACCCGATGTCATCGGCAATAAGGAATTGCGTCAAAATGCGTATCGCAACGAGCGTAATGCAACAGTGGATATAAACATAACAATGCTAACCCAGCGAGTTGTGGAACTTGAAGCAGATAGAGATAGCCATAAAAAGGAGATAAAGGACTTGAAAGATGAGGTAGGAACGCTATTTTCGAAACTTTCTAAACTTCAGGTCGATGTGACCAATTTCGTCAAAACATGTACTTGTACATGTAAACAATCCGAGGTGCCAGTAACTGGTACTCTGCCAAAACCCCTGATCCAAGCCAATTCCAAGCCACAAACAATCCCAATTAGTAAGGCGACTACTCTTGAGGAAATAGTGAGTGAACAACAACAAATGCTCGAGTTTGCCAAACAACGCGTTAATGAAGTCAATAATGCCAAAGTCTCCAAGTCCAGGACTGTTAATCCCGAAACAAGCGACTCGTTTTTGTCGCTTAATGAAACTGTTATCAATACATGTGTAACGGGTGCCAGCACGCCTAATAAACCCGCATCATCTGTTAAAGCAAAAGACCATGGTTATTCTAAGATTGATCATCCGACCCCAGCAATAGCGCCCGATCCACATAATACATATATTATTACCGATTCAACGCCCATCGAAGTCCCAGGAACCAACAAGATCTCTTCCCAGTCCAAGACAATCAAAGAAACCCCTTCAACGTTCAGTGAAGTGTTAACTTCGCCATCTAATGTATCGGACAATGCCAGTCAATTACCAGGGAAAGAATGGATGGTATGGGCAAGCAATCAAACGTATAAAAAACAGAAAATTGCCGCAAAATCTGCTCACGTCTCACCACCTACTCAACCAGCCCCACAATCACAAAACGCAAGAGCTCTACGAGGTGCACCTGTAGACAATAATGTCTACTCCAAGAGAACTATAAAAGGAAAACAGTTTGAACGCTATAAATATCTCTATTTGGAAAATGTTTTTCAAGATGAACACGACACTGATGATGACATCTGTGATGATGTCATAAAATTTGGCTATGAACACGGTGTTAAGATAATGTACTGTCATGTGGTCCACAATAGAATGTCTTATACCCATGTGGGATGTAAAATTGCTGTAGTGGAGTCCAACTTTCAACAGACTATGATTATTGATTGGCCAGATCCTATTGTTTGTAGGGAATGGCAAAACTGGAATGAATATCGAAGGATTAGAGGTGGAACTTTTAATGCCTATGATCAATAAGTCAATAAACGCTAAATATCAAAAAATCACAATGAAACACCTGATCATTCTATACTGTATATTAATAATGGTAATTTTTACCCAATGGAATGCAAATGGTATACACTCATCAGAGATTTATTTGCGTGAATTGCTAAAAAGAAGTGATATTGTCGCAGTGTCAGAACATCGTTTATATGAATGTAATCTAAACAAGCTTAATGATATTGATCGTGATTTTGAGTGCTTAGCATATAGTAGCTCATTACTTAACCCTATGAATTGTGGAATTAGCTGGGGACATGGCGGAATAGCGCTTTTTTGGCGTAAAACGTTTAAAAATGCCATATCGCCAGTGCGAGAATTCTGCACGGATAGAATTGCATGCATAAAAATTGAAGGTGATACGCCTCTGTATGTCCTTTCGGTATATCTGCCTCAGGCATCGTGTAAAAATGAGAGCTTTGAGGATGTTGTTATTTATTTAGAAAACTGTATATATAAATGTGTAGCTACGGGTTATGTAATTTTACTTGGTGATATAAATGCGAATTTTGGAAACTTATTTCAAACCAAAAGAGCGCACGGTACATGCACTGTAAATGGTAAAATGATGTATAATTGTATGTTGCGTAATGGGTTAACATCTCTTGATTTGCAAAGTCGAACAAGCGGCCCTTGCTATACATATGAATCAGGTACTGGGTACAAATCATATATAGATCATATACTGGTGTCCGAAGAACTACTACCTGCATGTTTAAGCTGTAAAGTACTGGCAGATAGTTTTACAATTGGATGTGGTCATCTTGCTATAGAATCTGAAATTGATCTGCCATCTATTTTAATGCAAAAAAGTTCTCCTTGTGCGTCAATCAAGCCAAGTTTTGCATGGCATAAATTAACAGATCAATTAAAGGGTGATTACACAAATGATGTCGATACTCAGGTAAAGAGATTAATTAGCGATATTTCCAAGCTTAATGTTATCGATAAGGCAGTAATTGATGCCTACTTTTCCAGGTTAGAAAATCTCTTATTAGAGAAGTCAAACTTATACGTGCCAATTAAGCAATTTTGCAAGCACCAGAAACCTTTCTGGAATGTGGAGCTTACTGAACTTGTGCGTAAAAAGAAGCTTGCTTGGCGCGAATGGGTTCGGGCTGGTAGGCCCAGAGATTGCTCAAATGTTTTTAGATGTGCTTTTAAAAATGCGAAACGTGCATTTTCAAAATTGTATAATCTAATGAAAAATGAGTATGAACTGGCACAGCTCGACAACTTGTACTATGCTGATGACTTAGATCAGAATATGTTCTGGCACCTTGTAAACAAAAGTAGATTATATGTTAAAAAATCGGGTAAATCAATCAGAAATGATAATGGTCAAGTAATTACGGATCCAGTGGAAGTATGTCAAGAATGGAAACTGTATTTTAGTCGATTAGCTTCTTACGACAAAAGAGACATCTTTAATTCAGACTTTGAACAATATGTAAATGATGATATTTCAAGGATGGAATTGAATTGTATGAATAATTTTGATGGCATTTTTGACAATGGTATATCCGAATGTGATGTTAAGAAGTCAATAGGGAAACTAAATATGAAAAAAGCAGCTGGCCATGACAGTATCAATTCTGAACATGTAAAATACGCTGGTGAAAATATTGTGTCTTTGCTCACCATTTTATTTAATGCAATGATCGCAAATGTATATATACCTGAGAACTTCTGCTTAGGGATCTTACTGCCATTGCTCAAATCTGGTAACAAAGATTCTCTTAATAAGGATCACCATCGTGGGATAACTCTCATGACAATTTTTCGTAAGATTTTTGATAATATTGTTCTTTGGAAAATTACTGGTGTACTGCAAGGTCGCATACCGCAATTACAAGGTGCGTCTATTAAAGGTTGCTCATCCTTGCAAACATCTCTAATAGTGCAAGAAGCCATATCTCACCAAGAAAATGGCACAATTATGGCATTAATGGACATTAAAAAGGCCTTTGACACTACATGGATACGAGGCCTGTTCCATAAGTTATATAATTGTGGTATAAATGGTTTATGTTGGAGGCTCTTGTATCAATCATATAACAAGTATAAATGTAAGGTTTTTGTAGATGGTATTTTATCGGATACTTTTCCTGTTAATAGAGGTGTTCACCAGGGCGGGATATGTTCCATGTTTCTCTACCAGTTCTTTATAGCAGACCTTTTGCAACAACTGGTAGATTCGGCAAAAGGAGTAAGAATTGGTGAAACGTCTGTAGCATGTCCAGCATACGCTGATGATATTGCCTTAATTGCAAATACTCCAGAAAATCTAAATGCTCTGTTGAGCATTGCTGACATGTATAGTAAAAGGTGGAGGTTTGAATTCCATCCAGGAAAATGTGTAGTGCTTAGATTTGGTCTAAACAAAAATGCTTTTTGTGAATGCAAATTAGGAGAGAATATTCTAAAAGTAGAAAAAGCTGCTACACATGTTGGCATACCTTTAGGCAAAAGCTCAGAGCATGTATCAAATTTGATTTCACGCAGTAAAAGAAAATTCTTTTCTCTGCTTGGTTTAGGAGCAAATGTAGGAGGCTTAAATCCTCTGATAGCTTCCAAGTTATACTGGAGTTTTTGCTTCCCAACAATGACGTATGGCAGCTCTGTAACGCAATATTCAATAACCGAAATTGAGTCTATGGAGGATGCACATAGATCCATTGGCAAGAGAATACAAAGCTTCCCGGTAAATACCCCTGACCCGATGGCGATAAAACCACTCGGATGGCTTTCAGTTCAAGCGCGAATCGATGTAGATCGCCTTATGTTCATCTGGTTCGTCTTATCGTTACCGGTACAATGTATTTATAAAATTGTATGCATTTATAGACTGTTGAGTATAATCCACATTGGAACCTATCGCTCAAGTAAATCTCCATTGGTCTCAATGTGGGAAACAACAATGAAATACGACCTTCATGGGGACGTTTTGAATATGATAACTACTGCTAACACACCACTCAAATGTGTCTGGAAGAGAAAAGTCATGAACGTTGTCAAGTCGTTTGAGATGAGACGCTTTTTCGTTCTTAGCTCCTTATATCCAACACTGAGACCAATATTGAGATGTTTCACTGTTTTAAAACCATTTTTATGGTGGGAAGTTGCCAGGCGTTTTCCAAGACGCTTACCACAATGTAAAGTTATAATGAAAATGATATCAGGAACATACAGGATATGTAATTACGGACAACCAATGTCTGAACGTGTATGCTTACTATGCAATTTAAATGTCACTGAAGACGTACAGCATTTTTTACTATTGTGCCCAGCGTATATAGATATAAGATACAATCTATTTAGTGAATTATATAAACTAGGAGTCAACAACTTTTGTGAATTCATATGTTTCATTTTCGGTGGAGGGAGCGAATATGATCCTGAAATAATGCTTCCATTGCTGGACACGATATATGAAATGCACAAAAGAAGGGATTACCTTCTTAAATCCTTGTAAATAATAGCATGCTCTGACATATGAGCATATTAATTTTGCTCATCTAACATACATAAACTTGTAGTATTTTTCGTACATTTATTTTTGTAACATATTTATGTATATGTACTCATCTTATAGATGGTAAATAAAATAACATAACATAACATTTATAACTTGAAATAAATAACTAAAGATTTAACATGTACAAAGTAACTCATAATTTCTTTATTTTTTGCCAGTGGTAAGTCAAAAGTATTTCAAGATTAATTAGTGTGCCCTTGATAGAACATGACATCAAAGTTGATATTGATTGGCCATTATATCAATTATCACAAGTGCTTCATCATTATACTATCATAACAAAAGTCTGAAGTCACCGAGCAAACAAGATCTTGTTTTTGCCAGAACGATTTTGGTCATTTCCCTTTACGTCCTTTTTGACTTGAGTTATTGACCAACATTGAAATATTATCGGACCATGTTTCTTTCTGCTTGCTGACTGACTGAGAAATGTCAGCACAGTAGGTTTGAAGTAATATACCTGGGGAGGCTGCCGGCAGTGTAGGAGGGGTTGCTTAGCTGTAAGATTGTCTAACCTATTCAGAGGTTCGTTTAGTACTTAACTCAGCACTCAGGGTAACAATTTAGATTAACTAATTATTAGATTTAGTTTTTCATTTTAAGTCTTTATATGTATTATTTATGCCTAGGTCACATTTGGTCCGATTCATCGGTCGGCACTCGGCCGATTTCAGTATTTTGTTTAAAACTGATTTCAACTTGCTTCAAATTAACCAAACTTTTTTTTAAAATTATGTACAAGTTCTCTGTAGTTCATATCTGATCTAATTTTGAACAAAATACTCAATCGGCCAGGTGTCATCTGATGAATCGGAGCAAATGTGACCTAAGCATTACTTAATCTAGAAGACATCTTCTGATTTTTGAAGAATACATGTTTTTATATAAGCACAGCTGGTGACTGGTGCTTTCATTGACAGCAATTTTGATGACAGGTGAATTTTTAGGAAAATATTTGACAAAGAACAAAAATATGTGATAATTTGAAAAAATGTTTTTTAAAATTAACAAAAGTAGTACCAACTTTCTCCCGCTCATATGTACCAAGTCTATTCTGTATATCTGTGTGCCACTATGGAAAAAATGTGGCAGTGTAAATACACAATTGACTTTGACAAGATTTGGGGAAAACTGGGTATAGATGATATAATAGCAAGGTAATTTCTCAATATTGCTATTCTGATCTGTAGCTACTACATCACAAGGGGTATTAACAGGCTATTTAGTTTTTCTCATTTTACTACAAATCAGTTGAGATGGATTGTAAACACTATAACATCTTACAAAGTATCTTTGTAAACCATGATCTTTTATGACAGACTAAAAGCATATGGAATATGGGAGAGGAACAAATTATTTGAATATAATTGTATATTTTGTCATCGACAACTCTTTATTGATTCTCTGTTATTTTTAGAAAAACAACTTAACATCTTGTTATGACATATCAAGGGCATGTAATATTTCATTGATTTTTGTAAGTATTAATTGTGTAAGTCAAATATTAGGAATCCCTCATTTCTGTGAGATAAGGAGGATGACGATAGACTGGTAAGTGTTATAGCTAGTTTACATAGATACATTCAGAACAGGACTTAAGCTTTAAGTTTACATAGATACATACAGAAAATGACTGGCTAGTTTACATAGATACTTACTGAAAAGGACTAGCTAGTTTACATAGACACATACAGAACAGGACTAGCTAGTTTACATAGACACATACAGAACAGGACTAGCTAGTTTCATACTACAGATGTATATTGATCATGACAGGAGTTTGAGATGAAGTCAGTTATCATGATGTCAACTTACACAATTCTATTATAAGGTTAGGCTGGGATATAAATACATGGTTTCATGGTACAGTAGACTTTAATATTTTCGGCAAGTTGGTAATTGAAATTGTTAGTCATGAATAGCTGGGGATTTTCAGACTGAGATGATACGAGAAATAAAATAAGTTTTTTTCTTTAATGCTTTATGATTTTTGAGGGGTATTGATTTTATCCATGTTACTGTGGAGAAATTGGTATCCTGAAGTACATAAAAGTGATATCACCTGAAAAAATTGAGTGTTGAAAATTGGTAAAATATGAATATTTTGGTGAAACATGAAGATTTTGAGATTTCGTAGAAAATATAAATGCTCTTGAAAAATTTAGAATTTATCTTGTGTTGATCACTCTAGGTTGCTTTTATTCCTCAGATATTAGACTATTTTATCAATTAATTGTATCATATTCTATTCTACTGATAAAATATACCCTTTGCATTCGTTCGGATTCGTTTCTTACAAGTGAGCTTCATCATTTATAACTAGACTCTGCACACAGAGTAGATAAAATAGAGATCTAGAAGTACACATAGATGGATTTTTAGACAACAGCAATGAAAATTAATTTATAAAATGATTCCTTTATTAACAAAGACTTGCAATAATGTATATGCAATCATGCATTCTGATAGTATTATCTATTCGCTGACACAAATCCATATATAAGAATGCAGCCAAAGTGCCATTATATCACAGATTACACTTGCTTAAAATCTCAAACCAATCATCCATATTCTATATTCTTCTCTAAAATAGATGTACTTTATTTCTTTGAATTTTATAAAAATGTCATGATCTTTCCATACTACTACTTCTTTTTTATTATTTATTTTATTAAGTATTTAAGATTTTGACCATTGTGATTTTACTTCTAGGTTAGACCTTAACAGCAAAATAGAACAATAGCAATTAGGCCTCTTAATTAAGAGATGTCATTATAACATCAAGTTATTCTACAATTTTTAGGAATCCTTTGAGTAATTGGATTATCTTTAATATTACTTCTGATACATACTCATTTCTTCTACTGAAGTTCATCTGTGATTCCAAATAAGAGATTGCCACTTAGTTATTATATGTGAAACTACAATATTGCCCTCATAGCATTCATTCCTTTATGTTTTAGTGCTTCAGTTGATTCAGTTCTAGTTCTTCTATATAAAGTCCTCCAAGGAATTTGAAGAAATATAAAATATAAGAGCAATTTTTAAAAACATCCAAATTATCCTAATTTAACCTCTTGAATCTCAGGCTCTAAAATTGGCATGAAACCAGAGAATTTTTCATTTTTTGCCACCTTTTGACATTTTATTACATACCTATACAACTTTAGATGCTCAGCTTAGTAAAATTGGACGGCAGAGATCATTTCTACACATTTTAAAACAATTTTTGTGTAAATTGGATGAAAATTGTTCAAATGAGAGCAATTTTGTGAAAAATTTTGTGACGGATTTTCTCGTCCCTCTGGGCACCAGTCTTATTTCATTTGTGACGGATATATCCGTCACTCTGGGTATTCAAGAGGTTAAAAGGGAGAAAAATTAGATAACAGGTCACATATAGGGGTTATTGAATATTTAAGATTTTCTTATTTTATTTGAAAAAGATGTACATGTATCTCCTATATTTAATGACAGTTTTTGACAAATATTTGGAAGATAACAGCTCATCTTTATCCTTTCTACTCCCTCAATACATGATCTATTACTTACAGTGTAGTGTCATAAACTGTTTTGTGAAATTACAAATAATGATGAGACCTTATTTCAATATTAATTATTAAAGGCACTAAAATAAGCTGTAAACCTCTATGTGTCATATTTACATGCATGCAATAACCCAGATGCGAGTAGAAACAATCTTGATTTACGTCATTAAAAATTCAGTCAAAGTAATATCATATTTGAAATCTACATGTAAAATTACATCTAAAAATGTGGTTTTAAAAAGTGTTTATCAACTTTGAAAAATTAATTTTCTTTGATAATGTGATTTCTAGCTCGGGGAGATTCCCCATAGACCCCATGCTATAAAACCACAAAAAATGAAATATCTTTTCTTTTAGTGGACAGATAATATTTTGCTTTACTCGACGTATTTTCATTAGTATAAGTATCAGACACATAAGGGTAATATGAAAATTGAGCCACTTAAATTGATAATATTCAAGTTTAAGGCAACTTTCTTATATACCTGCCATGTTAATTGACCCGAATCAGCCACCTGGTGGTGAAACTGGTAACTACTTACTCGCATTTGGGTAATTGGATAACAATAACTCAATTATTTTAATTTGATAATAACAGTGTAATCTGGAATTGTGACACATTCATGCTTATACATATAATACAAGATAACAGTAATATATTAGAAGCAAAGGAAGAGCTGTAGGATTAAGGTTATATAACATTAAATAATTTTGAAACATAATTCAACTGAATTAGGATATTATCCCACATTTTCAATGAAAGTGAAGCTTGTTAAGTGGTGCTTTCAATGCATTGGAAGCAGAGAAAGAGTAAGTCTAAGTTACTATCACACTTTGAGAAAGTGCTATTTTGTTATTATGTGCTGTTGGTTGGGCATGTAGGCAGGAGCCACAAAAATTTTGTCATCCAAATTCTTTGAAAACTATCTGTTCAACTTGAAATTTTTCATGCAAGAGTAGACTATTGCCAAGATTTGATTACGTTTAAGTTTCACAAAGATGATTTATTAATTCATTTTTGTGTGGCCAGCATTTAGCATTGGCCATCAGCAGTCATAGCTCATCATCTGTGACAAATTGTTACATATTTTTAACTTGACAGTGACATTTTGTCATGGTAATCATAACAATATCTTGATTTTACTACATTGTATCTCATAATTAGCTTCATTTAAGTCTAGAAGTTTGAAAAAATCAGGCTTGTCAAAGTTAGGCATGAAATACAAGAAAATAATCTAGACTCTTTTTTTGCAATTTGTCTACCATTATTGTGGCCTTTTGATGCCTGCTTTCTGCAATCAGCGGGTTGGTATTTGGCATTTGGCAGTCAGTGGTTGGTATTTGGCATTCGGCAGTCAGTGGTTGGTATTTGGCATTCGGCAGTCAGTGGTTGGTATTTGGCATTCGGCAGTCAGTGGTTGGTGTCCCACTTTCGGCTGTTGGCATCTGTAAGAAATAACAAGTGGTGACATTTTGCATGTTAATTCCTTATATTTCTATGTTAGTGATATAGAAAATTACATGTATCAATCCCTTTGAGAATCATATATTGAACCAAATCCCTATGCATTCATTGGAATTGATCCATAAGTAGAATTGAGGAATCTGTACAAGGGTCAAAGAGAGAGCAATCATATAGGCTTGTATGAACCTAATCAGGTTTAATATGCATGAGAACTGATCAGATTACTGACCATTTATTGGATTATTGGACGTTTTCTTTGGTGACTGACCAAACCTATATCTTAAAGTCCTGTTGAAGTAAACAGTCGAAAGCAATTGGAGGATTTGCGTTTAATTGCTTCATATATTTTCTTTATTGAACTCAGACTTGATAGCAAATTGCTTTTGAGTTCAGAGTAAAATTAAGAAATTATAACAAAACCATATTCTTTTATTATTTGTGTCAGAATTCTATTGTAAATTGCTTTTCTGTTATCCTTCATTCCAATCGATCTTTAGGTGATCTTTCCAATGATGTATTACATTTATATGACTTTAATGCAGGGAGGGAGGGGGTGATCAGAAACTGCTATTACATTTTGTTATGTCACCACCAAAAAGTGGTAACATATTGTTATGGTCTTTATTTTTTGTGATGGCGGTTGGTGGTTGGCGGTTGGTGGTTAGCGTGTAACAAATTCTTAACTTGTAATAACTTAACAAATACTGTTTAGACTGACTTCAATTTTTTAAATCATCTACAAGTTTTTTTTTATTTGACCTTCAATGACCTTCTCAAGGTCAAAAAAGGTATTTTTTCAACTTGCTTGAAATTGACTTAATTTTTTTCAAAATCATCTACAAGTTCTCAGAAATTCAAATCAGACTTTAGATTTGACCTGGTAAAAAAGGTCTAAAAGGTCTTAAGGTTAAAAAGGTCAAAAGGGTATTTTTCAACTTGCTTCAAATTGATTAAATTTTTTAGGTGGTGATGACATTTTGTCATGTTAATACCTTGTATATGTATGGGAACATTTGTAAAATGAATAACTAAAGTATATTTTTTGTAAAGCATGTTAAATCCAATAAATTTCTTTCCCATTTCGTGTTGTTAGATGAAAATTAATACATTATGGCATGATCTTTAAAAGTATTAAATATTAAATATGATGCGCTGTGTCCATGGTAAGACTCATGAGACGAGTTGTTTCCAATTTTCTTTCTTTGACATTCTTGAAGGATTTGTTTTATTGCTTTTTGGTGCCATAAAGTCGGGCTATCATGGCATTGTTTCCGTACTTTTAATTTTCTACAGTAATATTCCCCCAGTAGATTCAATCAATTTGTAGTAAAGCTCATTCAATTTATCATGACTATCATCATAACTTTCTACTCAATGAAAAATAGAAAAAATGGAAGTGCAAATTATTCATTCTGCTTCTTACTGTTTTGTACGAAATATTGGAAGATTGCTTTGCATAAAACTACATAAATAAAATCATCGAACATTTTTTATTTAATGAAATTTCTTTTGATTCGAATGGCAGTGTTTCCCTATAGAGTTTTGTATTGGAATGTGTGTTCCTTCCATAAAATATCCTTCCTTCCACAGAATAGTATTGGCTGTCATGGGTGATTAATTGTGAGTAGTGTTACTTAGATAAAGCATATGTCTATTATTATATTATGTTGAGTCTATATTTTATAATTAAAAATTATCTCTTTTGGAAATGTATCACTGTGTTGTTTCGTTAATTTTTATATTTATAACTTGAATTTCTCTTTTTACAAAGTCTTTTATGTATAAAATCTATAATCTGATATGAATTGCAAATGAATGTCATGCACTCATAAGATATGTGCAATGTATTTTATATCAGCGATGATAAACCTACATGTATAGTAAAACCTGTCTGATTGGAACACCTTTGGTACCTCTATAAAATGTTCCACTTGTGAGGAGTTCCACTTATAGAGGTTTAATTAGCATTAAATCAGTTGGTCTTGTTCCACTTACAGGGTTGTTCCACTAACAGGTTTCACTGTATTATAATTTTTATGTTTAAGACAATGGGCATTTTGGGGAAACCAATGATCAAATAATGTCAAGGTCACATGGTAGCCTCAAGGTCATTTCAAAATTATGAGGTCAAAGGTCACAATGTAGAGGAAACTTTATCACACCTAAGATCAGCTCACAATTTAACAAAATGTCTCAGATTAGTTATTAGTGGACATTTAGTCGCCACATAAGTCAATTTTGATAGCCCTGGTGCATAAATCAATATAGAGACTGCATTCCAACACCATCAAATAACCAGGAAATAAGTTCATGTTTTCATAGACAAGGAGAACATGATATAAAGAATGATGAAATTGATCTTATAAAATAATCAATATCATCAAAGTATGATTTCTAATGGTCTACTCTGAAAATAGTTTTCTGGGTAAATGGAAATAAGTATTTTGCTGTGAGTTATTACTGTAAAGTGAAAGAAAAAATTGTGTTTTAGTATACAGTTTTACTAAACTGGATAACAAGCATGTTAATGTAAGACGGAATATAATATGTATCTCTTCATATATGCATTGCCAATTTGCAACCAGACATTACAAATAAACATCATTGATTGGTACGCCTAGGATATTTATATAAATATTTTGTATCTGTTAATGAACATTGGTTTAACTGTATACTTTCAGAACAATGAGAATGAAACAAGCCTTCATGCAGCTTGCCAGTATGGTCACACCAAAGCCGCATCTGTCTTGATAGAGGTAAGTCTTTACCCTTATTTTCTAGTATGGAATGGAGAAAAAGTAATTCAACACTTTTGTAGTCCTAAAATCAAATCTAAAATTGTAGATTTGCATATTTTAGGATGATTGCATTTATGAAATCAAATCTCAGATACATAATGTTTTGCGTGTAATTTAGTTTCACGCTTTTTGCAATTTTTAATCCCGGGGGATTTATTATAACCTAGGACCCGATGCATTTCATTTTGTGTAAAACATTTGTCAAGTGTTATTAGGCAATAAATAGGATATAGCAACGATGTCTTTTACACTGGCTTATTAGATTAATTAAAAATGATGATGTAATAGAGGTTAAGAAAGGTAACTTAGTTAACAAAACTTGAGGATTCAGAGAATAATGAAAGGATACTACTGGTATCGATATGGAGAACTGAATTCAACAATGTTTTTCTCTTTTAAAACCAATCATTGAAAACATTTCTGTAAAAAACATGGTATTTTATGTAATGTTGACTAATTGACAACAATTTAATGCGGAAATTATTTAGAAATATTTTATATAACTGTTTTTGTTAACATTTTTTGTTTTTTTAATGCAATTGTTTTTGCTCCTTTCTACCAATTCTTGAGAATGAAATAAAATGTCTTTCCGAACCTTGTTGGAACAAAATAGCATATACATGTTTTTAGACCTCTCAATATTAAAGTTATACAAAGGATTTTTTGGTTGATTTTAAAAAAGTATTCAAAAAATTAAAACAAAATCCCCCCAAAATAGAAAAAATCAAGAAAAACCTTTTATTTCATTAACAAGATATTTTTTTAAAATCAACCAAAATTTCCTTTGTACAATTACAATATTGAGAGACCTAAACATGTTGTGTTTATGTCGTTTTGTTCCAATGAGGTTCGGAAAGATGTTTTATTTCACTCTGGAAACATGATACCCAGAACAAAACAAGTGTTTGATGTGTTTTTTAAATCAATATAGATGAAAGTATGTATATCTATTTCAAATTATATTGTTACCATTCAAAAGATGGCCATTAAATTGACAATTTGTAAGATTTTCAGAAATTTTTGATGACTGGTTTAAGAGAAACGTGTGTTCAAAAAGTTTGCCATGACGATACCCATTCTTTGAATTTGTGAAAACCGCGAAATTTAATAGCCATGAAATTGCGATTTCTCAAAATTCGCAACAAATTAAAATTCACAGAATTAAAGCTCGCAAAAGTAACCAGGAGTACAGTATTGGATAGGCATGTCAGGACGAAATGTTATATATACAGTACATGTATACATGTATGCACTTGTACATGTTAATTAGTACTAAAATTTAACTAATTCACCTTGATTTTACAACTTATTTCTCATTTTCCATTCTTCAGCATCGAGCAGATCCGACTTTACGCAACAAGATCAACGAGTCTGCTTTGGACTTGGCTGCCCAGTATGGTCGCCTAGAGACAGTTCAACTTCTTGTTTTGAAACATCCTGAACTGTTACATGCACCATTTTCCCAGCATTCCCCACTGCACTTGGCATCACGGAATGGTCATAAAGGTGTTGTTGAGACATTGATCAAGGCTGGATTTGATGTGAACACAAAGGTATGATGTGCTCTTGATATGTAAAGTACATATTCTATGTGTTTGACTCTTGTCAATTATCATTTGGAAAATAATTAAGTAATCTAAGAATGAAATAAATCAAAGCAATGGAGATTTAAAATATCTTATCTTGATTAACAAAATATTATACAAGTTTTTAATACCCACAATACACGGGATTAAGTCGTGACTGGTGAATATTTGATATTTAACGGAAGTCACTTGAATATTCTTTTGAATATCGCTTGTTATTTTTTGATTACATGTAGAACTTGGGCCAATCAGAGAGTGAGGAATATGGCAGTGAATTAATAATTCTTATTATGGTTTGTCAAGCAGAGTCCCAGTGTTTATCATATGTTATTGAGACATGTAAGGTGAACATTCAAAACTTTAATATCCGATACAAAGGGAATAGAAGGTTTCGGGCCTAGGTTAGTTTTCTTATCCAACACTCAACTATCACTTCCATATAACTAACATAAATTTGGTATTGATCTCTAAAACTGAATATATTGGTGAGGAAGAAGGGTAGGGCGCTGTCAAATCTGAAACAAATTGGTTTCTAGTAGACATTAGTCTTTCTAACAACATCATTGTCCTATGCATTGTATTTTCAGATTGACACACTAGGAACTGCTCTTCATGAAGCTGCCTTGTGTGGTAAACAAGAGGTTGTCAAAATACTTTTGGAAAATGGTAAGTTAACTTTAACATTACTTTCAGGCCTTGTTTGAATGAATGTAACTAGATCAGGCCTGTCTGCAGTCTTGAATGCCTATAAAACTGCACAATGGAAGATGACTTGGGTCTTGGATATATGTAAAGGATGTATGTTTACTGTACTGTAGGATAAATATATTCAAAATACAACTTAATGTTCAATTTAATTGCTATTTATTGGTTCTGAATAATTTTTACAAATAAGTTGGTTGTAAATACTTACTAAAAAGTAGTTTTTACCTTTGAATTTTGTGATTTGCATATTGATATATATTTTTCATTCTGTATATCTTGACCTGTGTTATTTTTCATCTTAATATTTTCAAAGTTTATGATATATATTCTACAAAATATTTAAAAAAAATGAAAGCATTAAGACACATTTTTTGATATACTCCCAGGTCTTCTTCATATTTGAGTCAATCCTAGTTCCTCCATGACCTGCACTTTAATAATAAAATGAAATTGTTATATGATATAATAATCTATAATGATAATACAATATAATATGAAGCTTTTATATTCTTACATTCATTCAAAATCATACTTGTTATAAAACATTTAGGGCTACTACACTACATAAAACTACACAACAAGTAACAATTATAGAAGAAACTACAAGCTTTTTGTTTCATTCTAGGTATAGATAGTGAACTTGAGGATTCCTCTGGAAAGACTGCTGCCGATTTATTACGATCTCATACCTCTAAAGTGTCTCAAGATATTGTAGCAATAATTGACAGTAAGTAAACATTTCACAGATTTATTACGATCTCATACCTCTAAGGTGTCTCAAGATATTGTTACAATAATTAACAGTAAGTAAACATTTCAGATTTATTACGATCTCATACCTCTAAGGTGTCTCAAGATATTGTAGCAATAATTGGCAGAAAGTAAACATTTCACAGATTTATTACGATCGCATACCTCTAAAGTGTCTCAAGATATTGTAGCAATAATTGACAGTAAGTAAACATTTCACAGATTTATTACGATCTCATACCTCTAAGGTGTCTCAAGATATTGTAGCAATAATTGGCAGAAAGTAAACATTTCACAGATTTATTACGATCGCATACCTCTAAAGTGTCTCAAGATATTGTAGCAATAATTGACAGTAAGTAAACATTTCACAGATTTATTACGATCTCATAACTCTAAGGTGTCTCAAGATATTGTAGCAATAATTGACAGTAAGTAAACATTTCACAGATTTATTACGATCTCATACCTCTAAGGTGTCTTAAGATATTGTAGCAATAATTGACAGTAAGTAAACAATTCAGATTTATTACGATCTCATACCTCTAAGGTGTCTTAAGATATTGTAGCAATAATTGACAGTAAGTAAACATTTCACAGATTTATTACGAACTCATACCTCTAAAGTGTCTCAAGATATTGTAACAATAATTGACAGTAAGTAAACATTTCAAAGATTTATTACGATCTCATACCTCTAAGGTGTCTCAAGATATTGTAGCAATAATTGACAGTAAGTAAACATTTCACAGATTTATTACGATCTCATACATCTAAAGTGTCTCAAGATATTGTAGCAATAATTGACAGTAAGTAAACATTTCACAGATTTATTACGATCTCATACATCTAAAGTGTCTCAAGATATTGTAGCAATAATTGACAGTAAGTAAACATTTCACAGATTTATTACGATCTCATACATCTAAGGTGTCTCAAGATATTTATTGAAGAAAATGAATAATGTTTTCTCAATAGTAGGTTTGATAAAGTGGAACATTTCATTTTGCAATATAAGATTTATACAAGCCATATGCGTGTATCATAATATTGTATTCCATTCGAAAAAGCATTCAGTTTACCATAATTTAAATATTGTATTGGTGCTGAAAATTAAAACCTGGTGTGTCATGAATGTAGAATCTGAGTTAGGAGTGTCATGGTCAAGTTACACACAATCAAAGAAAAATTGTCTGCTAGACAGATCACAATGATTAGATATGTTAAGAAGGTGGTCAATAATAATTTCTTCATTTTCAAACAAGATGGAGCACCATCCCATCGTTCAAAACAAACTATTACCTATCTTGAAAAGAACATCCCTTCCTTCATTCTTTCAAACAATTGGCCTCCAAATAGCCCTGACATGAATCCTTGCAACGAGAGATTATGGGGTATGCTTCAGAAAATTATTATAGAGGCAAATCATTTGAAAAGGTCCATGTGCAGTATGGCAAGTGGTTTTAGACAGTCATATCTTTCACCATCAAGATCACTTGCCATACTGCATTTGGTCCTTTACTACATTTGAAGCTATCCTTCAAGGTAGTATGGAGGTAGATCACACAATGTCAGATATATAGCATGATAGCAAAAGTTATTGCCTTGTAATTCAGGAGAGAGTCACATCGAACATCAACTCAAGGACCATTCATGAAAACCTGATTGACAATTCACAATTGAATAAGCTGCACACTACAAATTTTCTATATTTTTTAAAGGAGGAATACATTTTCTGCATGATAAGTCAATGTTCCACTTTTTGAACCACCCTGTACAATTCATATGTATATCTTGACAGGGAGTTTCATCACATATATTCATGAATTTAGCAAAACTTTCTCCTTAAGATTTCTTCTTGGAGTTCATATGACAATGTTTTCAAACCATACTGCTTCAAATCAGTGTAGGAAATCTCACATAACCTTGTCAATATTGCTTCAGTTTTATCATTACCATATAACAGACCATATTTATCTCTAACCTTAATATCTTCAAATAAATCTGCATCAGAGAAACAATATGTTTGACCCCGAATGTGACTTCTGTCCATTATATTACGGCCAGATGTCTCAGTTTTCAGCTTTTCAAGTAGCTTTGCTTTCATTAGTATGATGCTATCAGTGCATTTCTTCGATAGTTCCATGAATTCTGGATATTTGTGAAGTTTACTGAGTGGAATTGTGTGTGCATAATTCATATTCTTATGTCTTGCCATCCGTAGATTATATTCATCTGCAAGATACAGGTTATGGAAGCTTGCTTTACAACCATTGAGGAATTCTCCACATTTCTTAGTCAATTGTTCCATCTGGTATTCTCTGGCCAACTTCAACAGTGGTTCAATAGTAGATTCTGAAAAAAATCACCATCTTCATTTTCATTTTCCTCTTCATTGATTGGATCCAACAGATAATAGGCCCCAATTATACCAAAAACTGTGGCAAACTACTTCCTGATTTTTACTCTTTTTAGTCTGTTATTTATTTGAGTCAATAAAGTATCTTCAGTCATATACTTTAACATTACTTTTTATGTCCCCACCACATAGTGTGGGGCCATATTGTCGGCCTAGGCGCGTCCATCTGTCTGTCTGTCTGTCCGTACGTCCGGCAGTTTTCTCCAAAACCGCTACAGATATCACCTTCAAATTTTCAGGGATAACTTATGAGTGCATATAGATGTGGATGAAAAAAATTTAACTCGATACCTACTTCCTGTTGACCATTTTGAAGTCAAAAACTATTTAGTAGCTTTATAAATAACTTCAGGTGTACTTTGTTGTAAAAGCCTATGTCATTGTTAACAGTATTTATATGTGATAATTTTGTAAAAAGAAATCAGCAAAAACTCATAATCACTATTTTATTATCAGCCATTTTGGATTTTTCAATCCTAAAGTCTTGTCTGTAAAGTCTCATCTACGTATTTTCAGGTGAATCGTTTGGTAGATCAATTTCAAAGGATCTAGTGCATCCTCCATTATGATCTCCCCATGAACAAAAATAAATTCATCTGATTTTTATAATATATATACTGCTTTTATTATTACATTTATACACTGTTGCTCATAAATATGGAATATTTTATAGATACGAACTGTTTGATGGAATTTCTACAAAATGATAACATTTTGATGAAAATTTGTTATGTGTTCTCATTACCTCATCAGTTTTGCATATAAAACTGATTGCTATGAAAAGTTAAAACATTTATGGTTGATTAAACTTGTATTCACTCAGGTGACCCCATGACCTCATGATATTGGTAACTTGAAAGAGGTGTCCAAATCTTAGTTGTAATCATTGTGTACATTTTATGAAAATTTAATTTAGAGTTGGAAGAGTTTTTAGAAGGCATGCCCCATAGAATAAGCGAAAAAGAGCATGACAGGTCATAGGGATGGCGCTCTCTGGCATGAAACAAACTGCCATTGCCAGGACCCTAGGGGCGTGTCAGGAACAGTCTCTAAAATTTTGCAGTGGTACCAAAGGCACTGGAATAGAACTCCAGGTCACAGCAATAGTAGCCCTAGAGGGAAAAAAGTAAGAAAAGACCACCACCTGCTGCATTTATGTCATCAAAATCGCTTTAAGTCAACCAGTAGTCTACGAGATGAATGGCTGTCTCACCCCAAAACCCGTGTTCAAAAGCTACAGACAACCAGTGATTTCTTTATAACGGATGCAAGGCCATGAGATTTTTTAAGAGACCACAACTGACTGATCATAACAAAGAAAGGTGCCCTCAATGGGCAGGAAAGCACCAAAACCTTGGACCTATAATCTTTGCTGTCATATGACAGCATTTGAAGAAATAAGATGTGTCCTCCACAAAGTTGATAATTGTGTTTTTTCTGTCGTAGACCAGGGGGAAGAGACAAAAAGGACGGCAGTCCATGAAGGCGACCCTATTTATGTTTGGAGCAGTATTACAAATTGTGTCAGTAAAGTCTTGTCTACTCATTTTTAGGATAACCATTTGACGGGATCACCCATAGGTGGAGACATTTTGTACACGTTTGTGTTCTTGTATATTTTTACAATGCATTTACTGATTAGTACAAGATCCTCATTACCAAAAAATGTTGTTTTGTTCATTGACACGAAGATATATTGTGAATCTTTGTATGATGAAACAACATTATATTGGAATGAATTTTATCTGCCCGAACAAGATGAAGAGCTGTTATTACAAAAGAAAATGAGTGTAGACCCCTCCCCTAAAATTATTTGGCTGCCTAAATAGAAAAAAAAAATTGTGGGCCTTATTTATGTCCAAGTTCCTCATAACTACCCAAAACGGTCAATTGATACAAGGTCACTATTTATTAGGCATTCTGCAGGATATTTTTAATTTATTTGTGATTTTAAACATTTTACTACCCCCAATTCAATTTTGAGTATATCTTATTTCAAGAATATTCCCTCATAACTTTTGTTGTAGCACATTAATGCCTATAAAAAAAATCCACAACCTTGCTATCATTTGATAGAGTCGCAAAGTATGACAGTGATATGTCCAGTCAATATTGAAAGAAAAAATTCCAACAAACCCACCCCTTCTTCAACAGGGAGGGGGTCAATGTGAAAAAAATATTTTGTGAGTACATTATTTGTGCAAATTCTTTTTTTATCCTACTTAAGATTGTCAATCAATATAAAGTTCACCATTTATGAGAAATTTTGCAGGATATTTTGAACGAATTTGTGATTTTAAGCCTTTTACTACCCTCAATTCACTTTTATAATATTACTTCAGATTTTCCATTATGTACCCTGATATCAATGTTGAGAATACCTAATTTCGAGAGTATTCTCTTTCGCAGTAGTGTACCAAAGCCTATAAAACAATTCCTCAACAGTGTTCTAAAAACATTTGATAGATCCAAAAAGTATGAAATTGATGTGTTTTATTAATGTAGAGAAAAAAAATCATAACAGTCTCACCCCCTTTTCAGCAGAAGGTAAGGGTCAACATGAAAAAACCTAGTAAGTGTATTATTATTTGCAAACTCTTTTTATCATGCTTAAAATGATCAATTAATATACAGTTCGCTATTTATTAGACATTTTGCAGGATATTTGGAATATTTATTTGTGATTTTAAGCTTTTTACTACCCCCCCCCCCCCCCAATTCAATGTTGAGTATACCTATTATCAAGAATATTCACTCGTAGCTTAGTTTGTATCATTGATACCAATAAAACAATTCAACAACATTGCTCAAGTATCGTTTGATATGTCAAGAAAGTATGACAGTGGTTTGTCTAATTGACTAATTGATAGGAAGAAAAAAATCATAACAACCTCACCCCTTTATTAACAGAGGGTAGGGGGTAAACATAAAAAAATAGTGAGTATATTATTTGTGCTCAGTCTTTTTATATCATGACTAAAATGGTTGATACAGTTTGCTATTTTTTAGACATTTTGTAGGTTATTTGGAATTTATTTGTAATTTAATCATTTTTTACTAATCCCCCATATAATCAATGTTTAGTCTATCTAATTTCAAGAAAATTCACTCATAGGCTTTTTGTATCTCAATGATGCCAATCGTGGTATTCTGTGCATCTTATGGTGGATTTAAACACTATTGATTCATCCTTCTTGCAAATATAAATAATAGGGTTACAGTATTTCTATGGTAATCTTTGACTATGGAAAAACCATTATCTCGAAATGCCATAAGCACACTGGAAAGATACTGTCCCAACAGACCCCCTTTTCTGCCCCCATCAGAATCAAACTTATTTTGCATCTAGAGTATCCTCACAAATGTACTTCACAATAATATTTCAAAATTAGGTCAAATGGGTGCAAAAAGGTCAAGTTGGTAAAATCAATCTAATGATCAAGTAATTTCCTTAAACATACCTAAATAAAATCAAATCACGGGTTTAACCTGACTTTACATTGATTTCCATGGGGAATAGGTATCTTAATAGCATTTGAGTAGTATTTGCACCATACTTAACCCAAGGAAAATGTTTGACATTTTTATAGTCAAAATACATGTTCTGGTATACTGTCAAAATATTGTATTGTAATATATTTGATATTAATATTCTAAAGCTTTGATACAACATATTAGTATTTATTGATACCAATAGGTACAGTTGCTGAAAGTTGAATGTACAGTTTCTAAGGGGTCGGGTCAAAATATCGATGTCCGTCACCTAATGAAATCAGGGTTTCACCCCCTCTCCCTAACAAAATTAATTACATTTTTTGACGGACATCGATATTTTGACCCGACCCCTAATGTTTGATAAATATCAATACTTTTAAACATATTTGGTCACTTATTAGACTCCAGATTGAAAATCTGGAGTCTATTGTTTTTGCCTGTTTTCTTTATTATTATTATTATTATTATTATTATTTTTCTTTCTTTTTTCTTCCTCCTCACCAAATTTCTCGTCAACTATAACAGCTTACTTAATCCAACTTACATGGTTAACTAAAGACTGAAACCGGCTTTCTGGGAAATTAGGTCAAATTTTTATCTAGGTCAAAGGTCAAGAACTAGGTCAAATCTTACATTTTCAACATTCTTCATCATATCTTCGTCAATATTCTTCGTAACTCCTTCATCTTTTTTTCATCGTGTAGCTTAGAAAAAGGCGAATCAAAGATATGACATCAGAATTTTGATTACTCTTACCGATTTTGAGATACGGCGTCCGAAATGTAGGTCACGCCTAAACATGCTCCAAATCGAATGTGTGAGCTATGAAAAAGATGTAGAATTTTCTCAGGAATCCAAATCTGCAAACCGAATTTGGATCAGACTTCCGGTTCGGAAGTTATGGCGTTTTGAAAGCTCAAAATCGCTAAATTTGGTGCCTATGTTAAGTCAATGGGAAAAAAGACTTTTTCGAAGTGTAAAATACAGGTTATTGACTGAGTACAGCTTAACATAATGAATGCTTATAAAAGAAGGGGACCTCAAAAGCTACATAGCTTCAAAATTTGGACACCAAAATGCCTAGGTCAAAATCAAGGTCAAATTCATAGTTTTTCCTTATTTTTACGATTCTGACACTACACTTTAATAATTTACTTCAAAATTTTGTATACAGGTAGCAAAGAGTGTGCTAATAGTGTTAGCCTTTTGCCGTCAGAAAGTATTTTGACCCACTTTTGAGATATGGTGTCCGAAAAGTAGGTCAAAATAAAAAGTTCTCCAGATTCAACGTATGAGTTATGAATTAAGGGTAGAATCTTCTCAGGAATCCGAATCTGCAAACCAAATTTCGATCCGACTACCGGTTCGGAAGTTATGGCGTGTCCAAAAAGTAGGTCAAAATAAAAAAATTCCAAATTTAACGTATGAGTTATGAATTAGG